ACGTTTTTAACCACATCAGGTTGAAAGGATGTCGGTGCGGAGGAGTAGGGGGGGTAAGACGATGGACAGTCGTTCTTTTTTTTTTTTTTTTTTTTTTTTTTTCTTTGCGCCCTCGCTCTCTCTCGCTCTGTTCGCCTCCCCTAATTCACATGGTTTCCAGGGCTGTCCATCCCAGCGGTGCCTGTGTTCCATTGGGGACAAAGAACAAGGCCCCAGCGGGATAAGAAACCCAGATTGTTTAGGTTCAACAGGTTCCTTCAAGCCAAAAAGCTAACCCCGAAATTGGGCGTTTACGATGTTGCATCAGGGTGTGACGACTTTCCAGCAAAAGGACCCCTAGCGGCTTTCCCTTGGAAGACCCTGTTTCGTTCCGTCACGAGCGACGTTCGAAAATAGGGCATGCTGTGGGCCTTTGCCTATTGCCTAATCTGGTCTCACCTAGACAGACCAATGCGAAGAGATCGAAGGAAATGCTTGTCTTCCAACCTTAGACTGGCGGTGACCGTTCAAGGTTGATCAGATGAAATCATCTGGGTTTCACAGCGGCTGACCTTTCGGTACAGCCTTTCTCCAATACACCAATGCCAGAGTCACATTTCAAGAAGCTTTGGTTTTATATATAAACATATGGTGGAGTTTTCTTTTGCAGCGTCCCGAGGTCTGCCTCATTGGAGTATCATTTGGTATTGCTAGATTTCCCTCTAATTTCCTCTGGGTCCATATTTTACCTATATATCCATTATATCCCCGGGTTGAACAAGGACATCCAGGGGGGAATTACCCGTGGACTAGCTGTGTACCTGTTTCCCAATTTCCTACCAATGCTCGCAGAGTCCAACGGCAATCCGTACGCCGGAGATACTCCCAAGCTCCGAACTGCGTGTGAAAACTGCAGGCAGTCCAAGGTGAAATGCAACCTTTCGGGCAAAAGTGTCTGTACGCGGTGCCTGCGCCACGGTCTACAGTGTCAATACGGATACGCCAATCGGTCCGGGAAACCAAAGGGAAGCAAGAACCGGGCTACGCTGCGCAAGTTAGGGCAACTGCAAGAAGAAAAGCCCGCCATGCGTGGCTTTCGCAATAGTCGCCTGGTTGCCCCTGTGGCCGATATGGACTCGCTGGGGAATAACTACGGTCATATTCCCGACCCGGCACTGGACGAAGATGTAGGTGACATTGGGAGTTTCTTTTGGCTCACCTTTTGATCAAACTGACATGAAAATGATAGGTCTGTTTGATTTCAAACCAAGCCGGCTTCTGGGAAAGTCCTCGGAGCTTTGTCAATACCGCGACTCTAGAATCCTCCGTCTGCCCAGGCCAATTGTCCGCAGTGGAAAGCTCATCGTTCACTGATCTCGTTGATCCATGCTCTTCTCTTCCCTCTGGTATAGCGTATCCACATACACCAGTGACACCGACTTTCCTATCCGGGGAAACACTACCAGAGGGACTAGCCAGTCCATCACTAGCAGGCTCAGTGGCATCACCGTATCCACTGTCGCCATGCGAGTGCATAGACATGCAGCTGTTTCACATGAACCGACTAAACCATTTGCTCGGAGATTCTCTACCGCTGCGCCTCGATCACAGCCTGCAGTCAATCAAATGCACGTTCCTGGCCTGCCAGATGTTCCTACAATGTAACAAGTGCGCAAAGGATACCCCCAATCTCCTCCTGACCATCTCAGTCCTCAATCTCACTCTCCAACTATTCGAGTACTGGGTCTCGAGAGAAACCAATCGCGCTGCACGGCCAGAGCACGGCGTAGACATCCGCTACGGATACTACGAGGTCTGCCACGAGGAAAACAGACAAATCCGCAACTTCCTCATCAGAGGTCTGCTGCTGCAGTGCAGGGAAGTCCTACTCGCCCTCAAGAATATTGCTAGTATTGCAGATGCCCAGATTCCCAAGCTGGGTGACGAAGTGCCGGACTCTAAGGCTCCTGAGGACCATGCACAGCATTGGATGCAATCAGATCATATTGGCTTGCTGCCGAGGCTGGATGGGGAGCTTTCGAATGGGATACCCCGGAGCGAGGGACTTCTTTCCATTATCGCGGGCTATGAGGCTACTGTCACGGCATTCCTGCAGTCTACTTCTTGGGGAGAGTGTATTTGCGGATCACGGGGGATGCATGATGAATCTATTTGATGATACCCGGAGGTTGCGTGTACGTTAGGACGTAGAATGAGAAAGGACAGCACTTGAGTAGTAAGTAAACGCGGGCAATATAAGCAGAACACGAAGAGAATGAAAATTGACATAACAGTATATTACTCTCATTTCAATATATTGAAACTATTACCTTAGTATGTTAGTATGTTAGTATGTTAGTATGTTAGTATTGAGTATGCTGTGTAGTTCATACCCCACACTTATCTCGGTCCGCAATGAGCCTCGGCAATGAGACATATAAGGACCTCCTCTCCTCCCCAATTGACTGCAATTTACTCCAACTTTAGAACATCTCCATAATGGCACCCTCTGATCGTCTCACTCAGGTCAATGAACACCTCAATTACCCTGCCGGTGTGCTAGCAGGCCAAGTCGCCATCATCACAGGCGCAGGCCAAGGCATCGGCGCCGAAGCAGCACGGCTATTCGCAAACGAAGGCGCCAAAGTCATAGTTGCTGACATCGACAGCAGTATGGATCCATCCCTTAATATTTAAGGTACTCTACTAACAACCATCAGAGAAGGCCAACGCCGTCGCAGACGCCATCAACTCGGCGAAATCCGGCCGCGCCCTCGCTGTTGTCGGCGACATCCTTGACAGCGACTATATCACCAATCTGGTGAAGAAGGCAGCTGATTTCGGCAATGGCAAGATCCACATTATCGTCAATAATGCCGGCTTTACATGGGATGGTGTTATTCATAAGGTAAATCAAAACAACATATACATTATACGCCCACTAATTCTGTCCAGATGACCGACAAACAATGGGACACAATGCTAGCAGTACACAACACAGCACCATTCCGACTCGTCCGCGCTGCAGCATCCTACTTCCGCGTCAAAGACCAAGAACCCCGTGTAATCATCAACATAAGCAGCACCAGTGGAATCCACGGCAACGCGTACGTTCCCCCAGACCCAGACCTATAGCTCCCAACTAACAAAAAAACAGCGGCCAAGCCAACTATGCCGTCGCCAAAGCCGGCGTCGTGGGACTTACCCGCACAATTGCCAAAGAATGGGGTCCCTCATTCGGCGTCCGCTCTAACACCATAGCATTCGGATACGTAACCACCCGCCTTACAGGGGCAAAGGAAGAAGGTGCTTTCATCACCACACCCGACGGCACGAAAGTGTCCCTGGGAATCCCTGGTAAACAGCTGGATGGGAAGAAGGGCGCAGATGCAGCTTACCCGGATATCCCCTTGCGTAGACCTGCTAGCCCTGTTGAGGCGGCGAGGGCTGTGCTGGGTGTTGCGAGCCCGTGGTTCTCGTATGTTAATGGGGAGACAATTCGGGTTACCGGTGGGAGGAATATGTAAGGGGATTAGGTTGGGCAGCGTTATGCATGCATGTTATGCTTTACAGTAGTTCCTTAAGTATGAGTGGTTTCGTTGAGGTCCAATTTTGAGATTTGGAAATTACTTACTTAAGTACCTCCGGCTGTTGACTGAGTTGCGTTGGATGTAGATGTATATGTATGCAACTTGTACATACTACTCGTAAGTACTTACAGATTGTGGACTCTGTGCATTGCACCAAAAATAGAGATCGCCACCTGTAGCTAGTAGACAGGATCTGTTACGTCTTGCGTCTCACTTGGGCAGCAAGTTCCACACGGACACGAAACACAGCCGTGAGACGTTGGGGTTTGAAGTATAGTACTTTACGGGGTACTCCGTACTTAGGTCTAGAGTACGTTCTAAAGTTGAGGCAAATACTGATGTGTACAGGCAATGTAATCAATTGTAGCCGCAGCCATTGGTATCATATCGTAAATGTTCAAAGTCCCCCCAATGCGAAAAGTCTATGCACAAAACCGAAATCACAAAGCCAGTCCCAGAAACAAAAAGCCCAAACACCGTTGGGTCAACGCCAGAATACAATCATCAGCCCTCCCAGGGGTCTCAACTTCATGAAATCCGATAATATCGGAATGAGAAACATATGTATATAAAAAAAGTCCTCCCGGTATGTGTGGAAAATGTCGAAAATATTAAAACAGTAGAAAAAAAGATCCAGTCATGGTCATACAAGGCCATGTAATCCAAGGGTGTCAGGGTGTCGCTCAGGTGAAAAGAGTATATATATCCAAATCGAAGGTAGCCAAGGCCAGTGGATCAGGATCAACGCGATCGACTTTTTGCTCAGCTTTTGAGAACCGCTCGGCGGAAGTGCATCCGAAACATGCAAGGGAATCACGGAATTCGGTAATGGTGAAGAATGGGTAAGGCATCAAGTCATGCAGCGTTAAATGAGAATTCCAGGACGTGTTGTGATCACAACACTTCAGACAGGAACATCAAGCGGTAGTGAAAAAGGGACCATCCCGTAGAAGTAGGGATCGGGGTAGAAGGGTTCTGCACAGGCAGAGGGAAGGACGGGCTTGAACTCCGGGACTTCCGAGACTACAGGAGACAGGGTATTGAGATCGGAATAATCCTCTGTGATGGCGGTGCCATCAGAGGGAGCCTCGGAGAAGGCCGAGTAATGGGAGGAGTCCGAGGAGGAACCAGAGGTCTGGGCATGCAGGGGTTCCATAGGCATGAAGTTGGGGATTGGGGGCTGGGGAATGTAGTCTTCCGGTACCCAGGGCTGGACCATGGGATTCTCCGTGAAACGGGGGCACTCCAGAATGACCTGACGCAACTCGGAGATGGTAATGCGTTTACAAGGGTCGCGCTCGAAGACACGGCTCAGGATACAGACCATCTCGGAGGAAAGCGGCAGAATACTCTTCAGGAAGAATGGGTCCTTAAGGTAGGCCTGGAATGTGGAATCCTCAACGGATGCTCGCTTCCATGGGTTGCGACCACAGGTGAGGTTGACCAAGATCACGCCCAGACTCCAGACGTCGTTGGCGGCGGACATGTAGCAAGACATAGGACGGGCGTTGGATTGTTGGCATTCTAGATTGGAAGTTAGCGCCAGCCCTTCGTCTTTCATGTTGCGAACGAATACTCACCAGGCGACATGTAGAATGTGGAACCACATCCAAAGTCTGTGGTGTAATAATCTGTCGTTGCCAGGCCAAAGTCGGCCAGTTTCACGGTCATTCCCTGGTCGGTGACCAACACGTTCTCGGGCTTGAGATCGCGGTGGTAAATCCCCATCGAGTGGCAATATTGAACAGCATCTAGGAGCTGCAGGAAGACACTCTTGGCGAGGAAGTCATTGCCCACAAAGTTACCCTTGTCGGTGATATTGGAGAACAGGTCTCCCTCCGGGCAGTATTCCATAACGACGAAGGTACAATCCGGGGAATCCATAATGCGGACTAGGGACACCACGTTGGGGTGTTGGCTGGCCAGGTGGTGTAGTCTAATCTCACGCTGCTGGAACTTGAGCTGGCGGGGATCCAGGCCATGTTTGTTGAGAGCCTTGACGGCGTAGATCTGATTGGTGTGAATGTCCACTGCGGTGTACACGACTCCATAGGCTCCAACGCCCAAGACTCGGGTCAGTTCCAGCCGGTCGGCCAAGACGAGTCCTAGGCGATCCTCGGGGGCGTAGCAACGGGGAATCGGTGAGGGTGGCGGAGTCGGGAGCATTGTGGGATACATTGTCCGGAAGGGTATATATGAGGGGATCCAAGAGTCCCCAGGTGAGAGACAGAGAGAGAGAGAGAGAGAGAGAGAGAGAGAGAAAGAGAGCGCAAATGGAGGTCCAGGAAGATTATAAGAGTCCTAAGTCCAGGGAATATTCACAAGGCATCCATCCCAATCCTAGGTTTCAAGGCAGTCCAAGGGCTGGTTGTGTTTGATATCGAAAAGGAGAGTGTTGCACAGCAGAAGCAAAGAAGCAAAGAACAGTCAAACAGATAGAAGTATAAGGAGGAATACAAGAGTATAAGAATATAAGAGAGGAGAGTCGAGAGGATTTAATGGCAGATGGCAGCCTCGTGGAGAAGGGGCGCTAACGGAAAGGAGTTATTTTATTTATGTTTTATTATTCCTTATTATTGTCGAAAATAGCAATTCACTTAAATTCACCAAATTCACTAAATCCACTAAAATGTAAAATAAAATATAATATAATACTGATCCGGAATCTCCGCTAGTCCCGAAATAGTCAGCCAATCAGCCTTGGCTCTCTCTCTCTCTCTCTCTCTCTCTCTCTCTCTCTCTCTCTCTCCTTTGCCAGGTGTTCATATAGTAGTATTTACAGTAAGATATCATATAGTAATATATAGTAGTACACATTAATATCTTGTGCCTACTCCCTCAACTATCATAGATATTCCATACTCCGACTCAGTGATAAATAAAATAAAAATAAAATAAAAAATAGAACGCCATGTGCAGGCGCTACGAGGCGGTGTATCCCCCACCAATCATAATCATCGCCCCAACTCGATTCTCTTGCCTGCAGCCGCCACCACCCGTGATTGGCGGACGCTCATAACGATCGACTGCAGAACCCCCTATTCCCCTCTCACACTCACACTCACACTCACACTCACACACTGGTGGCAAGCTCTGTCCACGTATCCTTAGTGTACTCCATACTCGTATGCCTTGAAACCTTGAAACCTCCTGACACACATTTGCCAACGCACCAGCCCCGCATATTTTTGAGTCATTACACTGGGATTCTTCTAGAGTCTGGATTTCCAACTGGTTCTGGACCTACTTGTGTACACGACTACTAATTACAGTATGTATTCTAGAATATCTGGATCATCGACTTCACCATTACGACTCACCGTTCTTTAGGTTCCACTTCTTCCTTCGGGTCTAGAAACACTAAACAGCACTAAACAGAGTGAGGCGATGATGGAGGGCCGCTATGGCCAGCCATTGCTCGAACGGTTCCTTCTGCACGGGCCATACACTTCATCTCTCTCTCCTGGCGCTAATGTAGGTAGACGTATCAGGCCTGTGCTGATCCTGACCATTGTGCTATTTGTTTTTGTTTTTGCCTGGGTCATGCCTTCATTGTTGGTGGCTGGGAACTAGTCAGCTTACATACTCCTAGGACTCGTACAGAATGGCATAAAGTTGCCTCGCCAGGTCTACAATCTCACACATGCGTCATACAGGCATACAGGCAGGCATACAGCAAGGGCCGTGTTCCGATCCCAGTTACATTTCGCCCCGTTCAAAGTAAAAGGCTATCTTGCCACTGGGCACTCAACTCCGTACTCTACTTCGCATGATTATTGCGGTGAGCGCCAAATCCAGATCGGCCCTGCAACCCGCTGCCCAATCACACAAAATCATTCCGATTCATCACATCGGTAAAAGGGCCCGAGACGCTGGAATGGCTAGTAGCATGTACGAGTAGCATGTATCATGTATCATGTACAAGAGCTGGATAAGGCCATAACCACTGGAGGTATGGCTATGAATTGTGATAGCCCGTTTTCGCACGAACCTCCCGTGCCTTGCCGGACGATGATGTCTACTGTACCCCAGGATTGGCAATGCGGCTTGACATTTGGATCTGAGCCGTTTTTTTTTTTCATCTTTGCTTTTGGTTTCGGGCGTCTACACCGCTAGAGGTGATCCCAGATCTGTCATACTCCATAAATGCCCAAATGGATACTACATACATACTATGAGTAATGGCCCAATATACTCGTACCAAGGTTTGATTGCTTTACCGCCTATGAGAGTCTCCTTGAATTTCTCGCCTCTATCATACTTAGTATAATGCAAACGTCGCCTGAGGCGGATAATGCCCTGCAGGTGGCGGGACCCACACTCACATCATGACTTTCAATCTGATTCATACATGGCCTCTTCTCGCCGTGCACAGAGTGGCAAAGCCGTTTCTACTCGTACATAAAGTGATCTTCTGGAATTCTGGAACACTCCACTAGTACACAATTTACTCGTACTTGTAGTACTACTCCGAGTTCTTCAACTCAATTATGGTCATACTGAAGTACAAGTGTAACATATTCTATACTTGCATTGCTGTATGCATGGGAGAAGAAATGTCCAGACATTAAACAAGCCAAGGCGGAAAATATCTCCCACATTCACTGCTTTTTTTGCTTTTTGGTTTCCAAGCTGAGCGGAGATGAAAAGGCACTATCAGCTGGAATCCCTTAGTCCCAAGTTCCAAGCAATAGCCCCGGCAAAAGCAAAAAAGGTTAACCCGTCAGCAATGCCCGTCACATCACACTCCTATTTGCCTATTTGCCTTTCAATTACTTGGTCTGTCCAATGGGAGTGATAAACGCTAAATTAATTGTACATGTACGAGTGCAAGATTGGTTGATCTCCAGGGTCTACAGGTGCCGATGTGCGGCTAATAGAGTACGTGTACGGAGTACAAGTGATACCAATCAGATATCGGTAGTCTAGCACCTGTAGTCCATGGGTACGGATAGGGAGATGAGTAGAAGGTTCCCCCACAACTTCAGAACCTCAAAAATGGGTGGAACTTTAGAATCTACGCGAAAGTCCATGGTGCTGGGCTGGGCTTAAACTGAGTTGAGTTTAGTGGGAAATCTAGAACGTAATAGTCTTCGGACCCGACTGTGTTCCATGGTTCGAGGGAATTTCCGGTTGGGATTCTTTGTTGAGTTCGAGAATAGGCTGAACACGGAATAGTGTGCTTCTTTGTTCCGAGTGTTAGATGTTTGTTTTCGGTACATGACGTAGTTGCTAGGTAACGCCTTCTTGCCTAATGAGGGTAGAGACTCATTCTACAAGTATAGAGTACTACCTAATTAGGCAGAGATACTAAAGTTATGTTACTATCCAGGTAGATGCTCGGTTATTGTACTCATATGCATATTGACACGAAATCACCCTTAAACGCCCATACCGTTGTGTCCCCACTAGATAGTGCCATCCCATTTGGCTGTAGATTCAAAACTATCAAGGTTGAAGATGTCCCCAAAGCCCCGATCATTAGACAAAACTGCGCGCCAGGAAGGGGTGCTTGAAAGCCTCGCTCGGTGTGATCCGTTTCTCCGGGTTGAGAGCCAAGCACCGCTCGAGGAAGTCGATGAACGTGGCCAGATCATGGGCCTCGGCTTGACTGGTTCCAGGCGCACCTTTACCAAGCCGGGTCTTGAGGTCGCGAGGCGGCTTTTTGAAATCCATGGGCTTGGGCTCAATGGCACCCGTGAGAGGATTGAGCTGCCAGCTGGCAAAGATGTTGTCGTCGGTGAAGTGGTGAGACCGCAAACTTCCCCGACGCAAGAGCTTGGGTGGGTAGTTGCCGCGGGTTTCCAGAATCGCGCGCATCATTTGGTTGTTGTTGGCGCCGGCGAAGAGGAAATGACCCGCGTAGAGCTCATAGAGCGTACAGCCAATGGCCCAGACATCAACAGCAAAGTCGTAAGGAATCCCCAGCATGATTTCCGGGGCACGGTAGAACCGACTGGCAAGGTATGGCGCAGTGGGAACATCGTGGGCTGGGAACGCAGAACCCAGATCGCAAATCTTCAGCAAGCCACGCTGTTCATTGACGAGCATATTATCTGGTTTGAGATCGGCGTGGATCAAGTTACACTCGCGGAGAAGACTCAGAGCGAGGAACATCTGTTGACCGTAGACCCGGATTGCACGCAGGTTGAGGCCGATGTTCTTGCCAAACTTCTTGAGAAGTTCGCGCAAGTCCATGCTCAGGTTTTCGAATACCAGACACAGGTGACCTTTGTGCTCGAAGTGTCGAAGAAGCTTGATGATGTGCTTCTTGCCCTCAGGGTCGGTCTTTTGCAAAAGTTCCAAAACCTCAATCTCCTTCAAGCCTTCCTTGCGCATGGTATCATTATTTCGGATGATTTTGATGGCAACCATACGATCTGTTTCGGGGTCATGGGCACGCACAACGGCTGCGAAAGTTCCTCGGCCAAGTTTTTCCTGGACATGATACCGTTTATCCATCAATTCTCCAAGTCGAATGTTGTAGTAACCTTGAGAATCGTCCCACTCATCCACCATTTCGGCAATTTCCTTACCCCTGGGATCGGCCGCAGCAGGACGCGATGGCCGGGGCTGATCATTTTCTTCGGCAAACATATCGTCGTCGTCGGCAAACATATCAAGGGTATCGTTATCCTCCAGGGGTTGTGCTTGTGGCCCAACAGGAGGAGGATGAGCAGTATCGAGTTCGTCATATGCAGCAGAAGGGATATCGCTCTTCTCAATTTGGACATTGGTATGCTTCTGCACTTCCTCTTTCAAGTCAATCGCTGGAGAATCGTTAACAGCAGATTGCTCATGGTGAGCGGCGTCCACAGAAGGACTGGCATCAGGCAAATCGGTGTCTTGACCGATATTTGAACCAGGGCGGAGCTCCCCAGGCTGTTGAGAGGGTAGCTCTTGGGAGGAATCTGGGGTTGAAAAGTCAGGCTTAAAGCAACTCAAAGAGATATGCTCAAACATACCGGATGTCTCCTTGACGATTGGCTCAGTGACAGGCGTGGAAGCTTGCGTCTCGCTCTCTGTGGCTTGGCTTCGGTACTTTGCCCGAATCGCTTCACGTCGCTTTCGGCGAGCCTCGAGGGCATCGGCTTCATTAACTGGCTCGGCGACCTCCGGCGCTGGCGCAACCTCTGGATTAGGATGGAGTTCCCTGCAGCCCAAGTTAGTCAAGTGAATTTCAATTATTACAGAAAAGGGGACCATACTCATTAGAGACGTAAGGCTGCTGGGAAGAAGCTTGAACCTGGTTCTCTCTTTTTTCAGCACCGAGTTTGGATTCTGGAGCAGAGGCCTTTGCTCGTTCGCTCACTACTTTTTCAGTGGGCTTGTGTCTTCCATCTGTCGAGGGTCTGGCATTATCCACCTTCGAATCATGCTCGTCACCTGAGTATCTCCTGGGCTTTCTCGGCTCACGATAAGGGGAGCGACTGCGGGTGCGCTGCCGCTTATCTCTGCGTGGTTCATGGTCGTCGCTGTACCGTAGTGCTCCGCCATAGGGTGCCTCGCGATCATAGTCGTGGTATGACCTCATCCGACGGCTTTGGGTAGCTTCGTCATGCCGATCGGGATTGGACCTGTAACGCTGCGAGGGCTCGTGTCGCGAGTACCGATTTTCGTGGTCATGGGAATCACCGTGTCGGCGCTTGTGACCTTTGTTTTCCCGGTACGGGGAGCGAGAGCGGGATCTCGATCGGGACTTCCGTGAACTCCAATGAGGCGAGCGATGGCCATCGAATGATACGGGAGATCTCGGGGCCAGTGGGCTAGCTCTGGGGGGACGGTCAACTTTGGTGCCATTCAAGGGAGGTTTTGACGCAGTTGCCTTCGTCTCTAGGCCTGGCTCAACGATCTCACCCTCAGATGGGAGCGATGGGGATCGCGACCGGGGATGCGACATGTTGCGGGGTTTCAACAATACGCGTGGATAGTATATTTGCTTTTTCACTTCAATCGGCCTTTGGGGAGGCTGAGAGATGAATGTGCAGTTAGCAAAAGCTCCAGTGACAACCAAGTCTACTTTGGGGTTCGTGAAAGTCCAACCGGCTGAAAAAGGCCTGCCTTCACACCAAGAGCCTCGAAGTGATTAGACTTCAATGTGCATAGCAAGTTTAAACAAGGTTGATGAAATGGTCGATTCCCACAAGATCTGAGAAGGGACCGAGGATAGCAGATGGAAACGGATGAAGATCCATCGCGAGTGACCGATAGAGGTCGAGATAGGACGGTCTTGGCGCTAATCTGGATACAGTAGGCGGTGTAGGATCGGCATGTATAATGCACATGTGATTGGCTGCAAGGTACACATTTCCCCGTGAAAGGTAGTACATATAATACCTGTCAAGTCCTCAAGGGGCCTTGCGATTTGAGCGGATATGTGGCGATTCAAATTTCAGGCTGAATCATGACATCTACAAGTAGACATCGACTGTGGAATACGCAGCATAGAAACAAGTCCATTTAGCGTTCCATATTCTGCCAGGCGGTCAGCGCGCATCCCCTCTGTATGCAACGCCCCTCCATCTTTTTTTTTCCGTCAACACAGTTAAGCCACTCCACTTTCGCTTTCGTTTTCCTTTTCAGTCCGTTCTCACGGTTATCAACTATTCAAAATGGGTGGTCAAGGCAGAGAAGGTGCGCTCATTCCTGGATGACATGGGAGGAAAAACTTTCACGCTAACACAATCATCCCACAGGTGGCAAGGTCAAGCCTTTGAAGGCCGCCAAGAAGGACAAGAAGGAGCTCGATGAGGATGATCTTGCTCACCAGGCCAAGCTCAAGGCTGGTATGTCTGAATCCTAGCAGAATCCTCTCCGATACTGACCTTCCCAGATGCCAAGGCCAAGAAGGACATGATGGACGCAGCCAAGGGCAAGAAGGGACCCCTCAACACCGGCCAGCAGGGTATCAAGAAGTCTGGAAAGAAATAAACGCACATTCTGGACCCGCCACAATTACGCAATGAGCCTGATATCCGAACCGAGTTCATTCTGACGACCTACACGAGCCATGTTCAGCGAGAGGATGGTGAATCTGTGGTCCATCATTCATCTTGGGCATTTGTATAGCTTGAGCCCCCAATACCAACTTCGCGCTTGCATTGAAAGTAAAGATTTGGAAGTTGAATTACATAAATGTAGAGATAAATGACGCTGATACGAAAACATGAATCACCACATGGATCTCGAACAAAAGGGTATCATCCTTGCAAGGTACGCAGTAGGGATCAAACGCTCAAAACACCCTGATATCGCAAAACAAGCACACCTGCTTTGAACATAGACCAATGCCAAAACAGTAAATCAGATATGATCAAGGTCAGGGTCATCTGTGCAAAGCGCAAAAAAAAAAAGTTCACATCCAACCATTAACTGGTGACACGCTTGACCCAAAGATTATTTCCATCGCCGGCGTTCTCCCTCTCGTCCAGGCGTCGCCAAGCCCGGGCAATCTTCATGCCAAGATCATGCTCTTCCTTCTTGATGTCGGCGATCTCATTCTCCATGCTTTTGACACTCTTCTGAACTTCAGCCTTAGCAGCTGAGTCGTACACAACGATCGAGTTGGGTTGGAAGACTTTCATCAACTCAATAATGACAGTCTCCAGATTGAATCGACGCTGGGCCAGTTCATTCTTTTTGGCCTCCATGGCCTCAATACGACCCTGGGCATCCATCGGTTCAGACGGAGCCGGGGGAGGCTGAACCGGCAACTGTTTCACCTGCTCTGCTACCTGAGATGGAGTAGGTTTTCGAAGAGGTTTATTGACATCGGGCTTTTTCGAGATTGGTAAGCCCACAGGAGCAATGGGACGTCGTCGGTCCATGATCGAGCTAGTGGACAAATTATCCGTAGACCTGTTATCGAATTGGAAGCTTTCCCGTGGACTTGGGTTCAAGCTGTTGGGCTCTGTATCACAGGTGGTCGCGCTGAATCGACTGGCAGGCTCGTCTGGGAGCATCATGCTTGCAACCTCCTCGTCGAATTGGAATTCCGGGGTATCTTCCCGTGGGAGAGTCGGCGCGCCTGTGGTTGTCGGTCTTGCGCGGTGTGAGGCCGGACCCCCGGAGCTAATTGTGGTCACGGTTGTAGGGACGAAAGAGAGGTTGCCCAGCTGGGGACTCGCGTCTGAGGCGATGCGTCTGGAGGAATGTTGTTCTGGGAATCCACGTGATGACGATCGACTTCTATAAGAGGCCTCCTTGGGGAGATCTTCCGCCTTGGAAATACTGCTGATGCGGTTCCGGGCCGCGAAGATCTTTTTCTTGGGGTTGAGTTGTTTTAGTAAACTCGATGAATGCGAGGAAGTCGGTTTGTGAAGCGGCACATTGCGGGGGTTCACTTGATTGATGCGCCCAAAGTCATCTGTGGCCGTTTCGCCAGAGAAATCATCCCACCGCGTTGGCTTACCCGAAATAAATCGTCTGGGCTCGTGGACGGGCTGGAATTGAGTTTGAGAGTGGGTGTCAACATGGGAGTCCCTGTAAACCGGACTGGGCGATGAAGTTGCCCGGGACTCGTTGCGTGGGTAGTGAGGTGGCTCTCCCTCCACGGGTGACACACAATAGCTACTTTGACTGTCTCGCCTGTCCTTTTCTGGGGTTGGCGAGCCCACTGGTGAGACGTCTGTGTTTCTCATGGTCGAATCATGTCTTGGCTCAGGCTGCAAAGAGGCGCGCGAATCACTGAGATCAAGTTAGTATGTTACACGGGGATATGATGGGAGACCAACTTGGGCAAAGACGGCAAAGTTTTGTGATTCTGATGTCCAGGTTGTGTCGGGGCCCATGTGGGGTTGCTAGTCGACCGAGGCCCTTTAAAGGGTCTTTTGGAGAACATGTCGGGTTCTTGCAGAGAGCAGCTCAGGCAGAAACAGGCAAACCGCCAAACAGGTGAAACAGATCAAGTAAATGACTGCAAATCAAGGCCCCGCGAAAGGAGAGTGACAAATTAATTTGGAGCCCAAGGATTTCCTTGTTTCGGACAGCGGATATAGGGCAGAAATGCTTTACCAAATCAATAAATAGAACCTTGGAAACAATAGCAGTAACAGGACTTCAGGAGTAAGAAGTGATAGAGTGTCAAATGGAGTGTCAAATGTCCAAACAAGCAAGAAACAAGAAAACAGAAACAAGAAATACTAGAAATGAAATTAGTAAATGAGTTGGGGGCTAATTGAAACCGCAAAGGACCGGGCGTTTTAAGTCTGGACCCTCGAAGGGATCAATTTGGCTGAAAGGAGCTACAAAGCCGTTAGTAAATATAGAAACATGTATAATTAGTTATATAAAATATAATTAGTTAAGTACATAAGAATACCCATCAAATATATTTAGTTAAGTACTCAAGAGTTAAGTACTCAAGTATAAAATGTAGAGAACCAAACAGAATCACGTGGACGTCATCCCGACATTCCGAACCTCCGCTTCTTCCTCTTCTACTTGTATCTATAGATAGACAAAGTCCACAATGGCTGGTGAGTTCCAACTCCAACATGAGCTGACAACGCTAACCAAACAGACACACCCCAAGCCGAAGTGTTCGTATCCTCCCACAGCCCCCCAACACAGCTAACCAAACGAGCAGGATGACCATCGCCACGCCAATCAACTTCATCCTCGGCTCCCTATTCATAGTGCTACTATACTGGCACTTTCGCCCCAAGGCACCAATCGACCTCCCCCGCGGCCCCCCACCAACCGTCTTCAAAACCTACACCCCCAAGACCCTAATCGAATTCAATGGCGAAGACAACCGTCCCGTCTATCTAGCCGTGCGGGGCCGCATCTTCGACGTTTCCCCCGGCAGGAACTTCTACGGACCCGTACGTAGATCGCATAGCGAGAGTAGCGGGAATGGTAAGCTGACGAGAATAGGGCGGACCGTACGAGAACTTCGCTGGCCGGGATGCCTCGCGTGGTCTGGCGCACCAGAGTTTCGATGAGGATATGCTCACTAAGGACCTTGGTGCGCCGTTGGATGATCTGAAGGATTTGGATGCGGAGCAGTTGGAGAACTTGCAGTCGTGGGAAGATAGGTTCTCTGAGAAGTATCTTGTTGTGGGCAAGTTGGTGGCGGTGGGGGATGAGGCCTCTGCATGAACGGCTTTCGGCTGGATCATGAAACGACTGATGTCTAGCGAATTGGGTAGTTTCTAAAGTTGGTACTTATGCAAAAAAAAAACAGCCCTGGAGTTACTTATGTATGGGGCTGAGTAGCTATTGGGTGGTTACTCTCGCTTTACGAGTATATGTTTGTAGGCGGTTCAAATTACTATTCCATTGAGAACCTAGTATTGACAAGCCGAACCCCAAAGACGCATCCAAAGCAAAAAAATCATAATCGTCGTGACTTAGATTATCACAAAACAACCCCATTATCAACTTTGATTAACAAATGTTTTTTTTTTTTTTTTCTTTCCGAGGTCACAGTTCACCACGCAGTCTCTCGGTTTTCTCTGAGACCTTGTCCTGGACCTTCTCGGCAGCATCGGAGCCCTGGGCCCGTCCGCTAGCAGCACCAACCTTGAGCTGCTCGACAGCCCAGTGCAAGGTATCCACAATTCGGGCGTAGATGGTGTCTTGCGGGTTGGTGGTGCCGTACTTGAAGTACTGGGCGTTGCGGCGAGCGGCAGCGCGGAGCTCGTTGATGCTGGAACCTTGGTAGGTAGGGATGCCGTAGTTGTCAAGGTATCTCTTGAGTTCTGACTGCGACCATTGATCGAAGGTGGCGTCCTTTGCGGAACCAGTTGCTTGAGCGAGAGAGGCAGTTGCGGATGCGTACTGTTCGCCACCAGCCTTGGACGCCTTGGCGTATGAATCTTCGGCGTTTTTAATGAGCTCTTCGCGCGAGGCGTCGAGCTTCTTGGCTGCCTTGTTGTTCATTGCAGACAGGTATTTGCTAGATCAGTCAGCTAGAAACGAGGAATTTGTGCGGTATCTATGCTTACACTAGGTGCTCCTTGTCCCAGGTATCGAAGTTATACTGGTTCCATCCACCAGCAGCCTTGTGGGCATTGGCGCGAACCAGTGCGATCAGTTGATCACGCTTTCCATTCTGTGGAATGGGAACACTGCGAGCATCAAGGAAAGCCTTCAGGCGAGAGTCAGACCAGCCGTTCAAAGCAGTCTCGAAACCATCCGCCGCCTTGAGCTTAGCATCATCGGTAGCGCGAGCATACTGGTTTCCAGCCTTGGTAGTAGCGGCACCAAACGCATCCTGTGCTGCGCCAGCCGCACTAGAAGCCTGGTTAGAAAGATTGTAGCGGTGCTTGCGAGCCAGGGCAATGAGTTCATTGCGCTTGGAGCCTTGAGGCACCTTGACGTCATGTTCGTCGAGGAATTCCTTCAGCTTGGAATCAGACCAGGCATTGAAAAGTTCCTCACTCAAAGACTCCTTGGCGGCCTCAGCCTCAGCTGATGCAGATGCCGCAATACTGCGGGCCTGCAAGCTGACAATGCGGGAGTTTCGGCGCACCGACGCAATCAGCTTATCACGAGTGGAAGGCTGAGGAGCAGGCCATCCACGCTCGTCCAGCCACGCCTTGAGATCGGAATCCGACCAGTTCTCATATACCCAGTCTCCGGGGTAAGAAGCCGCCTCGCCGACCTTGGTGGCGATGTTCTCGTAACTCTCGCGTGCGGTTTTGATCAGTACATCGCGCTTGCGAGGCTGGGGGGCTGGGATGCCGTGGCGATCCAGGAAGGCTTTCAACTGGGTGTCAGACCAGCTATTTCAGTCAGCACAGATTCTGTAGTGTGGTCCATGGGCATCATACGTATCAAAGATCCACTCCTTGGCATGATGGATCTGGTCATTGGCTTGGTCGGCAATGTGCCCCAGGGGCTTCTGCACCTTTGTGTCCCAGTTGGTCTTGACCAAGTTTTCTAGGTCCCGGCGGTCGGCAGGGCTGGGGTGGGGGATATCTTTATCATTCGTCAATACCCGGGCACATCTGAAGAAGCTATATTCCATACCGTGATCAGACAGCCATCTCTCTAGCTCTGTCTCGTGCCATTTATTGTACACTGGTAGAATCGTTAGCTTGAGACTTCAGGAATGATGAATTATGTCTCGTCCACGTACCAGCCTTGCTCCACCAGCTCGAAGCAGCTACTGCCTCAGTGGAAGCCAAGAAGAAGATGAGGCCTGTGGCCAGATTCAACTTCATTTTGCTTTGATTAAATGATATGTATGATGATGTTGTCCAGTAGGAGAATTGCACTGTTTAAATAGAAAGAGAAGATGAAGGGCAAACAAAAAGCAGGGACAGGACTATGATTGCGCAGTGACGTAGTTGGGGAATTTGCCAGTAAAAATGCATGATTCATTAACTTGTATTTCTTGTATTGATCTCTTCAATATTTGAATACATATCGTATATATTCTCTATCATATCTACAGTATACTATAACCAAGGTAATAAGTATAGAGTATAGAGTATAGAAGTATAGAAGTATAGAAGTATATATAGTATAGAAGAGCCTAAGGTAGCCTAAGGTAGATCCGACGTCATTCAGGCATCCAGGCAGCATTCTGTTTATGCGGGGAGATCTTCGACCTCTCCTTGTCTGTTTGTCTACATTGTCTACATTGTCTACACCTCAACCTTGACTCTGGAGTCTTTGGCTTGGATGTACGGATAAGACCATACCGTCCCAACTATGGTCCCCTTGACACCTTATTGCCATGAGCTGGCCTCACCAGGCATCTTCCAAACCGTTCTCTCCGTGTATGTGTCCCAACACCCCTGAAATGTGCCCAACTAACTAGCAACAGTCTAATCATCTTCGGCATCCTGGTATCATATCTCCCACAACACATCCGAATAATCACCCGCCGAAGCTCCTTCGGAATATCCCCATATTTCGTCCTCCTCGGCGTCACATCAGGCACCTCGGCCTTTGCAAACATCCTCGTCTTCCCATCCACCGCCCAAGATGTAGCCTGCTGCCAGGAGATCAGTGGAATAGCATGCTTCGCAGGCCTACTCGGCATCGTCCAAATGGCCACGCAGTGGCTCTGTTTCTTTTCAATGTAAGCACAACACTCCCAATAATCTACTTCAAAGCCTAACACCACCCAGCCTCTTATTATTCGTAATCTATTTCCCACGAGCAACCTCCCCAACAGACCCCATCAGCGCTGTCTCCACATCATCCAGCGCACCTACATACCGCACCGCCCTAGTCGTGACAGGAATCTGCCTACTACACGCCCTGGCAACAATCATCATCTCGATTGCATTCGAGCTCCGCCAGCCAGCCGCTATACCAGCCTGGGCAAACTTCCTCGGCATCCTATCTGCCATTCTCGCCTCCATCCAATACCTCCCTCAGATCTATACTACGTTCCGACTCCAATGCGTCGGCAGCTTGAGTATTCCCATGATGTGCATCCAAACACCAGGGAGTCTCGTCTGGGCCGCGAGTTTGGCAGCGCGGAAGGGGTGGAGTGGGTGGAGTATCTGGGGAGTATTGGTTGTCACAGCCTGTTTGCAGGGGACGTTGTTGACGATGGCGATCTACTTTGAGTACTTTGGGCCTAATAATAAAGGCGAGGCTGGGCGTGCTGATCTGGATGCTCCGAATGGGTCTGGTATTGAAGGGACCGGGACCGGGACACATCCCCAGCCATTGCCTGATCGACCCTCTGAGGAAACACCGTTGCTTCAGAGCCAGTGATTTGTGGAGGATCTGGTGTGTAGTTTTTGAGATAGATGTCGTATCTTACACAATTCTAGATTGATCGAATCCAAAAGAATTCATTCCAATACCGCTCTCACGGTGTTGGATCACTGATATTTAACATGGTCCCCGGGATCTTCTGTTCAAACAGTACATCCAACTATCATCGCATCGTGATTTTAGTTTTGGCCTCAAAACTTAGGCGCTGTAGATCAGACGGAAGACGTCGTTGAGCACGAAGTAGCTGCCACCCTCGGGCTGCAGCTTGAAGAGCTGGGAGTAGTTCATGGGCTTCTGCTCCTCGTCGACCTGCAGATTGAATTAGCCGGGGAACAAAGAAAAGGATGTATGCAGACATACAAGGAGAGCACCGGTCACCAGGACGATGATGCCGTTGTCGCTGGAGGGCTGAGCATCGAAGGTAGCAATCTGGTGCTGAACCTTCTGGAAAGGAAGAGACTGTGTTTAGATATTAGTATTTGAGGGTGCTGCAGGTTATGGCCTCGAGAATGGGTTGCGGTTAACATACGCCGAGCTTCTCAACAATGGCACCGGTACCCTGAACGGAGGTAGTCTCGAAAGTGAGCATGGAGTGATCACGCTGTTGGAAGTCCAGGTTAGTCCATTGCACGGAATTTTGATCGCAACCATAAGAGCGGGGCTTACGTAGAGACCAGCCAGACCTTCACGGTTGGTGTCGAAGGTCTGGTAGTAGAAGGTCACAAACTGCTCTGTTGAACAAATTAATAATCTTCCTATGCATGATGCATGTCATCCAATTTATGAGGGGTTCGATCATGTCCGCATTGTGGATAAATGGGCGCGTATCTGGATCGGCGGGGTGGATCAGGGAAGTAGAAACGTACGGGCGATCTCGTTGAAGCCTGGAGAAGAGGATCCTGTTGTAAGTACTTGTTTTTTTCATCTTTCCATTCAAGGGTTTGCTTGACTCTCTTGTCGCTCCAGCGACTTTGCGCAACACAGTGACGCTCTGCGAAGCCGCGAGAAACACCCCAGGATAAAAGATAACAGGATAGTATCACTTACCACTCATTTTGAAGGTAGTTCTGAGGAATGGGGTAAAAGGGAAGAAGTTGAAGAGTGAAGAGTTGAGGTATTTGTTGATGAGGGGTTGTGGGGCAGGAAATGTTCTGCCGCTGATGCCTGATTCTGCCTGATCTGAAGCTGAAATTAGAAGAAGTTGAAGATCTACTCGTACTTCGATGGGACTAAAGACTATTTGTATGTTTTCCTTCATATTCGTTGTCATTCATTATCTTTCAACATACTCTTTACAATTACAGTATTCTCTCATTCCGAATCAGAGGCAAACATGTCCTCCGCCTTGGGCCGCGGCTTGCGTCGACGTGTTTCAGGGGTCTGCTGCCCAGCTGAACCTTCAGGGTTGTCGGATGATTGAGCTGGGTGAGGTGGTTGGGTAGGCGCAGCTTCCTGGCCCGCTGGCAGCTGGGCTTTCTCCACGGGCTTCCTTCCTTCATCGGTTTCCATTTCATGATCACTATCTGCCATGGGCACACCGTCAATGTCACTCAGTGATTCGTCCTCGGTCAGATTGGGCTGAGCCTTTGCCAATTTGTCATCAAGGCGAGGGGCGTTAGACTGGCCTGCCGACCCATCTTCATCAACTGTCTTCCAACGGCTCTTGCTCTTGGCAAATGCCGCGGCAGACTTCTCAGCATCGGCCTTCTCTTGCTCCTGGCGTGTTTCGCTCTCGGTGAGAGGTGGTTTCTCGAGGACCTGGGTGAAATGTTCCTGGTTCGGTTGAGTGAAACAGTTCATGCCCTCCCAGCGGTTGAGGAGCCACCCAACACTATCCTTCCACTTCTGTGCCTTCATCCGTCCCCAGTTGAGGTCCTTGTCAAGTCGACCAAGGTGCTCAAAAACATTGTGTGCGCGGAAGGCATTTTCAAACAGATGTCGGTAGCGCCAAGAGTGTCGGACGCCACTGTTGCTTGCAGCAGAGAGGATATCAGAAATGACATAAAGACCCACAAGCTTTGCACCAGACGGATCGATTGCTTTTTTCAATGCAAGCTGGTCTTTCTCTTCAGTGGTCATGTCAGACTGTTCCTTCGATGAGGCGAGACTCAGTTCAGCTTCACGGTCTGGGTTGGCACTAGTGTACACCAGAGGTTTTAGGACATTCAGCACAATCAACTGCACAACCTCGTCTGCGCCTCTTTCAACGTGCTCCATGGCAAATGCTGTTAGGCGTGCAACGTCACCTCGTCGAAGCGTTGCATGGTGAGTCGGAAGTCGTGCAAGAAGGTGAGTCAACTTTGCCTTCTTCAGAGGGTTCAAGTAGCCACCACTGCCATTTTGTCCATCAGACCCCTCTGGGGGTGCTCCACTGCGATTGCGATGTTCATCCTCCCTATCTGAGTTTTCTTCATCAGAGGAGTTGTAATCTTCATCCGAGACGAATTCTTCAAGGCGAGTAACATATTCGAATTTGAGATCGTGTTCCGGAGGCAGCCAGGTTGGACCACCTTCAAATATGACTGCGGGCTGACGGGCCTTGCGCTTGTCGCCTGTGGGGTTTGTGATGACTTGCCATAATTTCCAGCGGTAGTAGACACCCGCGGTAGACCTTGCATCCCAGAGCCAGGCCCACTTTTCGTCCTTTTCAACGTCTGGTCGACTCATCAACAACGCCTCGAACTCTGGGCCATGGTTCAACAAATGCTCCAGCGTTAGGTGAATGGTTCTCAGTTGAGTGATATCAGATGGTATTTTTACTTCCACCACATAAGTTGGGCCAGCTTTGCCGGCATTAGGTCCGTAGGATGTGGGCGGTGCAATGCCTCCATGGTGTAATCCGGGTGGGGGAGCGCGACCCAATCCCCCGCTAGTGTTGGGTTGGACAAGCTTGGCGCCAAATGGAAGAAGGGGGGTGGATGAGAGGCCCACAGGCAAAGACATGTTTGAGGATATGGCGGCAGAGGAAAGGTGCCGGGCGATGTTTAGGTAGTAGCCCCAACCAATGTACTTGTTTTGGAGGGTGCTTACGGTGGAGTCGATGTCAGACGCAGCTGTGTCGCTGGCAAGAATCACGATGGCGGCAGATGACCGCTTCTGTGTTGGAGCCTGAATAGGTGGTTGTACAATTTTAACATCATCCACGGTCAGGATAGGAGGAATCATAGCTTTGATGGCCGACGGAGATGTCCCAGGTGGAAGCGACCCTAGGTACAGAGTGGGCTTGGCTGCAGCTCTCTCTGCCTCCTCAGCGGCCCTCTCAGCCCCGGTATCTCCGAATGCTGGAATTCCTCCGGTAGACATAGTGGCGTTCTCGGGCCGGTGTTGATCGCGATGCGAAGCGGGGAAGAAACCGTCGTGGGGACGTTTGCGGGAAAGTGATGGGGGTGGGGGGCCTAATGTGCCTGGACCACTGTTTCGTGATGAAGACCCTGTAAAGTGTCGTTTGGAAGGCGCGCCGAATCCACCACCCCTACCCCCATGTGTGCTCAACCGTCCATCGGAGTGCGAAGGCCCAGCCGGAGCCTCATCATCGAATGATTTCACAAAATCTTCTAGCGCGGCGGCATTTTCAGCTTGCTCCCGGATGCGCTTTGCTTCAGCTTCAGCTTTCTGGCGCTCAAATAGCGATTTCTTCGGAAGCGCTGATAGTTTGGCCGAAACATCGGGGAAGCTCTTCCCCTTCGACTCGTCGGGCATATTAGACCCCTGCTGCTAACGCAGCTCAGATAGCGAGGCTCAAACAAATACAAAGCAGTGCCTTCAGAGCGGTGTGGCAAGGCGTTGATTTGAGAAGTGTCCCATGTCTACGGAGGAGAGCTGTGCTCGAGCTGATCCAATCTACGATACCATGGAGGCGGTGATGAAGGCGGTGACGTTGGTTCTCCACAATTAGCGCCGGAGGCTTCTTCGGAATAATCTTTCGCCGATCGGATAATATATTCACCGGCTGTAGGCGGTGACGTGGGCTCTATACGACCATGTTCTCCCCCCCGAGTATCGTCAATTGACATGTCTACTTCGTCACTGTACCTGATCTTTAACGTCTTCTCTCTCAAGATGCCATGATTTCGCTTGCTCTGGCAATGGGCAAAATTTTGGTGCTTCAGAAAGCCTAATTGACCAAGTATGCCATGGCATAACTAACCAGTCTTGATATCCCAGTACAGAGCAAATATCCGAGGCTGATTTAGAAATTTTGCAAGAAATCAGAGAAGAGAAATCGGTGAAGCGGGTCTCCAAGGAAAGTCAAGCTTCATCTGATACTGGATCATTGCGACAAAAAGAGCCAAAGACCCGATCTTGTTGAAAAAGGACTTCAACACCATACAAAATTGAAACAGCACTGAGCCTGCCCCTGGTCTCTGCTAGCGAAGAAATGTTAGACAACACTGTTCTTTTCACCAATAGGGCGCCTTTTGTGTTGGCCTTTGCGGTACGTGTCTTGATGTACACTATGCCTGAACAGCTACTATCAGGCCGACTGAGTCTTTCCTGGCTGTTCTCTCTCTAATAGCTGAAAAAAGACTGCTCCTCTGAGAATCGAGGATGAAACGACCGCAGAACACGAAGGCCTGGGTGAAGGTCATCCCACAGTCAAGGTTCTTGGTCCGACCGAACTTATGTTGAAAAGATGGGATTATAATCCAACAGAAGGAGCACCAGTAACGGAAAATACGTTCAGACATACAGCTCAGACTTCTGATGGGGATGATTCTCAGATGCCCCCGCTATAGGGCGTGGATCTGGAAGTACTTCGGGACCATGGCTCTAAATACAATACGCTTGGTGACAAACAGAGGACTGGAAGTGATCTCCCCATATTCAGACCTGAATCTGCCCCATCATGTTTGTATCGAGCATTCTCAAGGCCACCGGAAGAAAATAAAGCGTCATCCAAACAGAAAGCCGCGGCTGTTGTCGAAGATAAGAAGGGAGAATATCTTGGTCAGCGCTTACACGCGATTGACTTGGTCTGTCAGTCCCGGCTCCCGAGGCCAGAGAAAGAAGAAGTCGACAGGCGTGCTTGGTCGTGGTACGTTCGTGTGAGGCCTGATGTCCAGCATGGGGTACAAGGTTGGGGATTCCAGTCTTTGTGGCATTCATGGGATAGGGATTGGTTTTCCTAGGGCAACTACTCTAAATGATCCCATAAGTAGAAAACAAAGACCAAATCCAGTACAGGTTTTACTGTGGTCTAAGGGTAGCGATCCCCAGAAGTGGTCGACCTAGTAGTAGAAGGTGCACACCTTCCCAGCTAGATCCCATATCCGGGGATCTTACCCTCTAAGGCCATGGGTTTCCTAGAAGGAAGTCTGGGGTTCGACCCCAGCACTTCCTTTTTGCCCTTCTTTTCCTCACGGCGACGTCCACGGTCAGATTTGCCACACGGTGCAGGAGTTGCAGATGAGGATATCTGCCTTGGACAGGAGGATAATTGTAAGAAGTCCTGACTTCATACAAGGTCAATACGAATCCCTTGCGATACATTAGGGAACCTACGGTTTGCAGCCCGCAGACGCCTGAGGCGCTTCGCCTCTACCCTCTCTCCAATTACACCTCCTGAACATTGTGGAAGGTTTGAGAGAGTTATCTCACTATGAATCGTCGAGGTCTAGTCATAGTATAGTTAGCGGATCATCCTGTAGAAGAAAAGGGATCTTCCCAGACCCTTCTTCCTTCTGCAAGAATCAGTTTTGAATCATTTTCGTGTCGATCTTGCGAAACCCTACAGTATACACTCATAAATTCCAATCTGAATCAACTATGAATCTGTAGCGGATCACAGACGGACTGTTCGGGAATCCTTTCTTAATCTCCTGCCGGGCTGACAGGCCGTACGCCAGATACAATTCGATCATCGCAGGATGAACGGGAGCAGGAACGCACCCGAACCCAAGTTCAAGGAGGCCGCTGATAGTGCCTGTATGCGTAGTTTTGGCGTCGTCGGAGCGCCTGGGAATGATTTCGGAGCTGGGGGCTATATAGGTCCAGCTGGAACTGAGATGGTCGATCATCATGATCCGGGTTTTTCTTTGCCTTTCGCAAGCCTTTCGCAAGCCTTTCGCGAATAAAATGTTGAGAAAATGTAAAGAGTTGAGAAAGGCAAAGAAAAACCCCGATCACGATGATTGAGAATCTCAGTTCCAGCTGAGCCTACAAATTCCCCAGCTACAAAGTCATTCCCTGGCGCTCCAACGACGCCAAAATTACGCATACAGGCACCATCAGCGGCCTCCTTAACCGCCAACAAATCATGTTTCGTCTGAGTCCAATGGATAAACCCGATATCCCCAAGACGAAGCCGTAGAGTATCCTCCTCGTTATACTTATTCCAATCAACAGAGGCAGCATGAATACGAGGCCGGGGCACCGGATTCACCGTTGTTTGCCGAACGTATTCGAACGAAATCCTGATAACCAGCCTCTTCAAACTAAAAACTGTTAGCGAAACTCCAACGACCAACATACGAAACCCCAACGATTCGAATACCCCATACTCACACATTTGTTGCCGGTGTTGCCAATTTTGAATGCGCCAACATGCCGCCATGACCGGCGATGCCCGCGATCTAAGCACTATCATCCGGTGGGTAGGAACCTACCTTCTGGACCGCTTGGCCCAATCATGGTGCGGGTTTCTCATACCTGGTCTAGGATACTATCTGTCGTACAGCCCTCAACAATGCATTGCGAGACCTCGCCAAAACATTTAACCACGCCCATGTGAATTAAAGGCTTTAGCGTAATCTCGCAGTGCATTGTTGAGAGTTGTACGACAGATAGTATTCCAAACTGAATAGAAACATCCAGCAGGGTTGATCGGCCAGGCCGTCCAGAAAGTTTCCACCCAGCGAATGATAGTACTGAAATCGCATGCGTCTCTAGTTATGGCAGATATGGGTTCAACACAGAGGCCCCTCCCACCGTTCCAACGACCGCAGAGTACGGAATCCGCAATGGTTAACCTGCAGCCAACGTCAAAGCACGTCGCTGCGGGAGCGGGCGCCTTTGAGCTGCGGCGGAGACATGATATACACTATTGACGAAACAACGGCGCGGCATTCGCACGAAGATTGGGACCTGGCACAGCCATCGTGGATGCTTGAATTGAGGAATGCTGATGAATGCTACAAAACGACCTTCGATCCCTCGACCTATATACCACACGACACAAAGAAGCATCGTGCTACGGAAATAGATCTTTCGAGTCCCGACAGACGTCGAGGACAAAGAGAGGTCATCCGATCAGCATACGAAACACGCTAATTCTTTCAAACCCGAGGTCAAAAGATTTAGCCTCTGTTTGGTGGACAAAGAGAATTGCCACCCTTCCCTTCAGTATTTTCCCCTGTAAGCTGGGCTTGTTTAAGGGTTCAACGAGGTCGATTCACCACCGCTACCACCCTACTTCTTCAGGGTTCCACGACGGTCATCATGGCCACGGCGGGCACGACAAAAAACTTCTTTTTTCTTTTTCTTTCTCTGTTTTGATTTATTGGCAACCGCACCTGGTTTAAGCTGTTTGGATACATCGGTATATCCGGCTGAAGCACGGAATGGCATCCATCAATCCTCGACGGTCTTCACATTGGCCCTGCGTCAAGAAGGACCTGGGCCAAAAGGGGGCAAGTAAAATTATCTGACATTCCTGCTCTTCGGCGAGGGATTTGATACTGAGCAACCAATACTCTTTGCACCTCACAATGGATCGTGAGTTCCATCAAATACCGATGGGGTGCTACCTGAGATATTAGGGCCGAGGTGTAGGACTCCCAGGGTAGCTCTCTCTTTCTCTCCCTTCTTCGTCTTCCTCCTATACGAACATTTAGCCAATACAGAGTTGTCACCCTCGCCCTCTTAGTTTCGTCAAATTGAGAAAGGATACCCCACGATAAAGTTGGATCTACATCTGATCACCTTTTCTCCACATTTCAGCGTGCTAGTACTGATATACCGTATTTTCAATACCATACCATGTTTCCACTACGGATTTGGCGACACTGGCCTAACTGCTTCCGCGTATGCGTAATCATAGAACCAGACATCTCTCAACACAACTGTGTTCTTACCACTCTCATAATGAACACAACAGCAGAACAGATACTTGACATCGAAGATGCTCTTGTATCAGACGATAATCCAGCACGCGATGAATATACACTCGATTTCCAACGCTGCGCCAGATTGCACAACTACCTAGTCGCATATGCCTACATGGCCCGCAAAGAAACAAAGACGCTTGATCTCGACGCGCTGGCCAGCGAGTCATGGTTCTTCAACCAGCCAAGCGAAAATATTGAGGCTATCCGCGCTCGGCTTGATCCATCATTAAACTTATTCCTTGATTCGATCTACGACCCAGAGCCAGGATTCTTCTACTGGGTAAGTGGTCTTGAAATGAGACTTGCGGACGAGTGTTTTTTCGAAGACAACGACTTCGAGGATAAAGAGCGATTTGTGATCATTTATGACACAACCCCTGATCTAGGCTCTCACTGTGTTGGTGTTGTCTATGACCAACTGAATTATCGTGCCTCATTCCCATTGGCCATTGAGAATTCAGACAGCATCGAGCCTATTGATGAGCACTGGGATATGTGGTTTCCTCTAGAGACCATTCTTACCCATTGGATCCACATGCTTAGAATGGGAAAGATCACAGCCGATCCACGGAACTATGGAGAGTTGTCCAGTGAAGAAGAGAACTCGTGTCATCGGATTGATTTATGGTGTTGGCATCCATACTGTGCTGCTCAGATCGACAGCACGGTTGCTGCGATGGACCGCTACACGGACGCGATCGAATCACGCATGCAGTCTCTTTTACCGATATCCGGGAATAAGCCACTCTTTACCGATGCAGAGCTCGATGCGGCTTTGGTGCCGAGAAAGTGCTTTCTTCGCTCTTTTCTGACCCAAGTGAGGACTCCGCGGTTTAAACTCATCGCCCCCGGCCTGGAGATTCCCCACGACAAAGAAGCCTTCGCAGCGCGTCAGATATTTGATGCAGAAGGGCAGGGCAGAGACGTACCATCGCTGCTACTCTTTGCTTCGACAGATGATAGTCGTACGGCTGGATTCAACGAAGAAATCCATCGTTTGTTCTTTGGACCAAAAAATCAAGTGCCATTCAACGAAGGTGATCCTGTTCCCACGGGTTTATATAGTGCAGCCATCAATCGATTTGACTACGATTCTGAAGAGACAGGATTCCACCTTCTACTCCCATTCGCACTCCGGCCGAATCTTGCAGACGAAAATGGAGCCAGGCGGAGTGATGGATCCCTGGTGCCATCTGGCTCATGTACGCAGCTTTTCCAACACGGTGTTTTTCATCCGTTTGGCGGAGAGCACCGATTGCAGAGATTGCAGAGTCTGTTCGATCGATGGACTGAATTGATTGAAAGTGGCGTGTGGACTGTGGGCGATAACGGCGTTGAGGGAGGAATTGATATGTTCCGAAATGCAGATCATGGTGCTTGGGAGGATTACTGGATTCCGCCATCCTGGTGAGGTTGATTGGAACGGGAAAGAAGCATATAAAGGATGTGCAACAATCTGTGATTTAAACATGCTACCACCTTCACGCCTTAAGATCAGTGGAGACCAATGGCGTGGAGACCGACTCCAGCATAAACACTGATGTACCACCTTTCTGACAACTCTAGAAGGCTGAGGGTCCTAACTTTAGAAGGTGCCCAGTGTTCTAAAGTTGAGATTCATCAATTCATACCTTGAGAAAGCGGAGATTCTAAGGTTCACTATTACTCCCAAAGTTTCGATTTTCCATTCTTTTGATTCTCACTGCTTGAGCAATATCCTGTGTCCAGTACGGAGTACCAAGCCAGCGATAATTATTCATAGGGAAAGCCCTTAAAGCTTCTCTACTCTGATGTCCAGGTGTAGTCATGTCTTCCCCTAGCCATTGTCGCATTATTAGGCCTTCTCATACTTAAACACTATTAGGAGCTTACTGGTCTTCTAAGGCCACCCATACTTAAGTACCTAGCCCTGGAGGTAAGTATCAGTCAATTCCTTGTCTTCCAAGGCTCAGTATGCTATTCAAGGTTTTTCTGGTGTGGTATGTGTGCATATCGATTGATAATAAATGTGGAAATAATAGCACATTCAAGATATATTTTGGTGAAAACCATATCTGATACGCTATAAATACGAGTGGACCCAGGGGTTTCCCAGTGATCTTCGAGTTCATCTATGCGGAGAAGGCCTATCTATAAACTAAGAGCCCCCTTAGTCGATTGGAAAGACGACCGGAAAGACAATTGAAAGAAGATCCCATAACCCTGGAAGCCTGTTATCTGGGGAATAAGAAAGAACCTAATAAAGAAAAAAAAAACAGGTTGCAAAATTGGGCACGGGGAGTATCCGAGTCAAACATCCGGACAGCCGGCAAAGACATTACGAGTGAAAAGTGTTTTAAATAGAAGAATTCCAACTCAGCTATTTGTACAAAGTACAACCCAGAAGAAAAGTACTTACTCCGTACTTGAACTACTCTTTTAATAGAGGTGGCGAAGCCAGGTCCACAGCGGCAAAGGCCTAGTCGCAGTAGCGCATCGAGATGATCAGAGTAGAATTTCGAATTTCCAGAAAAGAAAAGAAAAATACAACATAATTAGGAAATGAAAGAAAAAAACAAATAATCAATCCCTAATGTAAAAAGTAAAACCGTGAACAGGCAAAAGGCCAAGAATTCGACTTGGTCCGAGTTTTTCTCTCAACTCGGCTCCAGATCCCCGTCACACTAAAGGTCTCAGACTCTCTCCCTTCCCAGTTTCCCCTCCCCATCTCACGCCATCACATCTCATCTCAACACGACTCCATATTCGATAATCTCTATATTGCTTGTGCTCTTGCTCTTGCTTCCGCGTCTTTGGTTCCTCTCGACTTTTCACCAGCGAACGGATTGAACGAACGAGGTGGCCCGACAGGGCTGCCAAACCGATAGAGAAAATGTCGGGTCGTATTTCATCAGAGCACTCTCGCTCGGCCTCACGATCATCAACACGAGCATCCCAAAGTGAATCCATGACTCGCCCCTCCGGTCGCAACTCTCGAGTCTCCAATCCCAACGTCTTCGCCGACGAATACTCGTTAGAACCCATTGAATCCAACCGGATCGAACGCCCCCATAGTCCATCTTCTATCGCCTCCTCTGCAACTCTCCGTGAAACAAATCCTAAAACCGTCAGCACCGCAACAACCGAGAATGAAAATCCATTTGGGGATGACGCCCGTGTGTCTTTTGATGAGCCGCATCGATCAAGCCTGCCCCAAAAGGGGCACTTCGCCAACAACCGGAACTCGACAACCTCTCTCGCCTCCACCCCTTCAATGATCCAACGAAACCAAAGCGTCTCTTCCCGTTTTTCGATTCCCCGTGCCCTCAGCCCCTACACCGGAGCCACCGGACCCAGCCATCCTTACGGTATGTATCCACAGGTGGGTGTCAGCCGGTCGCCTAGTGTAGGAAGTACGTCGACAATACGTCCAGTGGAACGCCCGATTGAGGAATCAACCGGACCTCAACATCCGTATGCCATGTACTCGCAGAATGTCGTTGAGGAAGGAATGGATGATGATATCATCCCGGTCGGATTCCCCGGTCATAACCCACCGTATCAACCGCCCGCTGGCCGCCAGGATGAGGATGTGGGTGATATCATTGGACCAGATGGTCACACAGAACCGCTACCCCCTTATTCACGATACCCAACTGGCGTCATCCCCAAGCCCCCCGGTGCCGAGGCCGAGACGATGGCCGATCTCAACACTCCACCAGAAGAACATCGCCTCAACAACGAAAGCCCAAGAGCGCTCCCGGTTTCAGAAACATCCTCAAGGGCATTGGTACCTGAGCAATCTGCTGGCGGAAACGATGATCGAAACGAGGAGCAAAGGCCTGCGGCGACCACAGGCATCATGGCATTCGAGGAAAAGCTCAAGCGGAAGGGCAAACAGACTGCGTGCTGTGGTCTCCCCGTGTGGACATTAGTTCTCATCGCGACGGTGATGCTCATTGGAGGATGTATTGGAGGCGTTATCGGTGGTGTCTTGGGCACAAAGAGAGCCGCCGAGGCTGCGAAGGAAGACCAAGAGGCCCAGAAGTCACACGGTCCGCCGATTGTGACGGTCACTGCGTCTGCCCAGATGGATGCATCCATGATATCCACTCCCACTAACATCAAGAGCATCCCTACCGGCAGCTACATGCTTCCAGCTAGTTACCAGAACGGCTCGGGGCTTTGTGTGGATGAATCAGATTACGGCAAACCCTGGAAGTGTCAACAAACACCCAGTGAATTCGAAATCTTTGTTGGGGAATCACGAGGACATCATTCCATCGTCTTTGATTATGGTGGTCCGACACCTACCTTCACATATGGCGCTCAGGCACCTTACTGGTCCACTTCCCCCACACAGGCCCTCAGCATGGCTGTTGATACCACGGACCTTGGAATGGGCCCGGCTCTTTTCTTCATCTCGGCTTTCGACAAATTGGTTATTGTCCCAGAGAACGATCTGAGTACTAGTAGTATTACCAAGCGCAACTGGGTCGAAGATGGGTGGGCACAAGCAGAGGCCTATAAGAACTTCAAGCAAACTGCCTCCGTTGGTGACAAGCCCTGGTTCTGCTGGTGGAACAACACAATGATGGAGTTCTTCATGTATGTCAATCAGTCAACCTCGGCGTCTGCAAGCACCGCCGCATCTGTCGACAGCAACATGGCGGCAAGCACAGCTGGAGTGCAATCTAACTCCAAGCGCGGCTCCATCGGCAATTACCCTCGACGGATCAAGATGGAGGAGCGTCGTGACGACCCTAGACGTGAAACTCCCTACTGCCAACAGATGCAGATTCGCAATGACGGTGGTCTAGCACTCCTTTCTGGCAAGCTGATCAACATTAAGGAAAATGAACCCACGCCTACAACCACCTACACCAATTACAACGGCGGCACCGCTCAGACATACACCGCACAGGCATCTTATGCCAGTGCGTGCTTCTGCAAGTCCCTGACAGACTAGTCGGGCCACCTCATCCAAAGCAAAATCCTTTATTCATTGTGGTCCCTCTTGGTACGGACTTTGGCGTTGGCGTTAGATAGGCCGTGGAACTGGCCTTGAGCTCATGTGCACATGATCGTCTTCCTTCTTGACTGTGTGATTTTACCCTCTCTCCCGCAAGTTACTGTCCTTGTGGGATGTTTCTCTTCTCGCATTATCCGTGACAATGCTTTCCCCCCATTGTTCCTTTTTTTTTCGCCCACCTCTGCGGTATGATATGATTCTCATCTTATGCGAGTTTTCTTGATCCCTTTGGGTCATATATTCGGTCTCTCTCTTGTCGTGTTCTTCCTGATTTTGTTCACTCTGGCGCACATTGGATTGGTACGGCTCGGGTATTGCGATGTATCTGATTACATATTGTTCTCGTTTGTTTTCCCCTGGAATTCCGGGTTGAAATTCATCTTGCCTTGGCATTTGATCGGGCCGCTGGTCTCTTGACATCTACCGGGTCACTATATGCAAGATCTATATCTACATTGGTACTTGAGTTTTCCTTTCTGTAAGATGTACTCACTCAGAAATTGTGTGTCACTGTAGTATGTAGGGTGGCTTCCAAGTTTCCAAGATTCAATGAGGATGGACTAGTCTAAATTTGGTCACGTCATATACCATCCACCCAGTTGTATATATTGAAGACTTCCAACGTTGGAATGTTATAGAACATGAGTTATTGAAAATCAATTGAGAGTGCCACACTGCTTAGCACTGGACGCCCAATTGTAATACAATTAGGCCTTCAGGCTATCTACTTGTATAACTCAGGCCCAACTTTGGAACCCCAGTTTAGAGAGGGGCAGTGACCGCCTACCCAATGAGGAAGTATATCATCACGTGATTGACTGTATAGTTACCACGTGATGAGGTAGCGACGTGCAGGAGATCAATAGAACTACTTATTTACCATATAATTGTAAATATAGAGGGTTGTAGCAGACATAGCCCTTAAGATTGCCCGCAGGAGTATTATCGGCATTCTCCACTGCCAAATCACTCAGCACTGGAGCCCTGGAATAGGTCTAAGGTAGGTCTCATACCCCCAGGCTCAGTGAGGAGCTCTCCCACTCGACACCTGAGGCGCTTCACACTTCCGCCAACTCGCACCTTGCACCCCATTCCTCCTGCAACCTCTCTCATCGCTCCCCATCCATTCCTCTCCCACAATCTCATCTTCTTTCTCCCATACCCTCCCACTATCGATATCGCATGATCTCCCCAACAATTTATTGATCTGCTTTCTTCGATTTCCCCCGTTTATTGCGCTTGTGACTCTTAAAAATCTGTCCTTGGACCCTCCAGATCAAATGATCGCGTCTCCTAGATGACCTTCCCTCCCCCTCACCCTACCGCCCAATCGTCGATTGCTTCTGGCACCGATAAATCTTCTTCGACCAGGGCCGATATTGGTGCTTGGGGTCGGTCTGTGTCGCAGTCCGGCGCACGTCGTGGGTTGACTCCACTCGCGACCAATCTATCCTCCGCTGCTCCCCCCACGAACACCCGGGGCTTGGACGCAGGCCCGGGGGCTTCTACATCATCCTCGTTCTCTGCAGTTCTGAGCTCTGCTCGTGGGCTTTCCGGTGGTAGTCCCAAACCCACATCTTCGCCATTCACCTCATTGCAATCGGGCTCGCAACAGCACGCATCCGCACTCTCGTCCCCTAAGTTCCGCTCTCACACCCCTTCCATAGGGTCTCACTTGGCATCTACCGCAGGCTCCGCTTCAGGTGGAGGAGGTATCGGGGGAGGTGGTGGTGGGCCGGGATCTTCTAGAGGCGTTTTCTCGCCTCTCTCGTCCGGAACAACCGTGAATTCTCCCACAGGCTTCGCATCCGACAAGCCGGGATCTACAGCCGCCCATTCGAGCCAATCGTCGCTCACCAAAATCTCCATCGCGCAGGTATTCCTCCTGCTCGATTCCATTACAGAGAAGGAGGGTAAAGAAAAGTGGGAAACAAAGGCTGCCCAAATACACAAGGTTAGTGAGGGGATAATCTTTTTTTTTTTTATATTTTTTTACTGGCATGTTCTGATTATGGCTGACAAAATTAGCTTGTGACATCGAACGGTATGGAGGTCTTTTCCAAATACTTCCGTCGTCTCTTGACAGGCAACGCACCACAAATCTTCCCGGGTGTGAACAAATCTGTTGAAAATGCGGGCAATTACCCTCTTCTCGTCCAGGAGCTGCAGAAAGTGGCCATCGACATGGAACAGTCTCAGAAAATCGCCGAGACAGTAGATACCTCAGAAGGAGATATTTTCCGCGACTTTGACCTTTCGACCTTCCTGGATCATTTCCGACTTGATCCTCTTATGAAGGTCTCGCTCGCTTTGGCATTTAAACTGACTAGCAAGTCTGATCTCCGCGCCAAAGGTATGTATCTGTTCTCCATGGTCTCTATTCCAGCGCTAATCAACTTGAACAGCCGATGCCATCCTCTCCAATTCCGTTGCACCATTCCTTCAAAGCCTCGCAAGTCCAACTGAAATCACCAAGGACTACCATAATACTTTCCTTGGAATGACAATTGAACGATTCATCCTTTACCCCCCTCGAAATTTCACCGACGACGTCAAGGCAAAGCTTGTATACGCAGCGAATCTGCGTTTCCAAAAGCTTGGTTTGGATATGCCTTTCGAAGTCTCCTCAGCTCTGCAGATGTTCAATTTTGTCAACCCTCAATATGGCCTTGTACGACAACTCCACTCCAAGGGCCCCCGCGCCACTGCAAATACCGAAACAATAAGCGAGTTGATCAGCTCGGATCCAAAGTACTGGAGCGAGGAACATCTGGCAAGCGGTCTACTGTTCATGGTTTTGTCCCAATATTGGGAACAGTTTTCGATGGAGACATTCTTGAGCGCGTTTGCCGATAAACCAATCAATTGGTCTCTGGTTTTCCGGCACTTCGACCGCGAGGGGCTTCGAGTGGATCCAAAGCAGTTCACCAAACTGTATAATGTTCTCTCTGTCATGTCGTCTGAGGGCTCGAATTTGGATGTACAGAAGCTTTGGGGCGGAGATTGGGACCACCGCGATACCCAGATGTCTTTCCTGACCGCGTTTGTGGCCTCTCGCATCGACCCTTCCCAAATTTCCAACCTCCGCGCAACATTCCCCGCGGACTTCTTCCAGGATGCGCCTGATATTGTGAAGCTGCAAGGCGAGCGTGCGGCTAAGTCCCCTCTTCGGTCTATGGATGCAATGAAAGCTATCTTCGACCTTGCCTTGTTTTCCCAGGCTTCATGGGCTGCAACTGAAAGCCAGCTCCTTATCAAGGCAGTCGTCCAATTCGATCTTCCAGTGTTCCTGTGTTCTGCTCTGGCCATTCCCCAACCATGGTCTAGTGTTCAGCAGAGTTTCGTGCTGCGCACATTTATCGTGTTCATCTCGAAGCAAGAGGACGGATATCAACTTGCCCTTCACGGAGCTTGGCGACAAGACCGACAGTGGGTCGCAGAGCAGCTGTTCACTACATTCACCCAGGACCCCACCTCGACCGCAGTGATCTACGAACATGCTCTCGCCTATGGCTGGCTGGAGTACCTTCTTGGGTTTACCAACGGACTCGCCCTTGATCTCGCATGCTACTCTCACCGTAAGGGACAGTTTGATCTTGAGCAATGGGTCCGAAATGCGGCTCAGAAGGGCGCCATCGACATGGGTGGGCTGCTTTCCAAGTTCCTGCGGATTAAGGCAGAGGATGAACTACACGTTCAACGAAAGGAACAGTCGGCTCACCAAATGGTCAGCCTTGCCGTGAAGACCGTTTACACGCTCTTGTCTGTTCTTGAGGAGTACGTTGGTGACCGCGAGAACCTTACCCCCGTTCAACGCATCTGCATCCAGACGTACCCTCGCTTGATCAATTATGGTGAAGGATTCGATGATATCATTGACATCAACGGCGAGAATGGTAACACTCTGCCCGATTCCATTGACAAACAAATGCAAGAACTCTTCGGCAAAATGTACCACGAAGAGCTCTCACTGCGGGAGATGTTGGAGTTGATGCGCAAGTACAAGTCCTCACGCGACCCCATTGAGCAAGATCTTTTCGCCTGCATGGTGCATGGCTTGATCGATGAATATCATTGCTACCACGAATACCCGCTCGAGGCTTTGACGAAGACCGCCGTCATGTTTGGTGGTATCATCAACTTCCGCCTCGTTGACGGCATTACGCTGAAGGTTGGTCTCGGTATGATCCTCGAGGCCGTCCGCGAACACGAGCCCCATGACCCAATGTACAAATTTGGTGTTGAAGCCATTGAACAATTAATCAACCGCCTTTCTGAGTGGGCTGGCTTCTGTCACCTGCTCTTCCAAATCCCCTCTCTGCAAGGTACCCCCATCTACCAAAAGGCAGAGGAAGTGCTTCGAGAGCAAGGAAACCAGGTTGGCGAACCTGAGGCTGGACCTTTCGATGGAATGGTTGCTGCTCCTCTCACAAATGGCAATGCCGCAGAATCCCCCGTCACCGATGGCTCTGTGCGCAAGTTCCGTGCTATTCACCTCGACCCCCCTCTTCGATCTGAGCTCTACGAAGATCCCGATGAAGATATCCAGGACAAGATCCTCTTCGTTCTCAACAATGTGTCGGAGCAGAACATTGATGAGAAACTGGGAGACCTGCGTGAGGTCCTGCGTGATCAACATCACCAGTGGTTTGCGGCTTATCTGGTAGAGGAACGTGCTAAGCTGCAGCCCAACTTCCAGCAACTCTACCTTGACCTTCTTGGTCGCATCGATGATAAGATTCTTTGGGCTGAGGTTCTGCGAGAGACTTACGTCAGTGTGGCTAAGATCATCAACTCGGAAAGCACATTGACCTCCTCTACCGATCGCGGTCATCTCAAGAACCTTGGTGCTTGGCTCGGGTCCCTGACTATCGCTAAGGACAAGCCCATCAAGCACAAGAACATCTACTTCAAGGGCCTTCTTCTCGAGGGCTATGACACCCAGCGCCTCATGGTCACAATCCCCTTCACCTGCAAAGTTCTCGTGCAAGCCACCAAGTCCACTGTGTTCAAACCACCCAATCCTTGGGTGATGGACATCCTGTGTCTTCTTTTGGAGCTCTACCACTTTGCTGAACTGAAACTCAACCTCAAGTTTGAAATTGAAGTTTTGTGCAAAGACCTCGACCTCGATCATAAGACCATTGAGCCGGCTATCGTCATTCGTGACCGTGCTGCTCATGTCGAAGACCCAATCCCTACCGCCAATCCCCCAGAGGGTCTCGTCGAGCCATTCGAAGACCTATCTCTCAACCCTATCACCCAGGGTATCCGCAACGAAAGACTGTCCCCTGCTGCTATTATGTCAACCCTGCCGAGTCTTGACAAGATTCTCGTACTTCCTTCCTCGGCAAGCAGCATGGTCGACGCGACCATTCTCAAGCAGATCGTCCACACTGCAGTGGAGCGTGCCATTGCTGAGATCATCACCCCCGTGGTCGAACGCTCTGTCACAATTGCCTCAATTTCCACCGTCCAGCTCGTCTCGAAAGACTTTGCCATGGAGCCCGATGAGGAGCGTGTGCGCCATGCTGCGGGCATCATGGTCCGCCAGCTCGCCGGTAGTCTTGCACTTGTAACATGCAAAGAGCCCCTCAAGGTTAGCATGACGAACTACATTCGGATGATCCAACAAGACTATTCTGAGCAGCCTATGCCAGAAGGCTTGATCTTGATGTGTGTCAACGACAACCTCGACGCTGCCTGTGGTATCGTTGAGAAGGCCGCTGAGGAGAAGTCTCTCCCTGAGATCGAGAAGGTGATTGAGCCTCAGTTGGAGGCTCGTCGCCGCCACCAGGCTAGTCGCTCGAATGATCCCTTCATTGACCCTTCCATGAACCGATGGGGACTGTTCATCCCAGAGCCCTATAGGCAAGCCCCTGGTGGCCTGAACAAGGAGCAGCTGGCAATTTACGAAGAATTTGCCCGTCAATCACGCGGCCCGGCGCCATCCACCGAGGCATCCGCCGGACGTCAAATCACCGACGTTCTGGGAGAATCATACCCCGCCATCCCTAATCTTTCTACCCCAGCTGAACAGCCAGCTGTTCCTCACAGGACGCCGCAGATGCAACCCGCCGTCTCGCAGCTCGCTCCTGCACACACCAATGGTTTCCTTGACGCCCAAAGCCCACGTGAGAGAGTGGAAAGCTTTGTCTCCGATATCCAGCAATCCGCTCGTAATGCCCCCGAGGAACATGTCAAGGACCTCGGCAGAGACAGCACTGTGCTACAAGAATACAACCAGGCACTGCGCACTATCGTCCAGTCCGCAAACCCAGAGGAGCTGGCGCGGTTGACCTCTTTGAAGGTGTGCACGCTTCTGTACTCCCAATCGCACGGATCCCTTGAGATTGAAGTTCTGGTGCACCTTCTTGCCAAGCTGTGTGACATGTCCTCGCTCATTGCTCGGTACACATGGGCACTTCTCTCAGACGTTGATGATGAACACATGTTCAATGTGCCGGTCACCGTTGCTCTCATAGACGCTGGTCTCCTTGATATCCGCCGAGTTGACATGAACCTTACTCGTCTGATCATGCAAAGGAACGTGTCCGCCCTCGAGTTGCTCGATAACCTGATGGACCGGGTACTCTTCAACGAAGAACCATCCGCTCTTCGGTCTGATTTCTCCGGCAGCTTGGAAGCCATGAGCCAATGGCTGGCCGAGGATGCAACCGTTGCCCCAGGTGTCGATATCGTGCGCAAATTGCGCGAGTCCGGCATTCCCGAGGTCGTTCACTCCCTCCTCGATGACCAAGCCAGATCTAAGCGTGACCAGATGGAGTACATCTTCAGCGAGTGGATTGGTATCTACAAGGCCCCGGGTGCTACTGACCGCACCTTCCACTCCTTCCTCCAAGATCTTCACAACCGACAGGTGATGAACAGCCAGGAGGACTCAGCATTGTTCTTCCGTCTCGCCATCGACATCTCCGTTGCCATGTTCGAGCATGAAGCTCAGAACCCCAATGGCCCTAACATCGATGAGGCCTTCCTATACATTGATGCTCTCGCCAAGCTCGTCATTCTTCTCCTCCGCTTCCAAGGCGAGACTGCTGGTGCTGTCCGGGCCAACAAGGCCACCTACTTCAACTCAATCCTCTCTCTCCTCGTCCTGGTCCTAAACCACCACCAAGTCATGAGAGGCGAAGCCTTCAACCAGCGTGTCTTCTTCCGTCTCTTCTCCAGCATTCTCTGCGAGTACTCCCTGAACGGACTGCAGCACAGCGAGCAGCACCAAGAGATGATCTTCACATTGTCCAACAAGTTCCTATCATTCCAACCTCTCTACGTCCCCGGGTTTGTGTATGGCTGGCTCTGTCTGGTTTCCCACCGAGTCTTCATGTCGGACATGTTGAACATGCCTGATCGCGCTGGATGGGCACCTTACTGCGAGATCATCCAGGCACTGCTGGCCTACATGGGCGAGCAACTCAAGGCCGTCAACATTACATACGTTGCCAAGGATCTCTACAAGGGTGTTCTTCGCATCCTGTTGATCTTGCACCACGACTTCCCCGAGTTTGTCGCTGAGAACCACTTCCAGTTCTGCAACGTCATCCCGGCCCACTGCGCTCAGCTCCGCAACCTTGTTCTCAGTGCTTACCCGTCTTCGTTCCAGAAGCTCCCCGATCCTTTCCGCGAAGGGTTGAAGGTAGAGCGCATTGAAGAAATGCGGGAAATCCCCAAGGTTTCCGGCAATGTTGTTGCTCCGCTGCACAACGCCGGCATCAAGGATGTCGTTGACGGTGTGCTCAAGAACGAAAGCATCTCGGAGACTGCTATTCAGCAGCTTTGTGATGCCATCCTCAACCCTGAGACCAGGGAGACCGGACTCTTTTTCGCCCCAGTTGACGTGGATGTTGCCCTTTTGAATGCTCTTGTCTTGTACATTGGACAGCAAGCCTCCCTGGAGCATGCTTCAAAGAGCAACACCCGCAGTGCCTTCGAGAACTCCACCCACGCCGCGCTTTTGGATAGACTTGCCCAAGTCTTGCGACCCGAGTCTCGGTACTACCTGCTGAGTGCAATGGCCAACCAGCTCCGCTACCCGAACAGCCACACCTACTTCTTTAGCTTCACCATCCTCCGTTTGTTCGGCGTGGACTACAACGAGCATGACGACTCCGATGTCCGCCAACAAATCATCCGTGTCCTGTTAGAGCGACTGATCGTCCATCGCCCACACCCATGGGGTCTCATCATCACCCTGCAGGAACTCCTCCAAAACCGGAGCTACTCCTTCTTCCGCCTTCCCTTCATCCAGGCGGCTCCCGAGGTAAACGGTCTACACCCCATCTTTCAAATTCTCGCTAATGCCTCCTCAGATTGGCCGCCTCTTCGATGCCCTTCTCCAGCATATCCAACAGCAGAGCCCCAGGCCCATCGCCTAAGCTCTCTTCTCTCTCCTCAAGATTCGTTTATTTTACGGTGACCCGGGTGGTACAGGAGTCCTTTCGCATGTACTTTTCACGGGGTTTCTGCGATTTGCTTTATTATTATTTTCAGTCTCATGTTCCGGCAGGGTGCCGTGGAGATGGCATGCATATTTATTTCTTTACGATTTTCGCATGAGGTTCCATGATATTCTTTTTTCTGTAATAAAATTGTAAAAGGAGTTTCATGGCAATGCCAATTATTTTAGAGAAGCTATAACATTGTGCTTGTCCTCATAAGTTGACCCTGGCAGTAGTAGTAGTAGTAGTAGTAGTAGTAGTAGTAGTAGTAGTAGTAGTTGATAGATCAGAGCTAGACCGCTCCCCTCTCCCAACCTCCAGGGACTCAACAATGGCAGACTCCGATTTCACCGGTTCAGAATATGATGGCCCATCTTTCCAATCAACTATCAAGGTTCGTTGGAATCTCATCGTGAGCAACAACAGCTAATCTCCAAACAGGACGCGGTCCTCGCGCCGTTCCGCGCGCTGGTCTCCAAGTCCGCCCTGCGCATCTACCTAAACACCCTCCTGTTCATGGGCGCAGCATCCCTCCTAATAGGAATCTCCGCCATTGCCTACGGAGTCTTCTACTTCAAATTCATCCCCACAGTCGGCCTCCAACGACAAGTCCATCTCCAATTCGGGTAAGCGCGCTTCAATCCCAGAACCCAGATAAGCTAACAGACTCCAGTAACGGCCACCCATGGGGAACGGCGCATTTCGACTCCGAATTCGTCTCTGCCCAGCCGTACGATGTCTCCGTGACCCTGGAAGTCCCCCGCACTCCCTCCAATCTGGATAATGGTAACTTCATGCTCGACCTTACCTTGTTCGCTACACGTCCTGCCTCCCTCGTCCTCCCTGGTCCGACAAACACCCCTATCGCGCAGGCCCGCCGCCCAGCGATCCTAACTTATGCGTCAACGATGGTTGATATGGCGCGACGCGCAACGCGCATGCCTCTGTACCTGGTTGGTTGGCGCCGGGAGTCAGAGACCTTGGAAGTCCCGATGATGGAGCAATTGGAGTTTGGCAAGGGTGTGCGAAACTTGCCGCAGAGTCTACGGCTTGAGATTCAGTCGGATGCCAGGATGCAGATTTACTCCGCCCATGTCGAGTTCCGGGCTAGGCTTACAGGGCTCAGGTATGATTTGATTTTTATGATTTGGGATGTGGTTTTGACTAACTTGGCTAGATGGGTTATGTATCGTTGGAAGATTACCTCGTTTGTGGTATTCAGTTCTCTTTTCTGGTCTGTTTCTATGCTCTCTGCTAGCTTGACGTGGTTGGTGATGACATGGGTTTTGGGGACTGCGTCGACTACTGTGATCAAGCCGGAGCTGGGCCTTGTGAAGGAGGAATCGGCGACAGAGGATGAATCCTCTGATGAGTCTGTTAAGAAAGAAGAGGAAGAGGAGACTCGGCTTCATAGTTTACCGACGGAGAGTGAAGCAATGGGTTCTGGATTGGAGAGCGCAGAAGCTCGTGGAGTGCAGAAACGTCGAAGTCATAGCCAGCAGGACTAACTAGCTATATGTGTGTTGAAGTTGAAGTTGAAGTTGAAGTAACGGAGAGTGAAGTGGATCATTTCAGGCTCTGATTGCGACAATCGAAAGCGGGGGGAACTTCCTTCTTCCCCTCCACTTCTTCACCACATCAACAATGCATATCCTAGTAAGTTGGAAACACCCGTCTCGCAATATTGTATGCTAAGTTTCTAGGTCACTAATGACGACGGTCCTCCGTCAAACCAATCCTCGCCGTACGTGCATTCGCTCGTCAAATCACTTCAATCCGCCGGTCACACGGTCTCGGTCATCCTTCCTCACCAGCAGCGATCCTGGATTGGTAAAGCGCACATCGTAGGCGCATCAGTAAAGCCTACCTATTTCCGCCCTGGCACGCTACACCAAGAAGATGGAACAACACACCAGCTGCCCCGAGGTAGCAACGGCGATAACAGTGAGGGCGACGAGTGGGTCCTGATCGACTCGACTCCGGCAAGCTGCGTGCAAATCGGACTATATCATTATTTCCAAGAGCGAGGTCCCATCGATGTCGTGGTCTCGGGCCCGAACTATGGCCGCAACACAACTGCATTGTTCGCCTTGTCGAGTGGAACTATTGGCGGTGCCATGGAAGGCGCTTGCTGTGGTAAGCGCTCAATTGCGCTTTCCTATGCTTTCAGCTCGCGCAATCACGATCCCGTCATTATCGCCGAGGCCTCGGGCCATGCGGTCAAGTTGATTGAGCATCTGTGCGCCAACTGGGCCGATGGCGTGGATCTCTATAGCGTCAATGTGCCTTTGGAACCCGGAGTCAGCGAGAACAAAGTTCTATATACTGATATGCTGGACAATCGATGGACTGGCAGCTGTTTCCAGGCGGTGGAGCCTACATCCGCAGATGATCCCGATCTGCAGGAGCAGCGACTGCGCAATGAAGGTGAAGTCGAGGGCAAGAAGCCTGACCCTAGTGTTGGTCTTGATACTCAAGGGTCTGCACCCGGACCTCGACTCCAGCACAAGCATTTCAAGTGGGCGCCCAGCTTCCAGGATGTCTACCGCAGCGTGGAAGAAAGCAAGCCTGGAAATGACGGTTGGACTGTAAAGGAACAAATGACTAGGTGAGTCTTCTGTTACGCTCTGCCTGGACAATTGACTGACTTCAGTAGCGTTACGCCTCTCAAGGCCAACTTTAAGCCTACGCCTGGCATCTCGGGTGAAATCAAGCTGTGAGTGGATATTATGGGGAGGGTTCTATACACATGTTGTGTTCACGTTAGATATCTGAGCAGATTGATATTTGAACCCTCGCCCTTTCTTGCGTTACATTTTCTGATAGTTGTAGATCGGATAATCAGCCTTCGCTATACTCCATCGTCGATTGCGACGACTCCTACGTGCAGGAGATGGTTCAACGGGCATTGACTCGGCGTCTGGGAAATGCCTCCAAGCAAATCTCCTCGGTGTCTGACCTGCCAGACTCTTCCTCGCCGCTCTTCCAATACCGCGAATACGAGCGCATCGACTTCGAACACGGCATGTTCGAGTCCTCCACATCTCTTATGAACGCATACGTGATTCGCAAAGCATTGATTCGCAAGCACTATCTCTCGAACACAGTGGCCGGCTGGCTTTCAAAGAACCCAGACAGCGTTTTGCGTCACCATTTCAAACCAGCTTTCGACTTCGAGCTCGACTACGCGGAATTCCTCGACGACGCCCTGCTAGAAGCCTACGAGTTAAACGACAGTCTATCGAAGAACGAAGAGCGCCCAGACTCAGAAAAAGAATGGTGGATTCTCAAACCAGGCATGAGTGACCGAGGCCAGGGAATTCGCATCTTCAACAGCGAGGACCAACTCCGCGAGATCTTCGAAGAATGGGAAGTCGACTCAGACGAAGAAGATGCCTTGGAGGATGAAAATGACACGGGAGTCGTCACCTCCCAACTTCGCCATTTCATGGTCCAGCCCTACATCGATCCTCCCCTTTTGCTTCCCTCCTCTTCAAACCGCAAGTTCCACATCCGCACCTACGTTCTTGCATCTGGTTCACTGCAGGTCTACGTCTTCAAGGAGATGCTCGCACTCTTCGCTGCAAAGGCGTACTGTGCACCCCATGAAGAAGACGAAGTCGCTGACCTTGCTCGCCATCTTACCAACACCTGTTTCCAAGAAGGTGGCAGCTCAAACGAGGGCAGTGTGCGTCGCTTCTGGGACCTGGACCAACATGTCCCTGGTCTCTCGGATGATTGGAAAGAGAAGGTCTTTGAGCAAATCTGCTCTGTTTCGGGTGAAGTCTTCGAGGCAGCGGCGCGTGGCATGATGGTTCATTTCCAAACACTTCCGAATGCCTTCGAGTTATTTGGTGTTGATTTCCTTGTTGATAGCAATGGTTCTGCATGGCTTCTTGAGCTCAATGCTTTCCCTGACTTTGCGCAGACAGGTGAAGATCTCAAGGAGGCTGTTGTGGGCAGATTGTTTGAGGAGATGGTCGATGTTGCCGTGAAGCCATTCTTTGGACTTGGTAATGACTCCAATGGGGACTTGAAGCTGGTGGCGGATATTGATCTTGGAAGAAAGGCCTAGAAAAGACTCAAGATCTTTGAGATACCATTTGATGTACAAGAATTAAAAGTTTTGTTTTTACTAGAATATGAGGACCAGTGGGATTGGCGAAAATGACCGCTTTTGAGGAATTTGTGAGCCACCAAGTCTGGAGCTCAGCTTTCAGTTACGGACAAGACTTCCTCAAGAGCCGAAAGACTCAGGTTTCCTGTCTCCACGGGCACCCCTTTACTGAGACCGTACGCCTGGAAGATGCCAACAATCCTTCCAACCCTGACTGCCTGCTTTTGGGACTCCATGGCAATGCCTGCGGTAGCGTAGAGAGTCTCCCAAAATGTCCTCCGTAAGTCGAGGTGGCGGGCATGAAAGTGCCAGCCATCTGCACCAAAGGTTCCTAGCAGGGTCTCAAGGCCCCAAAATGACAACCCAAAAGGACCAACTGCAGCATCACGCCAGTCGACCATGCCAGTGATGGCTCTTGTGCTTGGGCTGACATGGATATTCATTTCCCATGGGTCAGCATGGTTCAGCACCTGCGGGTAGTCTGGGGCAAAGAGCAGCGGTAGTTGATCGCGGACTTCAATCAGCTTGGAACGAAAGCGCTCGGGAAGAGCCTCAGCAAGAGTCTCCAACCTCCGGGAAAGCTCAGCAGAAGTGACAGCTGTGTCTATCCATGGGGTCATGTCAATTCCGCTGGTCCAGCTGGACGCGAAAAATCTATAAAGTGTTAAAGGTGTTTGTCGTAGGGTATTTAAGAACACTAGACTTACTTGGCAAGATCCTGCACAGTCCTCTCAAGAAGGCTGTATTTGTTGATGGCGCAAATCTCGCGTTGGGCTATAGAGAAAGCAACACCTGCCACAACGTCCATTTCACACACGATAAGATGGCCCAACGAGTCGCGTTTCTCACAGCCAGAGGCGAAATTCTTATACATGCTTTTCGCTAGTGCCATGACCTTCATATCAAGAGCAGCTTCGGGGGCGCAGAACTGAATAGCTTTATGGACTCCAGTGATAACCGTATAGCTCGTCATACCTTGTGCCGGCGTGGGAGTGATTGGCCCCCCAGCAATAAAAGCAGCAGTCTCATGACACTTCTCTTGCGTGATGGGTTTGTTTTTTTCGAAAAATCTGGAAATTTGATGATTAGATAAAGCCTGAATGCCAGCTTCATCTACCATGTATCTGGTAATATCCATTGGTGAGGCTAGTTTCTTAGCTGGTCAAGTGGTTGCAGTGGTGCAATGGCAACAAAAGATGAGAATTATGAAACAAAGGGAGGGAGCGCGCAGCAAAAAGAGGACTATGGGCAAGGTATAAAGCACACTCCTTTAAGATGATTATGGGTTGCAGGACAGTTCCTACCTGTCATAAATTACTACTTAAGTATTACATAGAGCATATGCTCAATCATTCTTCCAAAAAATGCGCCCCTCAAACAAACGTCTAGCAGTCCGAAAGACAGTAGCAGAGGTCAACTCTCCGCTGTCCGCGAAATTCGCCCCAACCATGAGATTCCCACTTGCATGGCCAATGGTAATCCCAGCACTATCAACCTGATCCTTGCTCACAACGCCATCAACCGTACTCCCCTCAACACGAGCAGCAGCAGCAAGCGCCAATGCAACCGTAATAGGAACAGCCTTATGCGGCTGTCCAACAGAAAGCGCACGAGCAAGAAGATCCACCTTCGCAGGCGTCTGTTCCTGCTGCACGTCTCGCGCATCGGTAGACGGTGTCCCCACCAAACATATCTTGGGTACACTCCCTGGAACACTTTCCAGGGTATCTGCAATGCCCATCTTCACACCCGCCTGACGACGAATAGAGTCCAAGCGGACCAGCAGATCCGGATGGGCGGTGATTTCATCGGGTGTCAAATTAGCCTGTACGCCGAGACCACGCGCCTGGATGAAAACACAAGGATTCCCAACATCGATACAAGTAGCCGTCACCCCATCAAAGACATCAACCACATTCCCCGTGGGCAGTAATTTACCCGTCACCGAGCCGGCAGGATTAATGAAATCCAACTGGACCCGGGCAGCAGTACCAGCCACACCATCAATAGCAAAGTCACCACTCGAAGCAGCCTCGCCATCAACAACAGGGAAAGAGGAGTGGATGATCTTCCCAGTATTCGTATTGTGAATTCTCACAGAAGCCGAGTCCCCATCTGGCGAAAACAGCTTCGAGTCAACAGCGAATGGACCAACGGCTGAACTCATATTCCCGCAGTTACTGGAATAATCAACGTCGTTGTTTTTGATTCCCAGTGAAACGAAGGTATAGTCGACGTCTGCATCTTGGTGCGTTGAAGGCCCTACCACGCAGACTTTGGAGAGGCTGGATAATCCACCTCCTAGGCCGTCTAGTTGGCGGCCATATGGATCTGGACTACCGATGACATTGCGGAAAATGGGAGCCCAGTGTTCTTTGTCTTTGGGGAGGTCGTTTTGTTGGAAGAATACTGCTCGGGATGTTCCGCCGCGGTAGTATGCTGCTGGCAGGGAGTTTTGGGGTTTGGTTGCGAGATATCGTCGACTCATTGGGTTGAGGGCCAGTGAAGGCTTTAGACGGAGGGATTTGTACATGTTGAGTTTTGTTAATTGCACTTTAGAGTATGGGAGTATGGTGGATGTCTTGATCTAAGTACCAAGGCCCTCCGATGCGCGGCGGTATCGGATCGTTCCGTCGGATGTGCCGATAAAACTACGGAGTATAGCCGTCGCCCGATGTCGCCGTTTAATTGCTTGCTATGTACAAGTTTTATCGAGAATTGTGTACAAAACTATTTGCCCAGGCTAACCAAAGCGCTGCTTGGCCAGGGCCTGCAGAAAGCTCATAGTTTCCTCTTCTTTCTGACGATATTGCTGCACCCGTTCCTCTCGCTCGGCTGTTCGCGCACGCAGGATTTCCTCTCTCCGAATCTCGCGTTCGTTTTTCTTACGCTGGTCCTTCTCCTTTTCCTGCTTGAGGGCAGATAGTTCATTGTCCCCGCCCATGATATCTTCATCGCGAGCCCCATCAGGCGAGTCGCCACGCCGAGAATCCGCAAAAGCACGATTACTAGCAGCGACTTCTCGGCGCTTTTCAAGCTGTCTTTCTCGTGTACCTGCCTCAGCCCGCGGTGCAATCTCATCTTCCAGATGCCGCGTAGCAGCCTTGTGGGAACGTAACTCGGCGCGATATTGATCGCGCGATTCACCACGTGATGCAATAGCATCTTCAATGGCGGTTTCTAAAAGATAGTTAGCGCTATATTTGAAATTGTAAAAGAGCAACCGTACCTCTCTTGAGCTCGAGATCTTGCATTCTCGGGATAGTAGGTCCCATGAATCCAACCCTCGCCGAGCTAGGTTGAGGGAGAGTTGGTCCGTATTCGTCATCGTCATCCTCGACCTCTGGTTGTGTCTCTTGGGCTGCAGATCCAGTCGCGCCTTCACCCTGCGTATAGTCCGGGGACTCCCGTCCTTTATCTTCAACCGACGGCGGCTCGAAGTTCTGACGTGCCCGATCAAGCGTAGCAGGATCATACCAGCCCTCTGCAAGTTCACCCCGGTTCCTTCGAAACATTAGAACAAGTACACCTCAAATGTGCAATCCCACCTACCATTTCTGCGTGAAACTCTTCCACCGGCCCTTCACTTCGTCTTCGCTTAGATCCTCAATGAATTTCCCCTTCTGGATATCCAAGTACATAGCAAACATCGGATGATAGGCCTCGAGGTCGCGTCTTGAAAGCTCGCGCGCCTGATAAGGTAGGATCACTGGCTTTCTCGGTACATCTTTGTATCTGCGTTCTCGCTCGCGGTCTTTGTCTCCATGACGACGGTCTGAGGTGTGTCTGGATCGGTGTGGAGAGCGTGAGCGTGAGCTTTCGCGTGGTCGATGGCGGTGGGAATGGCTTGTTCGACTGCGGTGGCGGTGAGGGCCTGATGGAGATGCAGGTCGTGACCGGGTTGGGGAGGGCATTGTTGCTGGAGTTGTTGGAGGAATTTCGTTTTCGATAAGATCTTATCGGGTCTCCATGTTACCGTATTTGGGGTTGGTATTCGCAATACGGGGACTTTTTGGGGGTAGTATTGGCAGATGCGGTATTAGCCTTGCTCTGTATTCAGCTGAATGATAGGTGATATATTTACGGATTGTAAATGTCCAGGTATTCAGAGTTGCTGTCTTAGTTGACTATTGAAGATATACGGAGTACTAATATCACGTAGATGCGTAATTTTTGGTATTTTTGGAGATAATCGGCTGTCCTTGAGATCAATGAGCTATCGCATATGTGTACCATACATCGCATTTAAACATTCAGCTACATGCTTTTAGTCTCCAAGAATGAGGATCTGTAGATGATCGATGAACGGGGTAAATTCATAGTCTCCAAAAGCATTTCAACCAATCAGAAAACTACCTAGCAAACTAGGGCCATAGTATTTGAGTCATCTTCATCCTAAGCCTCTTCTACTTCTTCATTACAACACAGTCTGACTTCCCTACTTTTATACACTCATCATGGCATTGCCCACTGCACCTCAAGATTGGACTCGTGAGGGGTTCCTGATCTCAACAGACAAAACATTACTCTCCATCTCCGCGATAAACTCCGCATTCCAACAAGACTTCATATACTGGACCAGTACTTTTCCCGATGAGACCTTGCAGCAAATTGTGAACAATTCTTTCTGTCTGGGCCTGTACAAAACAAGTCCCCCAAACTCAGACAATATCGCTCGTTCGACACAAAACAGCAAGACAACAAATATAGACCAGATTGGTTTCGCGCGTCTGATTACCGATAATATCACGTTTGCATACCTGACTGATCTGTACGTCCTCCCGGAGTACCAAGGCCTGGGTCTTGGGGGCTGGCTAGTCAACTGTGTGGACGAGCTTCTGGAACCCCTCCCACACCTGCGATGGGCGATGCTACGGACGTCGATGAAGAAAAGCCAGGAATCGTATGAAAAGCGGCTTGGGATGCATGTCTTGAAATCAAGTGATATCAGCGAGGGTCCTGTTATGATGGGGAAGAAGGGGAGGGCAGGCAGGGCATGAGAATAACCTTGGAATAGATTTCGGACGACTTGATGACTTGTTGACCTGCATCCTGGCTATTGGTGCTATCTAATTCTAAAGTTTGCAAATTACTAAGATGGGGCTCAAGGAGTTTCCAAGGTTGCTTCCTTTAATTATGTATTAGCCAGAGGTTTAAACCGTGGAAAATATTCGTCGAGCCTATGGGGTCCCTTGATTTATGTGTGTGTGTGTGTGTGTGTGTGTGTGTGTTGAGCACTTCAATTTCTATAAACTAGCATAATCTATCTTAAGATTGAATGCAGTCTTCTCGGCAGGAAATAAACACATCTCACAAGTAGTCTGAATCGCCTCAATGGTCCATTCGGATGCAAGCGCATACTCTAATCCTCAGTCCCGATTTTTATCTGATGAGGCATTCGACCGCATTTGTGAGGCCAGTCAACACCTCTTCCAAGACCTCAATAGTCATCTCATCTCGAATTACAACCCTCATGATATCAATGTCTTCTCCCTGAGCTCTCCAGCCAGCTAGAGTATAGTCTGACATATTGTTAGCTTGAATCAAATGAAACTGGGGTCAATTGACTTACTAGGAATAGAGAATTTCAGATCATGCATTGCATTGCTGACATCTGACAGGCGTAACTTAGGGTAAGTTGCCAGCACGTGCTCAGAAAACCCGAAAACCACAATTGGAAGTTCAGGAGCTTCAGTACAGCGACCTTCCTGGCAGCAGGTGTTGATCTCATTTGCCTTGTGAGACACAAGCCGCCGAGAATCGGCCAAGCAAGAGAAATATCCCGTATCCTCCAGCCGCGTGCCCAGCAAATTAGCACGGCTCATCATAGTTTGAACCCGCTCTCGATATCCAGCCAGCCCCAGACGATGGAAGCTGTAGTACTGACCAACGATGGGAGCTCCAGAGCGCGAGAAACTCAGCGAGAAATTGGTGTGCGAGCCCCGCAGGTAGGAAGACTCCAGCAGGAGTTCTTGGGGAATCTTTGATTTGTCACGCCATACCATCCACCCAACAGCCAGGGGAGCCATGCCGTATTTGTGGCCCGAGGCGTTGATGGACTGCACCCGCGGAAGACGGAAATCCCTAGGAAACGGTCTCAGTATCATACTAAATAGCCGTGAACAGAATTTGAATAGGTCTCACCATATGAATGTCTCATTGCTGGGAGTGAACGGTGCAACAAAACCACCACTTGCGGCATCCACATGAATTGGAATGTCGTGGCCAGTCCGGCTCTCGTAATCATCCAGGATGTTTGCAATGCGCTGGATGGGATCATAGTGACCGGTGTAGGTACTGCCCAGTGTCAAGAAGACACCCACTATAAGAAATTAGTCTCACGCTTAGATACACAGAGAGAAACTTATCATTGAATGTAGTTTCATACCGGTGTTTTCATCCAACATGTCTCTCAGAGCCTCCGCATCCACTGCAAAACCAGTACTCTCGCTGACGGGTACTATCCGTGCCTCGACGTTGAAGTAACCAGCGAACTTATTGACACAAATGTGTGCGTTCGCACCAATAATGACGTTGGGACAGGAATTGAGGACGTCAGGCTGCTTGATCTGCCATTGACGTTTCATTGTCAAGCCACCCAGTAGGACAGCCTCTGATGAGCCTGTGGTTGCAGTTCCCATGAAACCAGTCGATGGTGCATTCCAGAGACCGGCTATGATGGAAACACATTCAGTTTGAAAGCTAATACTTAAGTTAGCACTTGAGCATCCATGGATAGATAAGATTTTCGGCGTAAGGAAAATGGGGGTTGATCGGGGATAATGGCTACCTTGCAATTGAGGGATACTCTTCAATACATGCCTGGTTCCGAGCATTGCCCACGTTAAAGAGCCGAGTGGCAGTATTGTCGTGTTTAGTCGTGGTGAATCTGAGTTGGTTAGGACATGTATATAAACCGATTGAAGATATTACCTCCCAAGATCTCGAGATGGAGGTACATCGCCTGCCATCTGCTTGTGTATCATTGCTTCTACACTGTCCATTGAGGCACCTTTGTGCGGGATGGAGGTGCTCAACGGATGAGGTGCTAGTATCTCGTTGGAGGGCATTTTGGTTGATTGGGAAGCTTGACTGTCTTGAGTGTTATCGAGACTGAAGTTGGATTTTTAGTTGTCTGGTTTGACTACGGGTTCCGGGGCTCGATTTATACGCTTTTAACGGCACTGGAGACCTTCGTATTTGAGCTCCTTTAGTTTACCGATATGTTTGTCTAGAATCATCCCTAACATCTGTACTACCCACTAGTAGACCAATGAACAAACAAACACTGAGTCTAGGAATGGCGAGCGCGTTGGTTATACCAGATCGGGAGGATCTAGAGTCTGATATATTTGAACAAAGAGATGCGTGATAGATCGCCGAAGATCGATTGGAATGTCTAAAGTTCTTTTGCAAATTTGAAGTAAATGGTCGTTGCCCAGGTGGTGGCGATTGACTGGCGATCTTGTTCGATGCAGTGAATTGTGATATCTGAATTTCTCCTTCCAGTGAGCTACGTTTTCATGTGCAACGTGCCGCAAAAGGCAATCCCTGGCAACAAGTTATGGGTATGATATTATCTCAGTGATGATATCGCCATCGGATGTTGCCATTGGCCATGAAATAGGATGAAGTGAGGCGGCGATATTTCGTCAACGGATTGTTCAGACCAACTTTAGAAACACACCAGTCGACCTTGAAGTCATGATAACCTTTTACTTGTTCACCTTGAGATTGCGTACAGTATGAAAATAGAGCAATACAATTAATAATTATGAGAGCCGCAATCCTTGTGAAAACAACACATGCATGTGAACCCTTTTTTGCTGAAAAATCGAATGCAAGTATCATACCCCTAACCCGTCGAAAAGATCCATTATTTTGTGTAGATTATCTAGCTGCTACTCCGTACTTTCGTATGCATCCAATTTGCTAAGGGTTACCGTTTACTACGCGTTGCATGAATATGCAGGTTACCGCTTGTGGTAATGAACCTCCTTCACCTGCAAGAATAGCCAAAATAGCCTCGACAACTTGAAAAGGATCTACATTCACGATCACTCTAGGCGAGCGAGAACGAGAACGACAGCTACATCGCTGGATCTATTTGATTTGAAGTTGAAGGCAACTCGGTGCGTCGAACGTCATTTGAATCCTCCTACCGACTTATCCCTTACACTCGAGATCTAAATTATAGTTAAACATGGTTCTCTGAAGAATTTTACAAGAGCTAGGAAGCAGAATAGACATAATGTGATTTTCTGCGTTACAAGAACATTCGCGAGATCCAATCTCGAATCCAGAATGCTACTTGTAAGTGATGGATGTGAACTAGACCTAGAAAACCCCAAAAAACCCCCCAACAACCTCGGAATATGTTTCCACTTAGTCACTAGAATTTCGCTGTCACGCAAAGCAGTTTTCCTCACTTCGACATTCTCGGCTTCTGAATGTTGTGCTACCCATGCGTGTAGATCATGATCGATCCCCCATCGCCGAAAGACCCTGCCATCTACCTACTCGTAGTTTCGTGGGACAGGATTTCTACCCGAATGGCGATTATAAATTTCAGATGGACCAATGAAAGCCAGGCGATCTTTCAACGGATTCTGCAGGCATCAAGTTGAATCTGTGCATGCCAAGGGATGTAAGACCTAAGAATATTGGTTCCCGATATGATCGAAGTAACACAATTCTATCATTACCTAGTACAGCCCTGAATGAAGCCAACCAATCACAATGGCGCAGTATATAGGAGAATATGATGGTCAAAATGATATATAAAGCTCAGCTTTCTGGGAAGAACAAAAAACAAAAACATTGGAATCAAGAACATCTTTTAGAACTTGACTCTAAACTTCAACTCGTTGACTCGATTTCGCAATCATGACCTTCACAGAGCACCGCTGCATTGTGGACGGCGACAATACCTCTGTCCTCTCAGCATGCCATGCAGCTGTGCTTGGAAAAGTATCGTCTGACCCAGATGAACAAAAAGCCACCATTCTGGCTGCCTGGGCTGTTCTTTTGCGAGATTATTACGCTCCAAGTACTCCCACCTTTGTTTGTGTCCAGCTCCGCGAGAATACTCCCCTCAATGCCAAGATGGGGGTGTACGCTGATATGTTCCGTTGCCAACATCTATCAGTTCAAACTGATGCCAATGCCACATGTGAACAAATGAAGGATTTGACATCAAAGGCCGTTCGAGATGGCGATTGGGAGGAGTTGGCTGCACACAAAGCTAAAACAGCTGTTGTACTGTTGCCGGAACAGGTCGATAAACCGGCTAAGCTTCTCGAACTACTAGAGGTATGTAATCCTACTTTTTCTGCTTCTTAACAGACCGATATTGACTAAACGACAAACTCAGGTGGATCTGCTCTTAGTGATGTCCGAGTTGAATGAATGTATCATATACATCGATCGGTCTAAGAAACCCGAGTTCAAACCATGTGCCATGTTGAAGAGCTTCAAAGACACCCACAGTGCTATCATTGAAAACCCGACCCTCGAAATCAATGAGATAGACACAGTGACTTTGTTCGACGTCGAAAGACTGCATCGGATTAACGGTGGCAAAAAAGGACCCAACAGAACTGCAAGTTGCCTTCATGCCCTCATCAACCAACATTACTCTCAGCGGTCAGACTTCATCGCCCTGGCATCCACTTCAGAGCAAGTAAAATATGAAGAGCTAGGCAAACGGTCAGCAGCAGTATCTCATTTTCTGACGAGCAAGGGCGTCAAGGCCGGGGATACAGTAGGGCTCTGTATGGACAGAACAATCTTCACAATCATCGTTATGGTTGGTATTCTGCGAGCTGGAGCCTCATATGCCCCAATGGACGCATCCTATCCCCTTGGAAGAATCTCACAAATCGTGGAAAGAGCCGACATCAAACTTGTATTGACAGAAGATGAATTGTGTCGCAAGCTTCAAGGTCTCGAAACAACTTTGATCGCCACAAACCAACTCAAAGATCTTGAGATCCCCGAGAACTGGCTCCAGGAAGAGAATACCGACCCTTCAAAGCCAGTATACTGCATGTTCACATCTGGTAGCACTGGCGCCCCCAAGGGGGTTTTCCATGGCCATGGACCAGTGACACTCAGTCTCCTCGAATGCATCGAAGAACTTTCAATTGATTCCTCGACGAGATTCATGCAATCAGCCAGCTTGGCATTCGATGCTAGCATTCTCGAAGTATTTGCACCCCTCGCTGCTGGCGGATGTCTCTGCATGGTGTCACAAGAGGAGCGAAGCGGTGATCTCGAGTCAGCGATGGAGAGCTTGAAAGTTTCGCATGCATGGCTCACCCCATCAATGGTACCTCAAATCCAACCAGAAAATGTACCCAGTCTCCGCAGCCTCGGTATCGGAGGTGAGCCTGCTTCTGCAGAACTTGTATCCACCTGGGGCGAGCGGGTCGAGCTGTGCAATCTATACGGCACAACGGAAGCTGGTGTCTGGGACACGGTGAAGAGGGGAATAAAAGCTGGCGAGAATCCTAGGAACATTGGCCGTGGTATTGGGAATGTTGCATGTTGGATCACTGATCCAAGCAATGTGCATAGATTGATGCCATTTGGTGCAGAAGGAGAACTGCTTGTACAGAGCCCGTATCTGGCTCAGGGATATCTCAAAGATCCGGAACAACAAGCTCAGGCATTGATGGATCCTTCCAGTCTGGAATGGGGCCCTTTCATGTCGCGCATCAAAGGGTCTCGGATATACCGCACTGGCGATTTGGCCAAGTACGACGAGAATGGCGATGTGATCTTCTTGGGTCGTCGTACTGGCTATATAAAGATCAGAGGATTACGCGTGGACCTAGGAGAGGTTGAAGATGCCATCAACTTGCGGCTCAAATCAGGTCGCTCGGCAGTGGTTTTGTCTGAAAGTGACAGTCAGGATGCTGAAATTGTTGCCTTCGTCGAAACAACCGATTATCCCGGAGATCAATTGGCCACGAAGTTGTCTGTCCAGTTGGCGGAATCATTACCTCCATACATGGTTCCGGCTGTTTTTGTGCCAATTGAATCTATGCCACTCACGATGTCCAAAAAAATTGATCGACAACAGCTTCGTGGCCGATTATCGGAGATGAACCAAACGGGCCTTCAACAGCACCGCCACGGATGTGCTTCTATACTTGATTGCGATGCAATTCCTGCCAAAAGAGTACTGGCGATTGAAATCAGTGAACTCATTGCTGAAATGTTTGAAAGAAAGGACAGTGATTTTGCAGCGTCCCTAAGAGGAAAGGATTTCTCACTTACAAGCATTGGCCTCACATCGATGCAACTGGTGTCCTTTGTGAACTTGATTCGGAAGCGATATGAGAAGAAGATCAAGATTGAAGATTTACAGAGGAACAATCTGACTGTTTGCAACATCGAAGACTTCCTGCTCGGAAAGAAGCCACTCCAGAGGCAAGCCAGTTGTGCTAGAAACTTGATAGCTGATCTTGCAAGTCTGAGGCCGCAGCTTGAGTTCCTTGGAACGCGCCAAATGACCGTTTTCCTAACATCGATCACTGGATTCCTCGGCAGCCAAGTTTTGAGATCGATGCTAGAGACTCCAGAGATTGTGTGCGTCATTGGTATTGTTCGTGCCGATGATATAGAACAAGCCAGAAGAAAGGTCCAAAGTCACGGAGAACTAGGCCGTTGGTGGAAGCCTGAATACCAAGATCGCATTGAACTTTGGACAGGAGATCTGAGCAAGCCGAAGCTTGGCCTGGAAGAATCCAAATGGAGACAATTGTTTTCGACCGACAGCACCAGGCGTGTTGATGGGATCATTCATAATGCAGCGAGAGTGAATTGGATAGACAACTACGAAGACCTCAAGCTCGTGAATGTTGACAGCACTGCTGACATCCTCTCTGGAATCTCTCAAACGGACTCTCCATGCCGTTTGGTTTATGTTTCTGGAGGATATATGCCAATGAAACCAGAAAGTGACTTGGACGTGGCGAAAAAACTCTCCAATGCATCTGGATACGATCAAACGAAGTTCATGTCCCAGTTACTGTTGACTGAGTACAATGATTACTTGGATCGATCAAAATCGGCCGCTGAAAGAGCTTGCACAGTGATACCCGGATTTATCGTCGGGACCCAAAAAGAGGGCATTGCACATCCAGAAGATTTCCTTTGGCGGCTGGCGTTCAGCATAGTTCGACTGAAAGCCGTCAGCCAGGATCTGCAGTACTTGACTGTTGCGGGTGTCGATCAGGTTTCCAATCTGATCACAGACACCTTACTGCAACCAAAAGGATATGCATCGAAAGTGATCAGTTGCGTGGATGGTGTGACAGTGTCAACATTCTGTGAGGTTTTAAGTAACCGGATGGGTGTCACTATCAGACGAATGGATCACCAAGAGTGGATGGAATTGCTGAAACATGATGTGGAAGAAGCCGATTTTGATCATCCTTTGATGCCAATCTTGAGTTGGCTTGAGGAGAATTCATGGCAATTTGAGTGTGACACTATCCCTGAGAGTCAATATTTCAACCAGGAGGAAACAGTTGCTGCGTTGGATAGCAGTGTGAGGTATATGAGGGACATTGGATACTTGCCAGATGGATCTGGTCAGAAGTTCGACAGCGCTGCTGTGTTCAGCCGGTCTAGTGTTTGATTGATCCATTTAGCTCGCTTTTACAATTCACTTTGAATACAATTTTAGAAGATAAATTGAAAAATATCGAGATCATTGGACAATTCGGAATGTTTACCAGCTATAGAAGCATGTAGGTAAGGCCGAAAAAGACCAAAGGGTGTTGCCCTGTATAGGTTTCACTTGGATTCTCTAGTCAGCGCGCCGATCCATGAATGCAATCTTCCCAGGTTATGCCCAGGTGAATCCCGAGACTAAATTTGGATCTACTTAAGTAGTGATTTTGTTCAAAGATGATGGGTTATGTCTGAAATACTTGAAGAGTCCCGGACAGGAGAATATGCCTAGGGGCAAACTAGAATCCCTCGCCTGATAGCTAAGCCAGACATCACGGAATGTCTCCAATCTCTGGGGGCCGAACATAGTACGCTTCCCAGTCATCCCAATCCTGCATCTTATGAAACCCTGGCAGCTGTACCCAACGCCAGCACGTTTTCATCCAACCCACATCGTTCTGAGTACACCCCTCAATAGGCTCCTTCGCAATGTCTTCTTCATCAGGCACCTCTGGTTCCCATTCAGCATAAACCATACGAACAAATGCTGCTTCATCTTCATCTTCAGGGGCGCTCAAAACCGAATCCATAGCTTCTTGATCCACCATAATGAAAAACCGGTAGCGGCCGGTACATGCTTGGTAGTCTTCAGCAACACCCTGTTCCTCTTTTAACGAAGACTTGGCCCACTGATTGAAGTGCTCGCGTAGAGTAGCGACTGTCGCGCCCTCAAAGGAAGGGTCCTCCAAGACCGTTGGGGTGAATGTGTCGAGGAGATCAAGGCCATTATAAAATTCAAGGTAATCTGGGACGGCGCTCACGAAGCGAGCCATAAAATTCTCCCAGTCAATATTGTTTTGGTATGTGCATCGATAGATCACAAAGCCCCATTTTTTGAATCCGTCCTTGTCCAGGAGCTTCTCAAGCCGGTCCGCCTCATTCAGGCTGGCATGCATTGTGGGATCACGTTTCGAGGGGACCATGGTTGAAAATGTTGTAATGGTATTCCCGAAATGTGATGGTATAAACGCGGGCTTCGTGAGACGCGAAAAGCGGCTAATGGGAGCAGGAGAGCGAGCTTTACTCGGGCCACTGGAAAGGGCAGATGGGCTGTAGAAGCGGGGGAGAACAGGGCGTGAAAAACGCGTAGTTCGAAGAAATTTTCTTGTGATCATAGTTGCGAAGGTCCCCGTTTTGTCATGAGGCGACTAGAGGTAGTGGGAAAGGAAGGCGCGGCCTAGGGGGCAAGTTGGCAAATTCTAAGGTTTCAGGGTTTCAGGGACATTGGATATCTGCCAGATAGATCGGGTTAGAAGTTCGACAGCCCTGTGTTCAGCCGGTCTAGTGTTTGATTGAATTATTTAGCTCGCTTGAAACTACAATTCACTTTGAATACAACTTTAGAAGATAGATTGAAAAATATTGAGATCATTGGACCATTCGGAGCATTTACCAGCTATAGAAGCATGTATCATTCTTCGTCAAAATAGATGAGGGCGAGGTTAACGACAATTTTATTGGAATAGGTACATCAAAGCGAAATTTATATAATATTCAACAACCTAGCGTTGTCAAATTACGCCTAGCTAGGAGGGGCAGTTTGCTCTTGGCCGGGGCTGGCCGGGGCATCGGTGCCAGCTGTAGGCGTCCCAGGGGCGCTTGATTGCGAGTTGGCCTTGGACCGATTGGCCGCCGCGGCCATCTGCCAGGCAGGAATGGAGGCGGAGCGACCAAGCTGCGAGAGAGGGTTGGGGGCGGTTTGGCTCGTGGTTGCGGGAGATGCGGCCTGGGTGGGTTCTTGCTCGGCCGGAGCCACTGTGGCAGCCAATCCGTTGGTAGCAGCTGGGGCGGGAGCAGGTGAGCTTTCTTCAGGTGCTGGGCGAGTAGGGCTGGGAATGTTGGTGGATCCAACGGTTCGGCCGGCCACAGGGCTGGCTCCACTTCCACCGAGACGGTTACCAAGCAAGGTCTTCAAGCTCTTGAGCTCAGTGCCAAGCTCCTTCAGTCGGTTCTCGTTGCCTTCCCGGGCTCCTTCAAGAGCCTTGGGGATGGCATCCTTCAATGACTTGACTTCATCGCTGATGCGACGAGTCTCGTCATCTCTCCGACGGGATGAGTTCTTGAGGTCTGCGACCAGGCTCTCCACGTCCTTAAGAGCTCCGTCCAGGCGCTCGGTACGGGCTTCTTCGGCGGATTTCAGAGCAGCGGTGTCGGTCGATAATTGCTCGATAAGGGTGAAAGCTCGCGAGAATTGCTCATCAATGTTCTCCTTATCTTGCTCCAACTGGGGAGGGGTTGGGGGTGCGATTAAGGGAGAGATATAACGCTGTGTCGTTTTGTCAATATCAGGAAACATGCAACGGATTGACACGACGTACCTTTGTGACGAAATATAACCCGTATCCAACTCCACCCATCACTGTTGCCATAATAAACCAGTCACGCCAATCTCTTTTGGGTGGCCTGCTCACACAATTAGTGACCGACAGCAGGTGGATAGAGGTGACTCAACATACTCTGGAGGCGGCTGCCATTGATTATATGGAGGGTAACCATATCCTTGCGGCGGTTGAGGTTGCCGATAAGGAACAGGCTGTGAGGAGTATTTGGGCGCTGGGGACGAGGCAGCGGTAGCCGCAGCTGCGGCAGACGGGTCTTCGCCGACTCGCGATAAGGCGAGATCTACCTCTTCTTGCGTCAAGTTCTTAGATTGGAGAAAGGCAACTCGCTTCTCAATTGGCGATGAAGCAACCGAAGGGTCTTGGAGGACTAAGTAAAGTCAGCGATGGCCATGGGGCCGTGAGTCTCGTGCTCCATACAGGTAATCTGGCGAAGATAAGTCAGCGACAGCCCCGAAAGCGGAGGACATGAAATCAGCCAGTAAAGAACTTACAGCTGAGGTTATCAGCTCCTCACGAGGGGCCATGATGATGAGTGTCGACTACCAGTGAGGTGACGAGGGGAGAGATGGAGTAGGGGGAGATGCGACACTCACATCGGCAACCACCGTCTGGACCTCGGAACTTGCGCCACGCCAAGCTTCCCCAGACCGGGAGTCTCGTGATCTTCGGTCCGACGTTTTTCCTTCTTTTTCCACTCCACTCTTACCGCCTTCCTGTTTTGAAAGTGGCACGCATAATCATTGTTTACATCTCCGAATCTCTTGCCGATAAACAACAGATTCAACCCCTCCAGATTTTATCGCGCGACATTTTTGGGCTTGTTGGCAACTGCCGTTGCTTGGTCTTGTGGGCTTTCCCTTTTTGAACTCGCTCTTTCTACATATTGCCGCATTAGCGGCTCGTTCACCATGTCGCAAGATACTGGTCTGTTCAGTATCAAGCGCCCCCGAGAAGTATTGAACCCCCACCTCCCTTGCGCAAGTTTTCTCTAACTGACCCTGTCATCAAGACTCTCGGGAGTGTGCCCAACTTTTCCGCGATCCCACAACCTGCATCAGCATTGAAGCGCACCAGCTCTATTGGATTCAACAACCCCCCGTTCTCTTCTCAGAAGCACCGAGCCTCGTTGATGGGCTCATCCGGGCGTCCTCAACAACCAAACTTTACGCGAATGTCAATTGGTGGGCCTCTCGGTGCCGATGCAGGATTGTCCTCTGTTCGACGATCTGTGTCGAGTAACTTGTTCAATGGGGCCAGCGTAGGGCGGCAGAGCTTTGCGCCTGGATCTATGTCTTCCAATCCAGCACCTCCGAACCCACAGCGCAGAAGTAGTGTGTTTTCGCGGCCATCCACCGGAGGAGGCCCCATGGGACACCAATCCTTCTTCACCCAAGTCCCCAATGTAGCGGGAGTCCCCAGAGATCCCCGTCCGCTCCGAGATCGATCATTCCAAGCTCGAATCGGACAGGAACTTTTGGAATACCTCACAGTTAATGGATTCGAGTTGGAAATGAAGCATTCCCTTGGACAAAACACTCTACGTTCACCAACCCAGAAGGACTTCAATTTCATTTTCCAGTGGCTGTATCACCGAATCGATCCGGGATACAAATTCCAAAAGGCCATGGATGCGGAAGTGCCTCCTATCTTGAAGCAACTACGATACCCTTACGAAAAGGGCATTACAAAGTCACAAATTGCAGCCGTTGGAGGCCAAAACTGGTCTACCTTCCTCGGAATGCTGCATTGGCTGATGCAATTGGCGCAGATGATGGATCGCTATCAAACCGGCGATTTTGACGATGCTTGTGCCGAGGCTGGCGTGGATGTCACGGGCGATCGCATTATCTTCCGCTTCCTGACTCAAGCCTATCACGACTGGCTGCAAGGTGGTGAAGACGAAGATGATGACACCGCAGAAAAGCGCTTGGTTCCACACGTCGAAAATATGTCTCGAGAGTTTGCGTATGGTAATGAGCGGTACGTGCAGGAGATGGAGGCGCTTGAAGCGGAAAATCGAGCCCTTCGTGATCAGATGGAAGAAGTGGAAAAAAGCGCCCCTGATATCGCCAAGCTGGATAAGCATTTCCGTATCCTCGAAGACGATAAACGGAAATTCGAGGATTACAATCAGAACGTCAAAGGGAAAATCGAAAAGTATGAGACTCGCATCAAGTTCCTTGACGCTGAAACCCAGAAAACCGATGCCGATTTGCATGCCACTGAGTCTGAGCGTTCCGAGCTACAAGCAAGTGTTGACCGCCAGGGCATCACTATCCAAGATATCGATCGCATGAACTCGGAACGAGAGCGTCTGCAGAAAAACCTAGAAGATACAGTCGCTCGTCTGGAAGAAACTCATGCTCGTGTCATGGAGAAAGAAGCGGAAGCCAGCCAAAAACTGGAAGACTTGGAGCAAATTGTGAAAGCCTACAACACTCTTGGCTACCAAACTAGCTTGATTCCTGCGGGTGCTGAGAACGCCAAGGGCGAAGACTACGAGCTTAGTCTCAACATCAATGAAAACAACTTCTCCGCCAGTCAGATTGGTGGTGCTCCCAATCGCATTTCTTCCGAGGGAGATCGACTATTGGCGGAGCCTTTCACTGGGTACCACCCGGCGCACTTGCTGAGCCTGGACCTTCGGGGCTCTGTCCGAACCAGTTTACAATCTCTCCGGAAAGAGATTAATGAGCGGCGGAAGCAGGGGATTGATGAGGATCTCGACCGACGCAATCTACTTGATAATATCAAGGAGGCAATGGACGAAAAACGAAGCGAGGTCGAGGCCCTGGAACATCGACGCCGGGCGGCCGAGGAGGAATTTGAACGCACCAAGGAAATTACTACTACGCAGAAGACTGCCTCCGATGCACAGATTGAGAAGATGGAGAAGGAATTAGCCAAGATGCGCGCCACACTTAGCGACAGTGTGCAATTAATGGAGCAGCGCGAGATGAACACCAACATTGAGTATGAACAACTCACTCTCCGGGCCAATGCTCTTCGGGAAGAGTTGCACACCAATGTTGAGACCATGCTGAACGATGTCATCCGCTTCAAGGTCCATGTCCAGAAAGGCCTTGAAGACTACGAAAGCTTTGTTGTTGATGAAGTGGAACAAGAGCTTGGTGGCGAAGAACTTGAAGAGGAGCTATGAGGGATTGTTCTCACGAATGACGATTATTTGCTTTGGTGTTCAAATTAATTCGAGTTGTCTTTTTTTCATGTACTCAATACCCGGATCAATTCAGGAATCTTCTGGCGAGAAGGACGCGCAATGCATATATTATTTTGATTGATTACTAGGGATTAGGCTTTAAAGGACAGACGGCGGGCTTAGCGTGTTTCTTATTGCGCCAACACCTCCAACTCACCCGTCACACTCCTGATCAACCTGATACAATGGATCGACAGGGGACAAGCGAGGTGGAGAACTGACAGTTGTTTCGTCTGATTCGCACCCTTTTGAAACTCTTCGGCGCTTGCTAGCATCTACACAGCGTCTGACCACCTCGGGAATTCCAGCCCATCTGCCGTGACTCCTGACTCCACTTCAGTTTGGCCCCGGGGTGATAGGGCTATTTCCTCACACGGGATGATCAGCCCTGGCTAAGCCCTTTTACCAGGAGACTTGCCAACTGGAGATCGACATCCGCTCAGCCAGTATGGAACACATGCTGTTTCAGCCATCTCGTGCTGGATCCGTCCTGTCTATCTTCAAATCTGATCATGATCAGCTCAAGGGGTATATAACATGCTAAGCTTTCCTCCTTAGGTTTCTTTCTTCAGCAGTGCTGTGCACCTCCATTCTTTTCAATACCTCCAGATCTTTCTTTACATTGCTATCTCACTTCCGTTCATTTTCAAATTATTTCGACAGTCCAGTATCAACCATTCATTATGAAGTTCACCACTATCTTCGGCACTGCCGCCCTTCTCATGGCCCCCTCTGCTGTGGCCTGGAAGCTTCCTGTGAGTATCTACACACAGAGATCCACTTTGAGAGTTCTGTGCTAATAATCTCGAAGAATGTCGACAGAGCCGACTCTGGTGCCACTCCTACCGAGCAGCCAGCTCCCTCTGGTGCTGCTCCCTCCGGCTCCCCCTCTGGTGGATTCGACGGGTTCCCCGGTGGAGGTTATCCTGCTGGATTCCCCTCCGGCACCGGCTTCCCATCTGGATCCCCATCCGGATCCCCATCTGGTTTCCCCTCTGGAGCTCCTGAGCACCACCACGGCCACCACGGCCATGGCGGCTTTGGAGGACCTCGTCCTACTGGCCCCCCTGGTGGCGTGCCTTCTGGCTTCCCCGAGGGACCTATCCCCACTGGTGGATTCCCCGGTGGCCCTGGTGCTGGAAGCTCCTTCACCATTCTTCCCTACGGAGAGCCCACCCCTTCTGCCGGTGCAGGCGAGGTTCACGCTGTGAGGGATTTCCCCTTCGGCTTCCCTGAGGCTTCTGGGATCCCTAGCGGTGTTCCTTCTGGATTCCCCCAGGGCCCTATCCCCACTGGTGGATTCCCCGGTGGCGAGTCTGGTGAGGGTTCCTTCACCGGCCTTCCATCTGCATTGCCCACTCCCTCTGCTGGAGGTGAGAGCCAGAGCGGATTCCGCCGTCTTCATGCTCGCCAGGTTCGCCCTGTGATGGTCTAGATTCTGCAGTATTTTTCGCTGTCGATTTTGAGATAGATCATTGTTTATTTGCTATAGCTGCTGGATCAGACATAGAAAATTGAAGACTCTGGAGGATACCCCTTTGTAATAGACGTAGCCATGTATCTGTAAATACACAAATAGAGCCATTGGATGCTGTATACTTATGCAGTAAGGACTATAGGGGCTGAGCTGTGTACTTCCGACGGTTGGTAACTCCGCATTCTGGAGCTGCTGATTGGTCCGATTCACATGACTAATCTCGGAAATTCTCACGTCGCGACAACAGTTTCTATATTTTTCTCCGATTGGCAACCTGTGCAGCTTTTGTACGATCTCAAATTGACTATCCCCGGGTTATCCTGGGTACAACGAAATGTACGGCCTCTGATCACCTCGACATGTATCACGCTCCTATACCCTCCGCGATCGTGAAATCCATACAGCCGCCGTCGAGGCTTGCGGTACCATGAGCAGATGCTTGCGCCCCGGCCGTATCTTGCCATTCGGTCGAACGTCAAGTACCTCACGCCTTCCTTTTATCCCATACCGAGCTGTATCGCCCTTCTCCCGGTTGACATGGACTCGGTACACACGCCAGGCTCGCCAGGCAGAGCGGAACGTGGACTATCCAGATGAGATTCAGTTCCTTCGCAAATACAACGGCGTCGCCCACCCTCCCCTCAGTCATCAACAGAAAAGGAGTATCGATGGGTGGATTCCATTACTGAGGCGATGTTTGCCATCCAAATCGCGGAAACCTGCCAGGCCTGCCGGCCAGCCTGAGCGGACTCGGCCACTGCATGCTTCTAAGAATGACCTTGATCGAACTCATGCTTTGTTGGGATGCTGCTGGGATGCTCGGGTTCATTTCAACTTTGAGCTCATTACACACCTCGGATTTGAGTTGAAGGATTGGTCAACTGTCCACTCTCTGTTGAGTAGCATGATTGACAGCTATGAGCTGCTGGCTCCTCATATACCGCCAAAACATCCCTCACCTGGCCTTGATTGGAACCGACCATTCCGTGTTCGCCATAGGAATGAGCCACCGCCTTCTCCGGACTCCCCCGACGCCAAAGAAGCCCCATTAACCGAAAAGATCTCGCTCAGCAAACTCACGGGAGGAACAAAGGCAACTTCACCTTGGAAATGGGCTCGTTTGGAGCATATCTCATCGGGTGGCCTTTCTCTTGATAGTATGACGGTGGAACCTGCGGCAAGGTTCTTCGGAGATAGGATCTTGGCTGAAGTGTTGGCAAATCTTGGCTCGTTGGTTCTGGCATCTGCAGACAGCACTGCGGAACAGTCTCAGCAAGCTATGTCTTGTGTCTTCCGGACACTTGCACGTCTGCATCATGCGGGCATGATCTCCGACAAAGTCTATCAATTTCCAGCTCCGAATACCGGTCAAATCGTGTTCCGCCCTCCTGGGCTTGAGCTCCTTTCTCGTCCCATCATGGACGTTCTTTCGGATGCAGCGTGGCACGAACACGAAGCGGTAGTAGCTGCTGCTGCTGCCGATGCAGGGGAAATGTCCCCTTTCATTCCATACAAGATGGGCATCCGAGAACTAGGTCCTGAGATCTGGCTGGAGCTTATCTTGTGGTGCTGTGTGGAGCATGGCTTTTCCAGAACCGGTACAGCCCTCGTGCATCAGATGACTAGGATGGAGGGAGAACAGGCATGGAAGGCTGAGAGTTGGGTGCCTCTCATTCAAGACCTTGCTACAGTACAGCAAACCAATATCAATATCGAGCAGTCATGGCGTCGCCCTGGTCAAGACAAACCCCGGGTGTCAACGCGTCATAAGCCACCACCTTTCAATGGACTTGGGCCTAAAATTATCAGCGCTGAGGTGGTGTCTTCACTGCGTAATGGCTTGGCCAACAAGGCTTACGTGGGAATGGGTGATCACGGACTCCTCGTTGGAGATTTACTCAAGCTATCTGCTCCTCTGGCGAAACTCATTGATCCTCCTACATCCCGGGTGGACCTTCAGCCCACCAACATGAATACTAACTGGCACACTCTTCGCATTCTTAATTCAGGCTGCATACAACCCTGGAAGGATCCTGTGGCATTCGAATCTCTTCTCAGATCCCATAATAATGTTGTTCCTCCATGGGACGGAAATGGGGTGGAGCTCTTGGACGACCTAGAGTCGCAGCCACGGACGCACTTCTACAACGAAACCGCCGCCTTTTGCGGGTTAATCGAGTTTAACCTCACGTATTATGCCAGGGATAAGCAAGCTGGCCGCCTTTTCTCTGAATTTGCTTGGCTTCAGAATATCTGCGACGCAAGCAAGGGACGTCATATGCAGAAGTTTTTCGACCGTCTCAATCAAGCTCACGACGAAGAAGACCTTGCATTCTTTGACTCTAAGCCTGTCACTGCCCATCCACGCGGACTGGTTCATCAAAGCTCAATCCCGCAGGTGTCAAACGTGACCTTTGCTAACATCATTGATGTGGCTACTCTAACGCATTCCTTTGACTTTGCTCGCCAACTTCTGCTTCAAGATGACATGGACGGCCCTGCCGTCCCACCCGCTGCATATGGCTCACAAGCCCTAGCGCCAGCCATTTTAAGATTTGCAACAGCCACAAAGGATGTCAATCTTGGGCAGAAAGTCATCTCCTCTCTTTCGGTGCCTCTCTCTGTCAACACCATCAAGTGTCTGATCAACTATCACATCTCACAACAAGGTTGGGATCGTGTTGAAATGATGCTCACATTCCTGGTTGACCACCGTGCCAAATCCTGGGGCTACAGTAATCTCGCTGCACTTGCAAGTGCAGTCATTCGACTCGAGCACACTCTTCGAATAAAGTCAGCAGCAGGCACAGCAACCAAGGTTGACGTTACCAATGTGGCCAGAGCCACAGACATCATGCTCCGCCTGTATCGGGGCGAATGGCCAGCTAGTCCAGACCGTCACAAGATTCGCTTCTTCCAACTTCGAGCACTATCCCGCATGCACCGCCTGCTAGCAACCATTCCAGGCCCAATGCCCGAAGTTTTCAAACGACTAGAAACACCCGAAGAAATCACCCCTCACCACAAACTCCCCCTTGTTCCCCCTCAATCATTCCACGACATCTTCTCCGCCATCGTCGAAACACAAGGCGCCATCATCGGCAAAAAAGTCTGGGACCAACACGTCATCGACTGGCTATCCCCAAAAAGATCCCGTCAAGCCCCAGGCGGCGTCTCCAGACTCCTCTTCAGCCACGAGAGAAGCAAAGAAACAGGCCAACCAGACTGGTCCGCAAAATGGTTCAACGAAATCCAAAAGAAATCCACCCTCGCCGACCTAAACACCATCAGAATCCTAGCCCGAGCTGCCTCCCGCGAATACGCCCACATGATGAATTCCCGCGCAGAAGGAAAACGCAAAGGCCATAACCTCGACTTACACGATATAGACGAAACCTCTTCCCCCTCCTTCGTCTACGATCCCAGAACCCCCTATATCCCCTCCATTTCCAAAGAACAATACCCCTACCAGCTCGAAGGCGGCCAGCCACCCAGGACAGAACTAGAGTCCATTCTGGACTTCTGTCTCGAGACTTTCCTCCGCTTTGGTCTGCCAGAGGACCAGATCGATCTTGAAATCCCGGGTCATATGCGCCGGATGCAGAAGAGGAATATCTTCTCGTATCCTTTGCGTAAACCTGTTAGGGATCGAATCAAGTCGAACAATAGTGATCCTTGGATTGGATCTTTCTGGTCGCAGTCTGAGGATGGTGAGGCTAGGTTCTAAAGGTCCTTGTTTTTTATATGTATTTTATACCAAAATCTTTCTAGATGTACATAATATCTGAGTCACAATAACCTTCATATGACATTCACATTAATTCCATGGGTATAGATGAGTCATGGGTAATGTACGTGAAGACATCGAGACATTGAACGTTGAGAAAAAAAAGTACCTAGTAATCCTGAAGTCCATACCTCGGTAGTAATGTGATGTACATTACAAGGGTAAACACTAGCCCTAGCAGAAAAACCCCATTCATAATAGGAGATTGAAAGATAACCACCCATATCCAAAGCATTTTATATCCTGAACCCCGAAAGAAACCATAAGAGGCCACATCAAGTTCCAGATGTTTGATAGATAATTCCAATATTGTGAACAGCAAAATTAGAAAAACACCCGAATGTCTGGACTCCATGTATCTCGAATCGAGAAAAATAATCAAGTGACAATGATGGAATCGAAAGAAATAGGGAAAGGCGAATTCGACAAGGTATAGGTAAGGATGATATATGATATAGTAGGGAAGTTTGGAGAAATGCAAACAAGAAACATTGAAAACAGAAATCAGAAGGCTATGAAGGGTTATCGAATTAAACATTGAACAAAGGTTGAAGATGAATGAAATGGCAAGGAGACTCGTGATCTTTTCAAGTTTTGGGGTTTTTGATATTTGATGTCATTTCGTTCCACCATTAATCATCATTTTCGTTGTTTGGGGGGAAGAAAGACCTCATGAATTCTCCGCTGATAGGATCATAAGGGAAATAAGAATCCTGAGCTTCGGCCGTTAACGTCGACATCAAATCCGTGGTCGAGATGGTAGGATAAGTGTAATGATCTTCACCAGGCGTTGGGGCAGGTACAGACACGGGGATATGTTCGAGCTGAGGACCCCAATAGTCGCCAACGGAGTGAGGGACGGGACCATCGTTCGCCTCTGAGCCGATGGTTGTGGTGGGCTCGGGGTGGTAAGGGTACTCGGGCATATCACTGACGTCGTATTTCATGCCTTGGGCGAGTTTCCGAAGGCTGAGATCACACAGCTGCCAGGCGCGTCTTGAGGCGATGCTTGTCTCGGACATTGCGAAGAGCCAGCGGGTGGCTTTTTTGGAGAGTTGGATGAATTTTTGCTCTTCTTCGGGCATGTGGACTGTGCCGAATGATAGTTCCAGGAGTAGGACTGTTGCTGCTTGCATGAGGTAATGGAGGACACACCACCAGGGTGCGATTGAATACAGTTGGATGGCGTTTGGTTCGTCGGGGATGAGATCGAGCATCAGACAGGCAGAGTTCAAAGTGATTACGGCCATGTCATGGCTGAAGGATGCGTGTGGGCCCTTTTGGCGCGCGTCGCGACGGCACAGACAGGGTCGGCCGAGAGTGATACGCGCGCTGTAGTAATGTAATGCCAGCGTAAGCTTACACCGCAGAATGTCAGGGCCATCTTCATGTGTGCGGGTGAAGTCGAGCTGCGACGGGAGACTGGATGCCCACATCTCGGTCCGAGATCTGAGTTCTCCAATACGATTCTCGATGTGCGCCCAAGGCACCATCACGCAGTCTACTGAGTAGACTTTGTTGACAATTTCTTGGACGACAACTGCCAGGTCACAGTAGTATAAGTAGCAGAGCCCATAGTTGATAGGCAGGCTTTTGATCCATGTGGTGTCTCGGGCTGTAGTATGATTTGTAGCTTCCTTGCCATTGGCTGGGTTGAGTGGCATTTGTCTGATGCACGAACTGGCTACTACATTGTTGATTCGTTCGTCTCGCAAGGCCGAATTTGTAAGAACTTCAAGAGCACCGGGTTCTTGCAGCTGGTCTTCTTCAAACGGAATTGGGAAGGGTGAGGTGCAAACACCATCTTGGATACATGTTGCACGGCCAGTCATTATTCCGAGCAGATGCTCGAAGGTATACAAGCACCACCAGACTCGGTAGCGGGCTTCTTTTGATAGATCTGGGGTAGTGGGCGCGCTGCTCTTCATGTTAATACCAAGGGTGATTGCCGAGCGCACCGCCAACGCCGAGATTCTCCAAGCCCTGTGCAAGCTGTCAGTTATCTGCTTGTGCCAGTTCAAACGGTCTGTGCAATGCTTACCTATTGATCTGGTCAGATGCCAGAAGGTAAAAGGCAATTAAGCCCTCTACTTGGACTTGCTGGAGATCAGGATGACTAAACAGAACATCGCCGTTCATGCTCAGAATCCGGGCTCTGGTCAGATACACCAAGTGGTCTTTCTCATCTCCACGCCATGGGGCGTCAGTCAAATGACCATGCTTTGCACCTATTGCAAAGATCATATTCAAGATAGCAAGCCACTTGTCGCCAGGCCGGGCAGCACTTTCGAAAAATGTTCGATATTGGGCAGCGAAAAGGGGTCTGTTGATAATGGGATAGAATGGGTGCACGGTAGTTAGGTAGGCATTGAACATATGATCTGCTGCTTCTCGGGATGGCATGGCATATAGCTGTACCGGGCCAGGCACAGAAATGTCCAAATCATCAAGGTGGTAGTTGACTGCATGTAGAGATAATGCATTGTCTGTTTGGCGATCCTGGCCAGGCTCCAAACTGCCTGGAAGACCCTGTGCGCGTTGATCGGCTTCTCTTTGCAGTCGTTGCATCCAAGTGATCTCGGAATTCTTGCCCATGTAGCCGGTTGCCCTGGTGTGTTCAGATCGGTTGAGATCCTCTTCCACTCGATCAATCGCCTCGAGGGATCCAATGGACGAGGGCGACGATGGTTCATCGTGCTCTGGGTTATCATCCTGAGGCGTTACGGAGTTCGATTGGGTGGATGATTCTTCCGTGTCTAGGCCATGCTGCAGTCAAATTGTTAGCCTTAAATAGTACAGGGATCGGCCTAGATAACGGACCTTGTCCAGCAAGCTCTTGATCCTTTCCGCAGCACGAGACTCAACAGTATTTCCTAACTCTTTCAACAATAATTCATATTCTTGTGCTTTTTCCGAAAGTTTTTCAACTTGTCTGATTTCAGGACAACGTTAGCTCATTCTTCACAGAAACCCTGCCATACTGCCCAGTTCCTACATCTCTGAGAAAACAGAGCAGTGCGAACTCCAGTGCACTTACTTTTTCGTCTTTTCCCTCCAACCCTGTGGATAGTTACAAGTCGCCCTCAACTCCCGACACTGACGGCATACAGGGGTATCGCCACTGCATTTTGTCTTACGGGCTCTGCATGATTCGCATGCGCGGGGAACACGGCGATTATAGCGCTGAGCGATTCCCGCGCGCTGGCGAGGAATCGCCACCTTCGTTTGAGCGGCCAGAGTCTGGTTTGTGAGGATGGAGGTGGAAGCGGCTCGTTTTGCGCCGAGCGTTGAGGCCGGCTCTGCAAGAGAGGGAGGTCGAGATGTGGCAAGGGCGCTATCTGGGTCTAGTTGATGGAGGGCTTCGCCTTGAGCATTTTGCTCTTGGTCGGTCTGTGGTACCGCTCCTTTAATTGTCATTATTTCGAGGTCGTAGATGTGTGGTTAAAGAGCGTGTGTGTAGAGAGGTGTTGGGGTGGATGATATCAATGTTGCGTTTCCGAAGCGGGACTATGCGCTTCGGCGTCCAGTAGCGACCAATGACAGGGCTAGATTGGCATAATAGAGATTTGGTTGCTGAATGTAGGAGTATGCATTGGTGAGGTGAGAGAGAACATGTTCAGTTTTCATAAATTCTTGTAGGAGAACAAGAGAAGACTAGGATGCCGGTTCTGAGTGGCGGGATGCGTAACCAGCGATGGGGCTGAGGGTGGATGTGATTGGACGGGGATGCTTAGTCAGGGCCGTTATAGAACCTTGGAACCTTCTACTTCGTTAAACTGCTTTACTTGCTTTACTTACTTGCTTAACTTGAGAAGTTAGGATATAAAATTGAGAAATTGAGAGGTGAAATAGTAAGATTGAAGAATATAGCACGCTAGCTTGTATTTTTGACACTTTTGATGAAGCCAGTCAGCCTTGAAACATCCTCCCAACCCATCCAGGGCATAAATAAAAACCACAAAAACATATGTATATATACAGGTGAAGATAGGCATTAGCAATAAAGAGGTAGAAGATGCGGGTAATAGACATGTACAGGAATGGCCGAGAGGCCAGAGAAGATGAGATTCGTGAGAGGAGAAAGTCGACAACAGATGGCGTTTAGATTTCGCCAAACATCTCATCGAGTTCATCGACTTCCACCATCTCGGGGTTTTGTAGTTCCCGCCACGAGTCGAAGACAGGCTCGGAGCTCATGGACACGGGACGAGGAGTAAGTGTGAGTCGCTCATGTGATTCCGTCAGATCAGACATCTTGAGATCAACGTCCGGAAGGCCGCTGTTCAACATATCCAGGGAACGCTTGAGAGTGGACACAGGGGCAGCATCCGGATCCTCGGGAAGAGCGATCTGGGGAGCAGCAGGTTTGCCCGCAAGCGCAAGATCCATACCGGCATCGGTCAGACTCGTGCCAGACGAGACAGACGACGCGATGGAGGTGAGAGAGGGAGAGGGCGAGGTGCCGAAGAGGGCGGTCGCAGCGGCCTCGTCGGCATCCTGGGCCATGTGGTCGGCGGGCATGTGGGAGAAGTAGTCGCTGTACTCCTCTTCGGACATGCCATCGCCGTGAAGAGAGGGGGACATCGAACCCCCATTTACAGAGGGCTCGGAAACACCCGCATCTTCCATGGCGCTCAGGCTCTCAGAGAGAATCGACTGGCTCCGGCTGGACTCGCTGGCTTTCTCTTCAGATGCACGCTCACGCACAGCGCTGGCGGTTTGAGTGAATTCCTTCTCATCGCCCTCCAGGGGCGGGGAGGCCGCACGGTGTGAGTGCATGAGACGGGTGAGATTACTGGCATCAGGGAAATGCTCTGAGGTGGTTCCGTGAGAGGAGTGAAGATCTTCTTCAAAGTCCGGGGAGGACAAGTCCACTTCGGGACTGGGGCTACGTTCCCGCATCATCGCGTCTTCCTCATCCTCGAGACTGGAGACACTGGGTGTGATTCGCTTGCCATCTACGGCAGGAACAACATCGTCAGTCTCGGGAATGGATTGATGAGGGAACGTAGTGAGGTAGTAGTACACTTTGCGCGGGTGAATTAAGATAAGCTCCTTGGCAATCGGGCACGGCGCCAGAGCCGTCCACGAGCGCTTCATATAGGCGGCCAACCGGGAAGACAAGAGTGCGGCCGGGTTGGCAGAGCTAGAGAGATTCTGGTTAGCGATGTTTTGGGTGTGTTGTGGATGAAATACTCACTTTGCGACATTCACGTTCAACGCGACCAAGACGGCGGCGAGTTCCTTCACGAGATGGGGTCGATTCCCAGTCTTTTCGAGTTGGTTGATCACGGCGACCACGATATCATCATTAATTCCTTCTGTGTCGATCTTGGGCGCATGCACCCCGTCCATGGGCGAGGGAGGGGGTGTATGCTCGAATAATCCATGTCGGCCCGCGCGCGCGGCGATCTTGTCGGCCGGCTCAGGCGATAATGAAGTTCCGTGTGATCTCTTCACTTTTTTTGTTGGGTGTTCTTCGGTGTGCGCTTTTGAGAGAGAGGGAGAACGACGGGATGAATTTGGGAGTTGTATCCCCAGTGATGGCAGGGAGAGTGACTTGCGACGGGTGTTGTACGGCATTGTAAAGTGAAACAAGAATCGAGAGGAAAAGAGAGAACAGGATATCAGAGTAATAAACAAATAACAGAACAGAATAAGATAATAATAAGATGGACAAAGTCTAAGGATTAGAAAGGGGGATGAGGGAAGATAGATGCGAAGCTCCCAAGACTGTTTATGGCAAATTACGTCTCTCGCAGGAAAAGAAGAAAAAAAAAGTGGTAGATTACCGGTATTGTCATTACGCAGATTTCTGTGGATCTGGCAGGCTTCCGTCTAGATTAGGTAGTCTGTGATTGGTGGATGTGAGTGGAGCCTGAACTTACCCATCTTTTCTTTTTTTTTTTTTCTTTTTCCTTTTTTTTTCCAGCGAATTCAATTGGGAATGTAGACACTCGACCATGGGAATGGGACTGATGTCTTATGTACTCGTACATTGTTCTACTTTCCCTACATTATACATTAAATATACCTCGGTATTAACATATTAGCTCTTCTACACCGTCTACTCTACACTCCCTACTCCATGCTACTTTAATTCCTACTCGTATACACCGCTCAGAAAAACAAAAAAAAGGAAGTGGGGATCCATACTCCTTAGCCCGAAAATCCATAGTTCTTCGGTCTTGGTCTAGTGGACCCGGCCATGTGTTCTGTACATTCTCGTACTCGTCTCTTCCGACTAGATCCAATTTTGTGCTCCATTCTAATTTCATGGTCTCCCGATGTCGATGTGCACAACCCGACTAATCACAAGAGGGACCTGTGAATAATAATAAGACATACCGATTGTGTGATTGGATATCTATAGATGGAGAAGGGCTGGTCCAGAGTGATGCAGATGCATTCGACCTGTCGACTCGTTGCTAGGTGACGCTTGACCGCTTCGGATGTATCTAAGGGACTATCGCGGTTATTCAAAATAAAGTACCTAGGTATACATCAGACACTCGAGAACTACTCGTACTGTCTCTATAGGGTTCCTGAAGGACGATAGAAGAGTTCAAGACTCTATACAAAAGAGCCGAGGGCTTCCGGAACACCGAAATCCAAAACAGCTCCCTAGCGTAGCCGTTTTAGCAAAGAAAAAGGAAAAATAGAGCAGCCCCACTACACAGTGGATCCCCAGACCCCATTCGTCGGGTCAACGATCAATCAGCGTCGTGGTACGGTATTGTACATGACACTAGTAAGGGATGCTCACATTAGCGTCTCGGGGAGAAAAGGAACAATGTTTGCCACCATGGAGCTGAGACGCTGGTTGTTTTGCCCCAAGCACTTCGTATGTACGACTACATTTGACTGAGATCTATCGTTTACATCTTATCGTTTAAGATAGATCTCGCTGCATACTCGTAGGCACAGACGTTCAAACCTGCATAATGAAGTATCTAAACTACAGGTAGACGGAGTACGCCGTGTCTCTTCCAAGGATTTCGTGGTTATGATGACATCCTTCCAGCCATCCGGATCTATATCCACCTTCTACGAGTAAGTTCGCCTTCTGATAGCCTAGCCCCAGAGAAGTAGGCATTATTGTCGATATGTACTCTGTACATGTCTGCGCATAATCTCCGTACTCGTACCTAAATTTCAATGCGCGGTAAGGGGTGACACCGGGTAGTAGCATTGTTATGAAGTGAGATCATCATCCCTGTCAACGGAACTCCCTACGAGTCATATTGAAGATCTCCGTTTTCATGACATCGACCACTCTGACCCAAACTCTCGGAAGGGCCTACCGTGGATGGTTAATACATATGCCGAAAGGAAACATATGATTTATCTGATCGCAGACCTTATATTCGCATTGTTGGACATAATGCAGGGGAATTCTCCGCATCCCCACATGTCTGCGACGTTGTACTCTGCATTTTAGACTTACGGAGTATTCCTACATTTTTTGTCAGTCTCCGTACTTCGTATGACGATACTCCATATCTGTACTCGGAGCATGTCAATCAAATCATTCCATACGAACATACCCAACAGGATTGCATGCGCCATCCGATCAACCAATAACAGGCGCATGAACGATCAATATCGAAACCTTGCCTGAAACCACTCTGCCTCAAACTTCGGGTCATCGCATCATTCAAAGAAATCCTGAAGTCAATGGGGACTAGCCGCAAGACACGGAACAAACCCTGTAAAGATCTGCAACTTGCATGCAAATCATTGACCGAGATTGGACGGGGCTTAATCCCAAGAACCCGTCGTTTACACTGACTAAATGGACATGGCCAATCTGAATATGACCTGTGAGAAGCGTGAGCCGCTAATTCATAAACCCTGCCATCGATACCTTCCTATGTGGGTAAATGTCGTCCGATAGGGTCCCTTACCCCTCTACAGTACAGTACATCTCGATGTCGGGGTCTCGAGGGGAAGCGGAGTCGACTTGCCTGCCCCATATCTGAAGCTTGTTTCCTGGCTTCTGTATGGGGGTGGAGGGGATGTTTGCGCAAGCTTAATATAGCTTGCGTCATGTAGATGCTCGCGGGGTGAATCAGTTGATGTCAGATCAATAATGAATTTGAATCATGCTCAGATAATTCTTATCTTCCTGACGTCTCTCCTGAGGTCGTCAGACAGTCAGCAAGATACATGCGATTATGTGCAGCTTCTAAACTCCACTGCTTCAGCATAAAGAGGCGTGTACTTAAGTAGGTAGGGCGGACGACCGCAGAAGTCAACGCCACAATTTTCAAACCCCCACTCCGGGATCTGACTATTGAATTACCTGGAAATGAAAAGTACAGATCCTGATCCTGAGTCTAGAATCGCATGTCACTTGCATTAAACCTCGTGGATTCTTGACTTAGTGGAAGTTTGCTTGCACTCATACGGAGGTGGCTAACATAAATACTTGGCTCTTGTGCAATTGGATCTATGGAGCATGGAATACTCCATAACACCAGTTTAGTTCTGATTAGAGTTTCCTATCAATAAGATTGTCGCCATCGATTCGTTGGATCTATGGGTTCGGAGTATATTTTTGGTATTTGCCTCGAACGGTCGACGCAATGACTCTCCATGCCGACTCTTAGGGCTTGGGGTTTTAGAATACACCTGGACAGCGTGGTTGAAAGAACAATCACTAAAGTCCCTGCAAACTCCGTACTTTGTACCCCGTACTCACCGCTGCTTTTTTTTTATATGTAAAAAAAAAAGACCGAGGAATACTGGAACGCTCGAGTGTTTCGATGTTTTCTCCCTTTGGTTATATAGAAATGTCTTACGGCGAAAGATGGAAGTACCCCAATGCATCTCAGATTATATATCTCAATGAACATCGACCGCATCTAGTTCCTCATAAATAGCCCTCTTGATATCCTCCTCAGCCCAACACATATCCACCGCATTTCTAACAAACTGCACCATCTCACTCTTCCCAAACCCACAGAAACTATAAACCTTCTGCATATTCCCATCAACCCAAACATCATGCATCAAAGTCGGATCATCACTATTAAAACACATCTTCACCCCCCTCTCCCACAACCTCCGTATCTTCGGAAACAAAACCTCCGTCTCCGTCCGCCGATGATAAGCATGCGGACACAACGTCAATCCAATCCCCCTATCAACCAACCCCCTCCACAACACCTCCTCATCCTCAGCATCTAATCCATGATCAATCCGTTCCGCCCCCAACCCCCCACACACCCGGAAGATAGCCTCCCCCATATGCTCATGTGTATCCTTCTGCCCAAAATCACAATGCATAGTAACATGTAGTCCGTCCGCACGCGCAAGCCTAAACCCCTCCTCAAATAACATAGGAGGTCGCTCGTAGGCATTACTAGCCAACCCAACAGCATGGAAAAGACCCTTTCCATCTTTACCAGCTGCCCACGGTCTGGCCTGTGCATACGCATCCAAACCAGACTGAACCGGTTCATCGCGTAGAAAACAAAAGATCCAACGCGAGTGCACGCCCAGTTTTATTGCGTCCCGCTGTGCGCGCAGGTATCCGTTCAGAACTGCGGGGGCGGGAACCCCGCGCCGTGTATGCGCTTGGATATCGAAGAAGGGCTCTGTGTAGCGGACTTTCATCTCGGCGCATCGGGTCAAGTATGCCATTGCTAGGTCGTAGAAGTCGACTTCTGTTTGGAGGACTTCACATCCTGCAAAGTAGGCTTCGAGGAATGTGGGGATTCCGGGTTGTCGGCCGTTGAGCTCTGGTCTGTGGTTGAGGGTTATGGCATAGGAGGCTTTGAGGTCTGAGAAGGTGGTATATGGGAGTTTTATGTTGTTGCGGTGGGCTAGTTCCCAGCGTAGAGATGGGGTGAGGGTTCCTTCGATGTGGACGTGGAGCTCTACTTTTGGGAGATTCGCTATGAATGGTGATATCGGGAGACCGTTCATTGTGGAGGTTTTTAATGCGAGGACTCTGGATACGGGATGACCTTGGGGTATTGTTTGAAGTTGTTTATCAAGTTCAAATGCTCTGGGCAAGTATTTAAGTAGAGGGTGTAAGTGTCGGGACTTAGTCGGAGCCCTAAATTGCTTGGCTTGGATTCCTCCAATTGCGGACTCGCGCAGAATCTCGATAACAATGTAACAATGCGAGCGGGGAAAGATAACAGTTTGCATAAGAAGGGAGATATCGTATTTATCTTTTGGATTCATTTCGTTCAAAACAGCCATGGCCACGACAGAGACAAGCCCAGCACCAGATGGTGCATTAGAGGCCACGAACAACATGGGGAAAAGAGTACTGAAGAAGATTGACAGAAGGCTCATACCCCTGCTCTTCACCACCTATATGTTCAATTTCATGGACAAGACCATCTTGTCCAGCGCCTCTGTCTTTGGACTACGCGATGACACAGTAAGAACATTCCAAAACCCGTCTACACACGGATCTGATAGTTCCAGGGCTTGGTGGGCCAGCAGTATAGCTGGGTCTCTTCAGTTTTCTACTTTGGATACTTGGGATGGGTTTACCCAACAACATTACTGATTGCGCGTCTGCCTGCCGCCAAGTATATGACAGCTAACACGCTCTTCTGGGGTGCTGTGGTAGCACTTACGGCGGCCTGTACCAATTTCGGTGGACTGGTGACTGTTCGCTTCTTGCTTGGAATGGCCGAGGCAACTGTTACGCCGGCATTTATGTTTATCACTTCAACTTGGTATACGCGCGATGAAATCCCCACCAGGACGGGGCTGTGGTTTGCTGGAAATGTGAGTTCATGGCCTTTATGCTCAGGGATGGAATTTGACTAGTCTACAACAGAGCGTTGGAGGCATTGTTTCAAGTCTATTAGCCTATGGTCTTGGTCATATCACCGACCACGTTGGGCCGTGGAGATGGATGTTCATTGTCCTAGGTGTCGCAACCTTCCTCTGGGGCTTCGCCATTTGGACACTGCTTCCCGACTCAATTTCCAAGGCCAAATTTCTCACTGAAGAGGAGCGCCAATTTGCAATCAACAGGGCAGTCCTTGCTGGAACAGGCTCAACGGAGAAGACAGCTTGGAAGTGGGACCAGGTCATTGAATGCCTGATAGATCCAAAGACCTGGTTAATATTCGGTTTGGGAATATGCACCCAAATCCCCAACGGCGGAACACAGAACTTCGCCAATCTAGTCATCGTCTCCTTCGGTTTCACAAATCTCCAATCAACCCTCCTCACCATCCCTTACTCCCTCATCACCGTGGCCACAATCACAGGAACAGGCTGGCTAGCCGGCCGCTTCCGCCAACTAAACTGCCTCCTAATTGTAGCAGTGGTGATCCCTTGCGTCATCGGCAGTGCAATAATTTACTCCCGTGCGCACATCGTTCTGGGCGTGCAGCTGTTTGGATATTTCCTTTTGTCGACGGGACCTGCAGCAATGCCTTTAGCAATGTCTCTGGTGCAGGCGGATTACCGGGGAGTCACTAAGAAAATGACAGTCACCGCAATCTTGTTCCTTGCGTACTGTGCAGGCAACATCTCCGGCCCTCAGTTTTTTCTGAGCGAGGAGGCTCCGCATTACAATACTGCGTTTCGTACTATTATGATCTGCTATGCATTGTCGGTTGCACTGGCCCTGACATTGCGCTTTTACCTGCAGTGGACGAACTCTCGTCGTGTGAGACTGGAAGGCTTTGAGGGCAGTGCTGGGAATGCAGGTGCTGTTGGGAAGATCTCTGATCCCAATGATTCGCGAGATGTGGATATGAATCCAGTGCAGTTGGTTTCTAGTGACTATGAGGATATCACGGATTGGAAGACGCCGGGGTTCAGGTATCGGTACTAACGAGACAGAGCCGAGGACGCTACATCCATTGATATGCCATTAATCTGCTAGCCCTGGACGATGTCTTTATACCCGTGGAAGTACCCTTACTATCGTGATTTCAGGAGAGCATGCCAAATATCATTATATTCCGTGAACCAGTAATCAAAGCTCAGAGCTGGTGAAAAAAATCAAATCTATATCATTCGAATACTATACACATTCCCTTTTCCAATTATAATACAGTTCAAATTCAAACATAAAGAGCCAAATTATCAAGATGACTTCTCATCCGTCTTAGGGCGCAACACATACCGCCACGTAGTTCCCATATGCCAACGCTTCTCCTCCACAATCTCCAATCCACTCTCACGCACAATCGCTCCAATATCCCGATTCCACCAACATCCATGACGATCCGCATGGGCCGGCGCAAGATTATCCAAAATCCGATTCAGCCAATCGTAATAAGAACGACCATGCTCAAGCAACAAAATCCGACCACGAGCAGGCTCAGTAATGGATCCAAGATGTCGCAGCGTCGCAGCAGGATCAGGCATCGAACACAACCCCATCGTCTGCAAAACAGTATCATACTGCTCCCCAGAACGCAATCCAACAGACCCCGCATCCCCAGTCTGGAAACTAACACCCGAGAAAGTAGGATTTAGCTTCTCAAACTTCTCCTTCGTGATTGCAATCATCTGCGGACTCAGATCTAGGAATGTAATGCTCCGACAACCGAGCACGCTTGCACGGCCGTCTTTATCGGTCCCTCTTCGTTCGCCAAGTTCATAGAATGGAAGGTTCCGTCCTGTGCCGCAGCTGACTTCGAGGACATTTCCGCGCGCCATTTGGACTAAATCGCGTCGCTTCTTACCCAGTCCCATTGCCTTTTCTGAGATCGCGACATCTGCATCGAAGGTCGATGCTGTGGAGTTATACCGATCTGAGACATCGCGTGGGACATTGAGTTTAGACGCGTTGGTCACTTCTCTTCTGTATGATGTGTACAGATAGCCACAGTATGTGCTGATGGTGAGAGCAGTGATTCCCAGAAATGTCAGAGCCCTGGGTGGAATTCCATGGCCGCGTGAGCCTGAGCCTGTGGGGACTTCTGCGGCTTTTGGAGTCGCCTGGGGACGACGTTGATATGATGGACTTGGTTGTCTCTGTTTCAATATCGCTGGCTTTGGACTGGTTTATGTTTAGGTATGCGCCTTGCTGCAGGATTGGGGGTACGGACCTTGTTTTTTGGCGGGATGCTTTGCTTGATGCGCTGCGGGTTATACCGTAGCTTGTCAAGGGCGTCTTGCACCATCGAGTCGCGTTCATTGTTTCACGAGATTTCTCTCCAGGTAAGCCGAGACTCTAATGGGCAGTATAGAAACCCTAAGAACCCCAGAATTTCGGGAGGAAAAAAGTCGGGTCGGAAGCCGGGGAAGTCGGTGGACTCCGTTATCGGCTATCGGTCTCTTGGGCATTAGCCCACACACTGCACTCTACACACAATTGCACACTGCATATATCTGCATACTGCAATGGCATTGCCACAAAAGATCCTGATTATCGGAGGTGGTGTCTTCGGACGTGAGTGCCTACAGTCCCCAATGCCATTGTCTACACATACAATGGATCCTTATCTCCCCATGTCCATACCGTAGGTACCATTGACTCACTAACAAACGCAGTATCAACCGCCCTCTCCCTCTCAAAGCGCCACCCACAAAGCCAAGTAACCATAGTCGAATCATCCCCCACAATCCCCAACCCGCACGGCTCATCCGTCGACACATCTCGCATCGTGCGCGCCGACTACGCAAACGCAGCATACTCCCAGCTCGCGGCAGCAGCCATTGAGCGCTGGCGCAACACAGACTGGGGCCGGGAAGGCCGGTATACTCAAAATGGCCTGTTGCTGGTCTACCCTCCGCAAAGTGTGAGTGCGGAAAAGTACGCGCGCAAGAGTTATGCCAATGTCCGGAAGATTGAGGGCGATAATGTTCAGTTCTTGCCTAGCCAGAAGGAGGTGCTTAGTGTTGTTCCGGCTTATGGGAAGGAGTTGGATGTTGCGGGGGGATATGTGAATTGGGGATCTGGGTGGTCTGATGCTGCTGCTGCTGTTGCATATGCGAAATCGCTGCTGGATGCTGAGGGGAAGGTTGGGTTCCGGACTGGGAATGTGCAGAGGATTCTGTATGAGGTTGTTAATGGGAAGTCGAAGGCGAGGGGGGTGATGCTTGCGGATGGAACGAGTATTGAGGCTGATCTGGTTGTTGTTGCTGGTGGTGCGTGGTCGAGCAAGTTGGTTGATTTGCGGGGCCGTGCTGTTGCGACTGGTCAGGCTATTGGGTATATGCGGATTTCAGATGAGGAGCAGCGCGAGTTGGAGAATCTGCCTACGATTTTGAACTTTGAGACTGGCATTTTCATTATCCCCCCGCGACACAATTTGCTGAAGATTGCGCGGCATGCGTTCGGGTACCGCAATCCGACTGCGGTTCCGGTTCCTGGTGGAGAGCAGGGGAGGACTATGGAGGTTAGTTTGCCTGAGAATGGGGCGCCTGTGCCGGCGGAGGGATTGGATGCCTTCCGGGTTGCGTTGAAGCAGCTGCTGCCACGGTTTGTGGATAGGGAGTTTGTTGATACCAGGGTGTGTTGGTATACTGATACGTGAGTTTATTGTGTGAGATTGTTGTTGAGTGGGATTCTAATCTGTGAGCAGACCTAAGGGTGACTTTATTGTTTCTTACCACCCCGAGCATGAGAGTCTTTTCCTTGCTACCGGTGGCAGTGGGCATGCATTCAAGTTCTTCCCTGTGCTTGGAGACAAGGTTGTTGATGCAATGGAGGGAACGCTTGACCCTGAGCTGAGTGAGATGTGGACTTGGAGCGCTTCCGCTGCATCAACTGGAGAGGACTTTGACGGTGATGGTAGTCGATCTGGGGAGAGGAGAGCGAACTTGAAGGACGAATTGGCCAAGACGACGAAGGCGACACGAAGCAGTGTGCTGTAAATCAATATGCATAGGTGCTGGCTGTACATATCATAGACAAAAGCATTTACATACTTCAGATGTCTGCCAGAGAACAAGTACATAGAGTACTACTTAGGTAGACATATACATACTCCTAGACATTCACCAGCCGACATCTATTTCTAGCTCAGTACACGGACGAACTACACAGCATTGAAAAGAATTAAGATATCAATATTACAAGCACATTATTAGAAGACATTTTCAAAGTTTTCATTTGGCTACTGAGTAGCGTGTTAAAAGGCCCATTGATATCCCAAGGGGTATCAAAGCAAGTGTAGCATAGCTTTTTTTTTTGGCCCATGTCAGATGATCTGCACATGGATGAACCAGAGCAAAAAAAAAAAAAGTAAAAAAAAAGATTAAAACGAGGCAGCGATCGACCGGCGCACAACCGCCTCACTGCTGGTCGCAGCAATCTAATGTGTAAGGGACGCGGAGTTGGTTAGAATAAAAACCGGGGATCATCCAAGAAATCGCTAAAACGCCCAACTATGCTTGCATGAAGGAAATTCGGAAGAGTCGTAAACAAAGAAATGGAGCGAGACCGAGGTCGGGCGCCGAAAAGCAAAGCAGTGTTAATACAAGGTTGAATGCGTAAGCAAGTGATCTCCTGAGCGTCTTTAGACCTTGCGGAAATCTGGGAATGGTTAGCATGGGGTGTAGACACTACAGGTAAAAAGGTGGACTCACCAGACAGCACAGGGTAGATCAACTCGAAAGCCTGGTAAATCTCCTCGCGGACCTTAGCACCAGTCAGGACAATTTTGCCACTGACGAAGATCAACAGAACGATCTTGGGCTTCATCATGCGATAGATCAGACCAGGGAAGAGTTCAGGCTCGTAGGAGCTGAAGTTGTGGTGACGAGAGGCCAGTCCCTCCAAACGGATGGGGAACTTGATGTCGCAAGAGCCGACGATGTTCTGGATCTTGAAATCGGTGAACTTGGCATTGAAGCCAAGCTTCTGAATGATACGCGCGTACTTGCGCGAGGCGAGCTTCGAATCGTCCTCCGACTTGGCACCGGTCACGACCATCTTACCAGAGGCGAAGATGAGGGCGGTAGTCTTGGGTTCACGAATACGCATGATCACGGCAGCAAAACGCTAAGGAGAGAGCCAAGTTCAGCCACACTGTACCCTGGGGTGTGTTTCAGGGAAAGGTGGGATAGATACCTTAGGGTTGTACTCGGCGTTGCGAGCGTGAAGCGCGATGGTCTTGAGGTCAAGACGGCAGTCAAGGTTGACGGTAGCCACGATGTTCCTTTTGGTAGTAACTTGTTCAGCCATTCTGGTCACCCAGAAAAACATCCAGAGTATACTCACTGCAGGGTTGGGACGATGCCAGAGCTGCCGGTCGTCGCGCCAGGGGTCGCAGCGGGGGTCGCAGGCGAAGCGGGAGTCACCCCAGTGCCGGTGGGGGCAATTGCAGCCTGCTGACCGTTGACACCCTGAGCCATAGCCTCTTTCTCCGAGTTGGGAGGAGTGAGATCACCCGCTCCACCAGGGAAGGACAGCGACGAGGTAGCAGTGAAGGCACGAGCCTGCTGCGCATTCGAGGGGTGGGTAGTAAGAGAGTCCATGTTGGAAACTCAAATAACCGAGTAGATAGAAGATAGCTGCAGTGAACAGTCAGCAAGACTGAAAGTAAACAGAGGAGAGGGAAGAGAAGTGACGATGCGACAAACACGCAAGTGAATGCGGGAGTGTGAAGACGAGAGAGAAGAGTGACGCGGAGAACGTGGGCAGAACAACAAAAAAGGACGAAAGCGGGAAGAGCTTACCTGGGAGATGGACAACTCAATGTATCCCCCTACGAGGTATTCGCAAACTTGTGTAAGATCACAGTGTAGCGAAACCAACGCAGTCAATGAACCGAAGTCAAGAAGAAAAAAATATCACACTGAAGTGTTTTTTTTCTCAGCGACGGTGAGATTATGGCAAAGCAACCTTTTTTTTTCTTCCTTTCGAGATTGAAAGTATTGGATCTTGTTTTTTTCTTCGCTCTTGGAATGGGATTGTGTCTATCTGTGATAACGAAAAAGAGAGTGGATGGTGAAGTTCGAAACCTGGGAAACCTGGCTTGTCTTCTATATCAGTCCGTTTGGTTAAAAAAAAAAAAAAAGAAACCTGAGAATTAGGGTCTTTCAGATAAAATCGGAGATTAGATCTGATAAGAGGCAGATAGGAGGGGAGTAGAAGTTCCGAATAGAGATCCGCCAAGACCGAGACTGGAATCCCAAAAGCGAAAAATGGGGGGAGGTTGGCCCCTTTTATAGTGCTGAGTCACAGCAAAGAGGCTGGAGTGGCGCTAAAAGCAGCACTCCCCTCAACCGTGGATTCATGGACTAGCGGCTCTGGATGCCCCTCTGTGGGTGATAAGGACATTTGATTCGTCCCTTGCGTAGACAGGCCCCCACTGTAACAGCAACATTCGCCCCTGAATGGTTGATCCACCCTTGCTTTTTCTTCCTCCGGCGCGGACGTTGGCGCCCACCCTGCAGCTGATAGTCCGTGTCGACCCAATCATCATTGGTCACCGATCCTCGGCTGCTTGGTACGACGCGCTATCCTCTTGCCGCTTTAACAGATGGCAACTGAACAAAAATTCTGTGTGAATTCTGATTTTTTTTGCCTTGTTTCCTCCCCTACCCTGCTCTGACCTCACCACTATTATAGCTCATCTATAGTATTCTCTGGATATGAAGTACGGAGGATGGAGGAGATGATAGCTAGATTCTTTGTCTGCAGACTCTATCTCTATCTTTAGTGTTCCTATACTCAACCTCCAACCAAAATTCCCATCAGGACAGGTGGCCGTTCAGATTCTGCCTGGCGGTGGCGCTCGCGTTCGCGTCGACCCGCTGCCAAGACTAGATGGATCTCATGGTATGCGTTCTGGCGATCAATCATTTCATCCTTACTCAACTGCGAAGTACTTTTACGAAGGACAGAACAGATATGCCGGAGTTATGCTCATGTTGTGACGGTATTTCGAATTACATTTCCCAACTTCTGGCATGTCGAGTATGTTACATCCGTACAAATACCATACCGGAAGCAATGCAGTCGTCACATTCCAGAGGCAGTAATTTTACAAACGGAAAACCGCGGACGTTTGGCTTGACCTGACATCTCTATTACTCATACTCTGTACGCTCCAGGGCTGTAATCCGTAGTGCTCCAATACTCTAAATATGACAGGGTTATTCTCTGGAGTATAACTTCGGAGTACGGAGGACTAAACCTACAGAATGATGTCAATCTTCTTTGACAGGTATCAAAGGGCTTTATGGTAAGCATCTTAAGCATGTGATTAGTGAACTCTTAGCGCTGGACTCGTACGAAGTATACCAGGGTTCGAATGCCGCACTCATCACAACTAACTACTAGAGTTAGTTAGTAGATGTATGGAGAACACCAACGCGCTATCCCCGTACTCTGTACTCTGACCCTGATCTGCTGGTGGAGTATACTTTCCGTTTTCGGCACTTCTGCCTCAGGCTACCGGGGATAATCGCCGAGTCTCCCATTGGCCAAAAGAAAATGCCGAGGGTAGGCGGTTTTTCGGCGTTTTGTGAACTCGACCTGAACGTCGGCTACTGGACTCTGGGGATCTAAATATCCTGCTCCGCATTTAACCTTGTCATGCCCATTGTCCGCTAGAGGTCTCACAGCGACCTTTGCAAACTCTTTACCATGTCCAAACACACAGTCCTGCCTCTATTGAGGCGAGAGCTACGATCCTCTCGATTCTCATCCTCCATCCCCGCCATTGCCACCCCAGCTCGCCAGCCAGCTCAGTCGAGAGCCTTCGGAACACGGCTAGCGCGGCGAACGACGCTCTTCACCGCACCCCCGCAAACCCGGGCCTTTTCGCAATCGCTCTCAAAACGCTTCACCGACGAGAATGGAGACTTTGACCCCCGCGCATTGGAGCGCGAGTCAGATGATGTGGATGTGTGCATTGTTGGTGGTGGTATGTTGGTGTCGTGTTGGTTTCTCTGTAACCCAAGCTAAAATTTTGGTCACAGGTCCCGCCGGTCTATCCGCCGCAATTCGCTTGAAGCAGCTCGCCAACGAGGCAGGCAACGACGAATTCCGGGTCATTCTGTTGGAAAAGGCTGGTGAATTGGGTGCCCATATCGTTTCTGGAAATGTTTTACAGCCAACTGCTCTTAACGAGCTTCTTCCGGACTGGCTGTCCGAAGATAACCCCTCGCGCTTCGAGGGTGCGACGCCTGCCAAAGGTGATAAGATGCGCTTCTTGACGAAGAATGGCTCGTACCCCCTCCCCACGCCGCCGCAGATGCACAATGAAGGAAACTACATTATCAGTCTGAACGAACTGACCAAGTGGTTGGGGGAGCGCGCCGAGGAAGTCGGCGTGGAGGTATACCCGGGTTTCGCTGCTAGTGAGATGGTTTATAGCTCGGATGGTGCGGTCAAGGGTGTTGCGACGAACGACCTGGGTCTTGGCCGCGATGGCAAGCCCAAGGAAACATTCGAGAGGGGAATGGAGTTCCATGCCCGTGTCACACTCCTCGCGGAGGGCTGCCACGGTAGCTTGACCAAGCAGGTCTCGAAGAAGTATGATCTCCGACGTGACAGTCAACCCCAGACCTATGGTCTTGGAATCAAAGAGATCTGGGAGATCCAGCCGGAGAAGTTCCGCTCTGGTGAGATCACCCATTCCATGGGATACCCTCTTCCCAAGGACACATACGGTGGAGCATGGATGTACCACTTTGGCGATAACATGGTGAGTATTGGCCTGGTGGTCGGGTTGGATTACCCGAACCCGTGGCTTTCACCGTACGGGGAGTTCCAGAAGATGAAGCACCACCCTATGTTCAAGGAAGTTCTGGAGGGCGGCAAATGCATCTCATATGGTGCTCGCGCCTTGAACGAAGGTGGTTTCCAATCGATCCCCAAGTGCGCCTTCCCCGGTGGTGCCTTGATCGGTGACACCGCCGGTTTCTTGAACGTGCCCAAGATCAAGGGCACTCACACCGCAATGAAGTCTGGTATGCTGGCCGCCGAGGCCACCTTCTCCGCTCTTCAGAGTGAGAACAATGGCACAGTCTTCCTGTTCGACTATGAGAAGTCCTTGCGCGACTCATCCATCTGGAAAGAGTTGTCCGAGGTCCGTAACATCCGACCCTCCTTCAACTCCCCCTTCGGCTTCTTCGGTGGCCTCCTCTACTCCGGCCTCGAAGCCTATCTCTTCAAGGGCCGGGTCCCCTGGACCCTGAGCCACCACGGCACCGACGCCGCAGCCACCAAGCCCGCCTCCGCCTACGAAAAAATCGATTACCCCAAGCCGGATGGCGAGATCAGCTTCGACATCCTGACCAGTGTGAGCCGCACCGGCACGAATCACGAGGAGGACCAACCGGTCCACCTGCAGGTTGCGGACTGGGATAAGCACAAGGATGTTGCATGGCCCATGTACAAGGGTATTGAAAACCGGTTCTGCCCCGCAGGCGTCTACGAGTACGTGGAGGACCCTAGCAAGGAGCACGGAGTCCGGTTCCAGATTAACTCTCAAAAGTAAGTGTTTCCTCCTGACTGTTTTGGGACGCCCACTTACCTTCCTCTAGCTGTATTCACTGCAAGACCTGTGACATCAAGGTGCCCACGCAAGATATCAATTGGCAGACGCCCCAGGGTGGAGAAGGTCCCAAGTATATGATGACCTGATTTAATTCGGCCAAGGCCATGTACATAATATCAAATTAGAAAAATCAAGTGTACAGAAACAGTACAGGGTATAGACAGAGTACAGAGTATAGACCGTCGCATAAAAACAGAATAGAGTCCGGAGCCATGCGAGCAGAACCACAGATCCCCACGCGGGAACCGTGGAATGTTAGTGGAGAGTCCCTTACATCGTGAACATCTATAACATCGACATCTATACATATACATAGTATAACTACTTGTATACTACTGCACCCATGAATACTGTATAGCTTGTCTAGATCTATCGAAATGAGAAAGTTATCTATCATTCTCTGCGACAAGTAAAACTCGACTCATCGCGCTGGGACCACGTGGATCTCGAAAAAGTGAGGCGGCCAAAGTTTCCAGTCCACCGCCAGATCGTACTTTCTTCTCTTTCCCCTCCTGACATTGCGCTTTTCTCTTTACTGCTGTCGTCCGGCTCTTTCGCATTGCAATTTCAGCCTTGGGAGTTCCGCTCATTTGCTACCTGTACGCGCTTTCCTGCATCGTGCATCCGCGGGCGCCTACGTTTCACAACCACCTTTTGATCTCCTCCACCGCTGGATCCTCACTTGGCCACATCCTCTTCCCTGAACTCCTCCCAGGACTCTACCCAGAGTAAACAACCCACAAAGATGACTGAGGTGTCGTCAACCCGCCTTTATCTGGGGAATCTTCCCCGCAACGGTACGCTGGCACTCACCCCCCATTCCCTGAGAACGCGCATGCATGATCGGAACCTTCCCAATGGTCCATGTCCCGTGGGCTCTGGCTCTCTCCCCGTCACTTGAGGAATCATCCATGGGCCCGCCCCCTCCCCAGGATTGCAGATAGAGGAGCTTCAGCCACACCGGACATTCACCTCGGTCCCCAAGGCCTAGCCCGTGTCACTCGGATCTCACTATGACCATGCAGCGCTAACATATCCCGTCTTATTTCCCACTACAGTGACCAAAGGAGATATCGAAGAACATTTTAGCAGCCATGGCTCCGGCAAGATCACCGAGATCAAGCTGATGAGCGGCTTCGGCTTCATCGAATATGACGATCAACTGGATGCTCGAGATATTGTGCCTGGTACCAAACACCCGATATATCCCTCATGCGTGCTGACTGGCTAACCCGATCTCCCTGCACAGCCTTCCGTATGCTTCCATGACGTGCTGACAGACATGACATATCGCTTATCTTTCCCACAGATGGCAGTGATTTCAAAGGTGAACGACTCACCGTTCAGTTTGCGCGTGGCCCTCGCCGCAAGGAGGCTTTCCCTGGACCTCCTGACCGCAATGCCATGCCCCGGCCACGTCGCACCGTATTCCGGATGCAGATCTCCGGTCTTCCTGAAACAAGTTGGCAGGTTAGCAGCCCATGTCCATTTCTCCCTGGAGTTCCCGGCGTAGATTCCTCAAACCCGTCTCTCTTTCTTTCCGTTTGCACATGCCTCCAGTCCATTTTTGCAGGGTCCAGCGGTTGGGCCAAGGATTTTCGAGTATTAACCAACTAGCATTCAATCTGTGTTGACTATCAAATGGTTCCGGATGTTCCACCTCATCATGAGACTGAACTCCCGGATCCTTGTGGGCGCACACTGAATCAGTCCTCGCTGATTCCTCCTCGGAACTTTGGAGGCCAAATGCAACCTGACCATTTTGGACAACCCTACCTGGACTGGACATGGACATCTCCTTTCTCTGTTTCTCTCTCTCCACCTGGACTCGCCGGACAACTCTTTCTTTTTCTTTACCTGGACCTGGACTCACCATGCGTTACATAGGACCTGAAAGATTTCGCCCGCCAGTCTGGACTGGACGTGGTTTACTCCGAAACTGGCCGTGAACAGGGCAGAGGGTAGGTTAAATGTATTCCGCAACATGCTTCCCCCATTAACATTTGACAAGGTTTGTGGAGTTTGAAACCGCCAACGACCTGAAGACCGCCGTGGAAAAACTGGACCAGCGAGAGTTCAAGGGCTCCACTGTCTCTTGCGTTGCCGATGTAAGCGCCCAACCTGCCCAGTGGACACCAGGAGGAACCACCTCTCACCAGAACCTAGGTCCAAACCTTTGAGGAACGCCCGCGTGATCCATACCGGTCTCGCTCTCCCCCTCGCCGCCCCTACCCAGCTCCCATGGATGATTACGACCGCCGGATCCCTCCGCCTCGTGGCTACAGTCCCCGCGACCATTACCGTGAGCGCTCTCCAATCCCCATCCGTCGGGATCCCTACTATGAACGGGATGGCTATGCCCGCCGGACTCCCCCACGTCCCCGGATGGAAGATTACCCACCCCCTCGTCGTCCCTACGAGGAGCACCCGTATGATGCGCGCGCTCCCCCTCCCCCACGCCACTATGATGACCCATACCTGGCTGCGCGTGCCTACGGCCGCCCTCGTTCTCCTCCACGAGCTGACTATCCTCCTTACGACCGTCCTCGCTATTGGTAGAGGCGGCAGCTTCATAACATGTAGTCTTGATCTCGGTTTTCTTTCCCCCCCCCATTCTCTTCGCCAAATACCCGCCACGTCTCGTACTGATTTTATGGTGCCATGATTGTTCTTTTTAACCGAGGTTTCAGCGTCTCGCGGTTGGATTTTCTCATCTTCCTGGCGTCTGGACAGACAGCGCGAGGTGTTCTTTATTTGTTCTTGCAGATAGCTCACGCTGTGGGGTTTCTTCCCTTGACTATGGGCTATTGTATCTGTGTTAGCATCTAGGAAATACTACTTAAGTAATTTTGACTGTATTTGTTCTATACTTAAGTACCTAGGTACATAAATACTTAAGTGGTTGATTGTGCTGGTGTTGGAAGTCGGTAAGCTATATATCTCCGCAATATACTTAAGTATTACTTAAGTACTTAGATATAGGCACATCTATAGTTAACTTTAGAAAGAGCACGACATCATACCCAAGTACCCGCATTGAAGAACTGGCCAGACCCCTGAAACTGACACCAGATCCTGTTTTCGCATATGCGAAGCTCCAGCCTCCAGTAGTCAAGTAGTCAAGATCCGGATTTGGGCGTCATGATCTGCAGCCGAGCCCCGCTAAAAAATCACCTTCAACTTTACAAGATTCCCCAACATTGGCTACTCTCGTGTCTCTTCACTTGATTAACTAAAAAAAGGAGAAAACCAATCAAAATGTCCGACCAAAGCATTCGACTACCTCCTCGTCCCGAAACACTAGACATCGTTCGTCTGCGCGACATTGAACTCCCCCTCACTGCCCCAGAAGCATGGCACCGCGAAGGGAAGCCCCAACCCTGCACCGCAACCCTTAAACTCTCCTACTCCTCCATCGTCGGAGCAGCAGACACAGACGATGTCTCCCTCACCCTCGACTACGGCAAGCTCTTCCGCCGACTAGAGAGCAATGTCCGCACCTTCGTTCACCCCGTCACTTCCCCCGAACACCCAGCCAGACACCTGGTCAACCTCCAAGGCACCCGATGCGAAGAGATGAACAGCGCAGCCTTCGGCCAAGATCCCCGCGTAACAGCCGGAATCGTCGCCAGCGCCGGCCTAGACATTCTAGACGAAACAGCCGCCAGCGTCAAGCGACGCGATAACTCCTCCATCTCCGCAGAGTACGGAGAATGCGAAGTGGAACTCAGTCTCCCCAAGGCCATTTTACGGGCCGACCATGGCCTCTGGTATCGCAGCATCACTGCTTTCGGATATACACCTGCAGAGCTGCGGTGTCCTGTTGTGCTGGAAGAAGAATATCGCATTGAGGGGATCAGATGCTATGCGATTCTTGGTGTCAATTCTCACGAGAGACTCGAGAAGCAGGCTGTTATTGTTGGGCTTAGGTTCCAGGGTCCTGGTCAGCTTCCGTGGGGGTCGAAGGTGGTTGAGACTTATCAGGCTGTGACCAGAGCTGTTGCTGAGGTTTGTTCTTTTGCTAACCCTGTACTGTGATGTTTTTGCTAATCTGTTTCTGCTGCAGAAAGTGGATGCGACTACCTTCCACAGTGTTGAGGCTTTGGCTACGTTCATTGCGCATATTGTTACGGTCGAGTTTGGTAATGAGTCTGTCACTGTCAAGGTTGAGAAACCTAGTGCTTTGGCATTTGTTCAGCGCTCTGGGGTTGAGATTACTCGCTCCAAGGCTTTCTTTGATACTCATCGTATTCCGGAGGCGCGTGCATAGCTTTAGAAGTGATGGTACGGGGTACAGTAAATTGACTACAGAGCATTGCAAAGATACATGGATATATACGAATATCATGATTAACGCACTATCATAGTAAATTATAGAAGTATAGAAGTAGAGAAGTATAGAAGTATAGAAGTAGAGAAGTATAGAAGTAGAGAACTGAACCATTGGAATGTCCACGTGACCACCCAATCAGGCTTAGTGCTGAGCCCCCGGATTTGCATCTGAAATCTGATCGCTTTGTCTCTGAGCATTGTCCTCTCTGTGGGAGAATAAACAACATATCCCTTGAAAACCCTTCTTATTTTGCACTTTCTCTATGGGCTCTGCACCTCTATCACTTTTCGTCCCAACCTCGCTGACCGGCGTCTCAAATCTATCCTTGCAGCACTTCGACGCCTCCGATATCTCTGTATCTGCACTTACTCTTCCCACCTTGGCCGACGCCTCGATCTACGAGGTGACTTGGGCAGGGGTCCCGGGTCCGTCCTGAAGAAGGGCGGACGGTAAACCTGCTCGAGAGGTTCGATCTGGTCGCAGACCCGTTCGCGCACTCAGTTCTGTGCTGAATGCAAATCTCCTAAGTTGAAGTACGTCGTTCACCTCTCATGTTCTCCTTTTTCAAACATCCTGGTTCCTATTACGTTTTTTATGTTCATTTTTTACCTTGGCAAACTATTGGTGGGGGGTGAGAAATCTCTCACTTACCCCTCTATTCACTTTTTTCCGAGGCTATACCCAAGGCAGAGGCTAACAGAGGCTTTGATGTGAATAGTAACTGCTAGAGAAGTATCGTGAATACTTCCCTACCATTTCATACAACTGCGCAAGGTCAATTGTCCAACCAGCGGTTATCGCCGGCGCCTTTCCCGAACCCATCGGAGTGTTTCGCGGAACTCGAAATCTCGAAATCTCGAAATTCAAGAAAAGGCAAAATGCCCTCCTCGCAGGCTGACGACTTGTCAGTCGGAGACGTGTTCGCGCCACAGGCCGATAGCGAACAATCCGTCATTGATGGCCCAGCCAATCACCGTCTCCACATTGCACACATGGACGCACCTCCGAAAGCGAAGGGATTCACTGGACTTGCCAATCCGACCTTGACTCCAGATCTTCTACCGAAGTCGCAGCGACGCAAGACCAAGAGAAGGACTGAGGCTCCAGTGGCGGCTTGCGCTACCGTCCATGGCTTCACGCCTTTGGCTTCCGGTGACGAAGAATCGGACTTTTCTGCCGCTAGCTCCCGTGCGCCTTCTCGTCCCCCCACAGCATTGGGTGGTGCGAGCCCTCTGGTACAGCCAGCTACTGGCCATGGAGTCAGCGCATTGAAGCTTCAGCTCAACACCCTGAACCTGTCTGACTCGGCCGACGTGAGCGAACTTGTCTCCAAGACCCCCAGCATCGCAAGTGTTTGCTCCGACAGTGATCAAACCGAGATCCTGACTAGTTATGAAGTCCCGCTGGACCAAGACTTTGTCAGTTCTGACGCGGTGCAACCCGAGGATCTCAGTGCGGGTGTTGCCGGCATGAACTCGGACCTGCGTAGCCAACTTTGCCGAAAAATGACCGCAGACGACTTTGTGCCTATCCTCTGTCTGGGAAAGGGCTCTTTCGGAACCGTGTTACTCGTGCGCCACGTCCTAACTGGCAAACTGTATGCACAAAAGCAATTCCGAAAGGCATCGCTCACCGTTCACAAAAGGCTAGTCGAGCAGACAAAGACAGAGCGTACGATTCTGGAAAGTGTCAACCGGCACCCCTTCGTCGTCAAGCTATTCTACGCCTTCCAAGATCACGAAAAGCTCTACCTCATCCTCGAATACGCGCAAGGAGGTGAACTCTTCCACCACCTTGCCATGGAGCGTATGTTCCAAGAAGATGCAGCCGCATTCTACATGGCAGAAATGGTTCTAGCCCTGGAACACCTACACCAGAACGTCGGCGTCCTCTACCGTGACCTGAAGCCCGAAAACTGTCTCCTAGACGCAGAAGGCCATCTCCTCCTCACAGACTTCGGACTCAGCAAAATAGCCCTGAACGACGACGACCGCTGCAACTCCCTCCTCGGCACAATCGAGTACATGGCACCAGAAGTCATTCAAGGAAAGCCATACGGCAAAGCCTGCGACTGGTGGTCCCTCGGCGCCCTAGGCTACGACCTCCTCACAGGGGCACCACCATTCCGCGCTCAAAACAACGCCAAGCTCCAAGAGAAGATCGTCAAGCAAAAACTTATGCTCCCCTACTTCCTAGGCCCAGACGCAAAAGATCTTCTCACCCGACTTCTTCGCAAAGAGCCCTCCAAGCGTCTTGGCTACCACATGCAGAAAGATCTCCAGATCATCAAGAAACATCGCTTCTTCCGGAAAATAGACTGGGCTGCCCTGGAACGACGCGAGTTGACACCTCCCATTCAACCTGTTGTCACGGATCCTGCGCTCGCGGAGAACTTCTCGGTCGATTTTACCAATCTCCCCCTTAGTCCTACTGTTACTGGTACTGGGTTCGATGAGTATTATGCTAATGGCAAGGATTGTCCCGAGGGAAGTGAGGAGAATGTGAATGTCGGAGAAAGTAATCCTTTCGGTGGCTTTAGTTACGTTGCTTCGAGTAGCTTGCTAGACCATGGTCTTGGGGTTATGACTGCTGGTTATTGACTCGGAGATTCCATATACCATCTTGCGTTTCACGTTGCATATCGCATATCCTATCGGCGCCTGTGGCTACCAAAATTTCATACTCTGCATACCTTTCTTTTCGCCGCTATTCTACTTCATATATACCGGAGATTGCTTGCCCAGGCGGCATTCGCGATCTTTCCCCTTAGCCCAAGGATCCTCGATGATAGTGCCTATCAATCAGACTAGTTGAATGTTTGTTATCCATGGATATCCCCAAATCTATCGAGTTGAAAGAACGTCAATATAAGGCGTCTCTTTCAAGTTCCCAAAATAGTCAGGCGTATCGTTTGGCGTTCATGAATCGCCTTAATCCTCTTGCTGATGGCCATCTTGTCGATGAGATGTTGTCCATCTTGTCACGAAGAGAAAAGAGATCATTGCGCAAGGCAGTTCACGGGTTTCCGTAGTAAACATTCCAGATATATGCCTGATAATCCAGGCTGTTAAATCGGTATTTTGTACGAAGCATTGAGATATTAGATTAAACATTGTTTTATTTTTTTTTGTTTTGAGGGCATTGAAGTTCATGAAGTATCGTCTGAATCCCAAAGGGACCGCACCCTATCCAAATGCGAGAGAGAATCAAAGATCAAAGAGGAAGAGGAAAGGGGCTTATAGCCCAACTCATTAATAGCCCTATACATTTGGATGGCAGATTATTCGACAAGATGCCGATAATCTTAAATCTCCCCTTCTTCACTTCCTGCATCCTCTGCATGTCCAGTATCAACCTGTTCTGGCTGTGGAGGATTAGAAGCGGTCGCTTCCGCTTCTTTGGCTTTATCATTTTCTGAGACTTCGCCTTCTTCGGCGCTGGAGTCTTTCAAAGTTGGTGGCTGGGGTGTTGACGTCTGTGGCTTTGGGGGTAAGGTGCCGGTAGGAATGCGAGGCCGGGAGGTAGGGAGCTGTGTTTGTTCGGTGGAAAGGGTTTGCTCTAGAGAGGGTGTGACTGTTCGTTGGCGCTTTGGTGAGCGCTCCGTGCCATTTCCGTTGGTGTGAGGGGAGAGGGGTGCGGTGGAATGGGGGAGAGATTCGGGCTCGCGCGAGCGTTTTCGGCCGTTGGTGCCGTCATCTGTCACGGAGAGAGAGGGTTTGGGAGTTTCCGAGGGCGATTTGTTGTCGAAGCTGCGGGTTGGGTCGTTGGGTAGGGCCTCTGAGATGGAGAATTCAGGGTAATTTTTGCTGAGGGATTGTTGGACACGCTCGTATATTTTGACAATAGTCGTGCAAGCGCGGATGAGGTCGTCAAGACGAACGTCGAATTGTTCCCACCACGGACGACCCTCGGAGTCATCTGGGAAAGCGATTTTCGCATGACGAGCAGCAGCGTATAATGCAGCAGCGGCAATAACGCGAGGCGGATGCTGCAGACAGAGAATAGTGTATGTGGAATCATTCAGGAAAGCCCAGGAGGTGCCTCTCAAGGCGCGATTCTCCTGAAGTCCAAGGTAGCAAATGTAGTCCCAAAGAATGCGGTAAGGCGACTCCAGCTGCAAATCAAAGGATAGGAATTCCAGCATGACACTTTCATTTTGCAGGATCAGATCCCGCCATTTCCAGTAATCCTTGGATTGCTCGTCCACGACCAAATTCGACTGTTTCATAGCAACGCGACAACATGCAATGACGAAATCCTTCATGCGACGCATCGTTTCATCGACCTTGAATGCGACAAATAATGCAACCGCGGCAATCACCTTCGGGTGCATCAACTCGGACCCCATTTCCGGATACTGGCCCATCAAAGAATATCGCATCAGGAAGCGGTGCATATAGACTGTCGCAGTCATGGATGTCTGCGGTGGCATTTTCAGCATCAAGCTGACCTGCCATATGAAGTCCACTGCACGGTGTCGGATGTAATCCTCCTTCTCTCGTTCGATTTTATCGTGTCGCGACGGCGTGCGCCCAAACTCCTCCTCGGAGAACAGCCATTTCTGCTGCTCTGCATCCACCACAGGATTGGGAAGACCGGGGATCCGTGGTCTCGACGACAATGTGGAGTCCATCGTGGCGCAAATTGGCAGGCCACAGTCGCGGATGGGAGGATGGGAAAGATCGGAAGGTGAGCGGTTGAGTCTCGTTTCTCGTTTCAAAGAAGCAGCTGTAGTTAAAGCGCGCCTGCGCGCATATCCCTTGATCAGTATTGGTCTGGTGTCCAGTCGTGGATCAGGTTCAATATGGCATGGCGGAGCTGTACGGGTTCGAATATGACAATGTTCGATAAGGTCTGACAGTTCCGAGACTCAGAAGTGATGTCGGACAGGAGACAACAGTATACCCGGCAGTACTTGAGTACACAAGTAGAATCGAAGCGAGAAATGAGTGGAGCAAGAGGAAACACTTATAAGGAAGTCAAATGTTTAAATGGAAGCTTTCCGCTTATGTCAGAAATCTTTCGATTGTTCATTCAATTGGGCCCAAGTGTGTATAGAACAGAATCCTCCTGGGATTGAATAGAGAGCAGGTTCTCTTCAGGAAGATATACTTTAAATACATATTCAGACTTAATGGATTATGATTTAGCTGATTAGTGCTGAGGTGGACAGGATCATTCAAGGTCACGTGGCTTTTTATCACATGATGTAGGTTCTGCCGTTTCTATTCCTTCACCGCTCATCCCTCACCGCACTAGTCCAGCCCATTTCTATTTATTTGGACCGAAAGCTGGCCATCTACTTCACTCTGCAACTCTCTCTGAGACACCTACTCATTGAACTCTGATCCCAAGTAGCTGATGGGCTATCCAAAGACCCTTGTTGCAAGAGATCTGTCATAGGATACCTCACAGCAAACCATCGTCGTCGCCAGACTCACCATCCTGACGAATGACCCTACTGAAGATCAGATCAGTACTCAACTTCTGTGATGACGGACAAGGAAGTGGGGATAATTCCTGGACTGCAGGCTCGAGAAGTCGACGGATTGTCGAGTCTTCAGCCCAGTAATTATCCCCTCTTCTCTGTTTGTCGTCACATTTGTTGAGGAAGTTGAGCATTGATGTGATCTTCCAGTACTATCTTAGCTTTCAAAATAATATTGTGTGTATTCATTGATCCTTTTAGACTATGCCCCTCTCACGGGGATCTGTGCATCGCCTGGTGCCATTCACTGTATCAGGCAAGGGCATTGATGAGGCTGTCCAGATTCTGGAATCTCTGGCAAATGCACAAATGAACCTTGGAAATAATTGTACCAGCAAATTTGTTGAGATCTCCAAATAGTTGAGCAGATGCTTGTGGATTTTGGCCCCCAGGCATTGTGCCTAAATGGGTCCACACTGGCGGTTGAATATGATGTATCGAGTGTAAGAAATGACCTCTCCGAAACGGAATAGGGGGTGAATTTCATGGCAGTTGATGTCCGGAGTACCTAAATTCGAATTGGAAAGCCGGACAAGATAGATAGAGCGAGGCACAGGCTTCTAAAGTTGACTTGCAGTCAATACCAAGATAAGATGCACCTCTTTAATGTCACAGCCATGGAACAATTTACATCTGCCAGGAAAGATCCAAGACAACTCCAGACAGGTCCTCATGTTCTCAAGTAGATTTGTTCTGGGTATATGTATGTTAATGTGCCGGTACTCGGCTGGTCAACTGCTCCAATCGACCTGCCAACGCGCGATGCTTGCGCATCACGTCCTCCCATTCCTGGGCCATGTCCTCGTCGTCTTCCTCGCTCAATTCGGTCAAGACCATACCGAAATCACCGCCAAGACGGCCCAGACTGGCTGCGCAGTACAAAAGTTGAGTGAGAAGGCTTTCTTTCGAAGTCCGATCTCGAACATTGGGCAGGTATGCTCGCATGGTATCTGTGAGTAATTGCACAAGATACATCGGGAAGGTCGCCAAAGCTGGAGGTACACGTTGCATTAAATCCTCCGAGAGCGTAGACTTTTCCTTTTTAGACTCGGCGCCTCGCAATCCTGAGATAGCAAGCTCGGATTCAGACTGCTCGGAACCAAAGATGTTCTTGTATAGCGAAACAATCGCAAAGCTCTGCTCACGGAAGATCTCAATGTACCTTTTCAGATAGCGATCGGTCTGCTGGCCAGACGAAGAGTTGGGGTCTGACTTGTCCCTGCCGAGTCTCTTTTGGGTTTCTTGGTCGGCGAGCTCGCGGAGGGGGTCCAGGGCCTCGAGGGTGGAGACGAGATGCGCCAGTCGACAGACTAAGAAGATAGCGCCCAAGGCACCTTCGCCAGTCCCCGCTGCTTCGAGGTCCGGGGCTACTCGGCGCAGCCAGCCCACGGTTCGCATACCAGCTGCAAGCCGTAGATTCTGAGCGCGAAGTCCCGTGATCAGGTTACTTGTCATGTCTTTCATGGCGACCTCTGCCTGCGATGCTACATCTTGGATCAGAGCTGATTCGGGGTATAGGGTCTGTAATCGCTTGATATGTGCATGTAGGTCGAGTGCGGAGGAGTATGTTGTTGAGGAGGCTCCGGTGCCGGAGTTCACAGAGGCGGCAGAGACGGCGGTCGAGAGCAAGGTTGGGAGTTCCAGTATATCGGACAGTCGGTCGACATTGCGAGATAATTGCATGGCCTTCTTCCGTCGTTCTAACGCAGCATTGTCCGTGATTTTACTGTATTTGGTGGAAAAGTTGACTGCCTCCTCGTCGAGTCTCGGGATGGCCTCGCGCAATTGCTGCGCCTCGCGAGTTAACTGAGGTGCCGACTGACATAGTGTCGACAGATTATCCGAGGATGTAACAAAGGCGCGATGTGACCGGTTTGATAGAGCTTGTAGAGAGAGGAGGGTCGAGTGGGAGGATTGAGCGAGGGACGGGGGTTCTGTATTCTGGAGGGCATCCAGAGACAAAGTTGACAATCTGTTGAGATATTTGTCTGTTGCGTCATGCGAGAAGTTAGGATCTAGATGTGGAGCGAGCAGCTCCAGTAAGTCGGCCATTGCTGTAAGTAACTGTAAGTAACCAGGTTGATGCTATTCGCAAGTTGCGTAAAAGCGGCGCGCTGGTTGGTCCGTGCGGGTCTGGCTTGTACTGGAACTTTTTCCTTTTTGGTCTCTCTCTCTTTCTCACTCTTCTCTCCTCTTTTTTGTTCTGCAAATAATCCTTGTATTCACTTTGTTCACCGTTATTGTCTCGTTGTCCTCGCCGTCACAGTTGGAATACCTCCTTGTGGCCCCTCCCCCGCATCCCCAGTTCATTCCGTCCCCATATGATTCTGCCATGGGGAAACCTCGAGTAAGTCTCTCTTTTCCATTCAAGTGGATTACTCTAACAGATCTACGTCTTTAGATGATCATTCTGGTGCGCCATGCGCAGTCAGAAGGCAACAAGAACCGCGATATCCACCAGACCATCCCAGACCACCGGGTGAAACTCACAAATGAAGGTCTCCGACAAGCAGAAGACGCAGGGCGTCGTCTTCGAGACCTGCTTCACCCAGACGATACACTTCATTTCTTTACCTCACCATATCGGCGGACCAGGGAAACCACAGAGGGGATTCTGGAATCCTTGACCTCCGACACTCCGGCTCCTTCGCCTTTCCCCCGACATACTATTAAAGTCTACGAAGAACCCCGGCTACGAGAACAAGACTTTGGAAATTTCCAACCATGCTCAACAGAGATGGAGCGCATGTGGATGGAACGGGCAGATTATGGCCATTTCTTCTACCGGATCCCCAACGGCGAGTCAGCGGCCGATGCCTATGACCGAGTGAGTGGCTTTAACGAGTCGCTTTGGCGCCTGTTCGGTGAAGATGACTTTGCGAATGTTTGCGTCCTTGTAACACACGGTCTCATGGCCCGAGTATTCCTCATGAAATGGTATCATTGGAGTGTGGAGTACTTTGAGGACCTTCGCAACATCAATCATTGTGAATTTGTGGTCTTGACATTGAACCCAAACAATGGGAAATATACTCTTCAGAACAAATTGCGTACCTGGTCAGATCTTCGGAAAGACAGGGAGAATGACAATGCTGCGAAAGAGCAGCCTACTGCATCCCCTGCGTCTGCTGCATCTCCGAGCCACAGTGACCATATCCCACTTCGGCGCAAGTGGGGTGGCTGTCCCGACGGCTGTACGCATGGAATGAATGCAGAGGGGAAACAAGCATTGCGAACAAGTCTGCTGAATTCCATGCACCAGCATAATCATCCTCATTCCCATAAGCACGATGAACATCATAGCTTTGGCTCCAAACTACAGAAATCGATATCCATCGATGATGTGGTATCGTCTTCAGAAGACAGCGCAGCCTACAATGATACTCGGGACAGCACATACCACCGGCAGCGCACTGCCAGCGACGATAGTACCGGAGACCCAAAACACTACCATTCCAACTCAGAAACCCGACCAAGGGTCACTCCATCAGGAATAAAGCGATCAACTCTCCATGGAATCAACCGCAACAGCGAAGATCAGCTCTTCCACCCTCCCTCCGCCTCGTCCTCATCCTCAGCACATCTGAAATACGCCCTCCTCCACCTCGGCGGTCGTGACGGCGGCGGCTCAATGAGCGGAGCAAACAGCCTTGCCCCATCCGACGACGAAACAGAAGACCATCTACCCCGCCACACCGTACCAACAGTCTCCAGCCTCGGAAATGGAAGTCTATCCCACGCCAACCAACAACATTTCAAATTCCCCCTCGAAGCCCAACGTCCACCCCCCTCCCAAGAACTCGAGGACGACGGCGACGATGAGATGAGTGGTAACTCCACTGAACAATTCAAAAAACCACGCCCACACCACCCACATAATCAGTACTTCGCGAATCAAGAGCATCGCATGGCTAACATCCTGGGTGATGGCGACGAGTCCTCAACACCATCTGATACTCAGACGCCCAGACCGGAAAGTTCATCGCCATCTCATACGCATGCTACTTTGGAAGATCAACAGCGACAAGACCAAAGTATACAAGGGAGCGTTTATTAATATCTGTATTGTCATTGGCTCCAAAAATAATGACCCGCAACGACTGCTTTTATGATTCTACTTTTTGTTTATATCTAATTTGGAAATATCCTTCGGTGTTAGGCTGAGATTAATACACCATTGCATTTGCATTGTTTTCTACAAAAACAAGGGCGTGATAGATACTAGCTATCAAAATACATACCTTTCGTCACTCGTATCAGTGCAGCAACACCATTTACAAGACCTTGACCAAAGAGCCCCATTGGCTAAGCAATGTAAAAGAATAACTCTCAAATCCCGATATCTAAATACAAAGGGTCCATAGCAGTAGCCAAGTCTACAAATTACAAGACAAGAAAACCATTGCAGTCCAGACAAAGACAATAGTTTGTCGCAGGTTTATTGAAATGATCCTGATATGTGAAAAAACCCAGCAAAGACAAGAGCCAGATCAAAGCATTGAGAAGCCACGACCTTTCTCAGCGGGAAAAAAAAATCAGTTAGACTACATGCAAGCCAGCGCTAATAGCAGCTGGCAGGGCTCTCGAAAAGTCAGTGAATTGGATCAAGGGCACCAAACCTCCGATACATGGGAAGATATCACAGGTAGGTATCTCGGGAACCAAGGACGGAATTCGATCGAGCCAGGGAGTGAAGAATCGATGCTATGGTTGGAAAGATTCGAATTTGGTGATCTCGTTGATCGGAGAAGAAAGTGTCGTAAAGAGAAAGGTAGACAAATCGGAACCGAAAAAAGAAGAAAAAAAGATTCGCAGACAAAAAAAGCGAATGAGAAAATTCGGAAGAAGCGAAGAAATGATTAACGTCGGGCACTGCATGTACCGTGACGAATGGGGATAATAATGTACTGACATGAAGAGGGAAGAAGCACTCTATGAGAAATCACCGCGAGACACAAATGCCAAGCATAAAACAGAAGGGCTGAGAATATGAACGGAAGTCGTGGGTAATAAACAAAGAGGTCAGATTTTGGGGATTCGTGATCGTCGTGACTGCGGCTCTGGCAACCCATCGAAAGGTGATCCAACGATGAAGTGGCCGGTCGAAAATCTTGAAGCCGAAAGATGTCAGAGACATAGCTCGGTTCTTGATGTTGATTTGCCAGAGCCCGCCGATGTCCGCCGTGGGTGCGATATTTTTTTTCCTCTTTTTTTTTGCGTTTTTGAGTTTTTTTTTTCGCTTTGTCGAACGAGAACCAGCAGACGCAGAACAAAAGTACTTTTCGGGTGACGCGGCATGCCGATTGCTCAAAAGCGGGTGTAGGCCAACTGCAAAGCTGAAGCAAGGATACGAGGCAACCGATGTGAGACCAAACCAAAGTTCAAAGGAGGTCAGACTTGGAGCCGACAATATGCCAGACTTGATGCCGGGTGGAGCTAGCGAGTCAAAAGGTCAAAAGGCGCAAGTGTGGAAACAAGTCGAGCTGAACAATCGTAGGCGAAGTAAATCCCATGCGAGTTGCCCAAACAAACGTCAAAAGAAGTCTAGAGTTGCAAGTAAGAAAAAAAAAAGTTGGAATGGACACGGCAAGACTTGCGGTCTTGGGCCGTTTTTGACACCGTCTGAATCAAGTCGGGGTCGTGCATCATACCAAGTCATGAAAACTAGGTAGCAATCATTGGCTGATGCATTGAGGGGAAAGCAGTGTTGCACATGTAGTGCTCAAGATGCTTAGCACAGTAGTTGCAGCCACACGACGAACCATGTCCAGTCCAGAGACTCTGGGCAAAGGGCAGACCGTATGCCGGAGTGTGGTGGTAGGACGGGGGTTGGGATCGAGGTGCTTGGTGAGCCATGTACTGTGGAGGTGCGTTCCATCCCCGCGAGTATGGCGGGGGAGGAGGCGGGTTGGCGTAACCCCAGGGACCGACTGAGTAGTAGTCGGGAGTGGTGGGGCCGCTGGAGAGGGTAGAGGGGGGTGAGTATTCGGACGCGGTCGGGTTGAGCCAGGAGTTTTCGATCTGCGAGCTCCGCTGGTACTGGGGCGGGATGGGACCTTCGGGGGACATCAGAGGCTTGGAGACACCTTGGCCCTGGCTTCGGAGAACGTTGGAGGTCTCCAGAGGAGCCAGAGTCTGTCGGGACTCTTGAGCCTTGGCCACGGCCTTGGTCCGCCAAGTATCCCAGTGAGCACGCCACGAGGCGAAACCATCCTGCTTGTCGTAAATGCGGTCGTGAATCTTCCAGTCGAAGGCAAACAACCATTCCAGTTCCATACGGTTCAGCTCAGCAACGGGAATGCTGCTGACCTCGGCCCAGGATTTGTTCTGGAAGGTGTTGTCATCGAGGAACTTGCTGCCCAAGAGGAGAGACACGGTTAGCATGCGGTAGACCTGGCCACCAGTCACCTGGGACCGCTGGGCCGAGAGGACACGCATGCGGCTGGCCAGGTAGAACAAACCAAGCAAAATGGTGGAACTTGGCAGGCGAGTCGAAGACAAAATTTGGAAGACATATTTCCGAAACTGTGGGGGAACCGGAGATCCTGGGTAGATGCTTCGCATGAGGTCAATATCTGCAAGGGTGATGTTGGTCTCGAACAAATCATACATTCCCTGAGCCATCTCAGCAACAAAGTCGGACATGCGATCCATCTCATAATCCAGGTGAGCTGCGACACCACCAGTAGCTTTTTCCTCCTTGCGGGGTTGTTCAGGCTGCTGAATCGGGGCCGGGTCCTGTCGGCGGTATTGAGAGGGGATCGTAGTATCCATGGGCGGGAGATGGACATTGCTGCGCATCGAGGGCAGCGCAGGGATCGCCATGGGGTTGTACATGTGCTGGTTCATCGCGTGGATGTCCCGAGCAGAATTCATCGGGTGGGCGGCCTGGGGGTGCAGGTTCATCGAAGATGGCTTGCCATAGCACAGAGACTGCGAGTATTGTTCGATGAACTCATTGCCGCTTTGATGGTATCGCGGAGGGAATCCAGCGTGACCAACCGGGTAGAAAGATGGGTCTTCCATGCGACCACCGTTGACGTGAGGAGGCGTAGGCAGGCCGTGATGACCTGGGACGAAGAAGGACGGCATCTTGAGAGAAGGGGAGGGCGAGGTGCCAGTTCAGGACGGGGAGGTAGACTTGTTCTGTTGCCACGGGAAGGCAAAGTATCAGCACACTTGGCCTCTGGGGGTGTAGGCGAACCGAGAGAGACGAGAAGTAGAAGAAACGGGGGAAGACGAACCGTCCACTCCACCAGAACCTGATCCTGGGAGAAGAGCGCTTTGCTCAGAGAGAGCGAGTGGCTCTGTCGTGATCCTAGGTGGCAATCTCTAGTTGAATGACATGGGGGTGTATTCAATGATCCAACGGACGGGTGAGCAAAGGAGAGTTGAATGAGCGTGGTAGACGGGTGAAACCAGAACCTCGCTGTGCCGAAATGACGCAGAAAGTGAGGAACAATCAAGTGATCACCAGTCAATTCAAGAGGCTTTGGCGAATAACCAGTTCCAAGCAAAGAAGCAAAGTAGCCCACGCAGAGTGCGCTCGTAGGAGCAGGGAGAAAATTTTCTCCACGCGTTAACGCAAACCTCAAGGGAATGAGGTGAGCAACGACACTTAGTGAAAAGCTCGTTGACACGGGAGGGGATGAGATACAGAAAAGAGGTTGAGAAGAAGGATGAAGAAGGAAAAGGGAACAGGGGCGTTGTGGGAAAAGACCGTTGGCTGCCCCCGGTAATTTTACATGTATTGCAACACACCATGTGCTGTATTTGAAAATCTAAATTTAAACGCATTTTTCATTTTCCATTTTCAGAAATTTTGATATTCCAGACATTCATGAACAATACTGAATACCGAGTAACGGTAACAATAGACAATAGAAATATGAATCATAGCGTCAAATCAAACACACTGTAAATGTAAGAGTACAAGTACTCCAGGCTATTCACAGGCATAATCAGAGTCAATGTACTCTAAGCACAGGCCAAGTGGATACCATGTATGGTATTGTAATCCATTTCAAGGCCCTAGACCCTTTTTCGTGTCACTGGTCTTTCTCTTCTACACTGGACAAGTATACTGATTACATTAAGTATACCATTAGGTATACTACAGACTGAATACTCGTATTCAATAGAAATCATCTGAAACAGATCAAATCTCATCCTCAAATGTCACATATATACAACGTCATCTATCTCAAACCGACATTCCTCCGTTGCTCGGTCTACTAGTACTAGGCACTAAGGTACTAAGGTACATACTTACATAGTACTTAAGTAGTACTTAGTACTAAGAGTAAACAGAACTATTGCAACTAAGGTTGGGGGTACTCTGCACATTCTACTCCGTACTCAACTAATGTATAAATATTGCCTCCGTACTCCGTACTCGATCGGTCCTTACATCAACTGCTGCCTCTCCCGTACAACCAAGCAAGGGCAAGACCATATGACAACGACTCTCTGACATGTCAGACCGGGTCTAACTGGTCTCTGAGTCAACCGCCGATCCCTGCGAACTAGTAGCGTCATGCGTTCGTGACAGTCCTGCCTATCTGCTTAAAAGGCGCATACACCTTTGGAAACTCCATGTGTATGGAATCTACAGGTATGGAATACTCTGTATGGGCTTGTAGTGTCAACTTGGAGGGGTCTGGTGGGTCTACCTGATCAAGCGCCGTGCAGACTACATACTACTCGTAGTGTACACCGGTACGTATCAAGTTGTTCTAGAAAGTGAGTCCTCGTGCCTTGAGGGGTTTCCGTTTTGGGCACTGCAGGTCCTTGGTTATAGTTAAGTATTTACTATTTTCTATTTAATGTCATGACTATGTTTTGCTTGGACCTTTGATTTATAAGAGAGTTACTTACATAGGATGGAAGTACCTTGACAACTTAGGCCTAAACCAGTAAGATCAGTGCCCAACCGGCTACATTCGGCAGCTTAAGTACTTAAGTATGAGAGTACTCCGCAGGTCCGTAGGTCCGCAGGGAAAACCCGGGAAATGGTGAAGTGCCCCTCTTCTAGAAAGGGTCCATTTCTTGATTTTGGCCTTTTCGGTTGATTTCTCCTGAACATCCAAGTACGGGCATATGCTCATTTCAGTCAATGTGATTGGTATTTCTATCATGCTGCCCAGCTGGGCTTTTACGCTTTTACGTCAGGCGCCCGGGTCACGCCTGTAAAAAAAAAAGAAAGAGAAAACAGGGACGTTGGGATAATTCCAGTGGAATATACCCGTCCACGAGATGACACCCAAAACAAAACAAAACCCGATCAACAGAATAGACACAAAGGTCTGACAGAACAGAGGGATATCATTAAGATCCAAAGAATCCAGACAGATTGCATAAATAAGAGGGGAAAAAAAGAAATGAAAAAAACAAAAAGCAAAACCATAAGACTCGTGTACTCGATAAGTCGTCAGGGAGGGGAAACCATTCCCTCCGTTTTATCGCCAGAAGCGCCAGAAGCTCAGCAGCGGACCAAACTCTCGAGCTGAGGTCGGGTTGCACCAGGAACCATCCTGAGAAGAAAATGCCGTGCTGGGATTGGCTGGGGGATGGGACCTCTGTACCAGGGCTGTATATACCAGAGAAAATCACTCATTCGTCTTTGAGACTTCCAACCAGATTGCGGAGCACATCCATGATGACAGCCTCATCCTTGGGCTCGCCACCAGGGAATGAACTCTCGGGGGCATTGCCTAACACACGGGCGCGCGCACTCCGGAGAACTTCCCGAATGTAGTTCTTGTCCTCGTAGTCTTCCATCAACACAGCTTCAAAGTCATCAATGGCCTTGTTGGCTCGATCAATAAAGGTTGATGACTCCGGGGGCGGCGGGAGTTGCTGTGGAGGAAGCTGCTGCTGATGGTGAGAATGAGACGGGACTCCGGAGGGAATATGGTGCTGGTGTGGATGTTGATGTTGAGGCTGGTGTTGGGGCTGGTGCTGAGGCTGGTGCTGAGGCTGGTGCTGAGGCTGGTGTTGATGCTGATGCTGGTGCTGGTGCTGGTGCGGATGCTGCGGCATTGAATGCTGCGGAGGCGGATGTGACAGTGGCTGTGACTGCGGCGGAACCGGTGGCTGGTGTTGAGATTGATATTGAGGTGCACCAGGCGGGGGGTAGGCTCGAGGCGGAGGATTGGTATGGGTTGGTGGAGGAGGCGGTTTCTGGGGCATATAAGGTGAATGGTGTTTTGGTGGTCCCTGGGGAGGCCGCTGGGGCTGCGGCGGCTGTTGTTGCTGCTGCTGACCATTCTGCGGAGTTGGAGCGGATGCATAGGGTGAGGTATAGGTTGATGGAAGGGTTGCTGCGAAGGCAGCGGGAAGATTGTTGCGGATGGTACTGGGAATTGGGAAAGATGCAGCAGGATTGATTTGTGGCGGAGCTGGTGCCGGTGCCGGTGCCGACACAGCCGCAGGTGCGGGTGCAGGTGCAGACGCTGGAGTCGGAGTTGGCGTCGGCGCGGGCGAAGGTATAGGAGTAGAGATAGGCGCCGAAGGGGGTACTGACACCGGTGTCGGTGTTGAAACAGGAGGTGGAGCAGCAGCAGCAGCAACAGGAGCAGGAGCAGGGGCCGGGGCCGCAGCTGGAGTGGGCGCTGGGGCCTGAGCCGGGGCAGCAGCAATAGTAGGGGGAGGAGCGGGAGGAGCAGGCACGGAGGCCTTTGGTGAAGGTGCGTAAGGGCTGGTATGAGATGGAGTACCTGCCACAGATACCGATGCTGGGAAAGGAGCCGGCGGTATGGATGGGAACTGGAAATGCTGTGCCGGGTTCGGCATGGGTGGGGGAACTTGTGGCGGCGCGTATGAGTGGGACAGTTGAGGTATGTATTGCTGGGGAGCAGGTGTCGGAGGATGAGAAGCTTGGGGTGGCGGCGATGGGCGTCGCTTCTTCTCCTTTTCAACCGATGCACCTGGAATAAGTTGCCAGGACCATCCCTTGCCATCTCGTTCTGCGTGCATGAACAAGTGACCATTGCCATTGAGATTATGTCGCACACTGGACGTCCAACCCTCTGTCTCACACTTGAAGCGGAAGTATGGATACTTCAGTTTCAAGGCACGATAAATCTGCTTCAATGTCATTGGCGTTCCAGCTTCCGTTAACGCATCAAAGATGAGAACAGCATAGTTGTAGGGAGGTTTGGCCAGATCCTCCGGCGTGTAAGCAGATTCCGGAGGATAGTTGGGAGATGGTGACCTCGAAGGCTTGCGCTTCTTGACTGGGGGTGGCTTGACATATTCCTCTTGCCGTGGCTCTGTAGACATCTGGCCGCCCTCCGTTGAAGGAATAGGAGAATCCATTGGTGTCCCATCGAGCTTCTTTCGCTTGGTGTATTTCCGCTTCTCTGCTGGTTTGTTCGTTGGTGACTCAGGAATAGGGATTTCTTTGGCGACTGTCTTCCCGGCCTTGGGCACCTTGAGCGGAGGTGGCGTAACACCCCCGTTGGCCTCGCGCTTAGCCGCAATCTTCTGTTCACGAGCAAGCTCAGCTCGCTCGCGCTTGGACATGATGCCATCCTTAGGTGGGCGCCCTGGTCCCCGCCGGCGCGCCGGCTGCGAGTCGTTATCCTCAATGGAATCCATTGCCTGGGACGATTTGTGATCCTTCGTCTTGAGTATGAGCCTAGACGCCTTGCTAGAAGGCTCTCGACTTTCCCCGCTGTCGCTTCCAAGTCTCTCTGATTCGTCGACATCTTCGTCCATTTCGATTGAGGCACGAGCGTCCTTTTCATCATCATCATCTTCTTCCACTTCTGCCTTTTGGGGCTCCTCTTCCATCTTTTCTTCCATCCTATCCGCCCCAGTTTCACCAATGGGAACGTCTGGCAGCAAGAAACGGATGCGTACACCACCGATCTGGATGTAGTCACCACTGTGCAGAGGACGGACCTGCCCTGGTGAGAGCCAATCAGCGCCGATAAAAGCTCCGTTACGTCCCATCACCTCCATCTCGAACAAGTTTTTATCGAAACTGTATGAGATGCGCACATGTCTACGAGAAATCCCACGGTGACCAGCAGCACTACCATCGACGGTCGTCGGGGGATGAATTGGGATCGTGGGACAGGAGTCCGGGGATGGCAGAAGAGCCATCGCATCCACGGGCTTTGCGTCCCCGTTGCCATCTTGTAAAGATTGCATTGCCAGTGCATTGTAGTCGGTAGTCGATTGTAATTGAGCGGGGTTTGCGTGTAAGGGTACAACAGCATCGTCAAATGAGGATCTTGAGGACCGGCGGCTTGGGTTGAAGTTGCCGGGCATATGCGGAGGAATATCTGGGTCGAAGCCCATGATACCTCCTCGGTCGCTGACCACACTACCCATCATAGCAGCACTTTCTTCCCGCTTCATACGGTTTGGTGTATGGGCTGTTCCCCCGTTTGAGCTCCTCGCTCGAGAGCTTCGCACGGCCTGCCGGTACTGGAACTCTCGGTGATGGGCGGCGCGGGCGGCGCGCACGTCTCGCCCTAGGATGAATGAGTAGGTATTCACATAGAAATGACCGTCGTCGAACTCCAGTTTGGCGAATGCTTGGATCTTGGGCTCTGAGCCCGCAATTGAAGCAGTCCCGTCCGGGTATCCGAGTCCCGAAAAGTCGGGGTTTTGCGAAAAGAAAGCGGCAGTGAGCATTTCATTCTGATGGAGAGCTTCGAAGGCATTTTTCGGGGCGGTGGTAAAGTCCAAGGGTGGCAGGAGAGATGGCTGGTCCTGTTTCAGGTTTAGAGGATCTGTAAGTGTATCCATCGCATCCGATGGGTTGAATGCCTCGTGGCTCATATCTTGCGCGGAATTTGCGACCATAAGTTCGTCGCCCAAAGCTTTCCCATTTAGCATATCCTGAATCTCACGGGATATCGTGGAGTCGTGTTGCAAACTTGGGTCAATTGGCGTCGGATGTTGACCGCTCATGTCGAAGGGGTGAGAGATTGAATCGTCCATCTTGATATCCATGTCCATGTCCATGTCCTGATCTTCGCCGGGCCCCGATTGTCCCATTGCCGTCGGGGCAGAATTTGGCGCCGACTGATTCCCGAGCAGTTGAGCCAGGAGCGCGCTGGCTGCATTCTGGGTATTTGTATTTTTTTGATGTTGCGCGGCGGAAAGGTCCTGGCTGTCGGAACATTCTGTCTTGATTCCGACTTCTGGGGCGGACATGCCGTTTGGGGTTGACGGGGCAGAATTCTTCTGCATGTCGCGGATTGCGGAGTCGTTTCGAGGGTTGGAAGGGGGTGTAGAGTTCGGTGAGCAGCCATAGTCGTACCTGGGGCTCTCGGGGCCTGGGTCAGGCGGTCGATGGCCCACGGCTGGCGCAGTCATGGTCTGCGACGACATGACAGGCTGTTGCTGGAGAGGAGAAAGAAAAGAAGTTCCAAAAGAAGTCCGGAATCTCACTTTGGAGGCGGTGAGCGCCGAGTTGCCCAGGTGGTCGCTGCAGAATCACCGACTGGCCATTTTCATGTTGCTTTTTCTTCTCTTTTCTCTTTTCTTGTTTTCTTATTTTCCTGTTTTTTTTCTGTCCGAAGTCTAGAAAATCGAGGGGACTCGAAAGAAAACTGATGATCTTCCCTCCGGTACAAAATTTTCCGCCCCGCCCTACCATATTCTCTCCGATCTCCACTTGGGTTCCTCACCGGTTTTGTCTGGCCTAGATCTATTCCCCAGCAATTGTCTTGATCCTATGTGTAGGCCTAATCAGAAGATCACTCTGTGCTGGGTGGAGCCTTGTGAGGCATGGGCTGTTGATTGGGGTAACAAGGGTAATCAGTATGAACATCAGATGTTTACCTAAAACTCAGGTACGGAGCACTGTTGTATGGTTTCTTCCATATCAATGCTTATGAGCCAGTGTACTGCAAGTCTACAAAAGAAATCAAGTTAAGGACTTGTGTAAATCGGAGTACTCGTACGCTGTGGGATGTGCAGATTTGAAACGTCGATCAGTGCATGAAATGAGATACGAGTGCAACAAAGCGCTTAGATGAATCCACAAGCGAGAAATTTCTGGGCAATCAATTGATTGGGCTCATTTTCTGCAAGTGGTACGACAGTAAAAGGACTTCCGATGGTTTTATATACTCCTTTGACCGGTCCTACATAACTAGTACCTAAGTACGGAGTACGGATTACTATGTAGGACTTAATTCCCCATCTCCCAAAGTAATATGTTGCTTACATACGTAAATACAGTAAATACAGCAAATAGGGAAGAAAAAGAAATAATAGAAAGGAAATCCCTGCCCTGTACTTTATACCTACCTAGGTACTCTCCAGGGCTATACTCTCTACTGCGGTACTCCGACACCCAAACAAGCCGATAAACTCTTATCGATAAAAACAACCTCCGACTCTCCAACTCTCCAATTCCCACACCATGCCCAAGCCCAAAAAAGCAGACAAAACAGTCAAGCCAGTCAAGCCAGTCAAGCCAGAGCCAAACACAACACCCAACTGGCCTCCCCTCCGACCCCTCCTCCCCGCCGCCGATCTATCCCTCACCCCCCTCCTCACCGACCAAATCTACCTAATCCGCAACTTCCTCCCAAACACCCTATGCAAGACCTACACATCATTCCTCGCCTCCCTCCCCCTCACCACCACACCAGGCAAACCCAAAAAAGATGAAGCCCTCCGCGTCAACGACCGCTTCCAAATCGACGACCGCCGATTCGCAGAAATGCTCTGGGAAACAACCGCCCTGAAAGACCTTGTCACGACCCGATTTGCCGAAGACCAAGAACTCACACCAGCCCAAATATCCCAGCAAGCACACCACCTCTGGGGTGGAGAACCACTGGGTCTGAATCCTAATATCCGTATATATCGATACTCGGCGGGCCAATTCTTCGGACAGCACTGTAAGTTTTCCCCACGAGTAGATAGAGTAAGGGCTAATGTTTTATGTTTCCAGATGACGATGCAAATAATATAACATTTACTGCGCCGCGGGCTAAGGCTGTTCCTGCCCGCACGACATGGACGCTCCTTGTTTATTTGACTTCGTGTGAGGGGGGTGAAACGGTGTTTTACCCTGAGGCTACGCGGGGGAATCGGAATCCGGAGCCGATTGCTGTGGCGCCAGAGGTGGGGATGGCGTTGTTGCATCGGCATGGTGATCATTGTATGATACATGAGGGGATGGAGGTTACTGGTGGAGAGAAGTGGGTGTTGAGGAGTGATTTGGTTGTTCCGAGGTGATGTACTTTGGACTCAATAGCTTGGTTATAGCTGGAAATCAAATTAGACCTCGGGATAAGTGCAGGTGCCCTCCGAGGTTGTTCCTGTGATCGATGTACTGTAATCGATGTACTGTGATCAATCTTGATATACAGAGAAATCATCATTCTGTTTCCTACTTAGTGATATTGTAGGTTCAATTGAGGGTACAGCAAAAAACATAGACAGGGACGATAGTAGGTCCCTCACTGCGAACATAAAGAAACAGGGAGTTGTAGATACAGTTAACAAGTCAGGTCGTAAAGAGTGTGAAAGGGGTTGTCAAGATGTGAGGCAAGGAATTAACAAGAAAAAAAAAAAAAAAAAAAAAAAAAAAAAAAAAAAAAAAACAGCCATCGATGATTGATGGCAGGTGACAGTGCTAGCCCTCGGGGGCTTGCCAAATGAGTCTAGATTCCGCTCAAAGCCCCTGGATTCAAAATCATATCGTAATTCATTTGGAAACTGGAGACTTGCTCGCATCCAACTCATATTCGGCGCGTCTCATCATCTCCTCCACGGGTCCAAGAAGTCGCTTGAATCCATCCCGACCTAACCGCGCCACCTTCACGTCTGTCTTGGTAGTGATGCTCGCCTGGCGAGGCTTGTCATCCAACAGTGCAAGCTCGCCAAAGTAATCACCCCGGTGGTAGTTCTTGACGGGTCCAGAGACCCCGTTCTTGGTAGCTTCGGCTTCACCAGACTCGAGCAGGTAGAAGGCGTCACCGGGGTCCCCTTCGTGGATAATGGTGGAATTGGCCGGGTACTTGATTGTGTCCAGGGCATCGGCAATCTTAGACCGCTCATAAGGTTTCAGAGATGACAGCAGCGGGACTTCCTCCAGGAAGGCCTCGTACATGCGACGGCGCTGGAACGCCGAGTCCATGAGAATGCGGCGGAAGGTGATGCGATCCAAAGCCCAGAGGGTACTCTTCGCCTCGGTGGAAATGACCGTCGCAGCACGTGGGGCGTTGTACATCAGAGCCAGCTCACCAAAGGAGCCACCTGGACCAGTCGAGGCGACCTTGTTACCCAGACCCTCTGGGCCAGGCTGCACCGAGCCAGAAGAGTGGATGTAGATGTCGAAATTACCTTTCTCCACGATATAGAAATAATCACCCGCGTCACCCTGGGAGATGACCTTGATATCCTTGGCGGGGATGGGCTTCTCGACGAGGGCATGGAGGACCGTGGTGAATTGATCGTCATCGAGGTGAGAGAAGAGGAAATTGCTACTGACCGCACTCTTGAGCCGAGAAACCTGCTCTTCGGATTTTGGGTGGTGCGGGGGTGACCAGCTCTCCGAGCCGGCTTCAGTGGGATTTAGTGATTCGGCGGAGACGGAGGTGCGTCGGCCCAGCGCATAATTGCTGGGGAATCCTTGTTGTGCCGATCGAGCGGGGAGAGGGGCCAGCTCCCCTTCCTGCTCTTCCTCATGGGCTTGCTGGAACGGACTCCGACTGAATAACGAGCCCCCCGCTTGTGCTCCTCCCTCAAACGCACTGCCTCCAAACGCAGAGCTGCCGGCACCGGACTGTCGGAAGGTCAAGTCGGTTGGTGAGGAGACCTCAAACTCGTCCTCGGAAATTTTGGAAATGCCGGCTGATTTATCGGTGTTGATGATCGGGACCAAACCCGGGGAAGAGTTCTGTGCCATGACGTGTTCGGGAGACCACAGCTCCAAAGCGTGGGATTGCAGCAATAGAGATGGGTATTGGTGGAAGCTAGGGGTGTTAGAAATTGAGAAGTGAAATAAGTGAAATATGGAAGTCTGAAAATACAGGAAGAGTAAGGGTAATAAAGGCAGAACGGAGGGGCAGTTGTGAAGTGGGGAATGGAGTCTAATTGGAAGTGGGATCCTGCAGCCCTTTGGCCTTTCTTTGCTTCTGGGGGTTTCGGGAATTTCCAACACAATCTTGTAATAGGGGAAATCTTTCCACATACAAAAATGAGACAGGGAGAAAGAAAAAAAAGAGAGAAGGAAAATGAGGTGCAAAAGAGCCGGATGAGGACTTACTTTGCCACAGGAAGCTGTGTCCGGGAAAGCTTGGAACCTGGTTCTAAAGTTATAAAATCTTCAGTCTCCCCTTGTACTTACAGTTGTCAGGAGGCAAGTTATTGGGATACTATTGGGAATCACGAGGAGGGGTAGGCACTAAAGCCCGGTAGCTTCGTCGATCCAAGCTCTAGTTAGATAGTTACCTACTAACGTAACTGTCGAATCACTTAATGATCAACGTCATGTAAAAAAAAAAGAAGGATTCTTCGAAGTGTCTTCTAGAAGAATAGATGATCATTGCATATTACGATGGTGGCAAAGTTAATAGTGAGACTCTCATATGTCATGGACTGGTGGATGTCACCCTATCCCGAAAGGGATAGCTATTAGCGGTAGAGTTAGAGAATAGTAGAACAGTAGAGTGTAGAATTATAGACTCAACTTTATACTTAAGTGCTTGAATGAACTACTCAAGTATAGAATATCGCATATAGTCTATTATATGCTTCGCATATGCTACACCGTATGTTGTGCTCATATGCCTAGAGCTATACTAAGCACAGTTCACGTCATCCAAGTCTAGAGCTTAAGCGCCCTCACTAAACCAAAAGAGCGAAAACGCTAAATAAAAATAGGGAAATAATTAGGGGGAAAAATTAAAGAAAAAAAAGGGAGAAGAGAAAAATTGCAGTTCCTGGACCTGCTCAGGTACTGACGGTCTGTGTCACCCCCCCACTGCTCTACTCTTTTTTTCCTATCTTTCCCCAACCACTCCCATTTTGTGCCCTTTTTTTGCTCCCTGGGATTTCTTTGCTCTTTCACTCACTGAAACATCGACAATGGGCTCGTTTACATTCCAATGGTGAGTCTGGCCCGAGAGACCTGCGCAAGCCCCGGGGATCGCATTGCTGACTGGGCGGTTACTCGCAGGCCCTACAATGCGGATGAAGTATTTGTCACTGGAACCTTCGACGATTGGGGCAAGACAGTGAAATTAGAGCGAGTGGGCGATATCTTCTCCAAGAAAGTCACCATCTCTCCAGTGCAAAAAATCCATTACAAGGTACGAACAAAAAAGAAGAAGACAGGAACAGAAGTCGCAAAGGCGTTAGATCCCTGGCGGTGAGCCTTAGGCAGCCGGGAAATGAGGCTGACGTCACACTCTATTCCCCCTCTCTTTAAAAGTCGCAACTTCCCGTGTTACGAATTTACTAATTTACAACAGTTTGTTGTCGACGGAAACTGGACTACTGACACCAACGTGCGCGAAGAGGAAGACGGCCATCAGAACATCAATAACGTGCTGCTACCCGAAGAGATCACTGCGGATCACTCTGTCCCCACTATGTCTGGCGTGACCCCTGATTCTACAACCGCGGCTCTGGCGGCCAACGTTCCCAAGACCAATGGAAATTTGCCTGGTACCTTCCCTGACACCCCGGGACAAGAGTCCGAACAGACCTTGTCCGTGGATCCGATTCCGGCCTCCGGAGGTTATGGTAACCCGGTCAAGCTGAACCCGGGCGACAAGGTCCCCCACCACAGTGAGCTCCACAACAACACGGTGAGCTCCGGGGTGTCTTTGGACAAGGAGACATATGAGAAGGGCCAAACACTTCCTGTAGACCCAGGGAATCCCACGGACTCGGGCAACCCCAGCGCCTTCGCATTCACGATCCCCCCAGTGACTAATAACATGATCCCGGAATCAAGCCTTCCTATCATTGGGGGTCCTGCTCAGCAGGCAGCTGCTAACGAAACGGAGCCAATCTACTCTGGAGGTCCGGCCCAGCAGGCCGCGGCCGCCGATCCTGGATACACCATCCAATCTGCGGGCCCCACCTCCACCACCGCCGCCTTAGCTGCTAATGTACCACTGGAGTCAAAGGGCAAGCAGCCCAATGGCGACCAGCCCGCGGAGGATGTCCCCCAGGTGGTGAAGGATTCGCTGGCCGAGGCACACCAAGACCCCGAGGCTGCTGCCAATCAGGAAGCAGTGGAAGAGAAGAAGGATCTGGAGAAAGAACTCCAGAAGAAGGTGGACGTAGAAGAGTCTGCAGGTGCCCCAGCACCTACGGTCACTGCCGCCACCCAACCCATTGCGCCTCATCTCACCGTCGGTAGTGGCGTGGACTCGGCCGATGTGTCACCGACCTCGACCCCTCCCCCGGGTCGCAATGCTGCCGCGGCCATCCCCACCTCGCAGCCCAAAACCACTGAGCCCTCCAGTGGACCAACCGTGACGACTGGCCCCGAGACCACTTCGACGGCGGAAACCACGACCGCGAAACCCGCACCTACTGTGACCACTGGAGCGGACTCCGCCCAGGCACCGGCCACCTCAGAATCCAAGGCCGAGAAGCCTGCCCAGTCTCCCAGTACCGAAGGCGCCTCTACCAATGGATCCAAGAGCGATAAGAAGAAGAAGCGACTGAGTGGCTTCTTCAGCAAGCTCAAGGAGAAGTTGAAATAGACCCAGATCGGCCCGCGATTTGAAACTTGCAACCTGCCCTTTGATACCTACTTTCGGTGGAATGCGATCTTGACTGTTTCGACAGCCAGATCTTGTCTTTGATGCCTTGAATGCTCTGTTTATGCTGTTTGACGCCTCACGTTCTTTGTTTGTTTCATTTGGATACCTCTCTTGCCCTGCTTTCCTGCATCCTATCCTCGCAAGCCGCTTTGTTTATGCCCTCGGCTGGTAATTATTCTCTGGAATCACAGTGCTTAATGTATTCAATTTTATCTTATTGGACGGGTGACCGTCTTGAGATGCCGAAATCGGAGAGCCTAGTAGAGACCTTAGACAAAGACCTTACCTGGAACGGGTAACCAAGGGTAATAAGTGTAATGAGGGTAACAAGGGTAAATAAGTATCAAAAAGGCACAATATTGCTAGTCTTTTGATACTTTTCATAGTCTTAAGTATAGTAGAACGTCAAAGATCATTGTTCGGGTCGTGGGTCAATCCTAATTCCCGCCCTTCTCCACCTCAACATTTCCCCAACTTTCGGATCTTCTCTCTGCAACTCTTCTGGGGCAGCGCTCTGTTATTCAACTTCATTCCCACCATGGCTGCCCCCACATTATCTGCCATGATCGACCCGACCAAACAAGCCGAATACCCAATTGTGCTGGGGGAGAGACTGGCTCACGACGACACAAACCGACTGGTCAACATCAACTATAATTACAAATCCAAGTCTGCCACCCCTCAGCAGCGGTCGACCATCACCCGCTCCCAATCCTCCGATCTCTACGACCTCGCCGTCACCGATAAAGCCCCGAACGCCGATCACACCTTAGCCTACTCCTACAAAGGCAGCGAAGATCCCTCCAGCGAACGAAGTCTAGTTCTGATCTTCGACCCAGACCGAAAGGTCTTTGTTCTCGAGCCGGTCTCGACGACTCTGAACTTCAACCTCCGGTCGGCGCCCGGGAAAACAGAAAAACAAGTTCGCGAACAATACGAACAACTCCAGATCAAAGATGAGGAAGAACATCCAACCTCAGGCGAAGACCGTCAAGCGGGAACTACCAGCGAAGACGAAGGACCCGCCGACGACAATAACCCGTACGATTTCCGCCATTTCCTTCCTAAGAACCGCAACGATAAACCCACCTCCGGCCAAACTACCCCAGAGCCAATCCCAAGCAGAGCTGCAACCCCAGTAATGCCAGCCTCTCGACCCGCTCCTAAACCCGCCCGACCCAAAACACAAGTCAACCCATTACGACAGAAGAAGCCGACAAAACCACAACCCAAAGCCAAACCAGAACCCGAACCGGCTCAGCCTGAGCAGCTCGAGTCCAAGGATCGCTCGTCCCCGTCAGATGCAGGGACAGGCTCGCAGCAAACAGGCGCGCAGTCACCTGATTCGAATATCATCGTTGACGGCGATCTCATTATCGACATGGGTTCTCCGCCTCCACAACGCTCGTTCGTGGTCAACCCCGCTTACTTCTCGTCTAATAATACCCCCGACGAGGGGGATGAGAATGGGGATGAAGATATTGGAGAGTTCAGTCTGCCTTCTCCGGCTGGCAATGCTGCACAATCTGCGCATGACATGCAAGAGGACGATGTTGAGGATGATGATGACCTGGCAGCTGAAATGGAGGCTGCTTTCGAGCAAAGTGCGAGGGAAGAGGAGGCTCGTCAGTATAATCCACCGGCTAGACAGTATGTTCCCAGTGATGATGAGAGTGAGGTCAGTGAAGAAGAGTAGGGCTTCTGTCAATTGCATATAGCGTGGCGCCTGGAGGACATTCGATTTTACAAGTACAAGATACCAATTGTTTCAAGTGTTTATATCAACGACAATTGCATATTCAATCATATCTATCTACGGAGTACTTCGCTATGTATTGCCCTGAAAGGAAGCATTAACATCCAGTAACTGCTCGGAACATTCCCTCTTGATGCGGTCCGATCGTATATTCCATGACACGGCGAAGTGTCCCCAAAAGAGACGTGGTACATTTAAGACTTGTAGTGTGGCCCTCCAAGGATAAAGGTCCCCAGACACGCTGAATATCACTTAGCCATCGTCAAGAAAGGCGTCTAACTTACTACTTCCAGAACGCCAGACCCTTTCCCGTGTATGTTCAGTCCAATCTGTCCATAGTCTGCTTTCCATAATTCCACAGGCAGACCGACAATTAGACCTACTACTTAACGGTTGACGGTATCATGGGCTGTGTAGGAAGCCCCAGAGGGAATATGGACCGTACTCCATACAGAGTTGCTACTCCACAAATAGGCACATAATTTGAGAAACTCTTGGCCTATGTAGTTCAATTCCAATCCCTTGAGCTTCCGATGCCTCCACTTCGGCACAGGTTTACCGACTGTACGATCCGTTGCTTGCCGAGCTTTAAGTATAACCCCAGACCCCGTTAGAACATTGAATGACTTTGCTTTCAAGATTGTAAATATTGTCCAAGATCAAGATATCCAACGCAATGTCCATCAGCAGAGCTTGTTGCACGTAAGCTTTCGACTCAAGTATCATGCAACTGTGACCGCGGCTAAACATCTACAGTTTCCCTCCTGTCGTACCTCATGGGTATGAAGGGAAGGGCGAGTATATCACCCTAAATGGCCTCAAGACATGTATGTAACCACTTGCTATCCGCTTCAGGATCCCCAATGACCATCGACCACAGACGTCACTGGCCCCGAATCCGCAACCGAGGCCATCCTCCTCATCTACGGTACGTGACCCTAATTCGAAAGTGTTCAAATGTTCAGATATCCAGCAAATAAAAGAAACAAAGACAAGAATCTCACTCTATACAAACACTAACCACAAACCCCAAGATATCTTCGGCTTCTTCCCCCAAACCCTCCAAGGCGCCGACATCCTCGCCCACTCCAGCCCAAAAAAATACCGTGTCTTCATCCCAGATTTCTTCGAAGGAAACCCAGCAAACATCTCCTGGTATCCCCCCTCCACAAAAGAGCACGCCGACAGCCTAAACACCTTCTACGCAACCCAAGCCTCGCCCCAAAAGACCCTCTCCCAGATCCCCGACATCATCAACGAAGCAAACCAAACAGGCGTCTTCGCAAAATGGGCAATTGTCGGCCATTGCTGGGGCGGAAAGATTGCTAGTCTAAGCGCAGGGAAGGATAATACTATCTTTAAGGCTGCGGTGCAGTGTCATCCTGCCATGGTGGATCCTGTCGATGCTAAGGATGTAAATGTGCCCATGGCTCTGCTTGCTTCTAAAGATGAGCCTGCTGGGGATATTGCAGCTTTTGAGGCTAATTTGAAAGTTCCGTGTTATGTGGAGACTTTCTCGAGTCAGATTCATGGGTGGATGGCGGCGCGTTCTAATTTGAGTGATACTCATGTGCAGAAGGAGTATGAGAGGGGGTATCAGACTGTGTTGGGTTTTTTGGAGTTGAATATGTAAATAGTGGGTTTAATTGTATCTATAGATGGTGAATTTATGCTATCAAAGATGGGTTAGGGTCTTTGGTTTCTTTTATGATATGAAGGTTGTACTCAATATCTGAGGATCATAAGTTGGTGACTTCATGTGGAAAATCACAGAACACTTCAAGTGTTCTGGTCTACTCGTACTTGCTATGTGGAGTAAAGCTTTTGTGAGTAATTGGCCTCAGCCCCCAGAACCTGGGCGTGTGTGACTCAGAGAAAGCAAGTTGGAACTTATTCCCATCTGAAGATTAATAGTCTATACAAGGCATTGATCTCAACGCAGATACTACCATCTTTTCACTACCCTCTATTCTTGGAAATGACTGTCCACTATAATCCAGTCACAAAGGAGCCCTATCTCCAGCTCCCAGCACCATGTGCCAACATCATAATCACTCCGTACCGCGAGCACCAGATCAAAGAAGACACAAATGCCATGACCAGCTCTCTCAATGGCCCGAGAGTATACACCTGGTTGCAAGGTCCCCCTTACCCTTTCCTACCCGAACACGGGGAAGATTGGATCAAGACGAAGATCCAAGAAAACAAAGCCGCAGTGGCAGCACTACAAGATGAATTCGAGAACAAACCCCAGACCGATGCCTCCCATCAAGCCCAAACCGAGAACAAGTTCTTCGGCCAATGTCCATTCCTCTGCATTCGTGAAGTGGGCGAGGACCCAAGCGGTGCGCAAGATACCTTGATAGGAGAAATCGCACTCATCCGATATTCATTCTATGAAATCCGACGCAACAGCTGGGAACTTGCATTAGTCCAAGCCCATAACAAACAATTGCCTGTGGGGCACGAGGATATTGTCTGGACTTTAGGATGTACGATTCGGCTCTCCACTATGTATTATGCGCTAACAGATACAGATTACCTTTCCCCCACTCACCATGGAAAAGGGATAATGAGCCGGGCTGTTCAAGCTGTGATCAGGGATTGGGCCGTGCCGAGGATGAATATGAATCATCTCAGAGGAAGTTTTGTTGTGGGAAATGTGGGGAGTCAGAGGGTTTTTGAGCGCAATAACTTTGAGGAAGTTGGTGTCTTTAAGGACTGGCTACCAGAGAATTCTAAGAAGAGTCTGGGGAAGATGTCGATTGTGATTATGGAATGGAAGGGGCTTCTAGAGTCCTGATGCTCGTATGTACATACGAGTAGAGCAAAAAGTAAGGGTCAAGTGAAGAACTTCAGAATTGATCTACTCCTGAATCGGTATAAATATCATGCAGGGCGCAGCTGAACATTTGGGCTGCACTTCGTACGGAGTTCTCCGCAATAACTGAGTGGCCTCTCAAAATTGAGCACTGGCTTCCCCCTAGCCCCTTTGAGCAGAGCAAATTAGCGAAAGACCGCGCCAAGCCAGGTCAGAGTGGACTTTCATGCAGTCACATCGACTAGATCCTGCATAGTCTCACGCAACTGCATACTCGTACTTTTCTGCATTCCTCTGGTGTGACATGCCAACATTACCCTACCCAATAGTGTATGTCGTGTGATCGGCAGGGCAAGCTTCAAGCTGATCTTATACCTCGTACGGAGTATTATTCTGTACTCCTTCAGCCACAACTGAGTACTATAAAGGATGTCTATGCTCGTGTATCCCCTAAAAAAGTATAACTTCAATCTCCTCAAAATTTCCACCATGCAATTCTCCTTGGGTCTACTCCTCGCGGTCGCTCTAGTCGATGCCGCAGCCTTAGTCAAGCCCCATAGCCATCAGTCAAACGAAGTAAGCCCAAACAATCAAATCATAAACAGGACAGCTTCTAACAACTATCAAGGAACCCGACTACCCCTCCAGATGCTACCCTGACCCCTGCAAGGGTGTGACCTACCAAAATTCCAGTGCTGTCTGCGGAGACCCCCGACTAGGCCCAGTAAAACTCCCAGGCTACTTCCCACTCGCCAACCAACTCGAGACATACGCGCGATTCGGCGACCTCTGTCCAGCAGAATTCCTAAAGAAATGGACCGTCAACGCCACAGACCCAAAAGCCTACTGGATCTACCCAGACAGCGACGGCTTCGTCGCAACAACTGAACAGCTCTCCATCTCTGGAAATGTCACCCTCCGCGTCGGCCAAAAGGTCGACAGATTCGGATCCGAGTCTGGGAAGTTCCTCGCACCCCTTGGTGCGCCTTATATCGAACGTGCCCTGCCTCCGTCCAACCTGTTTGCCCCGGAAAATAGCAGCTTCCCTTACAATTACCATGTTTATGAGGTTATCAAGGCATTCGATGTTCTGCTTGGTCCTGTTGCGTCGTGGTTTGAGCAGCCGGGCTTTGGATCTCAGATTTTGGCTTTCTCGAGTGTGACTTCCCTGCTGGATGGTGGGTTCTTGGAACGTTTGGAGTTGAAGGATTATGATGAGGCGGATGATTATTCGGCGGACTATTTGCCTGCTCCTGGGCAGCCTTCTTCGTGAAGGGTGGACTTGAGATAAAAAGGAACTTCCAAGGACTAGAAGGACAGGGAATAGTGAAAGGCTGCATGAGGGAGATATATGATATAATAATCGGGAGTATGCTCCATAATTTCAACGATGAATGCTAAGGCACAAAGCTTCGATTCATATTGACAAGTTGTACCTCTATGTTGTCCTTTAAAATTATGTATGTCAAAAGTCAAGACCTGTAGACACTCCCAACGCCCACATTCCACAATCAAAATGGAATGGCATTACTGACTTGCCCATTCAGTTTCACCGGATATCCCAGCATACTACATCTGTTAGTATGCAATGTACAAATAGTCATTGTCAGAGCTCTGAACATACTCTTTACCGGCTTTTGTACAACCACATCCACAGAAGATCGAAAGAGGCCAGCAGAAGACCTGTTACCAATTAGCCATGAGCGGGTGATGGAGTCAAGATCGCAGCTTGTCTGTGGTCCCGTGGGATCCGATCACTCACTGCCGAGACAACCGTTGCACAGAATCCTGCTGATGTTAGTATGTCCTCCTTCGGGTTCAAATGACCAGGGTTGGGCACGGGGCACATACCGAGGGTCGGCCCGACGACCTTACAGTGGCATGGGTTCTGGTCGGTGCCACATTGGAAGCAGATGGGAAGGATGGGGAAGAAGGGGACGTCGCACATATTGTCAGTAGGTCTATCGAAAAGTTCTTTCAATTTGAGGTATGAAGTAGAGTAGAAGTATGAGATCCTAGATTCACCGCCCTTGTCTTATATCATAATGACGCATGAGATCGAGTGTTTTGCAGGTGTGGGGGTGTCATTTATTTACTTGTTACTGACATTTCTATAGACTATAGACCGCATTATCATTCATAGATGCAATATTCAATATGTAGATGTAAATAATATAGAGAACTTATATATAGACAAACGTCTATAAACTCCTTCCAGCCTTGTGGATCCAACTCAGCCACGCAACACAGCCTCACCCGTGGCCGTTCATCGGGGCACAAGATCACTGACTAGTAAGACCTCGAACATCACAGGCCCAGGTCAGACACTGGCCTTACAGGGCTCCTAACCTCCGTTAGGAACATTCTCAGATCCACTCCAGGCAGCAACAAAGGCCCCGGGACTATTTTCAATCTCCGCTCTTGGCATACCCGTTATTTTTCCTCCTTAAACCTCCCCACCCTCCGGATCTTCAACCCAACTTTCCCAAACAACACTCCCACTCGATCCTCCAACCTCCCACCTCCCACCATGGGTGCCCGCAGTATCCTCCCCCTCATCCTACTCCTCGTCTTCGTCGGCATTCTCGCCGCAGTCGGCTTCATCGTCTACAGCATCGTCCAAGATGTAGGCAAGAACACGCGCGAGAAGATGGAGCGCAAAAACATCGCCTTCACAAAGGACGGCATGAAAGTCCAAGTCCGCGAAATCAAAGACGAGGCCTACAAAGACCGAACCCAGAGGTGTGTTTGCGCTCTTGTCAAATTCCCCTTTCTTGGCACTGGACTGATTCCATTTCCTACAGCGTTCTTGTCAACATGTGGAACCACACTTCCTTCCCCGCTTATAAGAGCCGACTTTGGGATATGTCCGGGTCTTCGGCGACCGATCAGCAGAATGCAGAGAAGCGCAAGTAAGGCTGCACGGTTTACAACTCGAGGTGCCTTCGGAAGTGCCGAGTCTTTGCTGTGACGTGGATATATTCATTGCGGATTCCTTCTCTTTTCGCATGCGGTTCCTGGCATCGGGCTGGTCCCTAAAATTCGTTTGTGCTTGGGTTTGATGTGCAACTGTGCGTCCGGCTTACTTTATTCTTTTATCCTTTTTTTTTTTCACACGAGCCACGATGTCAGTAAATGCTTTATGAATGGCTGGCCCTGATATATCATACATTTCATTTCATATTGTGCTACGTTACACATCAATTCACGAATGTTCAAATATTCGAAATACGCTATACTGTATACTCTGGAATGGCACTGCTATTTTCCCATTACTTAAGTAATCATTGATCATGAAGATATTGAGATATTGAGTTATAGTCAGTAGGATATACTTCTCACGGTTTCAAGGTTCGATGAACCCAGATAAGACGCGATAACTGGACTGGGCTCCAGGGCTCAGCACGCCAGATCAGCGGTAAAGATCTCCGATTATTGAGCCTCAAATCGCTTTGCCCATAATCAGCATAGAACCTGTCCTGCTCCAGCCTAGCAACGCACATAGTAGCTCTCATTCTAATTCAAGAGAAAGAAGGGATCTGGCCCTGGTTGCCCACTTCCACCATACCAGGTAGGTTTGACTAGAGTCTTGGGAGTATCATCGCGCGGCTTACCCAGGAAGATAAAAGGTCTTAGCCCATTGAACCCGGTTATCCAATCCCTTGAGCCCCCACAGCTTCTGCAAGAAATGCAAAATGGAGCTATGTGTGTAGGCTGAATCGTGGGCGTACATGGTGCCTTGGTCGTGGATGAGCAGGCTGGGTGGTACCCACTCATCTAATCAGACTGGTGCTGGAAGAGAGATAGATAGCACACATTGTACGGGAGTGCACCGACAATGTCGGTCTCATACTTAAGTAATACTTTGATCATGTTAGTCGTAAAAATCAAGTGTCAAGGACAGGCGAAGTTGTGATCTGGATCCTTCAATGGCACTTCCGTTACGTATGGCTCTGCGCAGATACCTAGTGGTTCTCCATAGACTGTCCAGTTTTGGCTTGTAGGCTTGTATAGTCGTTGCAGAATGTGATGTACGGAGGCTGTCAATGTCAGGATGGAGGTCCCAGGAGCCGGCGATGCTGTCGAATGAGTGATTCTCAAGAGTTAGGTAGATGACATGCTTGATCTGGTAGATTGGGGATGAGCTGGTTCGTTTTGGGATGAGAGGTTGCTCCTGAAGTTTGGGTTGACCACACATTCTCTCGTAGCCTGGCCCATATCTAGTATCTCGTGCTGGGTAAGTATGTGCTGTATCCAGTGTCGTATCCAGTGTCGTATCCAGTGTCGTATCCAGTGCCACTAGAATGACATGAAGCCAACAGAGAATCATTTTAGGGATTGTACCTTAAGGATATGGAAGCTGGTAGTAAAAGTAGGGGGAGAGTTAGCGGACATCATAGACGAAGAGCCTCCACCAGCATACATGAATGTCTCTACAACCTCCAGAGCTTGGAACTCAGCTCTACTCAATCCATGGATACGCCATATCTACATCTCTACATACCTATACCTACCTACCTAGTATCTACCTAGTGTTGAGCCTAGGGGGCGAGAGAGAAGTAGCGGACAGAGCCGATTGTATTGACTCTCTCTGCGGGGGGAGAGAGAGGAGAGAAGAGAAGGGAGAAGCGGGGAGCGGATCTATCTACAAACGGGGGTTGGAACGAACTCTCTACATAATACCTAATACCTGCCTAGTACCTCTATATACCTTTATAATGTAAGTATATCGACGTAGATAGGTGAGGTCTATCGATACGGATAGGTCCCTAAATCCCCTGAATGTCAAGATGCGGTGTATAAGTAAGATTAAAGAAAGTGAGACAGGCATCTATTTACTGCAAGGGGAGAGTCGACTGGGGATGTGCCCTTTTAGGAAGTAGGGTCTAGGGCATACCTACGGAGTACGCACCTGGCACATACAGCCCTTCCTCGCATTTTCTTTTTCCCGCTCTGCCTCCCTCGGATTTTCCTTCTTCCGCAACTCCTCCCCCGCATCTTCTTTTTTCCGCAAATTCCACGCTTCACTGTCCTTGACTCCCAGGTGGTGCTCACCATAATAAACCAAGATAAGTGTGTCCCGATTGAAATGAAGTGAGTAACTAACTGCCTACTTATCTATAGCTGTGAGCCTGTGACGAGAGGGTTGTACTCCTATCGTCTCATACATATCCATGAATGTACTATCCTCCAGGGCTCTGTTCTCATTTCATGGATGTTATCGCCTTCAGAGCTGTTTATCGGTTATCGTCTGTTATCGTCAAGTCCGTGCGGAGTTACGATTTCAATGCAACCACGCTGATTGGCTCCCCCAGCAAGTTAAGCACGCGACTCCACAGCGCCCAGGCCCACATCGCCCACGCGCGACCAATCAGCGTTGCACGTGCCTGACCATGAAGGGACACGCCAAGCACGTTGTCTCCCTGGGTCACTCGATAGGCTATGATCAGCTGTGTAGCTGATCACTGAAGTACCCTAACCTTAGGCTAGGGTCTAGGGCACTACGCAGAACTCCAATAGCTCATGACTGGACTGCCATGTGCAACTTTTAAACAGTTGCACTCCAACCTTTTCCATTCTTCCGTTTTCTCCTTTCTCTACATTCCATCCATTCAAGGGATGCCACAAGGTTCCTCCTCTTCTTCGAGAACTTCCTCCATCATGTCTATCAGCTCTGTCACCGGCCTGATGGCAAGCTACTCCCCTCTTGCGGATCACCATCCTATGGAGGAAAAGGATGACACTGCCACCCTCCAGTCTGATGTGGAGACTGGAGCCCGCCAGGGAACTGGTCGGCGCTCCTCCCGCCTCATCGATGGTCGCACTGTCTCCGACGCCATCATCGGTCTGTCTGACGGCATGACTGTTCCATTCGCTCTGACCGCCGGTCTGTCCGCCCTGGGCGACACCAAGGTTGTGGTCTATGGTGGTCTCGCGGAGCTTATCGCTGGAGCTATCTCGATGGGCCTCGGTGGTTACCTGGGTGCCAAAAGCGAAGAGTAAGTTGACCTTAGCATTTAACCTTGATCTTTATACATTACATCCCCAAACCCTCATCACCTGCGCACTGTTTTCATCCCATCCATCGCTCACATTCTATCCCAATTCCAGGGAGTCGTACAATGCCACCCTCAAGGAAACCAAGGCTCAGACCTTGACCGACCCCGCCTCGGTGTCTGACGCCATTTCCGACATCTTTGAGCCCTACGAGCTCCCATCCGAGCTGGTCGCCCAGCTTAAGCACCACCTCTCCGACTCCCCCAACCTCCCTTCTTTCCTCATGAACTTTCAACACACCCTCCCCGAGCCCGCCGACTCCCGCGCTGTTATGTGCGCTCTTACCATCTCCCTTGGCTACTTCATCGGCGGTTTCGTTCCTCTGGTCCCTTACTTCTTTGTCGGACCCACCGAAGCCTACATCGCCTTGCGCTGGTCGATCCTCATCATGGTGATCGCGCTCTTCGTGTTCGGCTACGGTAAAACCTGCTTTGTCAGTGGCTGGAAGGGCCGCCAGAATGTCCGCAAGGGCCTTATCGGTGGAATCCAGATGGTTTTGGTGGGTGGTGTCGCTGCCGGCTCCGCCATGGGCCTTGTTAAGGGCTTCCAAATGCTGGCTGATGGTTCTGGTCAGAACTAGTTGTGATGTCATTTCATTTCTGCTGTAATTTACTCATCATTTCGGCGTTGGATGGCATCTCTTTTTTTTCACTCCGGTGCATAGGCGCGGAGTTCTGGTTGCGGCATTTTTCTGGACAGATATTACTGGTCTGCAAAAGCACCCTGGTGAGAGGCGTGTCTTTTTTTTTGTTGAGTCGTCACTTTTGACTCGGATTACTCTTGAAAATCAATCAAAAAGTTAACTTGACTTTGTTTGAATCATCGTAATTAGACGGTAAACCGAGTCCACCGATAGTGTTGCGTCATCGTACAGACAAGGGATACCTCATTTACCCCAGATTTACCACTTCTGGATCCATGGATCTCGATCGAGTGAGATGAAAGTGAAGTATATCATTGAGATAGGTCAGGTGCAGTCTACCTAAAGTTATCCTCCTTATCGATGAGCATGTGGTACTATCCATGGATTAGCTCTCCGCGGGATTGCGGGGGTTGTGCATAATGTGATCATCGTATATGGAGTAGGATCGACGCTTTGTCGATCATGGCATTGCAGCTGAAGTGAGCGCACATCAAATTGTTCATACTTTTTTTGTTACCACTTGTATCGTTACATGGTTCCTTTGCCAATAATGCAGTGCAAAGGCTGTGCAACAATAGCCCCTTTCCTTGTGGATCATATTGTGTGATCTCCTCACCGCGATTTAGGCTGAGATACAAAGTATAGAATATGGCGTCGTTCAGGATGAAATACAGGTCGTCACTGACGAGGAAGTAAAAGGCCTGTATCCATGGATCCATCCGACGATTCTTTCGACCACCGTTAGATATTTTGGCCTTCTGAAGATCTACCTATTTTCTTCACCCTCCACCCTTACTGAGATCAGCATCGCTCTTCTTGATCCTGCGATCTTCCTGGGACCTTCCTGCTTTCTCGATCTTCTGCCTTCCATTTGATCTTCAGTCCGTCACTTCTTCCTCAGTCCTCCGTGAGATCTGCTTCGGATGTCTATTCACTTGACAGCTTATCTCCTGAAGGCCGCACATTGCTTGCGCAGCTGGCTGATTTACCACCTGCACCCTCCATGGATCGCATTGTACCGTGCATGTCTGCGAGCCTGATCATTGTGGACGTGCAGCAGAAAGTCGCTGGGCAGAAGAATCTTCTGACATCTGTATCTCTCGTCTCTGTCCTCAAATGTCACTGCGACATAGCTACACCACACACAAACCAGCAACCATGGCAGCCAAAGAGCCTCTTGGATATTTTCGCAAGACGACAACTCGCAAGATGACAACCCTTCTAGCAATGAACCCTCAGCTACAGCCCCACCAGGAATCCCAGGACAACGACGCTGATATCGCACAACCACATACTGACGAGACCATGGCATCGTTGTCCAAGGACCAGAAGGACATGGCCTTGACCCAAGCATGCGAAGTCTACTATACACGCACATGATTCAAGATCCTACACCATGTGGGCATCCTAGCTTGCAGGATTCACCATCATAGCTGCGCATGCACCAGGTCGTCGTCGGCGCAAAGCATCTGGCACTGTACCCACCAGAGAACCTATTCCTCTCTTGTCAATACTCGGACCTTGCTGAGATCTTTCTACCTTACTGATTTTCAGTCCTTAATGGGATCTATCTATTCACTAATCTTCGGGCCTTTTGAGATCTACTTGAGTGCCTTTTCACTTGACGGGTTGTCTTCCAAAGACCGCATATTGCCTGCACTGCTACCTGAAACCGTCGAGTCAGAAGTTCGTTCAGAAGACTGGAATACGGGCATAGAAAGCCAGCTCCTCGAAAGAGAAGGTCAAAGAAGGTCAAACCCAAAATGCATCCCTCGAGTCCTCAGTCCGATCCAGACACCCTCTCAATCTTCAACCGACCCTCAGTTACCGGCTTCACCTGAGCACGAAACCTTTAAACCGTCTCTCTCTATCAACAGAGATTCGGTGATCACATCGGTCAAAAGGGGACACGTTGCTGACTATTTCGACCTGTTCATCGACCTCATCACCGACGTGAGTGCAATGCATTGCCCCCGTTTCTACCGTCGAAGGTCAAGCTGCCACTGGCACATCCAGCTGGCGCTAGCCACGGTAGTGCTATGCATCCTCCGTCCGTGGACCACATTCTACCGTCTACCCTTGCGAGTCTGACCACGACCCAAACGACTTCTTCGAGGTGTCCAGCCGTGGAGTAGCCCAAACTCCTGCTTCCTGGGATGCCCTCATCGTTCGTGAGATCTATTTAAGCTCTCGATGCTGGGAGAACAAGAACACGGAGGCCACAGTCCCGATACGTCACGTGTGTTGTTCTGCAGCGAAGAAAGATTGCATATTTATTACTTATTCCTGTTTCCAAATGGGAATACATCAATCTTTCGGAAAGTGGAAGAAACCCTCACGAGCAATACACTGAGTGCTAGGCACCATCCTCGTTGCGGTGACTTCCCTAAGATCTGTCTACCTGCCTCGGTTCCAAGCCGAGCTGATTGATATGGCAAGTGGTACATGCAGTGCCTATGGGTCCGATACCACGCGGTCTTATGACGAGGAAAGACGCTGTTAATAGCAAATTCAGGACGCCCACGAGGGGTGGAACGCGAGGACGATGGGTTGAGTACCTTTCCAGGTAGACAGTTCTTGCGAATCTGATCACCACGGGTGTTTGGCAGAAACTCGCTGGAAAGAAGCCTGAAATTTCTTCCTCTTGATTCTCCCTTGCACCACAAGCCGAATTACCAACTTCACCCTCTGAGTGTGAGGATTTGCCCTGAGCATGTTTGCCTGCTTCTATGCGTTTGCTTGCTTTGAATGTGGTTTGCTTAAGGCATCTATTATATCAAATGCTCTCCGCCTCCATAGCTTTGCTTCTTCCTTCATGATTCGCATCTTCCTCTTTGAAGGCTCGGCATACGCAACACTGCATCCTATTCTATCCGCGCGTCTGATCAAGACCAACCTCACTTCGAGGTGTCCCGCTGTGGAGTACCCCAGACTCCGGCTTCCCGAACGCCCTCATTGTTCGTGATATCTATTCAATCTCCGGATGGGGGAGAACAAGAATAAGGACGTGGATACCACGGTCACGGGGTGTTACGATGCGTGTAACTTTATGCAGAAAAGAAGAATTGCATGCTCATTTCCATTCCCAACTAGGAACATATCGCTTCTGAAGAAAGTTGAAGAGAGCTCAAGTGCTAATCACCATGAGCAAAACCCCCGACGCCCACAAGAGGCCGTATCGAAGAGAAAAATCCGCAATTTTTGATTATTGTGGAGTCTGATGAGAGGACCTCGGGATGATGGAAAACGGTGGTTCCCTGTCTTTATCTTTTGCAGTAATAAGACTTTGCATGTTTTTAGAAATATGTGTATGTTCCAGACGCATGTCCCAAGACTTCGTTCCAAGAAGGTGATCGCACCCACAAGTATACGGGCATAGAACTTTGTAAACATCTGGGCATGCACATATGTTTGTGACACTTGAGCAGACCTTGCATTCTATGCCTGGTATCACATCGATTTCCTGACTAGGTATCCCGGTAGATAACTTGCTATGTTTGATAGTCGAGATCCCGAGATCGCACCTAAACTTCTAGTTTATGTTTTTCCTGTCACTTAGAGTGGTTTGTTCTAAAATTTGCTAGTAATTTGTATTTCCCGACTGAATATGCAGATTGGACACCTAGAGCTACCTCGCGGGCTTATACTAGCCCTCCACCGCATCGGGATTGTGGGGATGTAACATGATAGCCGTGTAGGATCGACAACGCAGAACCCGTCGATCATGGTATTGCAGGTGAAATGAGCAGGTTTAAATACTAACCTTGGAAACCTCCAGGGCTTGGAAGAAACACCAGTACAGAGTATGGGGTATTCACCTGCGCTTTACAGCTTAGTACTTGTATGCATTGCTCCAAGTAATAAGGCTGTGCAACCTTGGAACGCCAAGTCACAGCTTGGCTAATTGATCTCACCGCGTCTTAGGCCGAAGAGATTCCAAGCAAGGCATGTTACCAGAATGGGCCCTTCATTCCTCGATCCAATAGGTAGTAAGCAGCGCCCTGTATGTACAACTTGAGAAGACGCTGACCTCATACGATGCCCTACCGTTTCCTACGTGTCTGTGGCGCAGGGAACGAGGCGCATCTGCATTTCCAATCTGAGGTGAATCCACTCCAGGCAGCCCTTGGCCCCCAAACACGAATACGAGTAACGGTGCGCTGGCCATACAAGTATTGTATCAACCAGATACTGAACACATGAAGATGCTGCCTAGGTAACTAGCATGTTTACCTGGACCAGGTAGCTTAGCGCCGAGCTGGTGATGGGAGTGTGATTGGGCCCGACGCTATTTGAAACTCCTCCCGCATCAGGGATAACCTCATTTATGTATCGTGATGTCAACTGATATTTGGGAACGGACGAAGTACGGACGGAGCTAACCAGTGAGTTATCCGAATTCATTGTTCTCCAGGGAGGCTGGTATCCCTGAGACAATTTTAAGATTTGATCGCATGTCCATCCTCATTACGCGCCGGGCCCGTGTCCAACGGGTCAAGTGTACTCGTACTAGCGTTTGACAGTGATAACTATACGAGTACGAGTATTGATCATAACATCAGGGCTCGGCATTCAAGATGTTCTTCATATTGTAATATTGAAATATTAACTTCTACTTAAGTAAAGTTACTGATACTCGCAAAGCTCTACTAACAACTTAGAGTAACGGCAAAGCGGAAGGCCGAGACGCCGGTAACGAAAAATACCGAAGCCGCTGACTGTACTAAGCGAAATTAGGCCTGAAGATCTAAGAGTTTTCATTGGCTACCACGTCTGAGCTCTGCGCTAAGGGGAGGTGGGCCAATCGGCCGCCGACGATGGATCTTATATTGGGAAAATTTCAAGCCCAACTATCGTAGTTATGAAGGGTCTACATGAGTTTGACATTTGAGTAGTTCCAGCTTCACTCTGGTCCTAAATTCTAAGTATATCTATAGATTATTTATTGTTATAGTTCTGTAGACAAGGCTGAAGAATCAAAGTAGATATATCTGAAGAACAAAAGTAATATCTGGAGCACGAGGACCAATTTCAAAATACTCTAGCTGCATAAGATTCCGAATGGGTCGGACCATTCGCATAACAAACTCCGATGGAATTTTGTGACTTCTCATGCACTTGCCGGGCTCCGTGGGTTCCGCCGCTTCCGCCCTCTTGGTATCAAAACCAGCCGTGAGGATCCGGTTCGAACGCGATGAGGACTCCATACTTAGATAGTTACTCCTAGTGCCTACGAGTAGTACTCCAAATACGAGTAGCGCTTAATGTGTAACATGGCCCGGGAGGGAAACTAAGGCCAAAACGGCGGTAGTGACGACATAGACAAGTAATCCGGTTCTCAGGTAATCGCTGTAATGTAAACCAAAAATACAATACTTCGTATCGACAATACAACTCTCCCAGATTCCTTTCCTTCCCTTTCTCTTCCCAACCTTTTAATTCTTAATATAATCTCAGGGCTTCCGGCTTCCCGTGGTTTTTCTCGAGTTCTCTGTTTATCTGCGGATTTTCTCGGTTGCGCCCTTGCTGTCGCCTTGCATCCCACCCTTGACAACGTGACCTCCTGAAATTCCCTGGGACACGGCCCCTCGGCCCTGACAGCCCTTGTTCGCCTTCCTAACACACTTTTCATGAGCCTCTGCTCTCACCTCAAACAAATCCTCGGTTCGTCCACGCGACAAACTTTCTCGCCCTGTGGCATACCTCGAATTCGCAACATCCCTTCCTCAATTCGAGTGAGAGAGCCTGTCAGAGCGTTGCCAAGATGAGCGCCTCCTATCCATCGTGGAAAGACCGCACCCAAAATCAGCTCGGAAAGCTCCAGATCCAAGTACCATGGCGCTCATTTCAGCTCCTAGTCCCGCATCGGATGCGCCGCAAGCTTCGGTCCAAGTTACGCAGTCGCCTGTCACCCACCTCATCTATATCCACCCTCCAAACATCCTTCTCGCCTGTCGACACCCTCAGATCCCTCCAGGCGCACCGGTGGACGACCTATGATTTCCAATACCTGTTACTTCTGATCGTCGGCATTTTCTCCCTAACAATCATCCAATCTCCTGGTCCGCTGGGAAAGACGGCCATTGCCACCGGGCTTCTGTGCTCTCTGCTGATGCCTGTCACTCGGCAATTCTTCCTCCCATTCCTTCCAGTTGCGGGCTGGTTGATTTTCTTCTACGGATGCCAGTAAGTTCTACCCTTTCTTTTTCTCGTGTTTCAGGCTCTAGTCCGATGCGCCTGCATGCGCAATGTGGCGTGATCGGATGGTGGCGGGGAACCGAAGAGCACAGTGACAAGAGGCAATCGCTAACATACCTTTTTAGGTTCGTCCCAAGCGATTGGCGACCTGCCATCTGGGTCCGAGTTCTACCGGCTATGGAGAACATCCTGTACGGCGCCAACATCAGCAACATCCTTTCCGCGCACCAAAACGTGGTTCTGGACGTTTTGGCTTGGATTCCCTACGGACTGTGCCATTACGGAGCGCCCTTTGTTGTTTCGCTTCTGTTGTTCTTCTTCGGTCCTCCCGGCACCACTCCTCTGTACGCCAGAACCCTCGGATACATCAGCATGACGGCCGTCTTCATCCAGCTGGCCTTCCCTTGCTCGCCACCCTGGTACGAGAACCTGTATGGTCTTGCGCCAGCCGACTACTCCATGCAGGGTAACCCAGCCGGACTTGCCCGTATTGACAAGCTGCTCGGTATCGATCTCTACACCTCTGGCTTCAAGCAGTCTCCCGTCGTCTTCGGTGCTTTCCCCTCGCTCCATGCCGCCGATTCTACCTTGGCTGCATTGTTCATGAGCCACGTCTTCCCACGCTTGAAGCCTCTCTGGGTTACTTACACCCTGTGGATGTGGTGGGCTACCATGTATCTTTCTCACCACTACGCAGTTGACCTTGTTTGCGGTGGCCTGCTTGCCACTGTGGCTTTCTACTTCGCAAAGACCCGCTTCCTGCCCCGAGTCCAGTCTGACAAGATGTTCCGCTGGGATTACGACTACATTGAGCTCGGTGACAATTCGCCTGATTTCGGATACGATCTCGCCAGCTTGGACGGCGACTTCAATCTGGACAGCGACGAGTGGACCGTGGGCTCCTCTTCTTCCGTTTCATCAGGCTCTTTGAGCCCTGTGGACGACCACTACACTTGGGAAAGCGAACACCTCACCTCGAACCACGACATCGAGGCAGGTCGTTAAGCCCACGGAGTCTCCTCTGCACATACTGCTTGACACTCCACATTCTTGCATCTAATACTTTTTTTCAATCGGCGTTATGTTTGACGACAATGTTTGGGAACATCTGCATCGAGCAATTTCGGCACCCTAAGGTTTTTAATACATCGACCGAGAACATCCGGACCACCCGGTACCATCGTCTCGAGTCGAAAGTTTTCTTCACCTTCTGGCTGTACATGCCTCGCTAACCCCACTTGGGGCTCGCTACTCCGTCCATAATATTAATACCGGTGGTGGAAGGGATCAGGCCTTTTTTACCTGCACATTCATCCCTGTGCCACCACCGTTGGCGACATTCGCTTGTACACATTAGATCGCCTATCGGGCGGTCACTTTTTTTCTTCTGACCCATGTCTTTCGCTACGACTTTATGAGCTGGGCGAGCCACCCTTTTTTTGCTTTCGGCTCGCCCAGATGAACAAACAATTTGTGATCTTTCGTGTCACTCGCTCATTGCAGGCGCTTGGGAACTTTGGAACTGTTCTTGTTATAAAAGTTTCGGTGCTTCTATGACGCACCCACTCGCTGTGCATTTGAAGGATTTTTTGAATACTCGTTTTACGACACTTGCATTGGCATATCAAATGGTCCTGCACAAGAACGCCCTTTCTACTCTTCGTTTCGGTGGTGAACTGCGTCTCCATGACGACTCCTTCTCTGGATCTGATCCAACCGAACGAGGCAGGTGAAAGGACGACGCTTTGGTGTCTATTTGAGCGCCATGGCAGCCAAGGATGCAGAGGGTTTGGTTCTTGACGGAGGCCACCCTCTTGATACCTAGGCTTTGCCCATTTCTCTTCTGCTATCGAGGACGAAGCTGATCCGACATGCTCATTGTGCGTCTTCGGCATACCCTATATATCACAAGGTCTCCTTGTCGGGTAGATGGCTCCGGGTGGTGTGTCTTCTCTCGCTACCTATGGGACAAGGGGCCCTGGATATTCTTAGCATTATCTTTAATTGGTAGCGTATGAGTTAATGAACCATTGTACATTATCTATACTTCATTATGATTTCATTTCCGACAGTAGTCTTAATAGAGCAGAATAGAGCAGAGAAACATGAAGCTTACGGCATTGAAGCTACTCGAATGCCCTCCGAGGATGGGCTCTTAGCTATGCCGAGGTTATCCTGGTGCGTCTATATTAAAGGCACATGCAAGAGCTGTCAACATTGAAAGTTTCGGTGTAAATCATCCGACACTGCATGTAGATCCATCGGGATTTATGCCTGAGCATTTTCATGTACTTGAGTTCTATAGAGATACAGAGTAGAGGAATTGATTCAATTTCAAGCTACCATGCAATGCTTCATATCCACGACGCCAGCTCGTGTCTCTATTTTGATCATTTCCCATAACTTATCATGACATGTCATACCAGACCGGCAGACCCTTTCGACGCACCAACAATCACATTAACGACCCCATATTCGCATGGGAATGCCCACAAGCCTCCGGTAGACCGGTCGGAATCGGACCGTACGGATCAAGACCCGTCCGAACCGCACCAACCCCCTCCTTAAGATAAAGCACAAGCCGATACGCCGAATTGCCATTCAAATAATACCGATGAAGCTGCTTGCTCCGCAAGAATCCCAAACGCTCATATAACTTCATCGCACCGGTATTGGTGATTTCGGTCTCGAGAACAATCTACACGCATCAGCCAATATCACAAGAGGGGAAAAACAAGTTCCATACCTCATCTGCATCACGCTCAATCATAGCATCAATAGCCATGCGCACTAACTTCGTAGCAATGCCCTGACCCCGGTATTCCTCGCGCACGGCCAGCATGGCAATATACCCCCTCAGTGGGCCATCGCGGTGCGGTTCCAGCTTCGAGACCACCACACCGACCATTTCGTTGTTGTCGTCCATTGCTAGGAAACATAGGTCCCCCCATTGGTATAGGAAGTAGCGGTATACGTAGATGCTGTAGGGCTCGGATAGATCTTTGGAGATCAGTTGGCGCATTGCGGCGACATATTCGTTTTCGCGAGAGTTGTCGTATCGCACATAGTGTGGTGAGGATAGCGCATTCATTGTGTGGTGGTTGAAGTGGGAAAGGGAAATGCAACTTTGCCATGTGATCCGGAGGTTAGGTGCTTCCGCCTTTGACTTTCTGGTCCTTGTTTTTTTTTTTTAACTTCTCTCTTCTTTCTTTTTTTTTTTATTGCTTTTTGTTTCTGCTCTTGTCTTTGCTTGTCTATAATCTGATCCTAGGCAATTGCTACTTCTTTCTGGTCGCGCCTCGATATGCTCCGGCGCCGCACGGCCAAGGACAAGGTCCCCTCCGATAAACTGGTCAGTAACCCAGGCTCCAAGAAAGAAGAGGAAAAGCTACGCGCGGAATTCGGCGACGCAAAAGTCAAGCAGCTGGTGCTTAAGCCACGGAGTAAACGTCGCAATGGGTTCATCTTCTTGCTGGGCGGGATCTTCGGCATCTTCATTGCCCTGTTCTTCGCAAACCAGCATGAGGTCATAAGCTTGGACTCAATCATGGATCTCAATCTCGAGTCTCTGATGGAAGCCATTCCCCAGGGTATCCTGCGCGACGTGAAGGAGTTTTCGGTATGTTTTCTACAAGGGATGGTCTTATCGATCGCGGCTGACTGGGAGATAGCAACAAGAGCGCGATACCGTTAGCTACGATTCCTTTGCGGTCGGCTTGCACCTTCAGTCTCAGGGAGTGAGCGCGAAACACCCGGTTGTTATGATTCCCGGTGTGATTTCGACTGGGTTGGAGAGCTGGGGTACTGCCGAGAGCTCGCGACAATACTTCCGCTCCAGGCTGTGGGGTAGTTGGACTATGATGAGAGCTCTGGTTATGGATAAGGCAGAGTGGAAGAATCATGTCATGCTCGACCGTGATACAGGTCTCGATCCCCCTGGTATCAAGCTTCGCGCGGCGCAGGGGTTCGATGCGACTGATTTCTTCATTACGGGATATTGGATCTGGAATAAGATCTTGGAGAATTTGGCCTCTATTGGATATGACCCCACGAATGCTTTTACGGCTGCGTACGATTGGCGACTATCGTATCTCAATCTCGAGGTTCGTGATAAGTATTTCACCAGACTCAAGTCCTACATCGAAACTGCGGTCCAGGTTGAGGGCGAGAAAATTACCTTGGCTTCTCACAGTATGGGCTCACAGGTGGTGCTCTACTTCTTCAAGTGGGTGGAGAGCGATGAGTACGGCAAGGGCGGTAAAGATTGGGTCAACAAACACATCGACTCTTGGGTGAATATCAGCGGCTGTATGCTCGGTGCAGTCAAGGGGCTGACAGCTGTGCTATCCGGTGAAATGCGGGATACCGCTCAACTGAACGCATTCGCCGTTTACGGGCTGGAGAAATTCCTCTCCAAGGAGGAGCGCGCTGAGATCTTCCGTGCCATGCCTGGTATCTCAAGCATGTTGCCCAAGGGCGGCGAGGCTGTGTGGGGAAACTCCACCTGGGCTCCAGATGACCAGCCCGGCCAACCTTTGACATTCGGCAACTTGCTCAATTTCCATGAGACTAACTCGTCGTGGACGCAACGCAATCTCACCGTCACAGAAAGCCTGCAATATCTCCTAGATCAGAGTGAAGACTGGTACAAGAACCAGGTCCTAGATAGCTACTCCCATGGTGTTGCACACACCAAGCGCGAGGTCGAGGCCAACGAGAAAGACCCGCGCACATGGTTGAACCCTCTTGAGGCGCGTTTACCCCTCGCCTCAGATATGAAGATCTATTGTTTCTACGGCGTGGGCAAGCCCACAGAGCGCAGCTACTTCTACCAAGAAGAGACCGACCCCCTAGTGAACCTCAACGTGAGCATGGACACGACCATCACGAACAGCGAAGGCGTCGACCACGGCGTCCTGATGGGAGAGGGTGACGGCACAGTCAACCTCCTCAGCACAGGCTACATGTGTGCCAAAGGCTGGCGCATGAAACGGTACAACCCCTCTGGTATAAAAATCAAGGTTTACGAGATGCCCCACGAGCCTGATCGCTTCTCTCCCCGGGGCGGTCCTAACACCGGTACGTTTACACTACCCCTTGCATATCTACAGACCACTAACTGAACCAGGCGACCATGTCGATATCCTCGGCCGTGCCTCCCTCAATGACCTACTCCTCCGTGTTGCCGGTGGCAAGGGCGATCAAATTGAGGAGACCTTTGTATCCCGGATTCGCGAGTATGCGGATCGTGTACAGATTTTTGACGATTAATAGATCTTTCAAGATTGATGATTTGGTGCGGTTTTCTTTTACTCGTTTTGATCCATGTCTTTGAACAGGAGTTTTGGAAGAGGTATCGTTATGTACTTATGTATGAGCGTTTGTATGAACAGCCCACCCTCAAGACAATGACAGCGTTGGAACTTTTTACCTTGGTATCTCATCGAGACCGTGTATCCTCACCCCACGTGCGGTGGTTAGCATCCATGAATATTAGGCTATTTTATTGCTTGAGTAGAGATGAACGCCAGGTGGAGTATGGAGCCAAGTAGAGTGTGGAGAAGGACAATATTGTCAATAGAAAAAAGCCCAGAAATGAAAACGGTAGCTCATATGATCTAGATATTAAGCTCACACGAAATCTTGGCTAAGAAATGTATTGTTCCAAACAAGGAAATGCACAAGGTTGTACACTTTCAGGTTGTCCATGCTTGCGGCAATATGACGTACTTGCATGCCAGCGCCACACCCCCGGGGCCCGAAGGATCGCTTACATTATAGTATATAGATGCCTATTAGCCCTGGACTGGGAACGTTAGAGCCACGGCAGATTCTGTTCATTTTGGATTCTCAAGAAAATTTTCCAGTCCCGAGTCATGAAGATCCACCCAAGTTGAAACAAGACCCAATTAGATGACTCCGATCTAGGGCAGTACCTGAGATCGATGGTTGTTATTGACGGGACGGGTGGCTTCCAAGATCCCAGAAATTAAGGGAGCTCGAAGGGACCTCGTATCTAGGAGGTGAGGAAATGCAATTCCGGGGTAATCGTGCAAGTAGAAACTCTTCTTTTATATCGATTTTTATAGATCGGAAAAGAGAGCAATGATTGGTGGGTTGCCAGACCGACCCGATCTATCCCTGGAAGCCACCAATCAGAAGTCAGATCATGTCTCCACCATACTATACCCAAATGGGAAATGTGGCGCGGCTGTCCTTACGTGTTGACAGTTGCGTCACTGGCTCAGGACGCTGATTTGCGGAAAGTCGATCTACAAATCCCAAGGCACTGGGTGATCCAACCGGTTTCAACCATTTTATTCTATTTCTGTCCTTTATATACCATGCACATCTCACTGTTAACACTTGACGCTTTCTAAAGTTGCCAATTGCATACATCATGGCATCTGCAGATGATCACCACGCTGGCCGTCGAGCCCGCGAGATATATCGCTATTTTCGACAAGCCCCCACAGACGAAACACAGGGCAAGGATGGATCTCCTGCGCCGGCAAACCAACCCCCGACCTTACAACGCTCACCATCCGGCTCGACAGTTTCACGAGGCTCATGCACCCCATCGCTATGGGATCGCATGCCAGACTCCTTGGCCCTGGGAACCTCAAATCCCACATTGAACTCCTTTGCGCAATTAGCGGCGCTACGGTTGAACGTGGATCGAGTCTTCATCAGGTACGTAATTTGAGGCCTTGAGTAGGTCCTGCGCTTACCGTGGAACAGTGTTTCGGATCGAGATTCACAATTTATTATTGCGCAAGCTGCGCAAACGAAGAAGGGGGATGAGAAATATAACTCTCTCAGTGATGGCATTTACAAAGGCTGTGCTACCCTCGATGTCAATTCTTGGACCCCTTGTCAGGTAAGCTTCTCCAAGGAATTCCCGTGTCTTGGCAACGGAACTAATCAAAGTACCGATAGGATACAATTGCTCTGTCGCAATCCAAAAGAGAGCAAGGAGAATACAACTTTATAATTTCGAATGACATGACTCAAGACACAAAGTATAAAGATCTACCATTTGTGAAGGAGAGCCCCAATTTCCGGTTCTATGCAGGCACGCCTCTCACTACAGAAAGCAACATTAACGTGGGCTGTTTCTTCGCTCTCGATACAAAACCGCGTTCTGAGTTCTCCGAATCAGATCAAGAGATGATGGGTACCATGGGTATGCTCATCATGGACTACCTGATGGTTAGTCGCCAGGCCTCCGAAGGTCGCCGCGCAGCCAGGTTATCTCGTGGCCTGAACCTCTTCATCGACAGCAAGTCAAGCTTCCAGGATCTATCTGAAGAGTCGAATGCCCGCAACTCCCACTCTCCATGCAATACACCTCCGTCTTCAAAAACGAGAGAAGACAACCGTCTCGCTGTTAGTGAGAATCTTCCGTCTCGACGTTCTCGTTCTAGGGACAGCGATTGCTCCAGCTTATCAGAGAACCGAGGAATCCAGTCTCTTTCCTCCAGCTTCGATTCGAGTTTGAAACCCCGTTTCCCCGGTCTGGGATCTAGAAAAAGTCGCGAACACGACGAACAAAAAGGGAACGGTTGGACCTTCCAACGGGCTGCGAATCTGATCCGCGAAAGCCTCGAGTTAGAAGGTGATAGTGGGGTCGCATTTGTCGAGGCAGGCAACGACCCAGAACTCGACAATGAAACAGGAAGTGATACTGCGAGTACCAAGGTCCGAAAAGTCGCCCCTATATTGAGCATCTCCACAGGAGAGAACTCATTTGGTCCTGAGAATGGCTGTCTTTCGCAGTTCCCTGTGGCCAAGATAGACGAGGTTTTCATGCAAGGATTGCTGCACCGCTATTCTCAAGGCAAAATCTGGTCATTTCATCGTGATGGCTTGTTCTCTAGCTCGGATAGTGAGGATGCGCCTCGTGAAAGTCGATCTCGGACACGTGCTCGTTCTCCGCGGTCGAAGAGACCGAGGAAGTGGAAGACCCTGGAGAACACGATGCTTAACCGCTTGTTCCCTGGAGCTACACAGGTTATATTTGCTCCGTTGTGGAATTCTGCCAATTCTCGATGGTTTGGTGGTTGTTTTTGTTGGAACAATGTCGAGAATGTCGTTTTCGACCCAGCGGTAGAGCTGAGCTCTGTTCTGGGCTTTGGATCTTCAATCATGGCTGAATGTAATCGAGTTGAGGCGCACATCTCAAATCGCCAAAAGGAGGATTTTCTCGGTAGTGTTTCGTGAGTACTCCAATCAAGTTTGGGTGTTCTTGGGTTTGAACCACAGCTAATTCTCTATCAGGCATGAACTACGAAGTCCACTCCATGGAGTTCTAGCAGCAGCAGAGCTACTCCAGGGCACACAATTTGATGATTTTCAAGGCTCACTGCTTGAAACGATCAATGCCTGTGGTCGGACATTACTTGACACGATGAATCAAGTCCTGGATTATACTAAACTGGTTTCCCTGGAGAAGGACCTCCGGCATTTGAAGAGAAACATGACCTCCCATGTCGATATCAAAAGTCTACAACGGTTTGCGGGTCACTTGGACGCATACACATCTACGGATCTCTCACTTCTCTCTGAAGAGGTTGTGGACGGGGTGTGTCTGGGCCATTCATATAGCCAGCGGCCCGCAGCCTTCCTTGACGCAACAGGCGCCCACTTGACCAACTCCAAAGAATCGGAAGTTGATATTCCTGAATTGCACGTGGACGTCACACTGGATATAACGCAGCAAGATTGGGTCTATCACATGCCGCCTGGTGCCTTTCGACGAATCATCATGAACCTACTTAGCAATGCCGTCAAGTACACGGATTCAGGCCGTGTCTCGCTTTCCCTCGAAGCCAAGGAAGCCCCGGAGAGTCGGTATCTTCATACTGGCACCCGGGAAGATCTGATCACCCTGGCAGTCTCTGACACTGGCAGGGGTATGTCTGCAGATTTCCAGCGGGGCAAGCTGTTTGTGCCATTTTCCCAGGAAAACAGTCTCGCTGAAGGAACAGGCCTGGGTCTCTCCATTGTTCGCAGCCTGGTCAAGTCTTTGAGCGGTACAATCAATGTCGACAGTCGTCCAGGAGAAGGTACAACCTTCAAAGTGACAATCCCACTGGCTCGTCACGACCAAGAAGATTTCAACAGCATTCCAGGTGCCTTACCCTCGCCTCCACGAGAGGATTCAGACTTCACCACGAACGAAATTAGTCTTCTGCGAGATACACACGCCGGTCGAAAAGTCGCCATTCTAGGCTTTGAGCCCAATGACGCACGCAAACATCCTTTCTGGGGAACCATCTCTCGCTATCTGATCGACTGGTACGGGCTGGACCTAATCTCGCCGTCATCTGATACAGAGATCGATATCATTCTGGCTGACAGGCCACCACTGAAGATAGCTTCAGAGTGTTTCGCGGACAGGAATCAAGCTGTGCTGGTTGTAAGCAGCAAGTACGTCGGCCACGAGTCCGTTCGAGCAGAGTGGTCTCCATTCACCAAGATGGTGAATGTAATCAGTCGACCATGCGGCCCTCACAAGCTTGCTCGGTTCCTGCAAAAATGCTTCGATAAAGATGGGACTACTTCAGACTTGGACCCCATCGCCCCTTTGAACCCCAACCCCGAATACCCATCAGCGCCTGCTGAAAATGCCATTCCTCCTGAACATCATACCCATGACAACGACAAACCTCCGACTCCCAACACTTCAAATTCTCCCCCCGAAAAAGTCGACCCCCTCCCACCCACCGAAACCACCACACCTGAACCTCGCAAACCACGCGTCCTAGTGGTCGAAGATAACAAAATCAACCTAAACCTCATGCTCGCCTTCCTCAAAAAGCAAAGACTGGTAACCCTCGACTCAGCCGAAAACGGTCAGCTTGCTGTCAACGCAGTCGACCAATTAAAAGAGAACTATGATATTATTTTCATGGGTAAGTCATGCACACAGCCAGTGTCTAACAAGTAAACTAACAGGATTAGATATCTCCATGCCAGTGATGGATGGCTTTGACGCCACGCGAGCTATCCGAAATCTGGAAAAACAGCGCGGTGTAGATTCGACTACGTCTACCATTATTGCGCTTACGGGACTGAGTGGCTCGAATGATGAACTTGAAGCCCTGGGTGCGGGGATGGATCTGTTCCTTACTAAACCTGTCACTATGAAGAATGTTTCGAAGATCTTGGATCAGTGGTCTGATCGAGGGTTGAAGGATGGTTGATCTGTCAAATCGGGGCATGACAGATGGTCGATCGCAGCGCGTCATTGATTTGTTTTCTTTGTTTCTTTTGGGGGTTTGTAACTTATTGGCGTGCTCGAGCGGAGTTGGGCATTTCCTTTATACGATTATCACGAACGATACCCATTTGCATTGACCCCATATGTACATACATAAGTACTTAAGTATATGAAACATCGTCCATTCCCAGTTTTTGATACTCAATTATAGTTTCAAAGTCCATGGATCTGGGGCAGTACTATTGCCTAGAAAGGACTAGCTCTGGATCCGGTCGTCCGGGTCCTCCTATCCTCTGATTGGTCAACCCTAATTACAAGGGTTCCCCACAAATCGTCATTGAAGTCACATGAGGGGGGGAAGATGTAACTCCCCTAATTCCAATAGATCCCTTTAGTATACTCACCCACGCCATGGATTTATCACTTCGCAGCGGGATAAAAAAGACGAACAACAGACAAGGTCGTCGACCAGGCAAATCAGCCTGTGTAGCATGCCACAGCCGCAAAAAGCGCTGCGACCGCCGCCCACCACATTACCAGTGCTCATTCTGTACCAGGGAGGATCAAACATGCATCCCCCGAGACCCGGCAGAGAGGTACTTCTGATATGCGATTACACCATGCAGAGTTATATTAATTGAAAGATAGACCTGCGCGCCACCGCCCTAATCGCCCCAACCTAACGAATTGCACAATCGTCAAACCCGAAGAAAAAGATACTTCCCTACCACCAGGCATTGATCACGAAATACCCCGCTGGAGCGCAATGTATTCATTTTATTCAGAGATGCAGCGTCTGCTTCCTTCTCCGACTCCGTCTTCAGATCTCGATGATCCACCTGCACACATGTCATTTGGGAAGGCGAAGGGGAAAATGCCGTTGATGTTTGCGCCTGAGCCTGAGCCTGAACCTGAGTCTGAGTCTGAGCCAGAGTCAGGGCCCAAAGCTGAAGCTGAAGCTGAGCCTGAAATTGAACCTGAAAGGAATACCATGACCCAGTCCGTTGATTCTCCTGCTCAATTCAAGGGAATTAGCATGCCTGCTGCGCAGACGCGGAGTGTGACTCCGGTTTCTCAGGGGCGAGGGGAGAGGCCCAGTCTGGGGGCTGATGCAGGTGTTTCGGATGTAACGGGCGCTGAAAGGGGTCGGGATTTCCATGGTCATGGGGAAGGGTTTATGAGTGAGCTTGATGCTTTACTTCAGTTTTGACGTGAATTATTATTCACGTACAGTTGCATAATCAAAAGAGCTTTTTGGACATTGTGATATGGCTCTATAATTTGAATAATATACATGGTATATGACGAATGAACAAGCTAGTGTACAGAGAGCGGTCAGAGCCACCCGAATTGACTATCCATGCAAGCATAAGACCGGAGATGAAAAGTTGAGAGGGATGTCAGATTATCTATCGCCCGAATATTTCTTTGACTGAGGGCTCTTTTCGCACATCAGGTGATTGAGAACGACCCTTCTTGGGTCGTTGGGGTAGTTCGTCGTCGAGCTCTTCTGGAACATCAGGCAATGGAACAGGATCCTTAAATAGTTGGGATAATTCCTCGCGGGAGAGCTCTTCTAGCACATCAGGTAATCGAGAACGATCCTCCATGAGTCGTTGGAATACTTCTTGGGCGTCGGGATATTCTTGCACAAGTAATCGAGGGGGTTGTTCCTCCTTCTCGGCAAGAGGGATGTTGATGGCGTTGTTCATCTTCCACTCCAAGGGGTGCGGGACATCATGCCATTCAGAGTCCATGTGCGCTGCTGCATCCAACATGATTCGAAGAGGGTGTTCGGGTTTGTAGCGTTTATGAAGCTTCATATCGCGTTGAACAAGGGCGTTGGCGAGACGGACTTGACTATGCCGTTCAATGCCTGCGGGTATGTTCTCAGTGATGAAGAGTAGAAGGTTGTCACGGCGAGCTTCGGGGATGTCATTCATGATGGAAGAATCCAGAGTGGAAGCTCCATGGTGGAAGTCATAACCAATGATGACTTTGCCACTGTCGGTGTCCCAGATTCGGCGGGGTTCAAATTTCTTGTCAGAAACATTGGTGCTCAGCCCAACCAAGACACACTGTTTCATTTTGTAGGTCGTCCTATCGGAGAGACACGCGTACTGCCACAAGACCCGGCAAATATTGTAATGGCGGCCCTGGAATGAGGTCAAGAACAGATTCCCCAAGAGATTTGCTGATGGAGTGGCATCCTGATCAAGGGATGCCTGCTGTTCAAGGAATGGAAGAATGAGATGAATAGCGGTGAAGACATTGGACCGATGGGCCAAGATAATGCCGATGAGCGAAACATCATCAAGCTGTATTCTTCTGTCGATGCAGAATTCACACAGTTGTGCTATAGCATCATGTTTCTTCAACCGGCTGAGAACCTCGAACATCTGGCCCATCAAAGGAGGGGAAAACCAATTGGCTCCGTGGGTATTGAGCAGGAGGTCAAGGTAGGAGTCGAGAGGCTTCCCACTATTCATATGCACCAGAAGCGAATTCTGGATGGTCTGTTGGAGTGCTGAACGGGTGACACTTAAGTCAGACATGTCTCCCTGTTGTACCATGTGTGCAATCAGTTGAGCCTTCTCGGTGGGTTCGGTCAGGGCGCCAAGCAGGATGAGCCTCGTCTCTGCGTTTGGGCTGATATTGGCGCGACCCATTGCTCGCACAAGGTTACGGAAATCAATGATATCTTGAGTGTCCGCGGCATGCTTCATCATGATGTGATATGTGTCCCGCGTGGCAACCGACACTGACCGTGAAGCCAAGGTTTGCGCATCTACAAGATGCATATGAGCTAATAAGAACTTCAGTGCGAGGTGCAAAGCAGCAGCGGATAGGTGCTTTTGGTTCTTCTCGAATGTGATCATAATATGCTTTGCGATCCGGTATGACTGTTTTATTCGCGATTCGGGGTGCTTCTTCTGAGAGTGTGGTGGGAGCTTTGCGGTTGTGACGTCCTCAATGTGCTCGGTGAGATCTTTCACCGTTCTGATTTCGGTATGAGCCTCCATGATTTCGTCAAATGTCCGAGGTTCATCAGTGGGGTCAGTGGCCCAGATGCCTCGAAACAATGGCGGCTTCGAACCCGACTTGTGAAAAGCTGTCGGGGTAGTGCAGATAGGGAATTGGAGTTTGCGTTTTTTATCGAGTGGATCACCACTCTCTTGCACGCTCTTGGTGCGAGCAAACCGCTGTTGAACCAACTCCTGGGCACGCTCTGTGCCAGACAGAACAACTCTGCGCAGGACGCCTTGGTTTTCGCTGACAGGCAGGACTTGCACCCGACATCCATTGTTGACCAGCATATACCAGATATTTTCCCGTAAGGTGTACTCGTTCACGCCTGCAAAACGCTGAAGGACTTCCTCAGAAACAAATATCTCCTTCTGGTTCGGCGGAGACTGATTTTTCCGCTTGACTTTGCGTTCGATATCATACAACACATCTTGCGTATCTTTCCAAGCTTTGGCGACGTATTTTTTTCCCTTGTTCGCATATTGTTTCTGCATATATTGCCGAGCCCGCATCTTAGTTTCGTCACGTTCTGAATTCATCAAAACGCGTTGTGGCTTTTGGCCGGGCTTGTTTTCGCCCGAGGGGCGATTGCCCTTTAAACCCATCTGTACTCTCTTAGCCCTCGCCTTCTTTTTGGCAGATTCTGTTAGTTCTGTTGGTCTTGGAGCACGCCCGACTTCGGTGTCGAATATATCGCCATCCCTTTCCAACCCCTCAATGGAATCAGCCGCATCTCTTTTTTCATTTTGGTCGGATAATACAGTATTTGCAGATGAAGATGTTGGAATTGGCGCTGTACCCCGGTCAGAGGCGTCAGAGATCCATCTGCACGAGTGTCGGGCGAAGGAAGGACAAGAGGGAATCAGTGGACGAGACGGCGCTGAGGAAGACCGACATATTGTGGTTTCAATTGCCTTGAAGGAGATCGGTCGTCGTTGCCGTAAAGCAGGCGTCGCCCAGCGAGGATAGAGGAACGGCAGGGGGCCATCGAGGCGAGTCGCGGCAGGGTCGAAGGCGGCCGACAGGCGCCTTCTCAGACACGGGCGGCCACGCGATAGCATAGGGATCGATGCTCTGGCAGCACCAGAGATATGAATGTGGCAGAGCTAGAAGTGTCAAGATGTTTGTCCGGTCGTTTTTTGCCCCGAATATTGTTGGCCGGCGAAGGCGGTGAACCGGAAGCTGATAGCTTACCTGCTATGACTAGGTAAAGAGTAGTATATTTGCACTTGAACTATTTGCACTTGAACTATTTGCACTTGAATTATTTGATTCTTGATGAAATGATTCTAAATAAAAAAGAGAATATGATCTTCAGACTGTGAAAGCTCTCACATGGAGCCTTGGACAAACACCAGTAACAATATTACTACACAATTATAAGACATTAGTAGATATGACCTTCACGGCCAATCTCAGCCGCTTTAGGAATGCCCTTGAAGATCTGTCTCATCGAGTCAGACCGTTGCTCCAAGACCGGTCTTTTGGACAATAATGGATCCCGGGCCATGGGTGTTAAATCAAGTAATTCAGTCGCCGACTCTCCATGATCATCTTTAAAGACATCTGGACCAGTCGTATGCCGCTTGCAAGCTTCTGCTGCGCGTGTAAGATTGTCCTTCTTGCGCTGAACGGCATCAGCGTCTTTGTCGGAATCTGCAGGGGTCGTGGACAATTCGCGGATCACCCCAGAGAGATAAGTGATGAATTGCCACCGTGATGCTTGGAATAAGAAGGTTGGCATGATTTCCGGTATCTGCCGGGGTTAGCGAAAGTATTCAGATGAAGGGATGCAAAAGTAATTATCACCTTATCAGTTAAATAATATAGCTCATCGCCGCCTTCTTCCACGAACCTCTTCAATGCATCGATCCGCTCTCGGTCAATGGAAGCTAGTTTCAGAGCATGGAGCAAGCTGGGAATATTGCCGATTTCATCGATGTGCGGCTCCTCATCAACAGTCATACTTGCGCGGTTCAAGAACCCTGATTCAACTCGCGAGAGACCAGCCACACTCTGCTCCCGGCTTCGGACCTTGGGCGAGTGGATGGTAAAGTAATCTTCATTAAGCATGTGTGATTTTTCGAAGTCGGAGCGACCCCGGACACGTCGGTCAGAGACCTTTGTTCGTAGTCGGACCCAACGCCTCCTCCTCACGAATGAATGGAACCAAGGCTGTGTGCCATGCCATGAGGAGGAAGAGAACGAGAAAGAATATTGCCAACCTTGTTCATCTGTGTCGCCAGACATGTCAACATACCATGCATTCCACGCCCACTCCCAACTTGGGTCTGGCAATTGAGCATTGGTGATGTTGACAGCACTCGGCCGGCGATCCTGGGTCATCCAAGCCGCGGGGTCAAAATTTAAAAGAGAGCTATGCGAGTATCGAGGTACTCCAAATATGAATGAGCCTCGTTGATTCTCGTAGAGAATATCCATTTCCGAGCGTGACTTTGCGTCCGGGGCGTTAATTTGACCCCCACTTCCATTAAAGTCGGTATCTGTCGTAATGATGCTTTGTACACGAGATGGTGCAAAATCTGCTGTATCGATGTCTCTGCTTGCACTGCCTTCTCCCGTCGAACTTGCGGAGATCGAGCCCCCGCGCACTTGAGAGGGTTCCCGGCTGAGTACGTCGCTGTCCTGGGCGATGCCCAGTCTTTCGGGTTGCCACTTGGCATACTTTCGTTTTGTGAGCTGACTCTGGACCGATGCACGGCTGAGGTGTTTGGATAGGCTTCCTTGCCGATCGAGTGTGGATGTGCGACGTGGAGTTCCCTCGCCAGTGGGCTGTGGGACGGTGTTATCCACCAAGGAAATAGATGGTGCGTTCTCCATTGAGTTGGTTCGGGAACCCAAGGGGATATTTAAGTATTGTTGGACCATTCCAATGGTGCTTTCGACCCTTGTAGTGTCCCGGTGTGCTGGGTCTCTACTTTAGGGGTATCATTCAAGATTCGAAACAAGGGCTAGAAATGAAATAGAAAAGAAAATGAAGGATAAGAAATAATATGAGCCAGTAGAATAACAAAAGAAATAGAGCAGGTGAAGGGCAAAAGAGAGTGTAAAGAGGAAAAAAAAGCCAAGTGAACATCGATTACATCGTTTGCGGGGAACTCCGCCAAGCCTCACCCCAAACCAGCGAAGGGAAAAAAAAGATAACACAGCAACATCCCACCATGGCTCACCACAGAAGAATAGAGCTTCAGTCTCCAGCAGACTTCACCTACCTCTATGCCAACACAGTCGCGCTTTCGCGAAGACAACTCGACCTACACATCCCCCCTTCCGCCTCCGAGAAAGAAACCCCCGATCCTATGCGCGAACGCGTCCGCGAGCTAGTAGACGAAGTAAGTGAGCTCTGCAGACCTCAAGCAATAGAAGATCCCATAAGAATCCTGACGCCCTAACGTTATCAGTACATTCACAAAACCTTCGACACGGCATCTGCTTCAATCAGCATTAATGGAATCGACTCCACCTCTTCACAATTCCCTTTCCCGGCCGCCTTCACAGAGCCAGTCGAGCAAGTGGAATACGAGCAATATGACAGTGAGCTTGCGGCGCGCGTGACATCTCTCTATGCACAGCTCGAGTCATTGAATACAACAGTCGCGCAACACAGACGAGACGCGCCGAGACGCGCCGCGAAAGAATATGCCGCGCAATTGAAGATGATGATGCAGGAAGATGAGGATTATGAGAATGAACTTGCCAATTCCAGGCACGAGAAAGAGGATGAGTCTATGGAGGATCAGGCGTCGAAAGATGGCTCACGTAGTTCATTTGACCCGGCTTGGAGGCTGGAGGCTGATCTTGGGACAGAGGAAGAGCAGGAGCGTTGGAAGAGTGGGGATATTGCAGGTGTTTATGAGGATACTCTACGGATACTGCTGAGATTGCAGGGTGAAGGGGATGCTGTGGAAGTTGGAGCTGGAGGTGAGGCATTGGCGACGACGGTGGGTAAGGCTGAGCGTGCTGGACGTGCTGCTGAGGTTGTGGAGGATATGATGAAATAGGATTGAGGCCTTAGCCTGGCGTTTCTGTTTTTCTTATTGGTGTTGGGGGTCTTGGGAATAATGATACCACGTCCATTTTATAAATTGTTGAATCCAAATGACTCCTGTCATGTTACTATGTTTACTGCAGTGAATCTCTGTCCTGTTGCTGTGATTACTGGAAATCTCTGTATCAAAAGTCAAGACATGATAGCTATCATTTCAATATATGCCTTTTCATGTACAACCTGAAACCAAAACACCGGCTATTCACCTTCACACCAACTCACTTTTGAGGTTCATCAAGTCCTGTCTCTTCTATGTTGAGAGCTGCGCACGCTGCGCATATCGAATGAGCAAAAACATAGTCAACAAAAAAAAGCAAGCTCTTCATGATATCTAGATCTGAACAGAAAAAAAAAACAACGCAAATAGCGAATGTAGGGTAAGGAGTCCACAGATTGTGTGGATGGGTCGGCGAAGATGTGTTGAAACTACCAGAGTAATTCTGGTCTGCCAGGGGGGAATGGCATCAGATGGGATCATGTCTGTAGATCGAACCACCGTTGTGATCTCTCTTTTTTTTTTTTTGTGGTTTCTGGTTTCCCCCACACCAGCCAAGGGGGATATTATATCGGGTTATGAGAGTGAAGTGACAACCTAAGCAGCAGTCTGGACTCCCTCCTGGCCCTCAGCATCCTTCTTCTCATAGCCGGGGTCCTCGTTCTGGACAACAGGCTCAGTACCCTCCTTGTCAGCGGCCTTGTCAGCGGCCTTGGCAGCCCACTTAGGAGGGCGAGTCCACTCAGACTCCTGCCAAGGACCCATGTCGGAGAGGTGGCAGCCGTTAGGGCAAGCACATGTACCACCGAACTCAACAGGCAGGTTCTCAGCGGGGACCTGGGCGAGCAGTTCCTTCTTGTAACCGCTGCCGAGGACGTGGATCTTGCTAACGGTCACGGGGTCAAGGAAGCTCTTGACGGCACTGAAAGCAGAGCTGAAGCCCCAGGGAGCGTTGATGAGGTAAAGCTTGCCAAGACGCTCGGGGTAGTGGTTCTGCGAGATGTCGGAGGCTTGCTTGACGTATCCGTAGACGGAGGGAATGCTGGTGATACCAACGCCCTTGAGATCCATAATTGTGCAGCAGGTCTCGAGCAGCTTGCCGGCCTTGCGAGAGCATGCGGGCAGACGGGGGTCGGCCAGCTTCTCGTATTCGGAAACCAGGTTCTTCAACATACGGTCGGCAGTGGTGATTTCGTACATCTTGTTCAGGTCGATCTTGCCGAGCTTCTCGATGTAGACGGGGCGGCCATCCTGTTGGACAAAAACCCGTCAGTTTCTTTCGGAATAGTTCACTCATAGCATGAATAACCCACTTTGTCAGTCTTGTGGTAGTACTGGGGGTAGTACTCGAAGACCTTCTCCTTCTCGGGGTAGTCGAAGTTAGCAGCCAAGTCATCGGTACCGAACTCCTTGCGCCATTTCTCGCTGTTGGTGAACCTATCCAGTGGGGTTAGATCATCGAAACACCATGACTAGACGAGATGCCCTTAACGACCAGTCTGGTCGCCAGAAACTTTCCGGGCTGAGAGGATTGAGGAACGTACATAGCCTTAGCAGCCTCGACATCAAACTTGCGGGCACGCAGGAAGCGCAGGAGGGTCAGAGTATCTAAACGCTCAGTTTGGCCGAGCTTTTCCAACTCCGCGCGGAGCTGGTGCACCTTTGCATCCTGCTCGGGGGAGGTGTGGCCGGGGTGACCAGGCTGTGCCTCCGGGGCGGTGGTGGGGAAGTCGTACTGATCGTACTTGGGGTCGGTAGGTAACTGGGACTCGGTAGCCGCCATTGTGGTGATGGGAGGGGTATGTTCGAGGGGAAGAGAGGGGAGTTGTTGGAAGAAGAGCGGGAGGCGGAGTGAACTGGCGTAAGTGGCCACTTGGGATTTAACAACAAAAAACAAAAAACAAAAAAGTTTCTTAAGATCGTCCAGTTGATCAGTTAGGTTATTTATACTAATTTACTAGACTAAAAGTATCTGTACGAGTACGATCTGAATTTACTTAGATTGTGCTCTAAAACGGACTCCTTCAATGTCCCATGTTAGGATCCATAAGTGGGCTTCTATGCCCAACTTTACTCGTAGTACGGAGTAGTGCCCACACATATATGAACCTCCTTTTCATACTCTACGGAGTACTCCGTACAGGTCAGACATAAGGCAGCAAGATAGAGTGAAAAAATAGGGGGCAAGGGGGCAAACGTGGCGGTGTCTGACGAATCCGCAATAGACAGCTTGACAGTCAACGCGTGTCCGAGCTCCATGCTCCACATAATAACGGAGTATATGGAATAATTTACACTTGATCAGGTACTCGTATATACTTAAGTACGACCTTGAATTGAGGGTATAAGTATAAAGGGTTTCTGTCGCTTCTCAACCTTTCCCTTCAAGGTTTGGTTGGAGTGCTTCCTTACCGCTTCTTGCTCAAACCCTAACTGTCACTTATTGACTTCAGTACGAAGTAGTAGGTCAGGGTCTATGAATATCAAATAATCCAAAAAGAACACCGGTATTCAATTCAAGGTAACCTCCCCTCAACACACTTCACAAGAGGTATTATTACACACAACATAAGACCAAGAGGTCTGAAGCAAAAACAAAAAAAGGATCTAGGGCTCAGCACCCAAGAGAAAGACAACTATGCGCTGGGTATAAACATTGGAAGGATCAGAAGAAAGGGGGTAAAAAGCAAGAAAAGAAAAGAAAAGATATATAACAAAATCACATCGTCGGCGTCCCGTCCAGCAGGGCCTTCATCCTCCATGGGGTATGTTCGTGTATCAGCAACATTCACAGGGCAGTTCTGCCTGGCAGGCGGATCCTAGTCATTGCGTTGAGCAGTCATCCATCATATTCGGTGGGAAAGGGACATGAATATGACGGTCATCACATCAGGGCCCGGGGCTTGCGCCGGGTATTGAGCAATTCAGCCCCTCGAGCTCATCATTCATCAAAGGGAGAGAGGGTGAGTGAACACCCAGAGTGCCTTCACCACCCCTTCTTTCGTGCAAATCGTTTGTTGAGGAGCGCAAGAACCTTGGTCACGTTGAACTGGACATATTCTAGGTCAAGGTCTTCGAGGTTGTCCTTTTGCATTTCCAAGAGGTCATCAAGCTTCAGGTCAAGCTCGAGCAGTCCACGGGCTCGTCCTGGAAAGTGGGTCAGTGGGATTACTTTGTGAAGTGTGAAAGAATTGGTAAACTTACCCTTGTAATGGAGACTGATGACAAAAGTTCCAGGGAGAGGACTCTTGAACATGAAGTAGATGTTCGCCCGGCGGTTCTCTGGGACATTGCTGCGTCGAATGACACCCTCCTTCTCGAGCTGTTGGTGGGTAAACTTGTACGGGCCAAGTTCTTGGTTCTTAGGCGTCTTGCCGCCGCGAGTCTTGCCCTCAGACTGGCTGCGCACGTTGTGGAGGTATGATTTGTAAGTCTCCAGCTGACCCACCAAATAAGCGTTGTGATCGCGGATGGTTGCAAAGACCTCCTCGAGCTTGCGCGTCTCCTCCAAAACCTTCTCCTTGAGAGATCCCAAGTGCACCAGCTCCTGTTCGACTTCGTCGCGAAGTAAACTGAACTCGTCGGAGCGGTCAATTACACCCATGTCTTGGAGCTGGCTGAGAAGCTCCATGGTCCGGATACCCTTTCGCACCATTACGGCATCATTCTTAAGGGTTGCCGCGGCCTCGGCGATTCGATCGAGACGCAGAGGGCGACGGGCGACTGATGTGTTCTGGGGGAGGGATCGAAGGATTTGGACAAATGTTGACTTGGCCTCCATGAAGAAGACCTCTTCCTGGGTGATATCTAGGGCGGCCGTTAAGTCGTCGAGGGCGGTTTCCCATTTGCTGAACAAGGGGACTGTGATGGTTCGGTTCTCCTTGCGAGGAACCTGAGGAGGAGCACCACCCAATTCTTGAAGCAGGACAGATAGGTGCGAATATTGATCCTGAGCAAGGGCTGCGGCGTGCTTCTCCAGAAGGCCGTGCATGACGTACATTTCATTAAGAGTGATCTGGAGTTCAAGATCACGCTTGGACAGAGCAACATAGTTGTCCATTTCGAGGCTCTCGTAGAAGTCCTGCACCTCACACAGGTCAAGTAGGAATTTGTTGACGCGCTCCTTGTTCTGCTGAATGAATGGCTGCAGACTGGCCATGTAGGGCTCCTTGGCGTAGGAAGGCTTGTTTGCCAGGTTCTGAATCATCTTCGCAATCAATGTGAGGGTTCGGCGGGGCTTATCCGTAGGGGTAGCATCGATGAGCATGTAGGATCGAGGAGTGACAATCGCCGGGTTGATAAAGCGCAGGAAGAAGAAACCACCGATGAGGGTACAGATGGTCTGGTCCTGGGCATCGGGGTACTTGCGACGGGAAAGACTGCGGATCTGCTTGCAGATCCAGCGGATTCCATAGGGGGCCTCATCCACGGATTCAATAATGGTGGAGATGAATCCATTGGCAATGTCCGTCAGCATTTTCAGCCGCGGGGCAATGATGGCCTGCACTTGGGCGTTCTCGGCAGCGTCTTCGGCCGTCACAGACCGGGCCAAATAGTCTGGTAGGGAGCCTGTCTCTTCCTCAATCTGCTTGATCATACTTTCATACACCTTTAGGGGGTTGATCTCCAGATCCACGTCACGCAGCTCAATGAGGGCATTAATCTGATCCGCGAGAACCTGTTTTAAATAGCTTTGACCGGGTCCTCGACGGGTATATGTAGTCATCATGCGGGAAACGGGGGTATTTTGGCGCAGCAAGGAGGAGTACTCCGGTGTGTTATCGAATTGGTAGGTCAGGACGGACTGGAACATGGTAAGCAGGAGGTGCTCCTCGCGGCTCTCGTACTGGTTTCCGTAAATGGTGAACATGACAGTCTGGAGGAGGGAGTCGATCTCGGCCATGGAAACGAGTCGGCACAGGTGAGCGATATGGCGGGGTTCGGATTGGAGGAGGAACAGCAAATTGCCGTATTTCTGCGTTCGATCATCATTCGGGAAGAAGCCTTCCTGGGGGTCGGCGGTATCATCAAGGTGGCTCGCGACTTCATTTTGCTGTTCGGTGAAAAAAAAAAGGGTTGTTGTCAGCCCACATTCGTTTCACGATGCGACAAGGGGGGGCTTACTTCTTCCAAGGCCATTCGATTCTGAATCAGCAATGCGATTCGTGAGTCCAGGTATCGCACATCCTTTTCCAACACAAAGTTCTTCTTGGATTGCGAGGAGATCCTTGATTTCAGATCCCGCAGGTGCTTTTGTGCTGTTGCTGGGTTAGCGCGACCGCGAATGTTGCTCGTAGGAACGTACCTCGCGCCAAGTCATCTGAAATTTCCAAATCCCTGTCCTTTGCGGACATGGACAGGTACAGGGCTGTGACCGACATCCGCTTGGATTGGCGGAGCGACCGAGTATCGTGCGACGACATGGTGTTTTGTCGTGCGACGGGTTGAAAGGAGGAAGAGGAAGAAGAAGATGCCCTGGATTGTCTAGATGCAGGTTGGAGCATCGTCGCAACGGACATGATTGCGGACACCTGAGAAAGATGTTTAAGGGGGGTTCGGACCAGAGGGAGGGCGAACCACGGGTAGTGTTAGTACCGAGAACTCGGAGTCTCGGAGGGAGAAGAGAGAGAGCGAGAGAGAGAGAGAGAGAGTGAGAAACAAAAGTGGACAAGGGAGATTATTATTTCATTAGTTTGCTGTTAGGGCGCTGGGGAAGGTGGATATGTCCCTTTTTTTTTCTTGTTTTGTATCTTATCTTCTTACTCGTAACTACATACAGTTAGGGGACTATAACCACTATAACCACTATAACCACCACTATAACTGCTATAACCACCACTGCTATACTGTACAGACTAGTTCGTGAACTTTGTGAATGATACGTATGCAAGGGGAAAAGGGCCTATCTTTTCTTACCCCTGGCCCAATGCACCTTTCGCCACTTCTCCTTTCTCCCGCTCTAAGCTAACTAACCCCATAAAGGAAGATCACGCATTCCTCGGTTTTGATATGTCTGAGCTCCATAATTCTCTGCAGCTGACGTCAGATCTCTGGAAACGAGTCCTCCTGTAAGTACGGAGGAGTACTTTGGTGCAAGTACTACATTCTTAGTGCGAGGCAAGTCACACCTCGTACCTGCATCAGGCCGTTAAAGCCGGAATGTTGTACTCTGGAATGAGCACGGGATGTTATAAAGTGCCGATTTCCCTAATCTACTATAGTTCGCTATAATATAAAGGGTTGATAGGGCATTGAAACCCCAATTGCTCGAACTACTCGTACTCGGCACAGTAACCCAGTTTCATCTTGATAACCCCCATTGAGTAAATGTACATATCCCGGAGCACCAAACCCTAAGTACTTACTCTACGGAGTATACTGCAATCCGTACAAATGCACTGGTACTTCTCAATATCTCAGTGCTAAATGTCTCACCTCCTCAAGACTACTAAATAAGTACATATTAACTTAGAAGTGCAGCCAAGTGTATGCGGGGACAATTTGGTCTATGCGCTCAGGGGTAAAAAGCGCGAGAGTGGGGGCTCAAACTTTTAATTTGATACTTACATACACTGCCGTACACTACTTTACACTGCTTTACGCCTTACACTGGTGCATTGCACTTGAGCATAGTATTGTAATTTTGTTACAATGTCAATGCTTTGAGTTATTTGCATCTGCAGTGGTTGCTACTCGTATTCTATGTACGGACAACATACTTTACACAATCTTGAGTCGAACCACTTGTATTTATAGATGGCGTCTGTTTCTGTACTTATGTATATGCAATGCAGGGCTTGCAATTGGCAGTGCCATCTATGGATGGTGGGTTCCGTACGATGTACCCGTAAGTATATGGGAACTTGAAAGGGATCATCCTGTTCCGCTCGAGCCAATTGCAGATCCCAAATACACCCATTTAACAAAACTTGGCTCTCGGCTTGGTGGGGACTGGCCAGTGCTGATGTTGACTTTCTACTGTACGAGTACCTTAATGATCTGTGCTCGTCCTCCGTACTTCGTACGAGTACTCGACTCCTGAGTGAACCCTTGGTTCTTGTCCAAGTACGGAGTAGAGATGTTTCACATCCCTACGCTAAAAACACGCCAAAATAGCAACATGTGGCTAAACGGTAGTTGTCTCACCTGCAGCCCGAACCGTTGGTCGCAATTTTAGGTACCTGCATTGGCTGATGTTACAAAGTAAAACAGGTACATATCTACAAGTAACTCTTCAGGGGCTATCCCCGCCTACAATCTTATCTGATCAACATCGGAATACAATACATTCTCCTATACACATGAAAAGGCAAATCCCAAAGCCTTCGACAGACGTGCGGGTATCGCTATGCTAACTAATCAAATACAAAGAACCGCGAAATCCCATCCAAAAACCCCCGTAAATGCTTTTGTTGACGCCAACCTATTGACGGAACGTGAGAGACTTGCCAGTCTCGTCCCGTTTGATTTTGCGCGCTCCAGAGGGAGCTTCCATCGCCTTGGCATACGGGTTGAATGCCTTGCGGCGGGGTTGGGAGGCTGTGGCAGCGGAAGGCGCGTTGAGAACGGCACTGGCGGCATTGTAATCGAAGGGTGCTTCTTGGGCCTCGGCCTTGGCCTGGGATTTCTTTGCCTTCTTCTCCTTCTTCCTCTCCTTGCGTGACTGCTGGGTTGCCTCCATGGAGACGAAGTCGGAATCGTTGCCTGAGCCGTCGAGGTCGGCGGTGGTGGACAGGGCTTGCTCGGGGTTGTCGATGGGGGTCACCTTGCGTTTGCGGGGACCGCCGAGGTCCTTGACGGTGAAGTACTTCTTCTCCTCTGGTTGGGAGGGAGCGGGGGCAGGCGTAGGCTGACTGACGGCGGGTTGAGGGGCTGTGTCGGGTTCTCCCCGGATTTCGGTGACGTTTGTTGTCATGGGGGGCAAGGGGAGGGAAAGACGCAGGGCTTCGGCGCCAGCAGAGAGTGAGAATGCGACTGGAACGGATGGCTCCTTGGCTTCCAGGACGTTGCCCCAGAACTGAGAAGTCTCGTACCGCCCAGCGACGGGGGCATTGAGATTCACCTGGGGAGTGGTTTCTTCGGCGACCTTAGCGGCTTGTTTTGATGGTGGTGGTGCGATATCGAGCCAGTCAGGGCCATTAATGCTGTCAACCTTGGCTTGCTTGATAACTTCCAAAAGGTCCGAGACACGCGACTTGGTGATATTGGTCACTGGCGATAGAGTGCGGTACAGGGAACCTAGGTCAAGCGGCATAGCCTGGGCAAGCTTGAACAGAATGTGCTTGGGGAAGACACACTGCCAACCCTCATCTTCAGCCCGCGCCACTTGGTCGCGGAACTGATGAACGGCCTTGAAGACAGCGAATTGCTCCTTGGGAAGATTGCCCGAATTACGCCAAAGCAGATCGTACCAGCCTCCTGGGCCGTGACCGTTCACGGCATCATATACAGGACGCTCGTAGCGCTGTAAGGCTTCCTTCTTGGACCCTTCGTTGACGTAATCAATTTTGCTGGCCTCTTCGGTTGACTCTTCAACGAGGTCGTTTCGCAGACGGTCGTAAATGTAAAGCAAGTAATGGGTGTCCGACCGGGCATAGTCGAACATTTCATCCGGAAGTGGGCGAGCGCGCCAATCGGCAGTCTGATAGCGCTTATCGGCTTCGAAGTTGACGAACTTGCTGAGCAGGAATTTCAAGCTCCGCTTGGGGAATCCCAGTGCAGAGGCAGCATGGAAGGTATCAAACATGCCAACCATGTAGAGACCTAAGTCGCGTTGCAACCAAATTATATCCATAGTAGCACCGTGCAGGACCTTCAAGATATTTGGGTCTGCAAAAACTTCATTCAACATTTGTAGCTCTTCCCTCCAAGGCTTCAGAGTGTCAACGACCCAGTCCTTGTCCCGGGTGCTGATTTGCATCAGGGAGACAAGACCGTGATATGAGTGAACGTCGTGGTGCTCCAAATCGATGGCAATCTCCTTTGCCTTCTTGAGCTCTTCCAACATCTCCTTGACTCCGTCCAAAGTATCAACAAAGGTAGCAGTGGTGCTGTCGAAAGGCAGGTAGTCTATGGGTGGGGAGACCTGATAGACTTCTTCCGGGTACTGGGACTCGCGAATCTCCGTCTCGTATGGGTGAGGGTAACCTAATGCACCATCGATCTTCTTCATTTTCAAAGACTTCTCCAGTGGTACAATGGCGTGGGGCTTGGACTTGAGGAGAGGCTTGAATGGGCTCATATCGGTGCTGTCTGGTTTGCGCTCGAACTCCAATTGGGGTTTGGGGATTTTGGATGAGCCATAGTCGTAGATGTTTGGGAAAGCAATATTCTTCCGGGGTGCGGGGGCTGGCGGCGCATTTTCCTCTTGCGATGGGCTAAGTTTCTTGATCACACCAGTAAACTCATCCAAACAAGCATCTGCCTTCTCCAATAGCGAATCGATCACATCTACCACGCTGCGCCAGTTGTCATCGATAGAATCCTCATCTCGAAGGGTAGGAGGGGTCAAATCTGAGCCAGTGGTGGCAGCTTTGATCACTGCAGATGTCAGCGCAATGATGCGCTCACTCTGTTCGTCAAGCGACTCGGAAAACTCCGCGCTGGAGGTGCGATGGAAGTTGAGGTCTTCTGACGAGAGCTGTGTGACGGTCCGGGTGACCTGGACAAGAGCGGACGTCAATTTTTTCTCAAAAGGAGAGAACTCTGCAGAGTCCATGGTGACTAGCAAAGCTTCAATTCGGAAATAAACTAAGAAATCGCGGAGTGGACAGGGCTCCGAAAAAAATCACATTGGAGAAAGACCCGCGCTGACCGCCTTATTCTGCCGAAAGTGCTGCCACCTGCGATCTTCGAGTTCACCGCATTCCGTTTCCTTTGCTCTTATTGATCTATAGACTATTGCCTTGCATTCCTCTTTTTGATACAGGTTGAGCAAGTTGAAACATATCACCCGGCACAGAGTGATCTCCTCCAAGAAACATCATGGCAGCCTCCATCGCTCCCGAGTGCAACGAAATCAAAGAGTCAGTCCGAGCACATCCAGCATCTTTTATGACATATTGACCATCTATACAGGAAATATGACACTTGCTTTCTCAAGTGGTACAGCGAGAGTATGAAATTCAAGAGCTTTTCATGTTCAAAGCTTTCCCATCATACAAAAGTTGTAGTTGCTGATCATATTTCAGAATACTTGCGTGGCAACACCTCATCTAATGACTGCGAAGCCTTATTCCAAACTTACAAGGGATGTCTGAACGTGAGTATTGCCCAGGACTGTGGTCAAGTCCATTGCGTCTAACCAATGTTCGTTCATGTTACAGAAAGTCCTCAAGGAACGAGGCATCGACAGCATGGTGGAAGATGCTCGCAAGTCTGGCAGCAGTGAAACAGACGCTGAGTTCCTCAAGAAGTCATGAGAACCATCTCCTCATTGGGAATCACGCCGTGGATGACCTTGAGGCCAAGTCAAGGAGATTTCGGTACTATTTTGTCTTTTTAGCGACGGCATTCGATTCCATGCCATTCAGCTTTGCAGACCGGAGTTATGGGTTTGGTTTCGATTCTACTTATCTGTATATAGCATCTCACCTCTCAGTGCACTTCACCACTCTTCACGGAACACGTTCCTTCCAAGGTTTCCAAGGTTTGCTAGGCATATATCTTTAGATGAGGCTGTTGTCTACTAATGACCTCAGGAATGGTCATTGCACCAGATGGTTTGTAGTTTGAACAGTCCTAGAGTATATATATTTCTTCCCAAATTGATCGAAATATATAATCAATAAGCTATAAACAGCAACTTTAGAACAGCAATACCAGAGCCACCAATACTAAGTAGTACATATACTTAAGTAGAAAGAACAGTTCAAGAAATGCGAAAGACGAAGTGAAGTATAAGCTTCTGGGCTAATTTAGGTCCCGTCACGTGTACGGTCTAGACGATCACCGCGGGATAACGAACTTGACATTTCAATTCCTCGATCTCGACATCCCTCTGATCTACAAGATTTCACCACCTGCGAGTCTCCTCTAGACTGAAAGTCCCCGTCGTTGTGCCATCAAACCCTCGAACATCTTAGCTATGCGCGCAACCCACACGCGGATCGCCTGAACCACCTCAATTCATGCACCCCTTTTCCGTCCTCACACTTGGGATCTTCGTTGCGGGTTATATTACCGCTAGGTGGGATCTCGTCACCCGTCTATACGAATTGGCTATTTTCGCCTGGGATCACGGTGTCGTGGTGCGTCTTTCCAACCTCGGTCTAACGGCCGCCCCTCCTGCGACAGCTCCTGTGGCCGTGCAGTTTGTCCTGAACGATATAGCTGACGGTCCTATGCGCAGACACGAACCGCGAAAGGCTTTCTGTTTCTTTCCGTCTTCTTTTTCATCCTCGTCCTGCCGATCAATCACCTCGCGTCCAAAGAGGGTCAATTGGTGAGCGATCCCGATGCGATCTTATGCGCTGGATACCGGTCAAGCATGATGGCATTCTGTGCTTAGCTGGGTCTATATACTGACGGTTTGGGGGAAAATTAGCACCCGCGGCACGTGAATCTCGGCGTCTCTGCGCGAGAACAGTTGCGCCGACGAGGCTCGTTCTGAAGCTCGGGTGGAGGATGACAATATGCTCATGAGTGATGGACTGTTACGGGTATTCTGGCCATATGACCTCCCGCGCTCTTCATTGCCGGGTGTGATTGTCGGGTGGCGGAACTCAGAGCTTGATTTATTCGTGCTCACGGTCTTGGAGGATGTCGAGGTAGGCGGTTTTGCCCTGGCTTGTTTCTACGTGAAATAACTGACCTGTGAATGGAACAGCCGCGCAATGTTGATAACGCACTTCGCGCAGGGATTCTGTTTCGCAACAGTCCTCACCCCATCGTACGTATATTCAATCTATGCGGCCGCTCTCAAATGCATGTGCTTGGCTCGACCAATTCCACTGTCCCAAATACATCATTCAGCTCTTCACATCTTGAGGTGACTGCAACCCCACCACTGAAAGCCCCTCGGATATACTGTCCCCAAGAGGCAAATCTATCTGTCCAGGTGATCATGTATCACAGGCCACACCCTACGCGCATGGAATACATGTCACTCTATCCAATTTCCTTGGCCCTTGGCGACAAGGCAACCAAGAAGGGTCCATGGGGTCCTTCATCAGATAAGAACGAGCAAGAGGAAGGCGACAAGACTGGGTCCAAGGGTCTGGTTGAGAAGCTCAAGCTCCACTCGGTTGTCAAACATGTTCCATCGCAGAAGGAACAAGCGCTCCCGCTGATTATCAACCAAGTCAATTGTGCGCATGAAATGGCACAGCTCATGCATAAGAACAGTCATTTAATCGGCATTCGCGCTAAAAGGAGTATGAGTGTTAGTGAGCGTGTGGTGGAGTCGGCAACCACACTGTGGGGATTCATCGTCCTCTGTATTGCTCACGTCTTCTGGGAATGGATCTGGCCTGTTGTCACGCGAGTGTTCGTCATGGGACTTGTGTGCCATCGCTCAGTTGCGGAGCTTGTCCTGCAAGTTCTCGAGTGGCGTGCTCGGCCTGACGCTGCCGCTCTCAAAGATATATCGGCAACTGCTCAACAGGTTGACATACGGTTACAACAATTCTGCTACTGGCCGATCCAGTATGTCAAGCTCCGGCAGAGAAAGGATAACTGGGAGAGTGTGACGACTAGTCATCCGGATTATATCCGGTTCTACAACAGCCTGTGGCTTGTGGCCAACGATGTGATCATCGGAATTGCCATGGGATCCTACATCATTGATAATGCGAACTGGGTGGCTTCGCAAATCAACACTGTTTTAACTGGCTGGACTGTGGAAGGACTCCAGCGTACCATTTCCTGGTTGATGGACTGGCCAGCTGGTTTGAAGCTGAACAATGAACTTGCAGCCTTCCTTGGTGATCTGTTTCTTTGGGTCATTGAGAATTGGGCAGCTTGTATCGCCAATTTACAACCGTTTCTGCCTACCGTCATCTGGTTGGTAGGATGTTCCAGCTTTGCAGGAGCCAGCATGCCAATTGCGATATTCTCCGACCTCCTTTCGATCCTGACAGTCCACATTTATTCCTTCTACATTGCCTCCGCAAGAATCTTCAACTGGCAGCTCACGATCATCATCTCCCTTTTCCATCTTTTCCGCGGAAAGAAACGCAACGTCCTCCGCAACCGAATAGACTCATGCGACTACGACCTAGACCAACTTCTCCTTGGCACTATCCTTTTCACCGTCCTCTTCTTCTTACTCCCAACAGTCGTGGTCTTCTACCTGACCTTCGCATCTGCCCGGATGTTAATCATTTCCATGAAGGCAGGATTTGACACCTGCCTCGCATTCCTGAATCACTTCCCTCTCTTCGCATTGATGCTTCGCGTCAAAGACTCCCGCCGTCTGCCAGGTGGTATTCGCTTCGAACTCCGCGAGGACCAAAAAGGCTCCGACTCTGCCCTGACTTCCTACATCCACCTAGAGGTATGTCAAATCCAAAAAAAAACCATGTATGCAACCCAGCTAACATAATCCAGTCAATCCCACTTCCCCTCCGCGCAATGTTCGACCAGTATTTCCAGCTTGGCCACCGGCTGAGGAAACATTACCTTGCTCCCCGCGTCATCTTCTGCCTCGTTACTGGCCGCTTCGTGCCACCCATCCACAGACGCAACCTCTACAGTATGCAATATAGCATGCTCCCTGCCCGTCGTGCTGGCATGGCAGAGGTGTGGTCCCTGCTTACTCAACCCAAGAAAAGCAGCAGTGGCAGTAGCAGCACAGGATCTATGGGCGGAGGTCCAGTTCCAGGAAATCCAGTGCCTAAAGTTCCTGCGAACTTCGGCCAGGATCCCCGTAGAAGGGGTCATCGTTGAGATTCGTATATAATAAAATCCCCATTCATGGCAAAAATGTTTCTCTGTATGCTTCGCTTCAATTCATAGCAGGTAAAAGGTAAGAGATGTGTACATAATATTCCCGTGAATCCATGACTCCCCCCAGAACACCTAATCTAGGAATAAAACCATTTCAAGTAATAATTTTTCCATCACAAAGCACTGATACCCTGGAATACCTTGTTGGCTTGAAGTTTTTCATCACCCTGCGCCAGATCACGCATAACCTGCCTCTTCTCTTCTGTAGTCATTTCCTTGCCTTCAGTAGCAGCCTTCCATTTCATCAACATCCCCTTAAGCAGGACACTTCCCTCCTCAACATCCTGCGGAGAATACTTATCCAGCGAAGCAGCCTTCTGACCATCCGTGAAATCCTCCAACTCTTCAGCCTTCTGTCTGGCCATATTGACAACCTTATTGGGGAACCGAACAAGCTCCGCAACATGGATTCCAAAAGACTGGTCACAGATGCCTGGTTCGACACGGTAGAGCAAAGTAACCTGTCTCTTCTTCTTTTCTGCTTCTTCTTCTGTTTCGCCATCCCCAATAAATGCCACAACATGGAGATTCTTCACAGCCTTCTCGTACCGGTCTTCCAGGGCAGTGAGCTCGTGGAAATGCGTGGCAAATAGACCAAAACATCTGATTTCGGTAATGATATGTTCGGAAATAGCCCAAGCCAGACCGAAGCCATCATAGGTACTTGTTCCACGACCCAATTCGTCGATGATGATAAGGGACTCTGAGGTAGCTGATTTGAGAATATTGGATGTCTCGAGCATTTCGGCCATGAATGTTGATACGCCCTTTAATTGGGAGTCGCTTGCGCCTACACGAGCGAGGATGCAGTCGAAGATTGTTAGTTCTGCTTCTGTGCAGGGGACGAAGCAGCCTGTTTGGGCCATTAGGGCAATGACGCCAATTTGGCGAATGTAGGTTGATTTTCCGCCCATGTTTGGACCGGTGATTATGAGGAATGAGGAGTCGTCGCGGACCAATGAGACGTCGTTTGTGATGAAGGAGATGTCGTCTTGCATTTCCATGCATGGGTGTCTGGCTTCTTTGAGAACGGTGTTTCCAGTTCCGCGGGGGTGCATCTTTGGTCGGACGTAGCTTGATGGTGCGTGCATGGAGGCGTGGGCAAAGCTGACGATAACGTCGAGATGGGCGAGTACGCCGGCTAGTTGTTCCAGGACTGGACAGTAGGAGGCAGCTACGTTGACGACCTCGTTGACGAGACCTGTTTGGGTTCGGTTGTAGTTGGAAGAGAGCTGGTCGTGTTCTCGACGGAGACTTTGCATGGTGGAGGTGGTGAAGTAGACTCCGTTCTTTTGGGTCGAGCATTCTTGGTATTCTCGCTTGTTGCGAATACAACCTGCCTCGTTACGAGTGAGACGGAAGCACCAGCCGTGAACGCGGTGGTTTTCCATGAAGAGTTTCTTCTCCATGTCCTGCTTGAGATCCTTTGAGACTCGCTGGTGTTCGGCATCCATGTCATGGCGCAGCTTGTCCAGCTTCTTTCTGATAACGCGTAAGCCATCGTCAAACTCGGGCTTGATGATGAATTCATGATTCTCCAAAGCGGCAAGATCAACGGTTGTTTCAACCATCTCCTCGAGCATGGCCAGACTGTCTGAATACCCTCGGAGTTTGGAAGTGTACTCTGTCTCGAGAGGCTCTTGGTACTGCTCATCCATCACATCACCCAGGGCACTGACAAAGCCAGGCAGACGAATAGCAACCTGGTATGCACGAACAACATCCTCTAGATTCGCTTGCTTCCGCTGGAAACGCTTTGCCAAGCGGTAAAGATCAGGGATGGAACGCAAGTGTTCCTCTTGCATTGTCTGTCGCAACTCAGTGTTGACCACAAACGCCTCAACCAGCTGTTGCCGTTGCTCAATCGCAGCTAGATCCATGAGAGGCTGCTTAAGCCACTGGGCCAATAAACGGCTGCCCACGGGCGTTTTGCAGTGGTTGAGAAGACCATACAAACTCATAGACTTGGCACCATCGCGCGGGCCAGGCATAAGATTGAGCGCACGAAGTGCAGCAGCATCCAGCTTCATGTACTGCGAGAGATCATGCTGATAGAGTTGATATTGGCCGAAGTTCGTAGGGTCGGTCATGACGTTAAGGTACTTGATCAGAGCCGAAGCAGAGCCCATAGCCAACTTCAACTCCGTCTGAGGGAGTGTACCCGCAGACCGCTCATCTCTCAGCAATCGGGTAAGATCCTGCTCGATATCCTTGACACCAAAGTCTGCAGCTGGGCGCTCGGAGATCGCAATCCCACAGCTATCAGCAATAGCCCTGATCTTAGCCAGCTCAACATCCTTCCGTGACGAGTCCATAGTCACAAGACATTCCTTGACACCCAATTGAATCACCAAGGACTCGAAATTGGAGTAGATATCATTATCCAGGAACTCGCTGACACCAAGCTCACGCACACTCGCATCTGCAAAGCACACGCCTACATTCCGTGCCTCGGCTGCCCGAGCAGATATCTTCACTGCTAGGATTATAGGCGAGGAATCCTGCTGCAGTGCACCCACACTACCGAGCTCCTCCTCGACATCTTGCAGATTTCCAGGACTGGCCTGCTTTGCCAACTTCCAATTACCCTTGCCTGAGCCTGCAGATGCCCAGATTTCAACGCGCTTGTTGAGTCTGAAAAGTGCTTCTCGGAGGAAGTTGCGGAAGACAGTTATGCTCAATGTGACAGATGGGAGGCCGCCTGTCTCGCTGCGGCCTAGATTTCGGAGCACGGAGGTGGTTTTGTAGACAGTGCGTGCGATGAATTCAGCATCTGCCCCGTGAGATGAATACCAGTCACCACGGTCGAATACACGGATTGTCTCGTCATTGTCGGGAGCGGGAAGGGAGCGGTAGAAGCCAATGAAGCCGACTTCGTCGTCGACCTGTGTTGTGTTAGGGGTCAATTAAGCAGGTGAGAGAATTAAGCATGTTATTACCTTCAAATCGGGCCGGGAAGACATGTTGTGAGAAAACAGCAAAATCACGGAGTGACTTCCAAGGTATGAAGGTGGTGTGGACGAGTCCAATTCGACGCGCTCCCACGCGTCCACGTGACCGCGTCGCGCGTTAAGTGGGATCGACTTCTACTATGTGAGAGCTATGGCAATGGAATTCTATAGTGGAAGTCGATTTCACTAATGATTGGTATTATGATCTAATGCTAAGTACTAAGTGTATGTGGTAATGCAGACATGGGTAAAATACAGGGTATCGAGCGCTGATGCAAAGCCGCGAGCACACCAGCTCCGCGGATGGTATAGAACAAGGAAAGAAAAGCAAAAAAAAAAAAAAAGAGAACACAAGTCGTTCAAACATGGTCAGAAGTCTAGACAGAAGGAGAGTTGCTCCAGTCAGTCTTGAGCTGGGCAACCTTCGCGCTAATGTCTTTGACACAGACATCGCGGCAAGACTTCAGCACCACCGACTTCATCGACCCGATAGTAACGATGCTAACCCAGTTACCAGCAACCTTAGAATCAGACAGGATCTCAAGACACTTCTCGACTTCATCTGGGGCAATCTCACTGCGAATGGAGTCACGCACGTGCTCAATCATCACGTCAAGCTTGAAAGGTTTGCGCTGGGCAGCGAGCATTGCCCGAATCCCATGGCCAACTGTACCAGCCGGACGCAACATAGCCAAGATGCCAGCAACCTCCTCGACTCGATCAGCAGCCGAGAGACGCACGAGCTCGATCTTGGAAGGCGGGGGAGGAAGCTTAGACTGGCGAAGCTGCTTGCTCTTAATGCGCTCGAGAAGGCCCTGACCACGACTGACTGTCGCCTTTCGCTGGAGAGGGGTCGTCTCAGCCTTCTCGGACTGTTGTCTTTCTGCGTTCAAACGCACTAATCCACCCTTCAAATCCTGCAGACGCTGCTGACCTTTCCGGAAGGTTGTCAGCGGGGCAAGCGACTCGTGAATGGTGGCGAGACCAAAGGACTCATTGAAAAGCCTTGACTGATCCTCTTCACTTGAGTTGCGGAGAGATTCCGGGGCCTTGGCCCAGAGTAGTTCTAGGGCCTCCTCGAAAGAGTCTTGCAGGAGGGGTGGTTGGACGTTGATGTTGACTGTGCGTTCGATGCAGATTTTGCCGAGACCGTAATTTGCCATGCGGTACGAGATACTGGAGACCATTGTGCTTTGCTCCCAGACCCACAGGATGCGCTGCAGATCCTTCGTTTGCACTTTGCGTTTGTTCCAGAGGCGAGTGACGCTGCCGAGGAATTCTCGGAGATCCGGTGGTGTATTTGTGCCATTGTGTGCCATGTGGATGGAGAACGCTTGCACGAAGGAAGAGTGCAGGTTAAGGATATCGTTAAAACATGCGGGCCGTTCGATCACGGGTGTTTCTTCGATCACGGGTGTTTCTTCGAGGACTGGGATTTTCTCAAAGTCCAAGGTTCGCTGCTTGGATGGGGTCGAGGGTGTCGAGGGTGCATTCTTAGGACGGCCTCGTCGGCTGGGGATATTCTTGGGTGAAGCGTAGTGCCCACTGCGTGGTGAGTTGACGGTCAATTCATTGAGTCGCAGGGTTTTTGACGGTGAGCCTTCCTCCTCGATTTCGACTGGTTTGCTGTTTCCGTTGTCGAAATTTTCGAGTTCCTGCAACTTGCGCTTCTTGGAGGGCGAGACGGGTAGTGACTTGGCAACTGCAGTCTTGGTGACTGTGTTCTTCGCAGGCAGTTGCGTGATGCCAGCCTTGGTTGCCCGAGTGAAGGCCTGAATGGCTGGCTGCTGCGCAACGCAGCTTTGGGAAGGGCGCATGATAATGGCAGGGACGTAAGAATTAGAATATGCAAGAGCTGACCAGGAGAACTTGAAAATACAAAATGCAAATGGTAAGAGGTGGAAGTGGAAGGTGCAAGGGGACAGTCCGTCAGAAGAAGGAGTTTTGCACGCGTCGCGCGTTGACACGGCACTATACCTGTTTGGGCCTAATTAAAACGCGAGATTCGCGACGTGACGTGAACAATTAAGACTTGACTTCTGGACAACAAAGTACTCTGTACTGAAGACAGAATAAGAGTAGCTATTATAATGAAAATTCGAAATTCATCTGTATACAATGGCACATTCTCGTCACTATGGTGATGCCCATTGGAATGCGGGATATCTTCTTCTTCCGGAGTATGAAGTAACTATCAAAGTAACCATCAGAGAATTAAACCCCATTCCTCCAGGGCTTAAGATCCGCCTGACTTATATCCGCAAACTGTGTCAAAGTACAGAGTGGCTCAAAACCTCGTTTCACGTAATTCCCGAATACCATGAAACAATACAGAATAGCCATACCGAGAACAGAATAGAGTACAAGGTAAAGAGTACAAGGTAAAGAGTAAAAAGAAAGAGTAAAAAGAAAGAGTAAAAAGAAAGAGTAAAAAGAAAGAGTAAAAAGAAAGAGTAAAAAGAAAGAGTAAAGAGTAAAGAGAAAGTAAAAGATTCAATTAATATCCAGGCATAACCTATTTCTTCCCAAACCACCCCGAAACAGCCCCCTTGGCCTCGGCCGCCTTCTTCTCAACATCGCGATCCACCTGATCCACCCCGCTATTCAACTTGTCCAGACCCGCACTAAGCCGATCCTTGGCATCCCCCCGGAGCCCATCAAGCTTGTCTTTGCCTTCCTGCGCAAACTCAGGGATCTTCTTGCCTTCTGCCCGGGCGCGAGCCACCTGTGAATGATTAGTTCTGAAATTGTGGTTCCCTGCAGAGAGTGGAGGCTTGTACTTACAGCGTCGTCGACCGTCGAACCAGCCTCCTTGCCTAGGTCTTTGCCGTATTTCTCGGCGCTGTCTGTGGAGGGGAGCTTCTCGCGGGCTTTCTCGGCGTCGACTGTGGACATTAGATATGAGGAATTATTCGCTTGGAAGGGTCATACTCTTCATCTTGTTCTTGGCTGCTTCGGGATCACCACCGGCACTGTACAGGTAGTAACCGCCGGCACCTGCTGCGGCGAAGCCGAGCATCAGTGGCATCTTGCTTTTGGCCATTGTGTGTGTGAGAGTGTGTGTAGAGGATAGAGGATAGAGGAAGTGTGAGAGTGGGAGGAGACCGTAGTAGTCTGGGGTTTTATAGTTTCCGGTTGAGCTATGACGTGTGTTCGAGTTACTGGTAACGGCCACTTTGGTTTTCTCTTATGCACCTCATGCTTATTGGATTAATTGTTCATTATACTTATTGAACACGTTTGAATTGCAGTCTTTGATTCCATAAGCCTTTATTTCTAAAGTTCTAACATTGGCTATCTTATAAAAGATTTATGGATGTAGAAACGTACAAGTCCGGAGAGAACATGAGACTACGTCACCTCCAAGTCATATTTCCGGTTACAGTACTTTATGCATATGCCAGGGCTTCCAAGGTTAACTCAGTTAACTTACCTAGGTAACTTGGTCAACTTAACTTCCAAGATAATGTGGGGTAAACGTCATTCCGGATTTTATGCCTTTCGCTCTACTTACTACTTAAGTACTACTGACTGATCGAGAATTCTAAATCCAATGCATTCCACTCATAACAATATATGATTCAAAAGACAATTTCCACCAAATGAATATAGTAAGACAATGAAACCCGAATAGGGAGAATGCGGATACTTCCAATGATCGATAAGGGTATCGTCATGCACAAAGCTCCTCAACAAAACGCCAGGACATGCAGCTCGAAAACGAACTGATCCCCAGAAAACCGTCCAAAAAGGAAAAAAAAGAAACACAAATGACTCCTGAACACAAGTGAAAGAAAGATGGGTCACGTGTCTGGTCGTGTATCAGTCGTCGTCAAAGTCGTCAGTTCATGAGTTCGCTGCCTGGGCAGGGTCTGAAATATGTAAAAGAAGTGGACCGTGGCCGTGGTGGTCGTGGGATGAGAGGGTGAGGGTAGGGGTAGGTGAGTAATTTGAGGATGTGGTGAGGTATGCCAGATGCTATATCGCCTCCGATGATTCATATGTGGGATGGTGTAAGGTGGATGTCTTTGTCCAGGTAATTTACAGAAACAGCTTCGCTGCTCCTTTGTTCTCGCTGGTAGCGACGGCGACGAGAGCCTCCAAGCGACCCATGCCGGTGTTCCGGGCAGGAGACTCGTACATGTTGGATCGAGGCTCTCGGTCGTTGCTGGCGGGGAAGTCGTCCACGTGAGAGGATTGCCGACTACAGATCTATGACGGCATTAGCTTGGAGGGGAGCCCGTCGGGAGTGGGTCATACCGGTGGAGGGTGTTCGGATGGGATGGGGGAGTCGTTGGGTTCGATATATCCACTGCTATGCACAATTGCGGGATGGTATTCAAGCGAGGCAGTAGATGGGGTATGGACGCCCTCGCTGCTGCTGGAATCTTCGGGGGATGTGCGTGCCGGTCGACTGCTGGTTGAAAGACTGGGACGATGAGAACGGTACTCCTCCGGGCTTCTCTCTGCGGTAGGACCAAAAGTAGGTTGGTAAGAGGAGGATGGGCGGGAGGAGACGTTTTGAAGTTCAGCAATGGTCTGCTGACTCCACTGAGATGCAGAGGCAGTCGAAGGGCGTCGGTCTCGGATGTCCAGTCCGGTGAGGTTATGATGCAAGGACATGTCCCAGGAGACGTGGCCACGACGATGCCCAGGACCGGAGATGGGTGGCGGTGGGCGATGGGCGGGTTGAGTATAGTTGAACCCAGAGCCAAAGGCCTGGGAGTGACCGGAAGGTTGACGATGGTGGCCATCAATTTGCATGGGGCTCGCTTTCCGACCAGGGGGAGTCAATGGCCGTTGCTGGGAGACTACTTTGTCAAAGCTCTCGATACCGGGCAGCCGAGGCGGATTTTCTACAGAGCCATTGCCATTGCCATTTCCATTCCCCCCAAATGAGGCTGGCACCGTGTCCGGAGTGTGATAATGATTTAAGCCACTTGTGCCAGGGCGGGGGAATCCGGTGTAGGACGAAGGGTGCCATGTCCTTCTGCGCATTTCAGCCTCCGCGGCACTGAGCGTACCTTCATCCCGCGAGACCGAATAATGAGAGCTCGCGGGGCTGGCGAACACGCCGGCGGGATTGGGATAGGGGACTCCCGGGGCGGGATAGACTGGCGGATATGCGTTGCCATGCTGTGCGAGGAACGGATTGCTGCTGGTGGGCACGGACAGACGACGGGCAGCCGTCTTGCCCTCCCAGAACCCATGTGATGTGGTCGACATGGGGGATGCATATTGGGGACTTCCATTGGCAGCAAACATATTGGAGGGTGTATACGGGGACCCCGCTGCTGGACCGGGAACCCCACGGATCTGCCCTGGGGGCGTACTGGGCGGCTCCCCCATGGTCTCCATGGCCAGACGGGATCGCGCCGCGGGGTCATTGGCCATGATCAGAGGCGGGGGTCGCCGCCTCAACTCCGGAGGCTGGCTGAACGTCGACGTCGTGGAGGCAATGCTCGAAGTGGATAAATTCCTGCTATGACCTCGGCTATGTCCTCCTATACTGCCTCCGGTGCCTGCCCGCGCCCGACCCGGTGGGCGCACCCTCTCCGTCCGGACCTGCCGTTGAAATCGCGTCCCCGTGGCCGCCAGCGAATCCCCGGGGATCTCTTCATTCACATGGACCGTCTGCGCGTGTTGTCGGAGATTGTCGAGGCGGGAGAAGCGCCGCGAGCAGTGGCATTGGAAGGGGCGCTCGCCCGTGTGTTTGCGGATATGGCGGGCCAGATGTTCGCTTCGAGTGAAACTCAGGTTGCAGGGAGGGAAATCGGTGCAGAAGAAGCGTTGTCCTTTCTTCTTTTTCGAGGGTGGGGCATTACTCCCCAGGTCCTGATCCCGATCCGAGTCCTCCTCTCCCTCGGAGTCTTGCATGGGCTCGTCTGACATGGAGGGCGTTCGGACATGAGTCACGGTTGTGCGGGATGAAGCCTCACTGCCACGGCTCTGTGACACCCCGTCCGGGTCTGTTGTCGATCCGTCCGATGTGGCCGGCACACCGTTTGGGATTGCACGCGGGGTGGCTGCTCCGTCCATGGCGTCTTCGGAGGTGTTGACAGGGAGAAAGGAGGCCATGGCGACGTAAGAGGGGATGGCGGGAGTGATGTCAGGGCCGATGGGTTCCTCAGGGCGCAAAGCTGTCCCGATCGGAATAATCAGCCCGGGGCCAGTCAGGATTCTATAGTCGCAGCCGCACTACGGAGAATTCGGGATGCCAGATTGACTGGGAACAGTTGCGCACATCTCAGTAAAGCCCCTACACAGTGATTTTCCAGTTTCGACACGTACGATTTGAGCTTACTCGAGTCTCTCTCTCTCTTTCTCAGAGGGGGGGGGGGGAGAATAGAGGGGTGAAAGTGGAATGTGTGGGAGTCCAACGAGGACGCAAGGGGAGAAGAGAAAAGAAAAAAAAAAGGGCGATTAGCTGATGGCGATCATCTCGCAGCCAGGATCATCCAGGTCCAAAATCCAAAGGTGAGATTGACAGTTCCAGGCGGAACACGAATGAGAAAAGGAAAAGAAAAGGCAAAAAGAGCCGAGTTTGAAGATGACGATGAGAGAGAGCTTATCGGAAGCGAGGGGCACTTGTTTTCCGGGGCTACCGAGTGTTTCACCAGAGGCACCAGGTACGATGAATCATGAGTGTATAGTAGCAGCAATAGTAGCAGTAGCAATAGCAATAGCAATAGCAATCGAGTAGTGGTGGTAATAGAGTAAACGAGTATAGTCTTGACGTTACCATTCTAACGCCAGGTTTGGTCGAGACTCTGTGGAGATATAGGGTTCCAGGGCTCTGGAGTTGTATACTTCAGAGACTTCACTTCAGTACTCTGTACTCTACTCTGTACTCTACTTCGTACTCCGAGTATACCCCTTGCATCCAATGTGACTTCTCGATACGAACACTTCTACGGTCCGAGCGATGGCATTGTCTGTGTGTGCCCTTATAAAGACTCGTCAGATCCGGCCCCTCCGTTTCAACCGCTTTCAGGTGAAACTCTGGATCTGGGGCCTTAAGCCCGGTCCATGGTGCCTGCATCGAACCTTCACCCGCAAACGGTTAAGCCCATGGTCTTCTGGACTCGTAGACTTCATTGAGACTGGAGTACATGACGCCACGGTCCATAGAGATGGGGTGCTAAGCTTGGTACTGTGGAGGAACTTTACATAAAGGCCTGTTGATGCGTTATGATTCGATGTGTTAAAGATCGACTAGATCGACTTTCCCCTCTTACCCCTCATCGTAGAAGTATTGAAGATACTAGTAATTCTCAGGTAAAATTAGTTGCTGAACCCCTAGGTAGTTACTGTATACTCCGTCTAGGTATTCACCTAGTCAACTACTTAAGTAGGGTACTTACAAGTACACCTACTTAATACTTAAGTAGGCGCCACGAGGATACTTAGCCAGGTACCAGGGAAGTACCTGCAGGCTTATCGATAAACCTGAAAAGGCCCAGTGACGTCCTCGACTCCCTAAATTTTCCGCTTTTCCTGTTACTTGCATTGGCTACTCGTACTTGCATTGGCTTCTGGCCTTTTGCCCCTGGATTTGCCTTTCTAGCGGTCTGCTTAGTACCTGGCCAGAGCCGCCTACTCGTAGTGGAGGGATAACTTATCTTTTAGGACCCTGAATTCTTAAGTTCTTAGTTCTTAGTTCTTAAGATAAGATACTATAAGTACTATAGTATCTTCTTAACATTATAGTAGTTCCATAAGTATCGTTGTTTATGTATATAAACAGTTCCAACGGTCTGGGCCTGCCAACCTGGACATCTTGGAAGAACATTACGTGTCCCCACAGGTACAAAAAAGAGGTACTCGTACACGTACCTCTGCACAGACGAGTCAGTTCACATGGAAGATAATCAAAGCACAGACATCCTCTCTTATTGGAGGCCCCTCATCAATACTGGATGATTGTCTCTGAATCCCAGCCACCTTCAAAATCATCGTGCACCTTGTGTGAGTCATCTGACTTATACGATATGCTCTGTGCGAGATACCCTAAGTATCTACCTAGGTACGAGTAGGCACTCGCTTATCGGCGGAGTATATGCATGCCATGTCGGAGCTTTGGACGGTGCCACGGCTGGGATGTCGGAGACCTTGGGAAGTTTCTTTGTTCCGTGCCTAGCTTCCTAGTCAGGTTCCATGCCTAGTCAGATGCCTAGTCAGGGACAGGGGCTGGTACCTGGGGCTTCTGGAGGCGTTTCACTGTACTGTGGAGCGTTTAGCGTGGCGAATGGGAGGTGATCACTTCTAGGGATGTTTCGGCTTCGGACGAGCTGGAGACTTGGGTGGTTCTGGTTGGTGCTTTGCGTTGACTGGAGTAGAACTTAGATTTTCACTGGTCTTTTTCTCACAACTTGGAAGTGATGGCCTCGGGAGTAGGGAAGTAATTGATTTGGGATGAGATCTATTCATGGATCTGAGACCGATGTACTCCACACGGAGTACAGGGCACAGAGTATTCCGAGTACGGAGTACATAGTATGGCAGAAGCCACGAGGCTAATGTGATGTATCATATTTAAATCTGATCTACCAGGCCGAACCTACTCGTAGGTCGAACCCCCAGACACCCGGCACCCGGGCAACTACCGCCCTAATGGACCAACGACCGCAGTCACCATCACAGCAGCTTCTCGCTCCCAGTTCCCCACAACCACGGTGTCTGTTCCGGAGCGGCCTTTTTCAGCCAAATGACCCGTGGCAGAGACCTTGGATGCACGAAGGACGCACTCCTTGATCTCGGCCCGGAGACGGTCTCGGTGGGACCGGAGGGTGCGGGCGGAGACACCACCCCGGCTAACGATTTCTTGTACGCGGGCCGTGAGAGATGATGCAAGGGAACGCCAGTAGTAGGAAGGGAGGGAGGAACTGTCCAGGGCTTGGAGGAGGGGTTGGAGGAGATTGAGTTTGGGTTCCGGTGCTTCAGTGGTTTCGCTGGGTTCGGGAGAGGCCAGGAGAGGATGTGGTGGAGGGCGAAGGTTTCTGAGGATAGTTTCCAGAGCGACGATGTCTTGGCATCTTGCTGAGATATCGGCCAGGGTTTGGTTCATGGTCGGCAGTTGGGAAAGTGCCCGGGCAAGTGAATTGACAGATGTCATGATGGCAGTGTGCATGTACCCTTGCAAGGTTGATAAGAGAAGCTCGGGCTTGAAGTCGGACACGGTAGTGGGTGATTTTGGTTCAGGCGAGAGTAGGTATAAAGTTGTGGCAGCCGTTGCCAACCTGGCTCGTGCATCGCGTGCTTGTTTGTAACCGGATTGTATAGACGAATGGCCATTGGAAGCCGAATTGGAAAGTGAAAATCGATTAATGGTTTGCTGCGCTCGGGCTTTAACCATGTTCTCGACTGGAATGAGAAATTCCCCCCGCAAGGTGCGAACGACTTTGACCCGGTCCAAGCCATACCCTTCCTCGCCCTTGGCGGATGTCGAGAACATCTCCCGCAGGCTCAGGATAGTGTAGGCTGCCCGTTCCAAAGCGCGGAAGCTGTCCTTGCCATTGGATGGTAGCCCTGCTCCCTCCGTTCCTGCTGAGATGGCTGGGCCTGTGGCGCCTCGGCCTGTGATCTCAGCGACTTGGCTCTCCAGCTGCTTGCCCAGTGTCAGGCATCGGGTCACAGCCCGTGCTAAGCGGACCGTTTCCAGCGAGTTCTCTGCCGCAATGCGCGCTGCGTCTGCCGCTTCCCATTTTTGCAATACCTCCTTTTCGAGGCGCTCATATCCTTGGGTGACCGATGCGATCTGTGTCCCGGACTCTTGCAGAATATGATCAGCTGCAGCTGTCTGATCTCGAGTATGTGAGAGCAATGGCAGTGCTGACTTGGTCGTCAGTGTGTGGATATGTGTATCAATCTCCTGCAGATCAAAGAGCACCCGCGATAAGGGCGTGGATAGATCCAATGGGGTGTCTGTTGCATTGTTTGTACTTGTCACCAGGGTATTGGCGAAAGACGATGGAGAGAAATCAGGGTCTAGGAAGGCCTCATAGTCTATGTATGATGGATCGGCCATTTTGATCTAGACCGCGGAGGAGCTGAAGCTTCGATGTTGCATAGGAATTGTATGTTCGAAATTGACCAATAGCTTGGTTTCCTGTCTTAATCCAGCCTGGCTTCAGAGCGGCCAATGGAGTGAAATTGGCAGGTTGTTTAGATTGTCTAGAGAGTCTAGAAGGTCTGAGTTGTGTTGCCCAAGTGTCTACACGATGCCGTGCACATGGGGGTCACATGGTGATAGATGAGTCATCACCGCCTTGGGCAATAAATATCCGGCGGGTACCAGCACCCGACTACAATACTACATCTTTACATCTTTACATACTTAAGTAGTACATACTATGTACAGATATCCTCAAATATGATTCAATCATTTGAAAGTATAACGCACTGAATACGAACAACACACTGAACTTGAAATAAAATGGCCAATAACATCGCATGTATTGAAGTTCAGCGCCTTCTACTGACAGGGCGGGGACACCCCACAGATAAGAGAGATCCGGGTGCATTAGCCGGTCTCATACTTAAGTACTTTAAATGCCTGCCTCTTGAACTTTAGAATCCATTATATTTCGCAGAAGATCATATACTTACTTAAGTCTATATATAACTTTGGAACATGTCGACATCTGCTACAACCACCCAGGCGGGACACTCCGTCCGCCTAACCAGCGACCAGCTCCCCCCAATTCCATCCGCAGCAAACGATACCGCATTCCAGGGCCTCGCCCGAGGAGGTCGTAACGGCACCCTCAAACTGCGGGGCATCCCCACATTCACAGACCTGCACGAGAAGCGCAAGTGGATGAGAGAGCACATGGCAGCTGCCTTCCGATACTTCGGCAAGCTGGGGTATGGGGAGGGTGTATCGGGTCACATTTCAATGCGAGGTATGTGTGTATGCTGATGGAGACTGATTCAAATCTCATCAAGTCCAGACCCGATTCTGAAGGATCACTTTTGGATGAATCCCTTTGCGAAACATTTCTCGACCATCAAGGCTTCGGATTTGGTCTTGCTGGATGAGAATGGGTTCGTGGTTGAGGGTGGTGCTCAGATGCCTGTTAATGAGGCTGGGTTCTTGATTCATTCTGAGATTCATAAGGCCAGGCCGGATGTTGTGGCTGCGGCTCATACGCATGGAATTCATGGGAAGACGTGGAGTGCGTTTGGAAAACCAATTGAGATGTTGACCCAAGGTGAGAATTTAGACTTTAGATCTGATGGAGGTGGGGTTCAAGTTTGTGCTGACGGGGTATACACAGATGCATGCAACTTCTTTGGTGGATTGGGTGTCTATGAAGACCATGGTGGTATTGTTCTCTCTTCCGAGGAAGGAAAGGCCATTGCGAAAGCGCTGGGACCGACTAACATTGCGTGTATCCTGCAAAATCATGGGTGAGTTGAGATTCTGTCGTGGAGTAGGCGGAAATAAGAATTGAGTGGCTCATCTTACTCCGTCTAGTCTTCTTACCGTCGGCCGGACTGTGGACGAGGCTGCGATCCTTTATTCGATGCTCGAAAATGCTTGCCAGTCACAGCTTCTGGCGGAAGCAGCAGCAGCAAATGGTCTGCCTAAGAAGATCATTGCAGATGACGCTGCTAGATTCACGGCACAAGCTGCACAGAACCCTGTAAGTGTCAATATCGACGATGAAGATGAATCCGTGGGTATTTAAAACTAACTTGTTGCAGCACAACTTCTATACCGAGTTCCAACCGGAGTTTGAATTAATTGTCGAAGAGACCAATGGAAGGGTTCTTCTATGAGGGGTTTTGAAGCTCTAGAGCAGAATCGGTCGTATCAGTTCAAATCAAGTCGTTTCAAGGTTCAATATCAGGCCTACCTCTATGAAATTTATAAATACAAGACACTATCTCAATAACCAAGGAGACGATTCAATGCCAGATTACATGGTTGATTTTGTGCGTCTTGTCTGATGTCTAACGAATAATACACAGATATTAATATAAGCACCGCAGCGAATGGAAATCAATTCCTTCAAAACAAACGCCATCTAAACAGATGCAACCGCCGCAAGGGTATACAACATGGAAAGAAGGCAAAAGGTCCACAGTCGAAATAAAAACACAAACAGAAAGAAAGTCGTTCATAGCCTCAAGGGCAATATCCATACAAGGTCAAGAGCAAGAGCAACAATTTCATACAGCATGCTCACCCTTATGCCTCATATCATCCATCTCATACTCCTGCAAGCTGCGATCTCGACCACGGCCCCTATTAAGACTGGACTCTGGCTCATCAGGCTGAGATGAACTAGCTTGGCTGCTACCATGTCCACCAAACTTGATAGGTTCCAGCTCCCTCCGTTGACAAGCCCACATGCCGAGGAATATCATCATTCCCGCACTGGCGAATTGAAGACCCCACCAAAGCAGATTCGAGGGAATAGACCGAGTATAGAAGATCGTAGTAACAAGATGGAGGAAGTGAATCGTCAAAGCGAAATCCGGAACCAACTTCGAGCGTGATACGAATAGAAGCAGGAAAATCACGCTACATCCCATTCCTTATTAGCCATTGAATTGCAGACTTTCAGCATCACTCACCTAACAAAACAATTCAACATCCACACCAGTCCAAGCATCCATCCAATCGTCGTGTCTCCGCGGATCGTGTCCCAGCCAAATACCAGATCTAGCGAGAAGGGCGCTCCGTACACCACCGTCGTGAACAAGATAAGGACCGTGGCGCAGACATAATATGCGATTTGTAGTAAGAGGATCTTGCGGATGATTTTCAGCGGTGGGAGCTCGGTGCGTGACCCCGCTGGTGGACGCCTGCGCGCGGGCATCAACTAGAGGTGCAGGGGAGGTGGCCCTCCGGAATCAACAAAGTGCCCAAGTGGTCGGTTCGAGCTCGGAGCTCGGATGCAGGTGAGGCGAAAGGGACATGCGACTGCCCCGACAGTTCCTTGGAGAGGGATAAATAAAAGAGAAACAAAGCGAAGACAGTGAAAGGTAACGGAGGTGATGATTAAATGAAAAAGGGTGGAGGATCAACAGGTCTTGGCGCCCGCAATTACCTTTTGCATCCGCAACGTTCGACTACCCTAACTACTCCGTACCTGACGTTTCAACTTAAATCCACACCTCTCCTACACATCAAACCTTCACAATGGTCTGGAATCCCTGGTCATCCGGTGACTCCAAAACAACCTCCTCCGACGGCGGCCGCATCGCACCAGACCGAACAAGCCGCGCACGCTGCTGGGAAGGCCGGGATCTCTTCTTCGCCTGCCTGGACAAAAACGATATTCTGGACGGCATCAAAGAAGACGGCAAGGCACGACAGAAGTGCGCCAAAGAGGTTGCGGAGTTCGAGGAAGCGTGTTCAAAGAGCTGGGTATGTGGATAGTCCCTCGAGTCTCGGGGCTTTTTACTTTCAGTGCTGACTTAGGTTAGATGAAATACTTCAAGGAGAAACGGGTGATGGAATACAACCGGGACAAGACGATTGAGCGGATTCAGAATGAGGATGCGGCCAAGGTCAAGGAATTGAAGTCGCAAGGATGGAACTCCAAATAAGATGTTGGAATCTATGGATTTGGTGAATGGCTTTTATTTTGTATACTATGTAGCATATCCACTCTTATTACGCATCTTGATGAACATTTCGTTGGAATATAACTGGACTGAATACTTAATTAGCTAGGAATGGGATCGTATGATTGTAATGTCGGGGATACCCGAGAAAGTTTGGATCACGACAGAATCAGTCTTGTGTATTGGAGATGTATTGAACAAGTTCACTGCTAATGAGAGAACCGAGAGGGTCCAAGGTGAGCAGTACCTGCGGACCTAGGACAGGTACAGCCAGGTAGGTTGTGAACAGCATGAACAAGGGTGAGTAGCAAGAACATCTCAAGGAAGGTCCACATTATATCCACATGAAAACAAACAAACAGATAGTCACAGGGAGCAAAGAGCAAAGGGTTCAATGTGCAGGTAAATCAACTCCGTCCGGACGCCTGGTCCCAATATCTAATATCTTACTGCCCCGAGGGCCCATGAGAAGCAAAAGGAAAACAAACGCCTGGTGTTGCAGAAGCCGGTCAACCCCGAGCTCGGAAAGAAAGAAATAAAAACAACCGAAAAGAGCCATTGAAAACCATGGACAAGAATGCAAGGGCGCCGAGCTCCAGGAATGAAAACCGCGAAATGAACTTTACGTTCGTATGAGATGAATGGAATGGTATGAAAGTCGTAAAATCATTGCTTCCATCTCGCAAGGTGGTTCATCAGATTCTGAACCTGAGGGCCCGTGGGTGCCTGACCCTGCGGTTGTTGGCCACTGAGCCCTTTGGCTAGGAGCGAAAGTAGGTGTGGATCTGTGACAACCGGCGCATTGGGAGGTTGAAGACCGAATGGTGGACTGGGGAGAGGGGGCTGTTGGGGGTTGGGGAGGGTCGGAGGCCGGTGTGCATTGGATAGAAGACTGGCCAGGTCTGCCGGGGGTGGGTTTGGTGAAGAGAAGGGTGATTGTGTGGCAGACACAGGTTGCGAGTGGGGAGGGCGTTGGAGTGCCGATAGGAGGGACGAGAGGCTAGGGCCATCCAAGGAACCAATAAGGTTGGCGATGTTAGGAGTGTTGGAGAGAGCAGGCAAGCCAGGCTGGGGGATTGGCAAAGCTGGCACTGGAGGAACACCGAATGCAGGGTTTGGTGCGAAAGCAGTTGGGGCAGCGCCTCGCTGCATGGCCTGAGCCTGGTGGCTTAGTAGTTCAGCAGACAAGTTGGGCTCGAGTTCTGGGTAGTCTGTAGGACGGATGTGAGCAAATGGCGCATGTGATTGTGGTAATTGACGGGTACTCACCGAGAAAACGGACATTATCCAATCCAGCAGTGCGATCAAACAGCTGCAGAGGGACTTTCCGCGAAACCTGATTTGGGCGGGAGAGGCGGACAACTGCAAGCACACCCTCGATGAACTGGCGATGAACTGCCGCCCCGAGCGGGATCCGGGGACCGAGTACAAGAACGTCCACTCGTAGTCCACGATTGCGGAATGCATTTTCTACATGAAGAACGAAGTTTCTTGTGAAGTTAGCGGCGTTATTCAATAAAAAGTCTCGGGGTAGATGCAAACTCACCTGTCAAGTTCTTCCAGCACAAGCAACTGCACATCTGGCACATCTCGTGGAACCCGACGTGGTACTGGCAAATCTGCTTCGCCTTCATAGACACCGCGCGGTCTGGGGCTGACGGTGCGGTATCGTCTATCTCTCGAGTATGGGGAACGAGGAGAACGAGGGGACCGTGGCGAACGAGAGCGCCGTCGTTCGCGACGATCAAATCTTTCGGGAGTTCTATCGCGGGATCGGTAGCCATCTCTGCTGCCGCGGAAAGGTCGTGGGGAGGGGGATCGCGGGGGCCGATAATCGTCGCGCCTGCTGCGATGAGAAGCTTCTTCCCGGAAATCGCTGAAAGGCAAACGACTTGGCTCATAAGGTTTGGGCCGATCGTAGCGATCGCTAGGAGCTCGGGGGTTGGGCCTTGCAGACCCGACCCGACTGAACTCTGGCGATCGCGAGCGACGTGGCGGAGGTGCACGAGAGGGTTCTGGTGCTGGAGCGGGCCGAGTTGATCGCTGGGGCTTTGAGATCTCGAGATCTGGGAGCAATTGGTTAGATTTATTCCAAAGAAAATTGTTTAAGTACTCACGGATCTTTCTGCCCCGAACGATAGCGCCTTGTTCGACCCCTAAAGCTGCATGACACGAGCTCGCCTCCAGAAATTGTATGAACCCATAAGCTTGCTTGATCGAAATTTGAGCAAGTTTGCCGTATTTGTGGAAGATATGGAACATGTCGCGCTTGGTGACTCGTTCGGTGGGGAGATTGCCTGTGAGTAGAATTGTTAGATGGCGTACATACATCACACGAAACCGAGCAACGAAACTTACCGACAAACAACCTAGAGCCCATGGGAAATCGATCCCAGAGACCCTCTGTGACATAGATCCGTTCATCATGAAGAAACTCATCGTACTTCTTTTGCACCTCGGGGCCCCAAGGGGAATCATCATCGATGCCCTTGATTGGTCGGCCCTGTTTATCAACACGGCCTTTTTTAAGTCCGAGCGATAGCTCTTGTGAGGAATGGGATTCAGGACCGGTAGACGGGGTCTGGAAGCCCGACGTGGGCGGGTTCAAGTTGCCCGCTGGGGCTGTCCCCGCCGGATACAGCGGGGGTTGGGATTGACTCTGTGCTTGAGGGTTACTTTGGGCATAGGCTTGATCATTGGTGTTGTGGGCGGGTGGCATTTGATATGTCATGTCATTGGTTTGGGTGTTAATGGGTTGAATAGACTGGGCCTGGGCATGGGCGTGGGCAGGAACACCCTGGGATTGGAGGCATTCATCGACTGGTGCTTGATGGAAAGATGACGGTTCAATGGGAGCAGCCACGGGCATGGTTGCACTGGGACCGGGATGAGAGAGATTATCGAGCAGGTTTTGATAATTAACTCCGCCCGTTTGAGGCCCCTCCTCTGGTCGCCGCTCCATCGACTCCGGGTTGCGAGCGTTGTCTACTTCGCCGGTCGTGGCAAACCCCTGAGATGATGGATGGACTGGAGCAGCAGCATCAGTAGAGTCGGGGTGGGCCGACGAGGCTAGATGACTGGCGGTTTCGGACCCCGAGGTCGAGTAAGGCGCCGAAAAAGTTCCATTTTGCGCAACTTGCACGCCACGAGCGCTACCTGGGTGCCCTGGTCCTCCCTGACCGTCTAACCCTCCGTGCAACCATGTCTGTGTTTCCTTCTGCACCGGTTCATATGTTGAGGTATCGTTGAAAATGGGGTCCATTTGGTTCTCCAGGACGGGGATATTGGCTGGCTCCGGAATGTGCAGCGGGCGAGGGCTTTCCGGAGTCAGAGTCTTTCCGCGAAAGTGAAGCGCTTCATCGGGACTGGGCGTCATGTAGACTGGGAATAGGGGCGGATCATCTACAGGATGTGAACAAGTGGAAGGCCAGGAAGCGCGGGTAGTAATTTTTCGCAATCGCAAGCTAAGGTGGGGCGATGGGAGAGACCGATCGGTCGGCGGATTGGATTACCCTGAAGAGGAAAAGGGGGGAGTCCAGTACGGGATATAGATGGAGTAACAGCAATGTTAATAATCCAAGGGCAAATCCCCCAAATAGTACTTAAGTAGAAAAAATAGAGACAAAAGAAAAGATTCAAAGGTCAGGTGAGGAACTTTAGAAGCTGCAAAATTTGGCTTACGGGCTGTGACGTACGGTATTTTTAGTCTTTTATTTGAGTATTTTTAGTATTAAAGTATTCGTATTAGGATTAGAGGATTATAGTATTATATACTATATATTATAGTTATTACTTTAGTATCATATAGTATTTTTGAATTGGATATGTTGGCATATTGTTACTTAAGTAGTAGTAAAGAATTAAGAATGAGTTGGATATAAGGATATAAGAATTAAAGGGATCAGGGTTTTATGTCAATTCCACTTTCCACCAATAACACCTCACTAACAACAGGTGTGATTTGCTTGATCCTCTTTAGACGGGCTAGATCCCGAGCTCTTTGACCCGTTAGTCACTGCGAGTCATTACTCGTACCTTTGAGCTCCCCGCCATAACTAACTGCAGTTGACTACGCCATCCTACTCCTCCATACGGAATACTGGGGATGCATTGCCGCTCTTGGCGCATAAAATGCGTCTACTCCATTCGGAGATTCGTCTCCCGAGCAGATCAAGACGTTCAGATCGCAAGGGATTGGCTCAAGACCCTCAATGCCAAAACCCTCCGCCATATTGGCGAAGTCTCGTTCAGCCGGTCCAGCGGCCCGGGCGGCCAAAATGTGAACAAGTCAGTGATCTCCACTCGATGATCAATAGCATCCGCTGATCGTGCCTAGAGTCAACTCCAAGGCTACTTTAAGAGTCCCCTTGGACACGTTATTACCCTTGGTTCCGCGGTTGATTCACCAACCCCTGAAGGATTCCCGCTATGCCGCCGACAGATCCCAGTCTCTGGTCATTCAAGCCGACGAGGAGCGAAAACAGTCCAACAATGTGGCGTCGTGTTATGACAAGCTCCTCCACTTGTTACAGGATTCGGCAAAGGCGGCCATTCCGGGGGAAACTTCCCGAGACCAGCGTGATCGCGTTCACAAGTTGTAGGTCTCTGTATTTTACATGGGTCAATTACTTCTCTAACGTTCCTAGACAACGAGCACAGAACGAAGACCGGATCAAGGCCAAAAAGCAACATAGTGAGAAGAAGAACAGCCGGCGAGGAAGTAAACATGACGATTAGGAGCACATTCGCCAAACCCTAAATTTTTGGTTTATATCCCGATCAACGCCTAAATGCTAAGTACAAAATACCCGGGGTAATGCAATACTATTGTGCCATCCGCTCCGCCTTGACGACGGTAGCGGCAATGACCTGCTGCAAGGAAGGGTCCAAATCCTTGGTCGCCTGGAGAGGCTGAAGCCAGCTCACAACCTGGCGGGCAAGCTCTTTGCCCAAGGGGTACTCCCGGAGGCGAGCGAGGGAGCTACCAAGCGCCCGCGGGAACTCGGGCGAAGTGACGGGAATTCCCGCGGTCGGGAATTTGATATAGCAGATCTGTGTGCGGGGGCTGGAAGGCTTGTTCGCCTGCATGGTTTCAAGAACATGTCCCAGGAGCTTAAGATGGCAAGGCACATCTGTAAACTCCCAGACCATATCGTAAAACTCCTGACCAAACCGATCATCGTGGTCGAAGTTCTTGGAGGCAGTGTCAAAGATGGTGAGCGGAATGGCACCACTCAGAGCAGGGGTGGCGTTGAGAGTTTGTAGTGCAACCTGATCCACCTCGGCGTTGTCTTCCATTGTCGGATTGATGTCCTCCTCCGTGAGCGATGGGAGTGCAACCATATCCGCATCGCGATCATCGAGACCTGCCTCCACTGCCTTGGGCTTTTGGCTCTCTTCGTCGAGACCCAAAATCTTTTGACGAGCAACGAGCTTCGCAATGTAGATCAACTCCAGCTTCGCATATTGAGTCCAGACTGATCGTGAACTCTTGCAGAATCGAACACCGCGCTGCATGTAACTCCGAGCCTGTGTCATATCACCATGGTCGTCCAGAACATGCTTCGCGGCGTAAACCCATAAATCGGCGCTCGTAGGATGTAGGCGCAAAGCGTCGGTAAAGATCATCGAAAGTTTCTTGTGGGCCTTTTGCCTCCGGGCATATTCGATGTATTGCACCCAGAGGTTGAGATCACCGTGGAACTTGCGTACTGCCCGGTCGAGAACGAAGAAAATGCGTCGCTGGCCATTGAAACCTGCTGACCGAATCCCCAGTCGCTTCACTCGCTTCTTTCGCAGAACGTCCAGGTTCATTTCATATTCTGCATAGCGCACGAAATCCACCGCTTGCGCACCACGGGCGTTAATCTTGTGTTCAAAGTCGGATCTCTTTTTGACGATTGAGGAAATTTCATCCTAGAATGCTGATCAGCTGTCATTTCTGCGTGCAGTACCATGCGCCGCATACCTTGGTAAAAATGCCCTTGCGCTCATACTCCTTGAGCTCCGGAATGGACTTCTCCAGGAAGAACCGAGCCTTGTCTGTTGCGGCGGCCATGGTTGTCAAGAGTTAAGACGTTCGAACAAAAAAAAAAAAAAGTCGGCATCCCGCATTGGAAAAACACCGATCCAGCCCCAGAACACACTAACCACATCCGGTTAGTGCCAGCACTCACAACACGACCGAGGGATCCGGTTGTTTTCCCCTTCAGGGGCCTATTTGCTCGTGACATCTAACGTTCTTTTCTTTTTCTGTTTTTCGACATCTTCTTGACGTTCGTTTCTTTCCTCTTTTCTCTTTTGGATCTTTTAGGCGCAGTGCCTTTTCCTCTGTGCCGCCATGGCTCCCCGATACAAGGACGGAGATGCCGTGGTCGCCGTAAGTTCGAATTGAATCGTTTCAAGGACACGATTGACCTGAGTTCTGTATAGGTCAACGGCAAGTGGGTGGCATGGACTCACACGGTTTTCGCCTACGCCGCCTTCATCAGTGCGCTGATCGTCGGCATTGCTTTGCACTATGAAAAGATCGTTCAGAATGAACATTTCGGCTACCCAATTGAATGGTTCCCCTCTGTGTCTGCGACTATCGGTGACCGTTACCCCGAACGGTCCTTCTTCCAGGTCTTCATCGCCATCACTTCCGGTCCTCGATTCGCCCTCGTCTTCCTGTGGTACATCCTCACATCGCGTCCCAACTCTGCCCTCCCCAAGCTGGTTGCTGGAGTGGGAATCTTCCGGACTTTGACTTGTGGAGGCTGGACCTATGTGACATCTACGGATGACCATGATTGGCACGATATTTTCATGATCTCTTACCTGGTGGCTACTCTGCCATGGACTTTGGGCTGCCTTGCGCTTAGCCCGAACAACCGCACCGCTGTGAAGTACCGCAAGATCATGGCCAGCTTGTTCTTTGGAACGCTGGTCCCCTTGATCTACTACTTCATTCAGCATAAGGTGCACAAGGTTCCCGGTGGTGAGTTTCCAATGCACCTGATTGGGGGCCTTCCGTTCCGCTAACATGTCATTCAGCTTACACCAAATACGCCTTCTTTGAATGGTCTCTCATTCTGTTCGATGTCGGCTTCGATGCCATTACAGCGCTTGACTTTGAGAGCTTCGAAATCGTGGTGAGGGATGTCAAGGGTGTTAGCAGAGGGTATGTATCGTGGCTTCCAAAATGACACCCGCGTCAAATGTACAATGCCCAAGGCTATATTGCATATGAAAGAAAACATTTTCTGAACATTTTCTCATTAGGCAGTTGAAGACGACTGCGGACTCTGTCTTGGAAAAAGAGTGTGTACAACCCCATAACCAAATATAATTCTCCCAGTTAACCTCGTAGATAGGAAGGGCAAGCCGGTGGGCAACACTTTTGGTGAGGGCTTCTTCTGGACCGAGATCATTGATGCCGCTTCGGATGTCTATAACGGCTTCGTTTTCTGGACTATCGTGACTGCTTTGCCAGTTCTGGTCTGGTACTTCCCTCTCTGGCACATGGGTATCTCCGGCTACGAAGTCGCTATCGTTTCCTGCACTTCCCCGTTGCTTCTCATCGTCCCATCTCTGCGGGCCCTCGCCGTGCGGAACCTGCGTCTACTTCATCTGGCTTCGCTGGTTGGTCTTCTGGGATACAAGTTCCACGACCCTGCCAACCGCCTCTTTGTCACTAGCTTCGCCCTGGCCACCACTTGTGTGGCCTGGACTGCTGGCTTCTTCGCTGAGAGGGCCAACTCTCCTCGCCTTGAGGCCCGCGTCATGGCTTGGGGCATTGGTTTGATCATGTCGACTGTCGCCAAGTTTGCGTGCAAGACCAACAACCCGCTTTGGCCCATTGTCCATGCTGAAAATGGTGGCTGGAACAAGATTGGCATCTTCATCGCTCTGTTTGCTGTTCTGAGATCCCAGAGAGGCACCAACATGAGCGGTGGTGATTACCTCCCGGCAGGCGGCAAGAAGGGTTCTTCCCTTCTAGCTGGTCTTGGATTTGGTGGTCTGATGTTCGCCATCGTCTCTCTTCTCACTGATTCGAGCACCATGATCTCTTGGGTGTGGGATGGATACCCAGTACGTGGACCTCTCGCGGTGCCCCATGGTGCCGTGACCATCCTCGTCATGGGAGCCGGTCTTGTCTACGGTATCTTCCACCCTCGTGTCGCGGGAAGCTGGACTGCATTCGGTGTTGGCTCCGTTGGCGCCGCAGTCCTCACTTCATACCACCACTGGACTGGATTTTATGGTGCCCTTGCCCTGACCTTCTACATCATGGCTGTTTCACCTGTCCTGATCGGCTCCTGTGTTCGTCACTCTCCTGCAAGCACCTTCGGCATTGGCTTCATCGTTTACGTGTTCCTTCTGCTGTTCCACGTCTGGGTCGTTGCTTATGCCTTCGTGCCCGGTGGCCCACTGGTCCGTGAGCACACTGACTGGCTCATGTTGACCACTATGCTGTTCATTGGCGCCGGTGTTTTCTCCGCGGCTACCTCGAACTCGAGCCGTTCTTCCCGCAAGAAGCCAGTCAGCCCGAACAGCAAGAGACAGCGCTCATACTACATCTACGTTCTCGCTGCGCTGCAGCTCCTCTCCGTCTCTGTGGCTTACCTGCGTTTCCCTACCAACGACTACACCCCCTATCACAAGGAAGACAAGGTTGTCACCGCTGGTATCTGGACAGTCCACTTCGGTCTCGACAACGACATGTGGTCCTCTGAGCGCCGCATGCGCGACGTGATCGGCGAACTTGAACTGGACGTCATTGGCTTCCTCGAGTCTGACAACCAGCGCATCATCATGGGTAACAAGGATGTCACCCAGTTCATTGCCGAGGACCTTGGTTACTACACCGACTTCGGCCCTGGCCCTAACAAGCACACCTGGGGTTCCGCCTTGTTGTCCAAGTTCCCCATCGTCAACTCCACCCACCATCTCCTTCCCTCCCCCGTGGGTGAGCTGGCACCCGCCATCCACGCCACCCTCGACATGTACGGTGAGATGATTGATGTCGTCGTCTTCCACTCCGGTCAGGAAGAAGACCCCGAGGATCGCCGTTTGCAGAGCGAGTACCTATCCCAGCTGATGGGTGACTCCCCCCGTCCCCTCATCCTCTTGAGTTACCTCGTGACCAAGCCCCTGGAGGGTAACTACAACACCTACGTCAGCGAGCGCAGTCAAATGAAGGATATCGATCCTTCCGACTGGGACAGATGGTGCGAGTACCTGCTTTTCAAGAAGCTGCACCGCACCGGCTACGCCAGAATCAGTCGTGATACCATCACCGATACCGAGATCCAGGTACGTTTTCACTCTCATACATAATTTCTTTTCAATTACTAACCCGTGATTCAGGTTGGCAAGTTCGTCATCGGCGAACCCGAGCCTGAAAGCGAGATGCGTATCCCCGAGGAAATGGTCCCTGCTGGCCGTCGCTTCCCGGCTTTGTTCCGCGGCGAGGGAGTCCGCGGACATCGCTACCATGTCTTCGATGAGCCTCGCTATTGGCAATAGGCGACATCTTTATACTGGCGACAAAAGTCGCAAGTTCAAGATTGATTTTGTATGACATATATTCTAGGACAAAGCAGGCCTGATGCTCTGTGGAATCCAATTTCTATAATCCTACTTAAGTAATTGGATGATGACCGTTGGCATTCCTTTCATATCGAACCCTAAGTCGTATTTTCGTGAAATCCCGAGGACAGGAGATAATTTAATGCAATTTGGCTTGACCTGCATGAATACTTGATCCCCCGATTACAACTTCTGCTTCGTCGCCATGCTTCAATTACAGGAATGAGATTCCCATTCTGGGCCAACTAAATTCTGCGCAGGCATGGACTCTTTGTGGGGGTTCTTTGTTCTCCAGAGTTGAGTTCAGAGTATGAACAGTGATGTGACCGTTTCATGGGTCTCTAGGGTGCGATATCATAGTTTTCTTGAGCAGCATACAACTTGTATTATAGCTCAGTAGTTATGCCCATAGCATCGGTACTTGGAAGGCAGAAAGGACAGTCCGATATTCTACGACTATCATCACTACTAATGGAGCCATAGATTTGTCTCGACAAGGTCAGGAATCAACCTTGGAAATTGGAAAGGTCTTTGTCTTCTAACGTTGTATATCAACAGCCAGCGACTCGTTTCTCAAAGAATAAGGAAGCCAGGTTCCTCATTCGGACGACTTCAAGACTCCATCTCTACCTGGAAGTACTTCGTGTCTCTACGCCGAAAGTAATGGGGGCTATAGTCACTAAATATCTTCATCTCCCTATTACATGCAGCGAATCCCTTCTCGTATCTTGAATAGCCCTCAATCTGACCAAATTTGAATTTTCTTTGACAGAGTCAACTTGAAACGATGGCAGTTGTGTGGGCTTTAGTGGTTCTTTGAGAGATCAATTTCTATCCACTGATATTAACCAGGCCGATATAAGTCCTATTCTTTGTGTGGTCAATTTGAGAGGTACATGTCCGAAGTCACTCCAGTGGTTTTATTTTATTTTATTTTATTTTTATTTTTCTTTTGCTTCTTCATTTTCATTCTTCCCGAGAAGCTAATCCCAGCCTCTCTGTATTCTCATCCTGAGTCCTGACGCATCTTAATATTTTGTATACTTGTTAAAATGCTAATTCCAACGGGATGGCTATTGCTGAACGAGATTGTCTAGGCACATTGGCATTGATCATCCAAAGAGATCAATCGAGTCTTGCAATATGATTGAGACGAAACCTCTTTGTCGATATGCTTGACCTTTTTGTCTCCAATGTAGGGGTCACTTTTTGCGAAATACTCCGCACATAGTACAAAGAACCATGAGGAATTTCGACACAAGGGCTTGGGTATATTTTTATCTTTCTTTGTTGGAAGCCTTCGACCTTGAATAATTGATCTTTGTTCTCAGGCTAGACAAGGGGACCTGCAGGGTATTAATATTGAGGTAAAGCCTCCCAATTTGCAAATCATTCTCAATCACAACCCAGCTTCAATATCACCTCCAGCACATCTATCGCCACCACAACAATTATATACTGTACGCATCACATCTTACCCTACAAGATATCAAGACGAACATCTCAACAGACCACTCTTATAACCGAATACCTTGCCTATCAATCCAACATCATGCCTGTCATGACACGATCTATGACCGCTGGGAAACGGCCCCCCATTGCTCCTCCACTTACAAAGGAGGAGAAAGTCGCAGCCAAGGCCGCCAAAGCCCAAGAGAGGGCCGAAGCTAAGCGTGCGAAAGCAGAAGCCAAGGCCATCAGGGATCAAGTAAAAGCTGCCAAGGCTGCAGCGAAAGCCTCAGCGAAAGCCTCCGGAAAGGTGTCAAAAGTCAAGAAGAGCAAGACCAGCAAGAAAGCCAAGACGAGCAAGACAACCAAGACAAGCAAGAAGCCGAAGCTCTCAGAAAAGCGTGTATATGAAGAGGACGAAAGTGAAGATGAAGCCGACTACAAACGACGTAAGACCTCGGACTCTGATTCTAGTACTTATATTGAAGTCAGCTCCAAGAAGGGATACCATACCAAGCCACCAAGCCTCGCGGAAAGCATCTCCATCGATATCAAGGAATGGGTTTACTCTAGGGAACTTCCTCGACCAAAGGGATTACAGACCAACATCGAGACCACCCTGCCCAAGATTCACGTGGGAGGATCTGCACCACAGCCTCGCTGGCTAGTGGCCCAGAGCAAATCTATCCCTCCGCCCCCTGCACTGCCCGGATTCCATTGTCAATCAGGCAGTTCCACATCTACTGATTATGGTGGCCTGGTGTGGTACTTTGATGAGGGCGACTACAAGTGCTGGAAAGGACTTCAATACCCCCAGCTTTTCGAGCTGGCATATAAATGCTTTGAGGACACACTGAAAGACGAGAAATTGAAGAATGAGATCAACAATAGCCTCGCCAATGGACCAATTGCTAAACATGTCACACGCAATGCTGGATGGGAGCCAACTCTACCCCCTCCACCATACACCAGATATTTCGGATTAGGCCCCGACTCACTCCCATGGGAGGCCTCTAAGACATCCGGGGATGGTTATTACTTTGCAGACCAGGCACGTCCGACTTTGGCTGTTCGGCCCTCGAAGTCGGTCGCCCAGCCTTACCAGCATATGATGGCTACCAAGATCCTGGACCAGATCACTACGGCCTCAGATAGTGGTTCTGATGGGAGTCGACCTAACTCCATCGGTAGGGCCCAGGGGAGCCGACCCGCGGAGTCCAGCAGCCAGGTAGATTCAGGGATCGAGGTGCAGAGCAATCGAACGGACCAGAAATCAGACTCAGGCCGTGAGACTGGTAGCGAAACTGGAGAATCCAGATGTGAGCAGTCGGATAATCAGTCTGGTAGTGAAGTGAGCAAATCCCGAGCTACTGGCTGGTTTGGCCGATGGAATTAATGGTACTAGCGTTGAATAGAAAGTATCGAGAAGATCATCTGTGGCTGAGCATGATGGGCTTTTTAACCCGGAAGAGATTGAAGATTATTATAGTGCTAGAGGTCTGACCTGTGAGTTTATGCAATAAAATTGATATTTCTTAACTGATTGTTTATTTAAGTTCAGTCAGACAGTGTAGGAGGTAAACGAGGAGCGGAATCGCCTTTGGATGAGGAGGGTGAGAAAAAGCGAGTGCGATTAGAAGAAGAGGAAGTAAAAGACACAGAGATGGGAGGGACAAAGGATAAGGAAAAGGGCAGGGAAGCTCCAGAGGAAGTTCCGGCAGCTCCTCTAGCTCCAGATGTACCAGACGTGCCAGATTTCAGCGATCAATTTTACAAGGATGCAACGGCAATCTGCGAGAACAAGACGACTCGACTCGAGCATTTTCCTGATCCTGAAACTGTCCGTGGGGTTCGGATGTGGGCAGGAGAAGATACTACAGCAACAGGGCCGGATCTTGATGCTGTACTGCCTGCGTGGGCTGACAATCATCGACCTTTTCACCCGTGGGTTGAGGTGAGTACTCTAAATAATTCTATCAGGATGCAGCACTAAGTAATTCTCATCAAGGCCCCTGCCCGACAAGCGCCCAAAAGGAAGGAAAAAGCCTCGGCTGAACTAAAAAAGCCAAAGCCGTTGTCTGAACTTCAATTCTCGTGGTTTTAAATAGATTTCGTTTGGTGTTTGGGATGCTTCATGGTGTTTTTATGGATATATATGATACTCTCATTTCCGGAGTTTCGGATCTTCTATTACTTAAGTAGGAGTTTAAGATGCAATCTATTAATACTATGAGCCTTGTAGTTTGATGAATAGTTTCAGAACTGAATAACTGAGTACATAATAGAGCTGGGTTTAGACAAGCTTCAATCCATCACAATGCAGATCTTAGAGACATGCTTTCCACTTTGCAGGGCACGGTAGGCTGCAACAATATCCTCTCGCGTGAACGAATATTCCTTCGCGACGTGGAGTCTCAGTTTTCGGCCACAGACAAAGTTTACCAGGTCCTCCAACATACAACGTGGGCCAATCAACACGCCTCGAACCACACAGTTCTTGAGCAAAGCAAGGAGAGGCACGTCAGGTCGCAGTGCTGGTTCGCATCCCGCGAGATATCCAACAACGCTGATGACACCACCTGGGGCAATAGCCTGGAGACTCTGCTCGATCGTGCCAATACCTCCAATCTCAACGATGTGGTTCACCCCCTTACCCCCAGTCAGCTCCAGGACCTTTGAAGCCCAGTCGGGGACCTTTGAGTAGTTGATACAGTAGTCAGCTCCCAATGATGATCGAACAAACTCCAGCTTTTCATCACTGGACGAAGTGACAATGGTTGTCGCACCGGCTGCTTTGGCCAGAACAAGTGCAGTCATCGCTACACCACCGGTACCTAGAACAAAAGAGTAAGCCAACTGAACACAGATAGTCGCAATATGAATTTGGACTCACCTTGAACGAGAACCGTCTGGCCGGGTTTAAGAGGCACGTTTCCATAGAGTGCGTTCCAAGATGTCACACCCGTGCAAACCAAGGAAGCCAGCTCGCTGTAGCTCTGCGGTGCGCTAGCTGGGACTCTCACGACACTTGAAGCAGGACGGGCAATGTATTGTGCGAGAACTCCATCGACACCACCCCCCTGACAAGTGAGGAAGTCCTTCTGGGGCCCGTATTGATGAGTGATATCAAAAGAGACCACCACTCGGTCCCCCTTGGCAAGATCTCGCACTTCATTTCCGACGGCCACAATGTCTCCTGCAGCGTCCGAAAAAGGAATTGGGTTCTCCTTTACGTAGGCAGGGTATGTGGAAGTTGCAATTTGGACATCCCTCGAGTTCAGAGAGACTGCGCGAACTTTGATGAGGACTTCATGTTTTGAAAGAGAAGGTATTTCCTCCTGGACTGAGACAATGTCCTCGACATCATTGCGAGTTGGGAACCTGAAGACGGTATGTGTTGACATCATGGGGTCTTTGGAGAGCTTTGAACTTCAGATGATTGAAGAATGAATAGCAAAAATGGAAGGAGTTTCACATTTGGGCTAATTTATACCTAGATTTCATCGAATATAAAGGGAAATGCTTTGAAATCAGCGTCGGTGACTTTCATCTCGACTTTCAACGTGTCGGAAGTAGGGTTTCGACGGAATAGAGGCGGGCCCCGCTTTATTTCCAGATTGGGCAGTTTCCAGCTATTCCGATTGGCTGGAGGAACCACCTTGCATCACAGAATTCGTCTTTCCATTTCGACTTGTAAAAATGTTTTCCAGTTTTTCAACGTCTCCGCTGAGGGCCAAGCGCCGGAGAGTAGGTCGAGCCTGTGACTTTTGCCGAGAGTCGCGTACCCGCTGTGAGGCCATCACACCGTGTCCACAGTGTGTCGCCAACCACGTTACGTGTATCCGACCTCAATCAGACTCCCAAAGTCGATCTATCCATGGGAGCAAGAGGCAATCATCACCGCTCAATGACAGCCACGGTCAAGATGAAACGTGTCAGATATCTGAGCGACAGCCGCAGTTCGAACAGCATGGCTCGCAGGACGATGTAAGCACTGCTCGGCAGGCACGGCGGTGCCCTAATGTGCCATCATCAGCCCAGCGCATAGACTCCATGCTTGGCTTCATTGCTCGCATCAACGACTTTTGTGCAGGTGTCTCACAGCTCACATCGTCCATGCCCCCCGGGGAAGATCCTCCATACCCTTCGCCTTTCTTGCCTGGTGGCCATCAAGACCCCACCAGTACTACCGATTGCAGCCTGACGGAAGTTCAAATAGCCAGACTGCTACTGATATTCTGGACTAGACTCTGGCCACAGGTACCGATAGTTGAGTGTGAGGATTTGAGACCAGATAATCACTCGTCTCAAGATCGAACATCGCCGCTTCGTGATGCAATCATCGCATATTGCATGCAGTATGTCTACTATTCGGGTCTTCATTCCCGAATTCTAGGACTCGATTTGCAGCAATTTGAACCCAACTCACAGGGGTCCATGATCGGCTTGCCGTACTTTCAACGATGCCTTTCCTCGGTAACCCAATATACCAACTTTTCACAGCCTTCTGTTTTCACCTTGCAGTGTTACTGCTTTATGATCTTATATCTTCTCGATGCCGGCCAGCACTCTGCTGCATATAATATGATTGGTCTTGCTCTCCGAATTGCCCAATCTTTGGATAGCAATGCAGGGACACCGCTGGAAGCAGCTGCCCAGAATTTCCGTCGCGCTTGGTGGGTGTTGAACCATCTAGACTTCCGCTGTTCTAGATATCTCGGCAAGCCAGTCAGCATTCAGTTTCAAGAGCCGACATTGCCTGCGCAAATCCAGGCGGCGGGAGATCCGCTTGGCCTTGACAGCTCTTTATACCACACCGAAACAATTCGGTTGACAGCCACAGCTTTGGCTATCATCAAGAAGATTGACTCACCTTCTATTCAATCCGAGCTACAAAATGAAGCTGCAGGGGTTGAATCCCGCGCTCATCTCCTCTCCGATGAACTGTACCATTTACGGCAATGGGAGTCGGACCTGCAGAATGTCAAACCGTTCAGGTATATCAAACTGCACGTCGGGGACATGCCTCCTGATCCGGATCAAGAGCTCGAAGTGCAAGAAGACTATCTCAAACAGCCGCCTATGGATGTTCTCTTGACAACGATGCTAGAGCTCCAGTACCACAATGTCGTTGTGACCCTCCATCGAGTCTTCATTCAATTCCCAAGCCACCCTCTGGTTCCAAAAGCCAGTCCTCTAGGTGACAAACATAATGCCACGGCTCTGAATCATGCACTAGCAATGCTCAGAATCATAAATCACCGAATGACAACTCATGACATTCTTCATGGCAACTCCGAAATCTACCAATACACATGGAATGCAGTCCTAACCCTCGTCGGATTTATGCTAGCGTACCCGTACTGCTACAGATGCCCAAGAGCCCGGAAATACATACGACTGGCGTTGATGATCTTCGATTCTGCTGGGAAACACAACACCTCCGCTGTTCGCGCGGCGTCGCTCACAAGGCATCTGGCTGCAAAAGTCGATACTCTGGTGCAGATATTGAATATAGATCAACCATCGGTGCCTGCAGGAGGTTCAAACCCTTTGCAAATTCCGATCTTGGAGGCCCAAGCAACAGGAGATTTGCCTTCGCTCTCTACCGATTTGACCGGGTCTGAAGGCCAAGCAATGACGCCTATCGATCTGGGTTTTAGTGGAGACTCTTTGGGGTCGTGGGCTGACTTCATGAACGTGAGTGCCTGGCCAAGCTACTGTGACGAGGTCAGTGAAGCCTTCGCAGACCCAATGAAGCTTCCGCCCCTATAGGAGCTCGATGTTTTGGAGGTTTATATGAGTGCTTGTCGGGCTGGACACTGCCTCAAGGCTGAGCTTTGTGGACCCACTTCCACGGGTATACACAAACAGACAATCAGATCCGCCAGGGCCTAGTCGGGCACTACCTGAAAAGACTGCAGCTGAGCTTAGGTCTGTGCACGCGGGGTTCAAAACGCCCTCAATCGTCCTTATTTGACTTCGCTGAGTTTTCTATAGCTTCAGTCTAGTTCTTTCGGCGTACCCAGATCATTGCTCTTTATTAAGAAAGCTCGTTGACTTCGCTATCGTGGCCTGTGAACTGGAAGCTGGGTAGGCTGAGAGCGATTCTCCAACATGTCCTTTGGGTGGAGTGCCGGAGATATTGCCAGCACAATCAAGCTCATCCACTCCATTGTCTCCTGTTTGCACGATACCAGTGGAGCTCGGGAGCAATTCCAAGAACTCGAAACTGAACTTTTCGGCCTTGAGCGTGCGCTGGAGCGAATTGATTTGTTGTCGCGAACAGACAATCCACCTCCAGAAATCCAGATCCTGAATGTTGTCTCGCTTTATTGTGTCGAAACACTACAACGATTTCACAAAAAGATCAAACCACTTGAAGATAGCCTGGGTCTACAGAGTAAAATGAAAAAGCTCGAAGCTGCACCGAGAATGGTGAGATGGCAGCTCATATTGAGGAAAGAACTTCCTGAGCTGAGGCAATACTTGATGGCACATGTTGGGTACCTTAACCTAGAGCTAAGTACTGCTTCACTGTGGGTAATTGGAGCCCCTCGGTCTTGGAAATGATACTAATAGGTAAGGCAATCTACATCGCGGGCGAAGAAGCACCTGGAGGAAATACGGTTACAAAACGATCGTGCGACCGCTTTAATCATGCAGCAAATCAGCAACACTACTACAATGAACCAGAAAGTAGAAGACATTCGACAGACTGTAGGCAGAGTATGGTGAGTGCCAAATATAAAAATGGGGTTGCCTTTGGATCAAAAGTTAACTTTATTGTCTCAGGAGCTCTAACAATGAGCTCACCAATATGCTTCGAGCTCTTGTGAAAAGGACCATCCCTCCACCAAACACTCGTTACACTTGGGTACAAGACCCCATTCGTTTCGAGAATGCTCTTGGAAAAATACTTCCGATTGCCTCTGAGTCCAACTGGGATGTACGTTGCATATATCTCATTCTACTGATACTAAGCTCTTGTTTCAAAGGAGATGATTACCGCTTTTTAGATTCTCAAGGCAATTATCTACGCACAATTCAACAACAGACCAGGGCAAAGGAAGGTTCACGCAGGAGAATTTGAACTCTTTGAAAGTTCTCAATTCGAAATGCGCCCAATAGATTCAAGGGATTGTCATCAACTAAGGCCCGGAATGCATATCACTATGGCTATTATCATTGGCCAATATGCTGGCTCCCGCCGGTGTCCACGACAAGGGTGCTCATCTAATGCATTTTCTGATACTGACTTGGAAGGTGTTGCTGGAACAATATGGTATGGTATAATCGTGGCCCTGTCTAGTATTTCGATATTGAGCTAATGTTTACTCTGTCTGGGAAGTTCCTATTGCGGGACTTGGGTGCGAAGATCCTGGAAAACACTTCCAAAACCTCTCAGGCCACCAGAGATGGGGGACATCGCTTTCCAGCCACCGTCAGCAGAGCATGTATCAGTTAAAAGTGAAGGCTCGGCATCTCATTCCTCCTCTTACTACCCAGAGCGATCCTCCTACAAAAATATCAGCATATACGTGACGAAACTACCTTCCACTCCATTCCGCCGCTACCGCTCTAGGCACGAACTCTTTTCTGCGTTATGGAAGAAGAAGACTACACTCAAAAGTGGGAAACTTCATCATCAGTCAGAGCTGCCAAGCTCCGGCGCATTTTCTTCAGTGCCACCGCCTCCCATTGAATGGGTTTCACCGACTAAGGGTCCAATCTCCAATGCTGTTTAATGGAAAGCAGTTTTCGCTCGGCGCACATCTGCGAAACCCGCTTTGAATGATGGTATCTGTAACCACAAGAGATTTAGGCTCGGGCTATCTTCTGGACTGTTGGAGAAGCTGAGCTAAAAAGTTCTTGAAGACAGCGTCGTCGGTTGTACCGCAAAATACACGTCAGAGGACGATCCCGTCAGGCGCACGAAGCTATATTCTGATATCGCTGATTGCGATAGAACTGCGATATCTTTCAAGGGGCTATGTCAAGTCGTGACCAGTTTGTCTACCTAAACGCGGCCCTCTTATTACATCCAGATTCATCTACATTGGATGACACGCTTGAAAATCTGACAAATTGTGGAGATAAAGTTCTTGCAAATCGTCAATATGCTCCATTGAATGCTGCCGGGCCATCTTTTAGATCACCATTTGGCTACTAGTGCTTTTGATAATCACTTACCCTGAAGCACCATTTTACCCTTGGTGTGCTTGTATTCGCTTACTTCAATACAATTCATGAGCCTACAGGGCGAAGAAGAAACGGGCACTGAAATGATTGATTCAGAAGGTAGAGAGATTGAATAAGAAGCCTCATAAAGGAGCAAATACTATGGCCATCCCGACCCTCAAAAAACATGTAGTGCAAAAGATTCCCTTGGATAATTCATCCCTGGAAAGTGGATGAGAAATAAACGAGCAATTCAAACAGCCACGCCATCCTTGAAAGTCACTGGTGCTTGCGACCTCGTATTTTCTTTCACTGGTTGCACAGCACTGTAATTCCCGCGCAAATCCAACATATCGAGGGTTCTTCATGATTGCCACGACGAAGACGCAAAACTCGAAGTCATGAGACACTCCATCTGGACAGACATCTTGATATTCAAAGTGAGCCTTCTGGAATCGGCGAACAAAATCAGCGGCATCGTTGCCCTCGAATCGCATCTCAGTCCATTTCTCATAGGCCTGAGCTATGAGACAAGGGGAAGGTGTTCCAAACTGGATTTGCAATTTCTCAAATGCCTCATGTGGATCAGTCTCGGAGGCAATGATGTACAACAGGGTATCGTCGATAGAGGCCCTCAAGCAATTGAAGACCTGGCAAACTAGTGCGGCGTGACTAGCCATGGCTTTTTTAAAAGTGGCTTGCAGATCTTTGTTGTATCTTTTCAACTCTTGTCGTTTCTTTAACAACGCAAAGGCCCTCGGCGTTGTAAGGTTGTTAAATTGCTCCCGTCTCATGAGATCCTCGTAGCCTGTCTTCTTCACGGAATCGTGCGCGGTTGTCAGATACTGAGATGAATTCGGTAAAACTGGTGGTTTGATTGACCCATCAAGAATTCCCATGTATCCGCTTCCCAGGGATTTCAAAAACTCGTGAAAATTCCTCTTCCATGAGGACCAGTTCGACTCGCCCATTAGCTTTGGGAAGGTCACAAGGGGCTTAGAATCAGGCATCTCTGTAAAAGCGAAGTGCTCCCACCCGGTTGGGTTACCCATGTTGAATGGTCAGAGTGAGGGAGTAGGATGTTGTGGAAATTTGGTGGGGATTCCCAGTGTCGTTTTGAAGAGGCCGAGCTGCCGTGGATTCGACGAAGAGGTCAGCCGTGAGTCAACGAGTGACAAAAATGATATGAAAACTTACTGGCAAGGTAGTGAGAACTAGGTGGTGGTGAGACTGCGGAAGTCTCGTGGATTTGGTAAGGACAGGATGAAGGGGGTGCGGCTTGAATGAAGCGATAAGAATGAAACCTTCTTGTGTAAAGCTCTGGCCGTGGAAGAGAGGAAGAGGAAAATCAAAAGTGAGGGTGTTGAGAGAGAGAGAGAGAGAGAGAGAGAGAGAGAGAGTGTGTGTGTGTGTGTATGTGGCAGCTCTTCGTAGAAGAGTATGATGGATCCACTGGGGGCATGCTTTAATACGGCACTATTAATTATTCAAGGATTATCTCATTTTCAGATTCTGGAAATAATATTTACTTCAATTTATCGAGCAGTATAGCCTCCATCTACAGGTAAACAAACCCCCGTCACCCAACTGGCATCGTCACTTGCCAGCACAACCGCCATTTTGGCAATATCATCAGGAAATCCCGGACCTTTGAGTGGATGCCGACGGTTGAGATCGTCCCAAGGAGTACAATAACTCGTCGTCTCCTTGAAAATGGCTGTTTGGGTATCTAAAATAAGTGTGAGTATTGCTGGGTAGAACAGCCAGTCGTTCACTCGCGTACTCACATCCAGGGCAAATTGCATTTGAATGGATCTTATGCGGTGCATAATCTAGAGCCATTTGCCGCGTCAGTTGGCTTACAGCCCCCTTTGACGCACAATAAGATGCTAAATTTCGCTAGTCAGCCGCAGTCCACCAGGGAAACGAAATGACATACGATTCTCCGGACCCCCAATCATTCCCATAATTGACGAGATGTTAATGATCCATCCTCGATCCCCGGAGGAATGTGGCTCTTGGGCCAGCATCTGCGCAAGCGCGTACTTGCAACCGAGGAACACAGACTTGACATTGACGCGCATCGTTGTGTCCCATGTCGACTCATCCGTCAAGTGAAGCACGGCTGGGGTTCGTGCCTCGATACTGATTCCTGCATTGTTGACTAGACTTTGGAGCAGTCAGCATCACTGGACAATACATCGACAACAATGGCATGTACGCATACATATCAAGTCTTCCATATGCCTGAACAGCCGCCGTCACCAGGTTTTCAACCTGCGTCGCATTGCCAACATCGGTTGGCACGAAAATAGCACTTCCTCCATTCCTCAAAATCAATTCATGTGTTGTAATGACGGCTTCTTCTTCAGACCGGGCAGTTGGTGTCAGGTCAGCACAGACTACCTTTGCGCCTTCTTTTGCGTAACGCACAGCAATCGCTCTACCGAGCCCAGAGGATGAGCCGGTTACGATTGCGACTTTGTCCTGTAAACGAGGCGACATGTCTGTATGTGATAAAACTGGAAGAGCGCAAGGTTTCCTTGGAGTGATTGAGTCTGCATCGAATAGTGAGATGTAAGCCTTCTGAGATGACTTTAATAGTGTACACTGACCCCGCTCGGTGTTGTGGTCATGTGCATCCCAGAACCCTGGAGAAAAGACTCGAGATAAATGGAAAACATGCCGATCTCAGGGTGAAGATCAAAAGGTAGTCAATTTACATTTCCTATTCGAGTAGGCAGAAACACCGTAGATTTGGGTTATTTGCCGATACTGAGAAATTGGTCGCGTCACTTTCTGTTTTCGGGACTTGGTGCTCTGGTGATGCTAGAATATCCACCAACATGGAGTAATAATGGGTGAATTTCGAATTGCTGATGTGTTTGCAATCGAGACCAAATCATCATGTTTCAAGTTTGGCAGTCGTGCCGAACAACCCCCAAAGAAGGAGACAAGCCGAGACCCACATCCTTAATTCAACCGTCGCTCACGTTGTTGTTTCGGCATTTTTCTTTCCCTGAGAAAGGTCTTCTCATTGATTTATTTTCTTACGGATAGAGTCGGGGTATGGCAATACACAGCGGCCCGATCTCTTTCATGAATTCCACTACTTTACGGAGTAGACTCATTTTCTAGTATAAGCCCTATCATTAGTGTGTTCACAACGAGAATTGATTCCCTGGATTCTATGGAAATGGCGGACGAGATTTATCCAAACAATTTTCCTTGCATAAGCTTCAGATTCTGTTTTCCGTATAGCAAGAGAGATCCAACCACCATACCCACTACGTTGCCCTCACGGATGTGGATGGAGCTCCCAGAGTCCCCCTCGTCCGAAAACCGAATGTTTTGATCACCATTCACAGCGTACTCCGGCGTAGCAATAGGCTTTTGGAACCCTCGTTGTTGGTGTTTGCCTCATCTAGGTTATTCTCCAGCACCCACGGCACTTTCAGTTCTCCGACGAGCTTTATGTTGACTTCACCGGAAGTCTCCCGTAATGCGATGATATCGGACGTGTTGCGAGTTGTTGGTGTTTGCCTCATCTAGGTTATACTCCGGCACCCACGGCACTTTCAACTCTTCGACAAACTTTATATTAACTACACCGGAAGTCTTCCGTAATACGATGATATCGGGTGTATTGCGATAATCGGAACCAACGTACTTGAAATCAGCGAACATGAGATTGACAGAATTAGTCTTCATCACCGCTCCAAGCTCCTGACCGACGACCTGCTGGAAGCGGCCCTAGAGACCGTACTCATCTCCAGCACAGACCATCTTCAGGTCATTATTTCCAGAGCGTAGGGGTTCCCGGAACCTCAGTACTTCGTCCCCACCTTGGGACCCGATGATTCTCGACAACGTTGTCAATAAAATCGGACCATTGAACCAGGGTTCCTTGGAATTTCAAGGACTGGATTGCGTCGGAGGTTGTTGTGTAGTGGCCGATTTTCAGGGTGGGCAATGGGCCTTCCACAAACCGTCGATCCCGGACCCTGCTTGCTGCCATATTGTTTAGATTCAATCACTATGCCCGCTTATTTGCCCTTACGGGTGTGGATGAAGCTCCCAGAGTCCCCCTCGTTCGAAAACCGAATGTTGTGGTCACCAGTCACAGCGTACTCCCATATACCACCACTGGGCATCCGCTCGTAGCTGCCTGGCGGACTCCGATACGCCAACCTCTACGACAAGAGAAGGCCAAGGCACAGGTTCTCCAGGGGCCGGGTCCGGTCCAGGAAAAAAGGAGTAATCGGGCTGTTTGGAGCAGAAGCGTCCATTCGACTCTCCGGATCCTCCATGCCAGAAATGCTCTTGCCAGTAGCAATAGGCTTTTGGAAACCTGGAAACTGGGTATCATAGACATGGCTGATCTTTACTTCTCCCACCTCGTTCAGCTTGCCTGTAGTAAATCCACTTGTTCACCCAGAAATCAAAACCGCACCGCCACCCTCAAAGGGATCAGGCCGGCGGAACTTGATGTCCTTTTGAACAACGGCATTGTATACGAAAGGCTAGTCATCGGTCAGAAGCTTTTCAATTTAAATTTACAAAAGAGGGAAACTTGCCTTGTTTTGATCACGCGCATTCTCCCCTTGACGAAGACGTTGATGATCTGGGCACACTCTGTATCAACGGCGCGAGAAGTGGCATCCTTATCTTTGTCGCCGGGGTCAAGTGACCGCTTGCTCTGTAGATTGATCCAGATCCTGTCCACAATGTTTCCATGCATAATTGCATAATTCCGAGAACTTCAAGACTTCGTGCGAGGGACTGCCCGATCAATATGGTGTCATGATCCATGAATTTCCAAATTTCTTCACGGGCCTCTTGCCAGTTCTGCATGATGGTTCCCGAACAACAGTTAATACAACCCGTCTCCATATCTCCTTCTTGCTCTCGTCACTTATCAAGAATAGAGCTCCCAAGAAGTCCTGTGATAATGCATCGGTAGTCATCTCGGGTAAGACAAGCTGCTTTAAGACCGTCGTCTCTGTGCTTCATATCGGGTAACTCGGAAGCGGAGTTGTTCTCGATCGAATCTTCTATCCCAAGACATTGGGAAAGTGTTAAGAGGGGTGGCTCACCCCAGCCCCGTTTGCCTTTGTCGTTTGCCCATTTTTAAATAGCTGGTCCGCTCTTTCCTTCTCTATCGACTGTTCCGTCCGCCTTTCTCGTATCAACCAGTAGATATAAGTCTGCAGAACCTCATAGAGGAACTTGAAGATCATGTAGACAGTAAAAGCCGAGTTGAAGAAGGGGCCGTCGCCCAGATCGAACTATCGGCTGTTCCGTCCGCCTTTCTCGTCTGCAGGCTTATCAGAAAGGCTCGAAGCGGAGTATAGCGATTGTAACAGGGCTAGCATACCGTTGGCGAACGATTTGGCGCGATCATGAATCTTCTTGTCTGTTTCCAGTGACAAAAGGTGACTTAAGAAATTAGCTCTATCGTCGTCCGGAAGATTTTTGTGAAAAGCCCGCAAGATCGAGACTGTGTTTTCCAGGTTTCTCGTACTTGATCCTCGCGGATTCGATTCTCGCTTCGACCAGGTCGCTGAACTGCTCCCTGTCCAGCCGTGACGAGATCGGCAATCGGTTTGTGCTCGGTTCTGTGCTCTTCATGATTGTAAGAGGGGTGAGAAAAAGAATAAAAGTCAACTGAAGGATAACTGATAATGAAAATGGGTGAAAGGTTGAAAGAGAAGTGATCAGAAAGTGAAGTGTGATGGTCGATGGCAGTGCATTCTCTATATCTTTACAGTGGAACAAATGAACTAAGCCAAAAGTGAATCGGAGTTGAGGCAAGAGTGGCGTCAATATCAAATGGGGCATGTAGAGCACGCCCCTGTCGAGGGCCAAAAAGCGATATCACAAGAATCTGATATGATAACTAGTTAGTATTGACTCGTGGTGGAGTTGTAGTGTAACATACCTCGAGATCAGCGGCTGAGGCAGACAGAGAGATCTAGGGGAGGAAAGGGAACCAGCAGACCGAAATGATCATTGCATAATCTCAAAATGCTTGGACGAGATTGTCCTTGCAAATGACAGATGAGATCCCCCTAACCTCTCTGGGGAGGCGGAGCGCACGGAAAATCGGTATCCTTTTGGTACTGGTTGGTATTCAAAGGCCAACAAGGCCGAGGAAGAGTCGGGCGAGCCCGCGTTCGACTCCGCGTTCGACTCTTGGAACCCCGGCGTTTGGGCTTTTCCTGTGACAACATGTTAGGCCAATCCGATGGTTCTCATGGAAAACAGAGATATTAATCTTACCTTGGAAGTGGGGAGCTTAAGTGGCGGATCAAAGCCGCCTGGTGCTGGACGTGCCAGCACGTCTCGATTGTGTGCCCGGGGCCATAGACAAAGTGCTAGCTGAGTTCGTACCTGAAAACTCGAGGTGTATCAAATTTTTTCTTGAGAAAGACGACATTGTATGGTAGTCAGAATTGGCCCAATCTCGTCACGCAGAAGCCAATTGGACATGACCACTGTTCCGGTGCATGTCACGAGCAAAAGCTGAGGCCTGGTTGTACTTGGATTATCAGGATCGGAGAAACTTGATGGTGGAATAAGCGGAGTGAGTGAAAGTGTTCCAAAGAGTATTCCAAAGAGTTTTCATGATACTCAAGAGAGCATTCAGGGGAGTTTTCTAGAGAGGGGAAAAAGAAAGACAAGAACAGAGAATATTACACTATACAAGGTGTTAGCGGGCAAGAATCTATCAAAGGGAAGGTACTACTTGAAAAGGGGATCTAAAACAAACTTAGAAGCAACCAAAGATGAGGAAGGATGGAGCCAGAGTCATAGGAAGGTAGCGGAGATGCCCAGGTGTTATCACTGCTCAGCCGAGGTCCACAACCTTACTTAAACCGTCGCTTGCATGTCCGAGTATTGTCCTCTTGGGCAAGATTTGTTTGGGCTCTTCGTTTCCATCGATTTCCTGTCTAGCGGATAAACTATCTGGGTCTTGGAATTCGCGGCTCAGGCCTCTTGCCCTACTCCGCCTTTGCTTTTCTTACTTTATAGATATAAGATAATCCAGTTACCCTGGGCAGCCTCGAGAAGAGTATTCGCAGGTTCTGGTGTAGTAGCTCCTGATGCATTGGAAACTAATTTTACACAGTATTCACATATAGACGCATTACTCGCCCATCTTGAAAGTATTTCCCAACCCAACTTCAAGAAAGGGGGTCAATGGGGATACAGCTGCCACTGACCGCGGTGGCACCCACGAAATTGCCATCGTCGTTGTCAACGCCGATACTAACACCACAGTCGCTGTCGGTCTGCTCAGCACGCACACCAATGTAGTAGTCGTAGCAAACATCGGCAGTGGGCTTAGCGTTGTCGGCATTGCAGTCGCCAGCGGGAGCCCAGAAGACTGAGCCACCGCCAACAGGGAAGGATTGTGCGCTGCAGGGATCGTCAATGATGTCGCTGCAGAGTCCCTCGATGTCGCTGTCTTCGAAGATGGCGCCCAGGCAGGACTCGGTGGCACCGCAGCCATTTGAGACTTGCTTGTCGGCGTTGTTTTGGTCATAGGGCTCCCATCCTGCGTAGACGACGTTTGCTGCGAGGGCGCAGAGGGCGGCAGAGAGTGCGAACTTCATCTGGATATTTGGTGAGGAATTGTCCGCTACAGTATGCTTCACTGTACTTACTGTGGGCTGGTGTGTTTTTCTTTGCTGTTGAGGCTTTGTGTTTTCTTGTTGTATGTTCAATTCTCGAGGTCGACCAGAGGCCTTATATACACATTTCCAGCTCTGCCAAGAGGCCTTCAGGGACTGTTCGATGACGATCTTTGCAGATTGTGGCAGATCAGATAAAATATGGGCTGACAACGTCCCCACGTAAGAAATGGGGGCGGTTCTTGGCTGTTGCCAGCAGGAACCATTTGTAACTGCCAAAAAGGGGTCTTGGCTACTCCACATCGAGACCCTTTTTGGTTGTGACTCTGTACATCACCAACTTGGCGGTACCTCTGCTGGTGGCTTACTGGGGGCCATTTCAAGAGACAATTTGCGAAGTTCACGGGTGTTTCTTCCGTACAAGGCAGACTGATCTTCATTCAAAGTTGCTGCATTTTGCGGGACATGAATTGGTATACTTGGACACTAGTCGTACGAGTGGTCGGGCGTTTTCGCGGCTGACGTAGGTGGAGCAAGTTCTGACTGATGAAGAACGAGATTGAAGAGGAAACTATGGAGGTAGTAGTAGTAGTAGTAGTAGTAGTAGTAGTACTATTGGTAAAAGTAAATAGGAGTCATTGAGGCTCTTTTCAGCCCAGACTAGTCGGTGGTCTTCAACAACCTCTGGGTCCCCCTTTCCTAACAGAATAACGGAGTACCTTGCCTGAGATCAAGTTTGTACATTCCCTCTGCCATTTTGTTGTGGGGTGTAATTCGTCCCAACCCTGGGTTATGTAGATAGCTCCGCTCTCCCATCTCTCTCCTTCCTTCTCTCTTTTCTCTTCTCTCCCGGAATAGAATCGTTTCGTTCAACTTTCTCGCCTCACCTCTAGGCTCAACAGGTTATGAGCGCCTTCTGAATAAGCTATTCTGTGTCATTCTTCAGACGCTTTCTCTGAATCAACCACTATTTTAACCCCGGGAAGGGGAGGGGGTCCAACAGCCCCGGACCTACCTCCCCGCCCCACTTCACATACCTCTTACTTGAACGCGCCGGACTTCCTGAACCAGGCACTTTCACTTTGTACAAGATCCGAACCGTCCTTACTGATGATGGCGACTTTGAGGAATGACACCGTGCAATCATGGGCGTTCTGCGGTCTCTCAAGCTTCAGAGCGAGCTGGCTTCATTGGTAATGCTTCGGCAGCGAGGGAAAGCAAGACCCCCGTTTCCAACAAACCTAATTCGACTCCCTCCACTCAACCTGTTCGACACCTGAAGAATTTCCATCCGAAGGATACTCAGGCTGAAGAATGGGTCAAAAAGTGGATGGATTGTCGAGTCTCCAGAAGCCCGTGTGCATTCTGTGGAGGCAGACATTCGGCAAAGGGATGTTACTATCTCGTACCTGAGAAGTGCCCGGAGGAATGGGCCCGTACGCCAGGTCTCTGGGTATACAAACCTAATGCGAAGGGGGGTTCCGGAGACACATCGTCATCTGGAAACCATTCCAACGCCACGAATGGTCTGTATTGGAGATGAGCACGGCCTCCAGGGTCGTTTTCAGCAGGTCGTCGGTCAGGAGCTTGGAGCGGTCATGGAGATTAATTCTGTCAATCTCGCGTTCGCCGACTTCAAGTGCGCTGGTTTCGATTATCGCAACACGCCCACCAAAGAGGCCCAAGCAGCGGCTTAGAACTTGTCGGCATGCGCCGAAGCGTGTTCGACGTACGGAGACTATTGAAGACCCGACAGCTGGTGCAGACTCGGAGGATTTTCCCATGGCGATGGATCTGACTGAGTGACGAGATGGAAACTCTGGGTCGCTATCTCCGCCTGTTACCCCCGATACCATCGCATTACGGGAGACTTCCGGTGAAGTCAATATAAAGCTCATCGGAGAATTGAAAGTTCCGTGGGTGCCGGGGCATAACCTAGATGAGGCAAATAGCAACGACCACGCCGGATTTACCATCAAGCTAGCACAGCCTCTAAGAGACATGCAGCATCTGCGATGTGAGTACGGATTTCTCTCAACATATGACCAGAAAGTCTTCCTGAGGCAACACCGGCGCCAAGGAGGCGATTGGGAGGTCTGCTACTCCCCAGCCATTCACTCAAGCGACTATTTTCTCCCTCGGAGGGCTGGTACTGCCTTGACCCAGGTGTCCATGAAGCAGTACATACTATATGTATGTAGTGTCGCACGTATTGCTGACGAGGCAGAGAACTATACCAGACCTTGGGTGACGCAATGGTAAAAAGGGCTTATGTATCTTACGTCATAGCATTGATTCTTCGATGAAGTACTGGTGAGATGCGAGAGAATATCAACTTTGTTGCTATTGCAGTGACCTTTCATCCCTACCCCTCCTTCACCAGGTCCAGCCCGACGTATTCAAATGCCAACCGCTTTTTTGAGGGTGCTTGACTAAGCCCCATGCTGAATAGGTGAGTGCAGATAGCGATCTTTCCTTAAACTTCATGGCAGGGCGAAATCCAGATATATGCCTAACATAATAAATCAGTAATCTGCAATCTTCAGATGAGGACCTCTTACATCGTCTTGCTGAAACTATCATAGATTAGTTTTCTTGGACCCCTTATGGCCGGTTGCCAACCATATTTGTTGAGTTCCCTTGATTAAATTAGTGACTTTCAGGCTTGTGAGAGTAAAGAACTCACTTGTAGGCTACGGCGAAAGCAGCACGAACCTCATCGCGATATTGGCGATTCTCCTCCAGCCAAAAGAAACGAGAATCGAGAGGAGAGCCGGGCACACGCTGCCATGCGACATAGGTAATATAGCCGTTAGGAACATATGCCTCTGGTCCTTGTCTTCCCTGCCCATAACCCAAAAGCTCCGGGGTTGCCATGCACTTGCTACACTTGCTTTTGCTAAGTGTGGTCAAGGCCTCGTACTCCTTGTGTACAGGGTTGTCTTCAGCCTGGAGTTCTCTGATCTCTCGGCTACTCCGAAGGGTTCTGTCGTATGGTATCTGAATATACATTCTGATGAAACCATGTTGAGTAGGATTGGTGGTGCTGTGACATGCGAACTTCAGGACGGCAAAGGGAGGCCCGCACTCGCTATCCCGCTCATCGGCGCCAAACGTCTGATAGCACTCAGATAACACATCGTCAAGGCGAAGGGCCCCGGGGGGTGAAAGGAGGGATTGCGCAAGGGCGAAATCGGTGCCAATCATGTTATCAAAGTCGCCGGGGCGGGACATTGTCTCGAGTTCAGATCTTGGAGCAATGAGAGAGCAGACTTGGAATATTCCTGGGTGAAATGATCTGGAAGAGGAAATGCGAGAGGAAAGGAAAAAGAAATACAAATAATGACGAAAACCGTACCTGGTTTGCCTCAGGCCACAGGCCACAGGGTCACAGGCTTCACTTTGAGCTTGCTCATCTCTCTCTCTTCCGTAGATCGTCCTTTTCATCCAGCCCTTCATCCATGGATTCTCTTAATCTTGTCGGGTTTTGAGCCCTTCTTTTCGACTATTCTTGGACGCGACATAAATTTTACATCTCGGGAGTCTCAGGCGTACTGAGAACGTCTATATATGGATTAGATTAATTTTACATCGAAATTGAGCAGACAATTGCTTAGTCTTCAAATGTTTCAGACAGTCATCCATAACACCAATGCTTAATTCCGTACGGAATATTGACTTTAATCGTGATTGTGAAGACAAACAATTGAACTATCCAACTGCCTTGGTAGAAACATATCACCAATGCATATGCTGATCACCTACAATCTCATAGACTGGAAAAATCAGGAGAAATGATGAGAAGAGGTCATATTTGCAGTCTTTATAGGGCAAAATCGTCGAGAAGAAGGGGAGTGCAAACGAGACAAACATTCGAGATCGTCTCACCCGCGCCTTTGTCTCAAAGCATAGCAAAGCAGTGATCATTTAACCCGAGGCAATGGATGAAAAGCTCACTCCGATCCAACCTGAATCTGTTTGAATCGATCCTGGCTGATTTGTCGCCACGCCGATCCACGCCCATCACGACCACTCCATTCGCCGTGAGTGCCAGCTCAGAATGTTCACGTTCACGCCTCTCCTCGGCGCTCAATCGTCGTCGAGGGCGTCGCAGTCTATCTTGGAGCTTGATGGAGGGATTAAAATCCTTGTAGATGTTGGCTGGGATGACACGTTTGATACCTCCGACTTGGCCGAGCTCGAGAAGTGAGCAGACATCTGCGCGTTCTTATGACTTAATCGCGAGAAGCTAACAAGGCCAACAGGCATATCCCTACGCTCTCTCTCATTCTGTTAACACATGCCACACCTGCCCATATTGGCGCGCTGGTTCACTGCTGCAGAACGTTCCCTCTCTTCACCCAAATCCCCATCTACGCAACGAGTCCCGTGATCGCCTTCGGCCGTACACTCTTACAAGACCTCTACGCCTCCACCCCGCTTGCTGCCACATTCCTACCCAAGACGTCGGTCTCAGAGCCAGGCGCGGCATCGACGGCATCTGCAACGGCATTGGACGGAGATGCTGAAGCTGCTGGCAGCGCAAGCCGAGTTCTCCTACCATCACCCACGGCTGAGGAAATCTCGCGGTATTTCTCTCTCATTCAACCTCTCAAATACTCCCAACCACACCAACCGCTCCCTTCGCCATTCTCGCCTCCGCTGAACGGGCTTACCCTGACGGCTTACAATGCTGGTCACACTGTTGGTGGAACAATATGGCACATCCAGCATGGATTGGAATCCATTGTGTACGCTATGGACTGGAATCAAGCTCGCGAGAGCGTTGTCGCGGGTGCCGCATGGTTCGGTGGTTCCGGTGCTAGTGGTGCAGAAGTCATTGAACAGTTGCGAAAACCAACGGCATTGATCTGCAGTACTAAAGGAGGAGATAAGTTGGCGCTGTCTGGTGGCCGGAAAAAGAGAGATGATCTTCTCCTTGATATGATCCGGAGTTGCATCGCAAAAGGTGGCACTGTCTTAATCCCAACAGACACCAGTGCTCGAGTCTTAGAATTGGCGTATTCATTGGAGCACTCGTGGCGCGATGCTGCATCTGGGGATAAGGAGGACGTCCTCCAAGGAGCTGGGCTTTATCTAGCTGGCAAAAGAGTCACCGCTACTATCAGATTGGCCCGGAGCATGTTAGAATGGATGGATGAAAACATCGTACGAGAGTTTGAAGCCGCCGAGAGCACAGATGTCACCAACGGGCAAAGAACTGGTGGGCAAGATAAGTCTTCCAGCAAAGGCGCGGGTCCGTTTACCTTCAAACATCTCAAGATTATCGAGCGCAAGAAGCGACTAGAGAAGCTCCTGTCAGACCCGGGACCCAAAGTCATCCTTGCATCTGATACTTCAATGGACTGGGGCTTCTCGAAGGACGCTCTTCGACAAGTGGCGGAAGGCCCGAACAATCTCTTGTTGCTGACGGAATCTTTCCACAAGGATTTGGAATCACAAAAGCAAGAACGCCCTCAAGCACCAGAAACCATTGGAAGCATGATCTGGCAATGGTATGAGGAGCGAAGAGATGGCGTGGCTCTGGAGAAGGGGTCTGATGGCGAGCACATCGAACAGGTCCACAGCAACGGGCGAGAGTTGGCTTGGAAAGACGTACAACGAGCCCAGCTCGATGCTGGAGAACAATTACTCTATCAGCAGTATCTTGCAACCAAGCGACAACTGCAAGATACATCTCAAACACTCGGCCAAGAAACGCTTGACACGGCTGCAGACGCCCTTGACGATGGCTCAAGCTCTACCTCCTCAGAAGACTCAGATCCTGAGCAGCAGGGTCGAGCCTTGAATTTCTCGGCATCACTTGCCCATGCAACCCGAAGCAAACTTGCCGTGAGCGATGAAGATTTGGGTATCAATATCCTTCTCCGCCGAAAGAATGTTTACGATTACGACGTGCGCGGCAAAAAGGGCCGTGAGCGCATCTTCCCTTACGTTGCACCGAGAAAGAAGGGCGACGAGTATGGAGAATTCATTCGTCCCGAGGAGTACCTTCGAGCCGAAGAACGCGAAGAGATTGACATGCAACAACGACGTACGGATGCCGAGACTAAGTTGGGACAAAAACGAAAATGGGATGATGCTGCTGGCTCCCATGGACGCAAGTTGTCTGGCGGCGCGGCAGGTCGGAAGCGTCCTCACATGGACGGCAAGCCGCAGGACGATGATGAGCTGAGTCTTGTTTCTGACGGAGACGACGCCGATGCAGCGGTAGAGTCTGAAGATGAATCGGAACTTCAGTCATTCGAAGGCCCCGCCAAGGCAATCTATAACAGCCAAGCCATCACTATCAACGCCCGAATTGCATTTATTGATTTCATGGGATTACACGACAAGAGAAGTTTGGAGATGTTAATCCCTCTGATTCAGCCTCAAAAATTGATCTTGGTTGGAGGAATGAAAGAAGAGACACTGGCTTTGGCATCAGAATGCCAAAAGCTACTATCCGCCAAACCAGGCACCTCCGACTCTGCATTGGGCACAGCTGCCATGGTCTTCACCCCAGCCAATGGCATATTGATCGATGCCAGTGTGGACACGAACGCCTGGATGGTCAAGCTGAGCAACACTCTTGTCCGACGCCTTAATTGGCAACACGTCCGCAGCCTTGGTGTTGTTGCTCTCACAGCACAGCTGCGGGGACCAGAGCCTGTAACTCTCGACCTCGAGGATGTTGAAATATCCGGAAAGAAAATGAAGCAGCTAAAAGATGAGGCTGCTTCCTCTGCAGTCGCCCCCACTTTCGAACTGGGAGACAACAAAGCATCAGAGAAACCAGATGTATACCCCTTGCTGGACACTCTGCCCGCTAGCATGGCTGCAGGAACCCGATCCATGGCCCGTCCTTTACACGTTGGCGATCTACGATTGGCTGATCTCCGCAAGCTCATGCAGTCCGCCGGCCACATTGCGGAGTTCCGCGGTGAAGGAACGCTACTCATCGACAAGATGGTTGCGGTGCGGAAATCAGGAACTGGCAAGATCGAGGTTGAAGCAACCGCGCAATCATCGATGGGCCAGTCAGGTCGGGGAACTGGAAGTTTCCTTGCTGTCAAGAGAAAGATTTACGAAGGGCTGGCTGTTGTTGCTGGTAACTGAACTTCATCAATTGACATGTATTTCTATTTCCGGGGACTACTTGATAACCAATAATGCATTTGTAGCCATTTGTTACGGCAGTATACACTGGCCAGCCTGATTTATCATTTTGGCTACATTAGAACTATGTCATTTCACTCGTCGCCTACTCGTATACAGAAAATTCAAGCTCTAGAGATTAAGGATCGGATATAGAGGTCTTGATCATGGAATTGCCGATGTGGGGGAGAGAGACAAATACAAGAACAGTCTACATAGAATCATTGACCTATGCAAGGGCATATGCTAGAAAGTAGTGAATTTTCGAAAAGAGGCTACGTATAGTAGTAGAATTCCTAAGAGAGGTTGGGTCGCTGTACAGAGTACGAAGGGTCAGAGCTGTTTTCTGTGTAAGGTACTGTAAGATGTCAGTCATTTAATACAGACCCATATTAAATTCTTGCCAAGAGTACGATTGGAGCGGCTATTGGTGGTTCCATGACGGATATCCATAGTGGATTCTTGCCAAGAGCCTGACTGGCCCAATGGGCGCACAGAGGTGGATATGTGACAGGATCCACCTGTAATAAATGTAAACAGCCTGGTTGGCCTAGTGGAAAAGGCGCTGCGGGGGTTGAAGCCAGCCCGGTTCTGAACCGTGTGCTGGCCTCCCCTCCGGAGACCCTGGTTCGAATCCAGGATCGGGCACTTCTTTTTTTTCTTTTTTATTTAAGATAAATACTATTTGCCAGAGTAATATTGATAATTCAGGAATCTCTGTTTTCTGTCTGTCAGAACAGGCCCAAAGGCAAGATTAGGTATATCGGGGCATCGTCCGACCTGGCCGCTCTGCCTCTTTGTACCGCTGTGTACTCCACACTGCTGTACACTTCCAAGTGTTGCTAGAAGTCACATGCACCTGGAAACCACGGCGCACCGAAAAACAGCTGATCCAAAGCAGTTGGGTCTATATCCAGATTTTGCGTGAGATCAGGGCTTTCAAGAGACAAGTCACTGCCCTCTGAGAGACCTCCATTTCCAAATTTCTCGACTAAACCACTGCAGTTGGAAAGACAGTCATCTGCAATATCCCATCCAAAGTTGTCTTTGTGCACTTGCAGAGCGTAAATCATGTCTTTTGCAATTTGGAGAGGTAGGTTGTGGGACTGATTCCTCGTGTGTAGACTGCATCGTAGAAGGAACATCGTGGCAGACGTTATAGAGAACGCGTGCATCGGAAGCCAGAACGAAGTCAGTTGATCCGCATTGAGCTCTTGCACTAAGTGCATGATTTCCTCTGCAACACGCTGGGCGTTCGTATAGCATGGTGGCATAGTATCGTGGATGACTTGTGCGGAGGCTTGACTCAAGTCAAGTTGTATACGTCGGAGAAGAAGCTTGACCGATAGATATGCGAGGCGGAAATTAGCAGCACCGGGGACATTGAGGAGTGTTCCCCGGAGAGCAATTCGACGGACATCCTCCGTCAGAGTCTCTTCCCACTCACTCAGGAGACATTCCAAGTCAAGTGCTGACATTTCTGCAGAAGGGCAGCTCTTTGATACGCTGTATACATGCTCCAAATATTGAGCAAGGACGTTTGTTAAGGTGGTGAGAGCAATGAAAATTGATGTCGTTGCTTTCTGATATGGCGATGCTGTAGGAGTGCAGATGTCATCCACTGTTGGGAATGGCACATCATACTGTGATCGATGAACTTGTAGTGGAGTCCCATATGCCAAACTGCACCAACGGTCATGGATCAGAACAAGCGACCATAAGCGTATCCGAAAACTCTTTTCCAAGGGTGTGATGCTCCAATTTGAGGGATCTCGGTTGAGTCCGAGTGCGTTTGATAAGGCAACGGCTGTGCCCACCATGCCGCCGTTGCCGAACATAGATGTACTAGGCCTGCCACAGACATTTATTAGAATCGACATCACCGTGGAAATACCAGGTGGCATGAAAAGTTCCGAATGGAGAGCTTCATTGGCTTGGTTCCAAATGAATCGGATATCCGGGGTGCGGCCGGCAGAGAGCTTGGGTGAACTTTCCCAGTAAACCAAGGAGTTGGCGTATAAATTACATAGCAATGCTGAGGATAGATTTCCCTTGTGAGAAGAGTAAACACTCCTGAAAGAAGCCTCATCAAAGATTGGGAAGCACGTATTGGCTTTCTCAAAGAACCTACAAGTCACTCGGTGAGTACCTCCAATCTAGAATACAGGCAGGGTTTAAGCACTCACAGATTCAAATATTCGTCCAAGTCAGGATGAATATATTTCTCGATGATTTCACATTTGGATACCGCAAGTGACTGTGTCGTAGACACGCCCAAAGGCCTCCTTGACACCACGTTGAAACGCACAGGCCTCAGCGAGAAATTCGAAGCCGAACCGGTGCGTATCAAAGATCCTCTCTGGGCAGTCGGAACAGCAGAGAGATACTTTTCGAGGACTTCATTGTCTTCGGCGACTGCAGGACTGACAATGTGAGAGCTGTTGTCCCCAGCCTCCTCATCAATGCCCATGAGACTGGACAGGGTTCTGGCTCTTTGCTCACTATTCGTCGCGATTGGCATTTGAGAATCGTCCTTCGGGTCTGTACAAGCATTTCCGCTAGTAGCCGTGTCTGTCACATTCACGGGAACAGGGTGAGCTACATGCTGCAGCCCCGTGTAAGATTGGGCGTGTTGCAGCCTGTGCCTAGTATGGGTAGATCGGCGCTTGACGTGAGCTCTTGGCTTCGGCGGTGCAGCAGGGACTTGTCGCTGAATGGGATCATCAGGGCGTGGAAATAAGCATTCTGTGCCATGAGCTTGGCACATAATACAAATGGCCGAAGAGTCCCTCGTCTTGCATCGGGACTTGCGCCTCCTGCACGAGAAGCGTGGCGGATGAAGATGTGACCGGTACGGACGACCTTCACCTCTGACGTCAAGCTGGCGGCTAACTGACATGTTCTGGAAATTATCCTATCCTTGATGGAGTTGCAGATAGATAGAATGAGAATCTTCGATGAGGAGTGGAACTGACCGCGGACTTCCCCGCGGCCAACTCATCACGTGAAAGTATTTGCGGGGAAGTTGATGTCTCGATACTGTGTTCAGTATGCATTTCCTACAATTTTGCAAGATTGGAACAAGACTTAGCAATTTTCCAAGGAGTCCACTAATGTCTGGGAGTATGTGGCAGATGGTGTGAGAGACCCTCGGGCGGCTTGAATTCCGCTTCTAGTTAGCCCTGATAGATGCTTAAACTATTTGGCTGGCATAAGATATTGGCCTAGAATATGAAGTATCGGGGCAATGGAATCTTGAAAAGAAAGTGATGCAGTTCCAAGATGTTGTGCATGTACTCCAGATTGTTCTCAATGCGAATAATTATATAAACTTGAGCCACAATTTTTCCACAACATTCCGAGGCTGCTTTTGAGGCCACTCGATTGCATCAAGCTCGGCTTTTCCAGTAAAAAGATCAGCTTCAATGGAAGGAATCCATCTTGTGCGCTTGAAGATCTTCCAAAACCAAAAGAAGGAGAAGAAAAGAGAAAATCCAACATAGGATGTGATGAAACCCGGAGTATTCCAACCACCCGCGATATAATTGTACCCATTGAAAAAGAGTACGATGCAAAGATATGTGAGTATACCGTATGTCGAATAAGGCTGCAGGGGGAAGGAAAAAGGTAAGGAAACACGATCAATGTTCTGCGCTTTAAGGGCCGAATGGAAACGAAGATAGGCGACACAGATAGATATCCAAGTGTACAGTGCTGAGACGGTGTTCAGGTTCTGGAACCATTGGAATACAATACTTGAGCTCGATCCCATTGACATGAAAGTCAATGCAGATATTGACATTGTCGCAAGCAAAGCCCAGATAGGTATTCCTTTGCCAGTGCACCGGAGGAATATCTGTGGTGCTTGGCGGTTTTGAGCCAGAGCGTAAAGATACCGGGTCCCCATGAAGGCGTATGAATTTCCCGCCGAAATTCCGGCTATAAGAATCAAAGCATTGACTATTGAGGGCAGCGCCTTGATACCTGCCACCTTGACTGCTATCGCCCAGGGAGACTCGGCATTTGAGTCTGAACTTCCACCAAGAAGCTTCGGGTGGTTACTCGGACAAATCAATCCGAGAGCCAGGGAAGCGAAAGCGAAAAAGAATAGAAGTCGCCAGAAGACACGCTTGATTGCCCGTGGAATGTTGCGTCGTGGATTTTCGGCCTCGCCAGCCGCAACGACGACGGTTTCAATTCCACCGAGAGAGAACGAAGCATTCACCAGAGTGTAAAAGAACCCCAGGAATCGGCCTTCGGCTCCTTTTGCAATGTACTCTTTCATTCCCTGCGTCTTCCAATAATGGAAACCCAGTCGAGGCTGGGTTGGCACGCCGCCAAGATCGATGCATAGGGCGACAAGAAGCAGACCGATGATACCGCATAGTTTGATGATAGCGCACACAAATTCAGCCTCTCCATAGATACTGACAGCAAGAACATTGAGAGCCAAAAGTGCAACGATGCAAATCACAATCCACACGGCAACATTAATGTCCTCCGCGCCGGACCAGAACTGAATGATGCTGCACACAGCTGCTATCTCGGCACAGAGTGTAACGACAGCATTAAACCATGTGTTCCAGCCAACTGCGAATCCAAGTGCATCGTCGACATACCTAGCGCAGAACTGTGGAATAGCACCAGGTACGGGGAGCCAAGCAGCCATTTCGCCGAGGGACATCATCATCAAAAAGCCCACGGTACTCGCGATAGCATACCCCAGAAAGAGTGATATAGGGCCGGAGTATCGAAGTGCTCGTCCAATACCCAGAAACAATCCTGTGCCGAGGTTTCCTCCAAGTGCGATGAATGTGACATGTCGGGCCTTGAGGTCCCGCTCGACGTGGCCGTAGGCCGTGGAAGAGGCATTGGCGATAACAGTATTCGAGGTCTTTTCGTCCATTGAGGATTTATCCTTGAATTCAGTCAACACTTGCAGAAGGGCTGAGATTGGTGTGGGCTTACCATTTTGCTTTCGAGTCCGTGTTCAAGGTCACTTTCCCTCCGGTTACCAACCGACTCAGATGCGGGTTCAGTGGCCATTTCAGTGGATTCCCTGTAGAGAGTACACTTCAACGTTCAGCGTTGCATGGGACCCCGGACCCCAGACTCCGGACCTCATATATACTTCATGCTTTATCTCCACTTCAACTGCAGTTCTTATCTCGAGGTTCACCGCGGACATGTCCGTGGGAGATCCCGAGCGCCCACGAATAAGATAATCTTGAGATAATTCACTATCAGTCCAGTGCTATCGAAATTTGATAGTAAACCTACCTAGGTACCTACGTATCGGATTTCCTCTGCCACTTCTTGGCTTTCCCTTTCCATTTTAGTGCTCACCTCTTGCCGCTTTTCGCTCACTGAGTAAAACTGAGTCCCTCCATTTTTGGGTCTACAGTTCCTGGGAATATCTCAGAAAACCCAAATTGGATAATTTTGTCAGTTTATTTTACTGTTTTGTTCCGATTATTTTGCGCTTGAATAACGAGAGACTATCGGTCTTGACGCTTGCCGCTTGCTCCTAGGAATACGACTTCAGCTCTAGCGATGGACATCCGCAAAAATATTCTAGACCCTTCGGTCAGTCGATCATGCCTACTGGATGATCTAGCTGCCATGACGAAATTTGCGGTCCCTCATTTGCCTGATATAGACTCATCCCTAGAGCTTGACATACTCGGCTTCCGTAACGCTTGCTGTTCTCTTCACCTGCCCATCTGGAGAAGAAAGAAACATTTCCTTGATCTCGGTTGCCGTGGAATAGCCATCTGTGTAAACCTCCTGTGTATGGGGGAAATCCATTCCCCAATCTCCCCATTCGTGGTCTCCGGTCATAAGATCTTCACAATGGAGAGCAAATTTGAATAAACAGTCCAGATGAACTCGGACCATTCCTTGATAAAACTCCCCAGTGTCATCATCGAGGTCTTCGGGATCAAAACAACTATCCACCGCATTGACATAACCAACCATAGCTCCCGGCGCGTATGGGATAGATAGCGAACCCGGCTGCACAAGGACAGGTTGGACCGGCTCCGCACTAGCGAGAATGGATCGCACACAGCGGTCATCCAGCAAAAGACAATAATCCAGACGAGTAGTACCACCGCAAAAGCTAAGACCATGGCCTTTGACCCATTCTAAATGTTTTGTGCGAATTGTGGCTACCGACGCCCCCTCCAGGGCTAGGTCTTCAAAAATCACATTTCGGTAACCATCTCGAATCATGCCGATGGTGTTGTACCCACTTCGAGCCCAAGAGAGTTCGAAGGTTGTTAGGCCATTCAGAAAGAACTGGTCAAGCTTCTCAATTGCTTTCGCCCAGTCTTTATCGGACGTATGCGTGTAGGAGGTGCGAAAAATTGCCCAGCCCCACGGCCACCCGCCCGGTTTCCCAGACTGAAAGGATAGGAAAGGCGGTACAGAGGCCCAGTCTGGTCTTGCGCGTTGTCGTAAGATTCGCTGACCGATTGTTTCATTGGGCGGGAATTCGGAGTCAAATTCGGATGACTGCCATGGTGTAGACCATGACTCGTCATGGAAGATGCTGGGATCAGGTGCAGGCATGCAGTCGGATGGCTAACTGACGAGAATGTGGAAGATTTTCGATCTCTCTGTATTTGGTTGATGGTCGACCTGTTGAGAGATATGGCAGGAGGGAGAGAGAAAGAGAAAGGAACGCTCATTGGTGATGTTCTTTTAAGCCCCGCGAACGGTACTAACCGGTTTGAGTTACTAAATACTATCTACTCAAAGCATCAACTTGATGAGAGAACTACTCCGAAGCATAGAACTATGGAAAACATAGCTTGATGTGGGGAAAAGAAGAGAAGCCAAATACCGAGATCAACATATGTAACCTGCGGGGTTCAAACACACTCACTGAGTGCTCACTGAGATTTACTCAGTGAGCCTGACTCTGAGCGTCTTCATAAAAGCGGCAGCCAAGATACTTAAGTAGGCAAGCCCCACCCGGCATAGAAAAAACACTACGTAGAGGTACCTATGTATCTAGGTAGGGATGACTTCTGTCAATCACGGTAATTTAGGAATATTTTATCTTGGAAATGCGACTGGTAACAGGCACCTCAGGGCTATTCAGTCTCAGATTCGACTTCCCAACACGGGAGAAAGGAGAAACGAGAAACCCTGGAGGTTGCAAAAGAAATTCCAGCAAAGACAATGTATTTAGGTTATCCTTCAGAGCCCTCGAGGTAGTCAGAGTGAATTTTGATAAACTTCTCAGTCGTACGATCTCATAGATATGATCATATCATCACGGATATCACTACTCCAGACACCAGGAATATGCCTCATATCTTCGTATCATGGCCGCGGCCAAGTAGTCGGATTTGGCCGCGGGAACTTACGTATAAAGTGCTTTCGATAAAGTCAGTTTCGGTCAAGTTGATAGATATTTAAACCCCTCGAGAGCTCGTCTCACTGGCAACTCACTCTCCAAATCATCACAACGGTCGCATATTCCAGATCAGTTCCCTCGAGATCAAGATGGGCTCCATCGATGTCTCCAACGACTTTTGGCAGAAAGCCGACAAATACCTCATGACAACGGGTGTTCCATTCTCCCCCGTTGTCATCACCCGAGCTAAAGGCACTCGCCTTTTTGATTCCTCGGGCCGGTCAATCCTCGACTTTACTTCTGGCCAGATGAGTTCTCTTCTCGGTCATTCTCATCCCGAGATCGTCGAGGTGGTCAAACAATACGTCTCTGAGCTTGACCACCTTCTCAGCAACATGATCAGCCACCCTGTCATCGACCTCGCCGAGCGTCTCGCTAAAGTCCTGCCTGCTCCGCTTCAGAAGTCCTTTTTCTTGAACACCGGATCTGAGTCGACTGAAGCTGCTATAAAAATGGCTAAATACTATACCGGAAACTTCGAGATCGTCGCCTTTGCTGCCAGCTACCATGGTCTTACTCAAGGCTCTGGCTCTGCCACATACTCTGCCGGCAGAAAGAGAGGTGGCCCTTGCACACCCGGTCAGCTAGCATTCCCTGCCCCATACGCATATCGCTCGCCTTTCCGGAAGGCTGACGGGTCATACGATTGGGAGACTGAAATGGACTATGGGTGGGCCATGATTGACCGCCAAAGCGTGGGTTCTCTTGCTGCCTTCATCATGGAGCCGATTCTATCTACCGGTGGCATCCTGGATCTACCTGAAGGCTACATGCAGCGCATGGTCGCCGAGTGCAAGAAGCGAAACATGCTAGTTATTATGGACGAGGCCCAGACGGGCGTCGGTCGTACTGGCCATATGTTTGCGTTTGAGAACGATGGCATCGTGCCTGATATTCTCTCTCTTTCGAAAACCCTCGGATGTGGTCTGCCCCTAGCTTCTGTTAGTACCACTGCAGAAATTGAGCGCGGCTGCAAAGAAGCCGGCTTCCTGTGGCTCACTACCCACCTCAACGATCCACTGACTGCTGCCGTCGGTAACAAGGTGCTTGAGATTGTCGAGCGAGACGGCATTTGCAGACGCGCCACTGAGCGTGGCGAACAGCTCCGAAAGGGTCTTCTCAAACTCAAAGAGAAATACTGGTGTATTGGGGACGTTCGTGGTCGCGGCCTTCTCCAGGGAATTGAAATCATCGCTGACGCTCAGACGAGGGCCCCAGGATCCGATCTTGGGCAGGCTGTTTCTGACCGTGCTATGGCTTGTGGTCTTTCTTGCAACATTGTCAACCTTCCCGGTATGGGTGGCGTCTTCCGTCTCGCCCCTCCAGTCACTGTTACTGCCGATGAAATTGAGGAAGGTCTTCAGGTTTTGGATGAAGCTTTCGGATATGTTCTCAAGACTCAAAAAGTCTAGGATTCTATAACATAAGATGTTCCTTCGCTAAATATCTCGAAAATGAATGATCAATTTCCCAATCTTACATGTACATATCAATGAAATGTCCAGTTTCCAAATCGTCAATTTCTGGGACGTATCAATAGCTCATGACGATTCTGAATCACTTGAGCATGAAAGCGGTATTCTCGTGATGCCTTAAACGTATGAGGTTATCCATCAGACAGAACCTCCGTCAGATTCTTCCGCTTCGTCGTTGTCATCAGTGGGAATTTCTCGGATGATGTCATTGGTTTGAGGACCGGTGTATTTTCTAAAGTCATCGCGTTAGTATTTTTCTGTAGACTCAAAAGATTTCGGATATTCTTTACCCTCGGGCCTCGATCCACCACCATGCCATGGCAAATGCCGCGATAAAGCCGCCAACACAAATAGCATAATTCCTGGACAGTAAAACGTGAGCGTATGTTTTAATGTATGGGGACTTTTCCAGGGCATCTCACATATTTGCAGGCGTTACTGGAAGCTGTGGCGGGAAGAACAAGATCGTACTGATGAACAAGACCCAAAACACAGCGATATAGTTGATGGGAGTTCCCCATTTGCCAAGTGTGAATGGACCCTCGATGAACTTGACCTTGGATTTGTATAGTTGATGTGCAAGAATGACAGACACGTAAGATAAGTCCAGTGCCGGGGCAGTGATGCTGAAAATAGCCGTGGCTGTTTGCGTAGAGCCGATTGCAATGCAGTTGAGACAGATACTGAAGATCACGACAAACCACACTGCATTGACAGGGGTGTGGGTGCGGGAATTGACTTTGGATAAAATCCTATCGTCGTGTTAGCTCATAACGATGGGCCGGCATCTATATCCAGTGCATCTTACTTGGAAAATGGAAGAGCATCGTCTCGGGCAAATGCAAATGCCATCCTTGTGTCTGCTAACATAGCTGAGCATCCCGTGAAGGTTTGAACGAGAATGGCAAATGCCCACATGACGGTGCCACCTCGCTTACCGCCAGCATTTAGGAAAATCTGAGCAGCGGGAAGACCAGTGGGAGAGTCAAGAATGCCTTCAAAGTCGGTCAAACAGAAGCACATGGAGACTGTGAGGAGCCACCCAAATGCACCGGATACTATGACAGCTGTTTGAATAGCAATTGGCCCTTGCACGGCGGCATCGTGGGTCTCTTCTGACATACTGTACAACAAATTTGTTTAGAACCAGCGAGAATTGAGAATGAGCGGGAAATGGGTTGGGTTTTATACTCACTGTGTTGTGCCGTCATAATCGGTCATTGTCCAAGCAACCGACAAGAAGCCCAAAAAGAAGGAGAAAACCTTTGATCCCCATCCCGAGCCATCTGTGAAGTGGCCAAAGACCCAGGATGCTGGTTGCAAGTTGGGGGTGAGTGTGACCAAGGAGATGCAGATGCAGATAGTCGCAATAACTAGAAAGAATGTTAGTAAAGTTATTCCCAAGCCACAAGAACTGTACTTGGACATACTGTTTATAGGAGCAAACCACAGAATAATCCTATGCAAAGACTTTGTGGTCAAGGAGCAGATGATTCCAAGTATGCATAAGATTGCAATGGACAGTAACACGGTTTGCAGGGCCGTTCTTGTTTGATGTTAGCTTAGACACGAATTATCCAAATCATGCTGACTTACGGTGCATATGTATACTTGCCGTCGACAAGATCCGAGTTCATACTAACACAGGCAAGTAACATTTGACTGACAGTATATGCCACACTGGAGACACCTGCCGTTTGACCCAGGAGATTGCACCAGCCCTGTATCCAAGAGAAAACAGGAACTTGATCCGGAGGCACCACATGTTTTGTGACAAAGTACATTCCTCCCGCTGTGGGATAGGCTGATACGAGCTCTGCCACTGAGCTGCCGATGCACATGGCCATGCAAGATCCAATCAACCAACACCAGACAGCGGTTGCAGGGCCGCCAGCAGCCAAGGGTGCACCAAAAGTCGCCGGCACAGAACCAAGGACTCCTAGAATTGAGATCGCGTACGAGACAGTCGACCATTTTGAAAATTCTCGTCGCAATTCCTAGTAACTTGTCAGATCTTGCCCCGCTCTTATCACATCACCGTTTCAGGCGGAAATACCTGTTTATACCCGATTCGAGCTAGCAATAGCTCATCATCGTCATGAATAGTCGCCATTGGTGTGATAGAGAGTGGATTGTCGGGTTCTTCTTGTTTTGTACTGGGATGCGGGCCTGATTCCACCGTTAAATCCATGGTCAAGGAGGCGTGCAAGGCCGTTTGTACATGCAAGGAGCATTTAAGGGGCAAATATAGAGAGAAAACGAAAAGAAAATCTTCCAAGCCAACTCACCAGGGTCTATTCTACTTGGGCTTTATCTACTCGGCTTAAAAAACCGACCGAGGGGCAAACAAGTCCAAAGCCATGTATCGGAAAAGAGACGGTGAGACGACCACGGCTTGACGAAATAAAGAAAACGCCCTAATGAGCTTGAGCCGGAACAAGGATCAGAATCTGGCGTGATTGGAAGATTAGATCGACATGCATCAATTTCAGGTAGCAGTTGTCATTTAGGTATGCACAATTGCTTCGTTGTCGCAAAAATGACAGGTGTATGGCCAAAGAAGGTGTTCGGAAGTTCCAGGCCAAATATCCCGAGTGGGATGTGCAAATCACTAGTCTCTAGCATGGATGGTCTTCGTTGCAGATGGCGAGCGAATGGCAGTGGACTTGGTGGGCTTAATTGCTTGGACTATGGAAAAAAGAGGACAACTGGACCCCAGCGGGAGGGGTGATAAATCAAATTGTTTCGCAAGTATTGATGGAATCTTCCATCTCAAGGAAATACTAGAGATAATTAAGGAAAAGACCTGAGTAGAACAACAGAACAACAGAAGAGCAGAAGAGCAGAGTAGAAGAAGCGGACCTCGGGAGTATAGGGCCCGCAGATCGGAGGGACGTAAATCCGGGTGTTTAGGTGGTCAATCAACACTCCACTTGAGCATCACGATTCCCCCGTAATGGGTTTTTGGCTGATCTGATATTCTGTGTTGCTTTTCTACCTTCGATCTAATTTGCGCTCCCTGCATCTTCCCATATCCCGCGGCATGATCCACCTTGACCGACCTTGCCATGTATAACGCAATGAACCAGGCACCCGGCGAGGATCCATCCAATCCGCATTACATGGCCCAGCAACCGTCTCAACAGTATCCCGCTGGGTATGCTCAAGGGGCTGCGCCCCCGCAGCCAGGGGCACCTCAGGCCAGCCCAGCTCAAAACCAATGGGCCGCCTACGGATCACCACAACAACCAGGCTTGGCCAGCCCAGGCGCCGCATACAATGCCCAACAAGCACCGATGGGTGGGGCAGGAGAGCCAGGAATGGGAGGATTGACCTCACAGATGAGCGGCTTAGGAATTGCAGCGGATGTGGGACCCAGGACGAACCGAAAGAAGCATCGCCATGCCCACCATGACATCGGAGGTGGTGCGGCACCACCTGCGCAAGCTTTTAATAATGGAATGGACCAGGCGGGTCTGCAGCAGCAACCGTCTCAGTTCCTGAACACAGGCCTCAATCAGCATGCTGATCGACCAGTATCTCCAGCGGTGGGGTTGGTCTCCGCGCAATCAGCTGGACCCCAGATACCTGGGATGCAGAGCGGTGCTGGCGCGGTACCTACTGCAGGACGAATTGACCCCGAACACATCCCTAGTATCCCACGATCGCGCGACCTACCCGCTCAGTACTACTTCAATCATGTCTATCCGACCATGGACCAGCACCTCCCCCCACCAGCAGCGATTCCGTTCGTGGCCCAGGATCAAGGCAACTCATCACCGAAATACGCTCGCTTAACCCTCAACAACATCCCCTCCGCTTCCGATTTCCTCGCCTCAACCGGTCTGCCTCTGGGTATGGTCCTGCAACCCCTCGCACCTTTGGACCCTGGCGAACAACCGATCCCCGTGCTGGACTTTGGGGATGCTGGCCCCCCTCGATGCCGAAGATGTCGGACCTACATCAACCCGTTCATGTCTTTCCGATCCGGTGGAAGCAAGTTTGTCTGCAACATGTGTACATTCCCGAACGATACGCCCGCCGAATACTTCTCGCCCCTGGACCCATCTGGTGCGCGCGTTGATCGCACGCAGCGCCCTGAATTGATGATGGGAACTGTTGAATTCACGGTACCTAAGGAATACTGGAACAAGGAGCCTGTGGGTCTTCAAACTCTCTTCTTGATCGATGTCAGCCGCGAGTCGGTCCATCGGGGTTTCTTGAAGGGGGTGTGTGAAGGTATTAAGGAAGCTCTGTACGGCAACAGCGACGGGTCAACAGAGACATCCGAAGACGCTGAATCCTCTCGGCAATTGCCCGTGGGTGCAAAGGTCGGCATTGTCACCTATGATAAAGAAGTGCACTTCTACAACCTGACTGTATGTGCCCTATGTGCCCCCATCCCTCAATTTGTACTAAAGAAGCTACAGTCAACCTTGGATCAGGCCCAGATGATGGTCATGACCGATTTAGAGGAGCCATTTGTGCCCTTGAACGAAGGCCTTTTCGTGGACCCTTATGAATCGAAGTATGCACGTCCCACCATCAATGTACAACATGCACCTAACTATTTTCAGATCTGTCATCACTTCACTTCTCAGTCGCATACCTACCATTTTCTCCTCTATCAAGAACCCCGAATCCGCTTTACTGCCTACCTTGAACTCGGCCCTTTCAGCTCTCCAAGCCACCGGTGGCAAGGTCATTTGCGCAGCGGCGAGCTTGCCTAACTTCGGCCCAGGGCCACTATCTGTCCGCGAGGATCCAAAAATCCATGGAACAGACGCTGAGCGAAAACTGTTCGCCGCAGAGAACCCACTTTGGAAGAAGACAGCAACCAAGCTTGCCGAAGCTGGTGTTGGTGTTGACGTATTCCTGGCAGCCCCTGGTGGCACTTATCTGGATGTGGCAACAATTGGTATCTTGAACCCATGAAATGACATCTCACGCCCGCTAACTCGATCCATAGGACATGTTTCTAGCCTCACTGGTGGCGAGACTTTCTTCTACCCCAACTTCCATGCCCCACGCGATATTCGCAAGCTGCGCAATGAGCTAACACATGTCATCACTCGAGAGACTGGATATCAAACTTTGATGAAAGTCCGGTGCTCCAATGGACTCCAAGTTTCTGCCTACCATGGAAACTTCGTCCAGCACACTCTTGGTGCTGATCTGGAAATCGCCGGCGTCGACGCCGATAAGGCCTTTGGCGTGCTCTTTAGCTATGATGGCAAGCTTGATCCTAAGCTGGATGCGCACTTCCAGGCTGCATTGCTGTATACCTCGGCAGATGGCCAGCGGCGCGTTCGATGTGTCAACGTCGTCGCTGCAGTTAACGAGGGAGGTATGGAGACCATGAAATTTGTTGACCAGGATGCCGTTGTTTCGGTCATTGCAAAGGAGGGTAAGTTTAGAACTATACCCCATGATGATCGAAGTGTATACTGATCTCCGCAACAGCCGCGTCCAAAACACTGGACAAGACCCTCAAGGACATTCGGGCGAATATTTCAGAAAAGACGGTCGACATCTTCAGCGGATACCGCAAGATCTTCTCCGGTTCTCATCCTCCCGGTCAGCTGGTCTTGCCCGAGAACCTGAAAGAATTCTCGATGTACATGCTCAGCTTAGTCAAGTCGCGAGCTTTCAAGGGTGGCAATGAATCCTCGGACCGCCGTATACATGACATGCGCATGATCAAGTCGATGGGCTGCACTGAGCTATCGTTGTATCTCTACCCGCGAATCATCCCCGTGCACAACATGCAGCCGGAAGATGGATTTGCGAACGAACATGGTCAGCTCCAAATTCCCCCATCGTTGCGAGCCAGTTTCTCTCTTATCGAAGAGGGCGGTGTCTACATTGTGGACAACGGACAGAGCGTCCTCCTCTGGCTGCACGCACAGGTCTCGCCCAATCTACTGGAAGACCTCTTCGGGCCGGGCCAAGCCGCGCTCCAACAGCTCAACCCCAACACCTCCTCACTGCCGATTCTGGAGACGCATCTCAACGCCCAGGTTCGGAACCTGCTGCAATATCTCTCGACCGTGCGCGGATCCAAGTCCGTGACGATCCAACTCGCACGCCAGGGCCTAGATGGGGCGGAGTATGAATTTGCCCGACTCCTCCTGGAGGACCGGAACAATGAGGCGCAAAGCTACGTTGACTGGTTGGTGCATATCCACCGCCAGATTAATTTGGAGCTGGCTGGTCACCGCAAGAAGGAAGAGACCGGCGAGGGCACCCTGGCTAGTCTGTCTGCCATGCGGGCGCCGTATTGGTAGAGAGGCCAGATCCGATACCTTCCGTCGGGACCCTGCCAGGCACACCCTTCCCGCCTGTTCCTGGCGATCTAAAGATTGCAGGCTGCAGGTAAGATGTAAGGGTGGATGTTGAGCGTGGCTCATTGGAGGGGTGTGAGGGGGAGGGGCACTTCTCCCGACCAGGAAGGTGATGCTGACGCCGACGCTGACTTCAGTGGCTTTTACCCGCCTGTGGAGCACCGGAGTATCATTGGCGAACAGCCAGGCACACGGAAAAAATATTCACAAAAAAAAATATGAAGATAATTGTTGAGACACTGAATTTTATTGTCTATACCAAGTTCAAATTTTATTTTTTTTAATTTCATCTTTTCCAATCAAATGTCACAGCAACCGAGTGTACAGTGTACAGCGCTGGCTATTGACAGTGACATGGCATCCACTCCCCACTGAGGTACCAAACGGAGACAAGTGGCGGTCTAGAAGTTCTAGAAGATCAATTACTACGAGAATGCACACTTAGATCAGAAATTGGTCGCGGTGAGCTGGTCTGTGACCAGTCGGATCCACCATTTTAAGGTGGTTTTTAGTCGATTTGTCAAGTAGCTTAAACCGATTCATCATTTCATAGATCCCCAGGGCTGTCTTTCTAAAGTTACTGTTCTGTATGCATTTCTAGGATAATTCAAGGATCGTTCGAAATAGGATACTGTAGAATCAAATGAGGGATTTCACGATAATTGCCACCGAGACGACCAGGGAAACGTCAGCGGGGGTATAGTAATCTCTATTATTGGTTCAGGGTCCAGGGTCCAGGATCGGGGAGTTTTCCTCTTTTTCATCTTTTCTCAAGTGCTCGAGCTGTCAGTGGGGCCGACTCAGTGCGGATACAGTACTCTGTCCTCTGTACTCCGTAGGTTTGTCTGAATTCCTCGTATCCACCGTGTTGTAGGGACTATGGGGCAGGGAAAATGTCCACCTAATTGTAATCCTGCAGTGCCCTAACATTTGAGTGGCTAACAGACAACGAGTACTCAATTGCAATGATTAGTATGACTCAATGCCACCATATCACTTTGTGTAATTGCCTGCTTGGTAATACTCGTACTATGCGCTATACTCCTCTTTTCATCATTATGATCTTGTAGTCTCAGTTCCTTGACGCCTATCTCGAGTACTCGTATGCTTTGCTCTTGCCTCCGAGACCGGCTGATAATGAATCTAGACTATGGAGTTGTTCTACTCTCTCATCATTAGCTCCCAATGTAACTTGGCGACTTGCCCAGACGACTCCCAAGTGGTGGCCAAGACCACATCCATAGAACAGCGTAGCTAGAACGGTACCTGGCGAATGTGCCATGTCTGCCATTGTCTATACCTTTGCCATATTGCCATGTTGCCATGTTGCCATATTTGCCTCCGAAGTAAAACTCTTGAACCGCGGAAGGGACCGGATGCCAATGACGTGGGGCGACTAGTTCTGTCCACTCCCTTCGGTCCACTATTACCACGCACTGTCACTGTTTAATGGAGGGTAACATGTATTTCCACGCAGGTGTCATCGTATAGCCACCCTTGACACCTCTGTGATCTATACAACACATTCAATGCAGGTACTTAGCGGTGATGCCCTAAGAGTACTCGTATAAAATATGCAATTACATTCTACCTGTCTATATTCTAAGATCTCACATGAAACTATTGAATCTTAAAAGTAGAAAACCCTCAAAGCTGAGAATGTACAAGGTAGCCCTGCCGAGGCGACTCCCCAACTGCCGGTCTGGGCTCTTGGGACGAAACGGGGCTTCCCCACTGAGAATTAGCCTTGTTCGGTTGAGGTTCGATTTCTTCTTTTTTTCTCTTTTTTTTTCGCCTTTTGCCTTTCGCCAAGGACCCATTTATTTGCATGTTGTTCCATGGGTCAACTGTATGGGTGGCTTTGCTGCCATGGCGGTACCTGTCCGGGGGAGAGCAATGCTCGTGAACAGATATCTATATAAACCCCCCATTCCCTCATGTTTCCGTTCATCAAACACATTCACTTCAAAGTACACCAAGTATATCAGTACATACCTTCTCTACTTGCTTTTCGAGATCGATTCTCATTGCATTCCTTATATCTGTCGACCAGACCTTCCTTCAAACTTCAACCACACTACATCAGTCTCTACTCAATTCATTCAAAATGATGTTCACCAAGACTCTCGGCCTTGCTGCCCTCTTCTCAACCATTGCCTCCGCCCTCCCCCAGGACATGATGGTCCGCCGCGCGGGTATGGTCCGTCGTGACGGCGGTGGTGTCAAGATCACCAACAACCTCCAGCAAGACGTCTACGCCTGGTCTGTTGCCGGCGACGTCGGCCCCATGCAGACCATCAAGAGTGGCGGCGGCATTTACTCTGAAGACTGGCGCACCAACCCCAACGGCGGTGGTATCTCCATCAAGCTTGCTCTCGACGAGCAGCAGCACGACGTCCTTCAGTTCGAGTATACCCAGGCTGGTGACACTATCTTCTGGGACCTGTCTTGCATCGACATGGAGTCCGGCAACAAGTTCACCGATAAGGGCTTTGCTGTCCAGCCTTCTGAGGAGAACTCCTCTTGCCCCAAGGCTATCTGCAAGGCTGGTGACAAGGCCTGCTCGGCTGCTTACCTCCAGCCCACTGATGACCACGCCACTCACGGCTGCCCCATCAACACTGCTCTCGATCTGAGCATTGGTGCTTAAACCATTTACTATGGTTCTTTTTTCCTGCCGGTTGAACCGTGCGTCCTTTCTTTCGCCCTTTATACCTTTCAAATCTGTCGCATCTAGCCCTAGTTGGCAGGTGACTTTTTTTTTCTTTCTTTTAACATCACCCCAGAGGTGATGTCTTTCGGGATCTATGATTGATGATTTTTTTGCTACATGTTCGGTTGAATCGGCATGTCCCCATGGGTTGATTCCCGGGGCAGGATGTTCTCAACGAGCTATGATTTTTACGCCGTTACTATGGAAATACCCCCCACATTTGGATTATGGAACACGAGGAGTTTTATGTCGGGGGTGAGGGATTTACTTGTGAATAGACGATTAGACAAATGATCATCAGATCTTTACAAAATGCATGATTTTGATTTACTTTTTTGAAGCACAGTGGTGATCTTTCATAAATCCATTTAGGGCTTTGCCTAGGTCTCGGAGAAAGAATAAGAATAAAACCTTACTTATTGGCCATTTCTTCTCCAACGGAAAAGTCAACCGCCAAAGACCCAAGGACATGTATCCAAAAAGAGTAATTCGGGAAAAAAAAGAAAGAATTACGAAACAAGCGAAGCAAAGACATGAAAAATAAGAATGGAAGAAGTGAAAAAAAGAAAATTCTGCCCAAGGAATCTAGACCAAGTGATAGACAGGGCATCCAAGAATCCGATTGCTCCATATTTCAAGCCAGTCGATCGGACGGCGTAGACGCCGTTGCTGCTTGGCCACGATCCACAGAGCGGATCTATGGCCAGATTTCCGCAAAAACCCAATTGGGTCTGTACGGAGTCCGAGTCCTCGTAAACCAACTTTTGGCAAGAATCTCAGAGCTCTGATCGGCTTGATTTTCCACCGGTGTTCCAAGATCAAGATTCAAAATCTGTCTTTCGTCATAGTTCTACGAGTAGATCGGTGTTCCTGGCTTCCTGTGTTCCTGTGTTCCTGCACGTACCTGCAATGCATACGAGCTCCAAGGCTGCATGAACTTCAGGAACAGGAACCCCAGTGCCACCGCCACTTGTTCCTGAAGCCCTGGGAGCCATGCGTGTACAACCATGGTTGATGGACCGGTTAAACGTGCGAACGGATGATGACTAAGTTGCCCCCCGCCAATGAGTGTTTATGCTTAAATTCACCGTGCCGAGATTGCCGATTTCGGCTAAGTGCGTACAGCCCTGGAGGAAGAGTTTTCCCTGCAGATCTACTCGGACGTGTGAGGTGGTCACCGCTATCCTTCTAAGAGACCGGTGTCGGGCAGAAATGTGACTCACACGCTTTGGACAAGTCACTGTCTGTTGTTCGTGAGTGTCCTTGCATCCAGGCACGTGACTGGCTCAAAAAGAGGAATCGGGATTTACAGTTGGTGAAGATCATCCTGTCATGACGTCGAGAGTCTGACGCTTGAAAGTTGAGGCCAAGGCATCTAGACCTTGAGATGAGAGTCTGAATTAAAGAGCCATCAGTGCGATTCAGTAAATGACGGATTAGCCAAAATTGCAGAAAATCAAAGTCATGAAAAAGCCAGATATCAAGAAATCAACCACGTAACGGAAGCTATCATCAGTCAATTCAAAGAAATAGATCAGCTGCTTTTCTGGGGTCGTCTTTCCCTCCGTCGTTCCATGAGTTGATGTGACCTCATCGCCTTGAGGAGTGCATAGGCGACTAGCCGGTAGACAATCGTGCACACACCCAGAGCCATCACATTCATGGGCCCGCTTTTGTTCAAGTTCCAAGTGTCCAGGACCTGCTCGCCAGAGGTATATGGACAATGGCCGTCGACCAGCTGCGAGGCAGAACAATGGAATTCCCGGCCGTGCATGGCATACGGCGCCAGATTTGCAATGACATACTTGATTGGCGAGAGGTGGTTGAGGGCTTGTAGGACAGGGTGGACGTTTAGACTCATGACGCCGCCGAGGATGGTGGAGATCGACAATAGAATGGAGGTGATGTTGACGGCGAACCCGACATGTGAGAATAGTGTGCAGAACATTATCCCCACGGACTCGCCGCAACTGATTATACAGAAACAGTTAAAAGCACAGATCAAGAACATGGTCGTTGTGCGCTGCAGATTGACTGCAAATGCGGCGAGAGCACCAAAAGCCAGCGATACGACGATCTCAGAGGGGATCTCGATGATTGTATAGCTAAGTAAGAAGGTCGAGGTGGAGTAGCAGTTGTCTTCTTCTTCGCGGTAAAAGACTTCTCGTTCGCCGGGGTAGATGGCGATATTTTGAAGCATTCCGACGAAATACAGTGCCGCGAATTCTTGGATGAATCCCATGCGCGACTGCACGGCTGCATTGTCGTCCTGCAATGGTGCGAAGAACAATACCATGATGATCGCAATTCCTGGAACCTGCATCAAACGCGCCATGAGCAGTGGCGGTTGCCGCCACAGATTTATCACTGAGCGTTGTAACACCAGTGGGAATGTCATGCGGAATGGTAGCATTTGACGCTTGAGGCTTCCTAGTTCAGCAGGCGTGGCGATGTGCGACTCCTCGCGCTCTAGCTTTGGTGCAAAGGTTCCGGCTTGCCAGTGAGCGATGAGATTTTGAACACGCTCGCGTGTGATCGCCTCGCGGTCCTCTTGTTGGAGATCGATGGTGATGAGATCCAGTACAAAGTCTGCTGGGTTAGTCGTTCGAGGACAGTCGTGACCTTGTCCTGCAAAATAATCTAGCATTGCATCCCCTGTCCCAGCGTAAACAGGGTGCCCCCCACGCGCTAGCAAAAGGACCCCAGAGAAGTGCGGGAAGAGATCTGAGCGAGATTGATGAAGTGTTAGAATCAGGGTACGACCTTCAGCAGCAAGACTTTTTAAAAGTTCAACGATGGACAGTGCTGTAAACGCATCCAGGCCCGAAGTCGGTTCGTCCAGCAAAAGAACTTTCGGGTCTGTCAAGATTTGAATAGCGATTGAGACGCGCCTTTTCTCGCCACCGCTTATACCTTTTATCAAGTTGCTGCCGATGAGGTTGTCCGCGCATTCTTTCAGTCCCATCTTGTACATGATTTCTTCGGCTCGTCGGTTCTTCTCTTCCCGTGTCATCCAGGCTGGTAGACGGAGGCCTGCCGCGAACCGTAGACTCTCCCTCACCGTGAGAGAAGGCATGAGGGCGTCGTCATCTTGCGTGACGAAGGATGTGACTGACCGGATGACGCTTTTCGAGGGCACAGCGCCGTTATATAATATGTCCCCGTGGATTCGGTACTGAGTGTCCATCGATCCTTTCAGTCGATGAGCAATGGAGTTCAGGAGCGAAGTCTTGCCACTCCCCGATGGGCCCATTATAACATTCAACTGGCCAGGCTGGAAATGCGTGGTGATGGGTCTGAGAACCTGTAAAGTCCGCGCAGATTGCCACGGGAAATTCTTCTTTCGAATCTCCAGCGCATATTCTTCCAGTGATATCGCCACCTTGCGAACCTCCTCAGATGGTCGGATAGCAGTCTTTGATTTCCCATTCGAATTATCGCCCTCATTCTGTCGTGCTTGTGCAATATCAATCGCAAAGCGGTTGTATTGCAACAACAACCCAGCAAATAGGTAGTGGACAATAACGAACGCAACAAGTACCACGATGGGTCTCCAGATCCAATTTGATGGAAATCCAAGACTTTCCATAATGTACCTGCCAGTGAATTGCCTGCACCTTGGATCTTGCGGATCGTTGGAAAACTTACATTCGTAAAGATGACCGCTTCCTGAGTCGTCGAATCCGACAAACTCGTTCGCGCACAGTGCACCAAATGTATAGAATGTGTATGCGCACCACTTCAACCACCTCACGTAAACCGGGATCTGATTCGACTGGACAAAGTATCCACATGCGAAAGATTGCACCGTGAAGCATAGATTAGCTACCAGGCTTGCTCCGGGGAAGCTTCGTGATATGCTAACAGCAACTGCAGCGAATGTCACGGCGATATAGTGCGTGAGAATCGAGATGAGGCAGAAAATGAAGAACTGGCCTGCATCCACGCGATACCCTACCATGAAGTAGAATATGAGTGAGAATATAATTGGCATAGGCAGGTCTTCCAAGAACAATCGGGCTGCTCTCCTGCTGAGCAGGAACGCTGGCACGCTGACCACACCTTCGTTGTGCTCTCGATCAAACAGGCGAATGTCAATCGTCAGACGATATGTCTCGTATAGCAGAATCAGGTAGCCATTCAAGCTGGAGGCTGTATATAGACTCCCTTGACGCGAGCGGATCCCTGCCTCGTCTTCACCGAGCTGCAAGAAGATCCATCCGTTGATGACAGCCATTCCAATGGCCGAGACAAGACTGCCAGCAACGCCCATCGGATCGCGAATGGTAGTGGAGAAGGTGCGAGATGTCAGAACGCGAAACTGTCGACTGAACGAAACCTTTTTGACGCTTCCATGTTCAGGGCCATCTAGTTCAGTCTCCAGTTGAGTTCGTGATGCCTCCTTTTCTCCATTCTCCCTGTTCAGCAAAATCACATCTGCCTTGGATTTCCACGCCTCCGTCAATCGCTGCACTCTGGCCTTTGAAGCGACCTCAAGCTCTTCCGTCCGATTATCAATTGCAGCAAGATCTATCAAAAACTCCGCAGGGTTGACAAACGTCGGAAGCACGTGCCCACATTCCTCAAAGTGACACAGCGACCCCGGAAGCGCGCCACTATACAAGGCCGATCCCTTCGCAAGTAACACAACATTATCAAATAGACTCCAGATCTCCGAGCGTGGCGCATGAATGGAGACCACAACGGTCCTCCCATGCATCGCAAGAGTTTTCAAAGTGCGCACAATTTGAAATGCACTAGTCGCGTCCAATCCAGTTGTAGGCTCATCGCAGAACAACACAGATGGATTAGCCAGAAGCTGCACGCCGATACTGGTTCGTCTTTTCTCCCCACCACTGCAGCCTTTGTGGACATGATTCCCGATCCGGGTCTCGGCGCACTCTTTCAAGCCCAATTCGAGAATCACTTGCTCTACGATCGCATGGCGCTCGGACTGGGTGGTTGGGGGTGGAAGGCGGAGATCCGCGGAGTGGCGAAGTGTTTCCCGGACTGTGAGAGTTGGGATGAGAACGTCTTCTTGCATTATATATGCGCTTTGGATATGCGCGATGTCGGGGTCGCTGTTGAATGTTGTTGTCCCAGAGACGTGGGCCCGAGACAGGTTCATTCGGTGCGCCATGAGGTTGAGTAGGGAGGTTTTCCCTGAACCACTACTGCCGATTATCGCGGTCAGACTTCCGCTGGACATGGAAGCCGAGATTCCATGGAGGACTGTCTTGCTTGTTTCTGGCTGCTTTTGGCCGCGCATGCGTTGCCATATCTGTGGGGATTCCCATATTGGCGGGGTGGTGTTGATTTGGAGTGATACATCGCAGACTTTGATATTCACTGGATTTACTGCGCGCAGTGAAAGGCTGGATGCGGCATTTTGCTCAGACTCCGACTCCTGTGGCCCTGTGGCGTCTGTCACTTTGACGTCTGTGTCTGTTGACATGTCTGGGATCGATGCAGTACTACCAAGTCGGGACTGCAGTACGCGTCATTCACCTGCATGAGTACCCCTGCCCAGGTGGAAGTGAGGAGGTGGGGAGATGAAACTTGGAAGTGATGACAGAGGTCTAGAGGCACAGTACTCGTAGTCCTCGTAGTACTCGTACTACTCCGCAGGGTCTGAAGCCAAGCAGTTTACCTCGGGAAAATTTCCCGTTTTAATTGGCCCCCTCCTTGTAGGCCTATACTCGTACTTCGTATACTGCATTAACATCACACTCTATAGTCAGGGGTATAGAAAAACAATTCACATTGCAGAGTCCAGACTCTACTAGATTCATCCTAACATACTAACATAGTATACTGTACACAGGCCTTGAGACCCAAACCATATGTACAAACCCAGATACGCCTGCATCACTCATGAGATCCAAATCTCGTTGAAATTTTGTGAGACAGCCTCAGGGCTGTCATATAATGCCATACGGGAACAGACTCCTCGCATCGCCAAAGAGAAAAGCATCGTAACCGCGTAATTCCCTGAAATCAGAATCACAAGTACAAGTTCCACGCGAGAACGAGAAAGAAAAATAGAAACACAGAAAGAAGTGAAATAACAATCCAAAATGAAGAAAGAAAGAAATAGGGGTATCAAGGGAGAACAGGTCAAGTGATCAAGAAATCCATATTCATAGTACGGATAATCTTCTCCCAATCCCAGCTCTCCTCGATCTGGGTGTCCATGACCTCCCACACGCGGGAGACCACCTTCAAAGCAGGTTCAATATTCCGCAGATTGGAATAGGACTTGAGTCTCTCGAACCCGCGCTTGATGCGCTCCCGCTGCTCGGTCAGGAAGGCCGAGCAGCCGAGCAGGAACAGCGGCATTAACACGATACTGTAAGCTCCCGCGTCTTGGGGGAGTTGCTCCAGGTAATCCAGCCCGTCGTTGACGACTTGGGCGATTTTTTCGCTCGGTCGCGAGGGCCGGATTGTCCGGTATAGGTATACCCAGGTCGACTGGCGGTAGAGTTGGGCCAGACACCAATTCGAGGTCTCGGGTTCGTGGGAGGTTTCCCATTTGCGGATGGCGGTGTCGATGGAAACGGCCTCGCTGAGGGTCTGGTAGTCCACCGCGGGCTCGTAGCCTTCGTCGAAGCGTTCGCGGATCCGATCGCGGAGCTGGGTGATCTCGGCAATGTAGTTGAACAGTCCGTCGAAGACCCCGACAAACATGCCGGGCGACGGGCCTGCCGCGCCCGGCACGAAGTTGGGGAGGTGTGGATCGCTGGTGAAGAGGTTGGGTCGGCGGTCGAGCGAGGTGAGGGAGTTGGAGACATCGTGGTATTGGAAGAATTCGACGATGAATTGCCGGAATTTTTCGTTCCGGGGTTTCTGCGACACCAACAGGTATCGGGCGGCATCCATATGCGGTCGGTACTCGCCTTTCACCTCGCCTTCACAGATGGTGTTTAAGCTGAGGGCGATGGTGGAGGCGATGATGGGGTCCTCCACCAACAGGGGCTCGTCCTCCCCGTCGGGGCTTTTGGCCGAGGAGGAGGCATTAATATTATCTTTGAGATCCTGAATGGCATGGTGGAAATGGAAGTATTTGCGCTCCTTCAGCTTGGGCTCGGGGTCCAGTCCCGACAGATGCGACCCCGACAAACACATGAGGGAATGCATCAACCCGCGGTGCTGGGTCGCCATGGGGAGCAAGATCTCCTTGAAGGGATTGGAATCATCATTGATGAGGGTCAACACCCGACTGAATCCATACACGAAATGATCGAGGAATCGTCGGTCAACTTCCGTTTCGATGCCGTCGATGAGGAGGGGTAGGCTGCGCGGCACGGATGCAAGGGACTGCGACCGAACTACTGGACGGTTAGCCAGAAAGCGGTCTGTGGGAGATTGGACCACCTACCATCGGCCATCTTCTGTCGGCCACTTTTCCAGATCTCCTTGGGTGGGTAGCCTTCACAGACCACCGCATTCTTCTGGCAGTTGAGACAACTAGAGGGTCAGCACCACGCAAGGTACAAAAGGCAGAGCGACTTACGCCGGTTTTGTCTCGTCACATTTCTTCTTTCTGCGACGACAGGTAATACACCCGGTCTTGGAGCGACCTTTTGTGATCTTGGCCTGGTTCCCGGGCACGGGCAGTGGATGTTTGCGTGGTCGTCCACGTTTCCGTGGGACGGGAGTGCCCGTCTCGGCATGTCGAATGTTTAACAAGTCCTCGTCTGCTTCTTCCACCTTGGGAATCTCCATCACTTCGTCAATTTGCGCTTGCACATTGGTGTCAAAGGTATGCGACCGTTGGTAGGCTTTAATTTGGGCATCCAGATGGTCTGGTGGTGACTGAGTCACATACCACCCAGAATCAGAGGAAGTATCGTCTGGGCTGGCACCAGTGCTGGTGCTGGGAGTGCTGGCTCGGGGGCCGATCCCTGATAGAGGGGGGATCTCGCTAATCTCCCGGAATCCCGAATCATCATAGGAGGGATGCATGGACCACATTCGAAATACTAGGCATTCAAGTGCCTAGAAGGAAAAAAAATAGAATCCAAGGAGGAAAAGTAGTCGGGTATAAATGGAGGGGGAAAAGAATGACCGAAGTACGAAAATGTGCTTGGTCCACCGTCAGCCGTGTGATCAGTGAATACACTTTTAGCAGAGAATGTAAAGACAGGATAATCTATCATTAGGGAAGCCAGATTAATAAAGATGCGTAATGCTGAACTAGACCCATTTGAATCATTTTCTCATCGCATTTAATAAAATAGTAACTAAATAAATCTCGAAACTTAACATGCGGGGGAAGCATGTTGGATCCGCCCTGACAAAAAAGAAAAGAAAATAAAATGTATGCTATGTAAGTGTTAGGGTCTTTTTGCTTTTTTCGAGTAAATTGCATTTTCTCTGCACTTTTCCCCTTAGATCGGTGGATCCTTATACCTCATATGATGGCTCTCGTGGATGTAAATCAACGTGGATATTCATAGCCCCTTGCAAATGTCTATAAGTATGCGCACATCATACATGTACTCGTATACTCCATAGTCTGTACTCTGTACGCAGTACAGACTATGGAGTACTCCGTGCTCATGGCTCACGAACCATCTGGCGCACTGGGGAGCCTCTTTTCTTATTTTTTTTTACCTTTTTTTACTTTTTTTTTTTTCCAGTTTTCCTATGTTTGCTTTTTCGTATTCCGTCTCTGTCCTCGGATTGGATCATTTTATACTTTCTAGTCTTTTCGGGGGGCGAAAGAGTCGTAAATCGCTTTCCTGGGGGCCAGAATCCCCACACTATCGGGTTTAAGCGCCCTCTCTACGAGTACTAGTCCACATCGAAATTGAGATTCTACAAAGTACGAAAATCATCGTACTGACGATTGACTTACAATTCTTTGACGCAGATGATCTGGGGTAAAATAGTGGGCCGGATCTTCTGGTCACCAGCACGGACATCCGCTGCAGGAAATAGACAAGGTTCGGAAAATGTATTCCTGCTCAACTAGTGTTCTCCTTTTTTTTTCGCACCTCGTCTCGACATATCTCACAACCCATTGTGACAGTCGTAAGGGGGGGGAGGAATGTGGCGATCCTCGAGGACAGAGTTGCGCAAGGCCCCCGTAGATCTGCCGGGAGACTAACAGGGAAATACACAGTTGAATTGTCATTGGGACTGGCCAAAATACCCATTTACCCATTTTGACCCATCAGCTGAGACGCGGGACAGGCAGATTGACCCCCGCTCGTTGCCTAGTGTCCTCCTAGGACGGGCCTTTTCGTTTAGAGTGATCTACTACTTGCTGCGCCTGGGAAGCTACTGAGCTTAGTTCGGATCAGGTGAATGGGGTAAATGGGTCAAGTACGAGTAGGTGAATTAGGTGCAAATTTTAAATTTCCCATTGTTTCAGGCGCAAGATCGACCCTGCAAATCCATCGATCTGACCTGGATACGCGGACCATATTGGTCAATCCCTCTATGACGGTATGCGCTGCGACGAGTCAGGCATCTCCCACGGACGATCTCGCGTAAAAACTGGAGAACGCCTCGACCCGTTTAAGCGCATGCCCTTACAGTAGTCCTTTGTCGTTCACACAATGGGCTTTTCCAACATAACGAAGTATCCGCTGAAGCCGAAGGCGGGTCGACGGTTCTTCCCGCGCGGTGGGGCCGAACTATACCATGCAACAAAGGGATGTCGTCGAGTATCGGTAACTAGGTATCAATGTAGTGAACTACGGTGGCTCAGGGTGTGACGTAGGGCTATGTGACTGCGAGGTGGACAGAGTACAGAGCACAGTGTACATACAAAAGCACCAAAACTTCCCCGGGTTGAGAGCCCTAACTCAGCAAGTAAGCCGAGTGTCTAGACTTCTCTCCTGCACCCGGCTCTATTTGTGCAGTTCTGACTTTCTAAGCTTGGACCCTGTGGATTCAAGTAACTTCCTATTGCAGTTTCGCTTCATTCTTTATTCGGCAACGCCCCGAAAAGAATTCAGAGGCTGAACGCCATGAAAGGCACGAGGACAGGTAAGACACTGGCTTGAACCGTTCGCAGGAGATCAAGGGACTAGTCAGACTCTATGCTCGTCAATATTCAGACTACTGATTCTAGTTACGCGTGCGACTAGTCAGATCAAATTTTGATCAACGGCTTATTGTGAGCATTCCTATTGGACCTCTCCCAATGCGACCTGTTCCAGTCCAATGAAGCTACCCCGAATAAGCAGCTATTTACCTCTCCGTAATCCATACTAATACTCGTACTCCAATGTCAAAAGTACGAATGGCCCGAAACCCCGACCTTTCGTTTTCGGTTAATCTACTGACTTGGCATCCGGCTCTATTCGGTCCCTCTGTCGGTCCAGTCGGAAGAGGTCCTTTTTTTTCCCTGAGCCTGATCTCCTCTTGGGCTGTGAAAGAATTGATCTGAAACAGTGAAATACATTATGACATAACGGCATACGTCAAGTTTGAGGCAGGCAACCCGGGCCTCCCGGATTTAGTTCCCTACACGACCGCCAAGCATTATGGGTTGGGGATCGACTTCGCTTCGGTATAATTAACACTTCTCGTACTCTATCCGAGTACTCCGTACTCGAGGTTCATGTGGGAAGCGGGGCCTGGCGGTCATTCCGAGACAAGCGATGAATCCGCTCATTTACTCGTTACTCGTGTATTCAGGACACGGGATGGTGGATCGTCCAGACCAGAGCCTATGGGTTCTCTGCATGGAAGGATCTGGAGAACATGACATGCACGCTGGAGATCGAGTTTATTTGCTTTTTTTTATTTTTAAACTATTCACCGTCGACTTTGACCATAACGTCCAATCATCATGCAGTCTATCTTGATGACCCCGTGCACCCGGATCCTTCAACACTGCTCCGTGCTCAAGAACATCTTGTTGATCTCGAGATGATCAGAAGGATCGGCTACACTTCATTTCATCCGAGTCGCCCATCACCAATCAAGACCCCACTAATCCTGCTTACTGCCTTGTAGGGCAATTACAAGCTTCATGGTTGCTCCTGTGAAATTACATCCTATACCTGCGATCAGCCAATTTAATTCCGGAATCCTTCAAAAGATCCGAGCCGCTGATTAGATTTACCCAATCATGGTTTAGTTCATCTTGCTGACTTTCGGCTTAGGGGGCATCAACTTGAGAACTTCAATTGTTCCTCCCGACACCGTGTTCTTCGGCAGTGGGCCGGTCCACTACAGCTTTTATTATACCCAATCATGGCCCAATTGATTATGCTTACTCGTACGATGTTGAACTTCACACCGCAGCTCAAATCCCGTCTGAATTCCATCTGAGTTTTTCTGTTCTCAAGATCCACTACCCATCGACCAGACACCCAATCATCCCCCCTCTATTGTTGATGACCTCCGAGAAAAGCAGTGAAAGGGTGAACGGTGTGACTTTTCTCGGTTCAGACTTCCACTTTGGATATTCTGGGGCTGAGCTTGGTTGAGTCCTCTCCGATCCACTTGCTGTTCTAGTCTCGCAACAATTACCTGGGCAGTGTCCTGTTTGGGATCTACTCGTACGAGTATGAGGCGGCTCTCTGGACCGTGCATGAGATGTTTGGAGCTCCTTCGCGTCTTGGGGACCTCAGCTAGGAATCCCGATTCACACGATGCATGACCCTGAGTCATGGACACGGTTGTGGAAATAGATTCGGCTGCCGCGCATCCGGCAAGTTTCGGCGGAAGAACTTCAGTCCATCACTGCGGCGCGGAAACCTGAATAGGATGGACGTTTTGGGCATGTTGGGACCCATATCGAGGCGCTGGTCGTCCATGGAAGCCTGTCGACTGCGGTCTACCGCAGGCAGCCACGCGGGAGTGGTATGACTTTCCGGTCTTTGTGCTTGGCAAGTGTGTCGACGGATGGAGCTCACTTTGGCCTTTGAAGCACAAGGAATTCGACTCCCGGCGCTCTATCTTTAGGTTATGGGGCTAATATCGTCGTGATACTTTCAACTCGGCCCCTTATTCTTTGATCTGGAACATGAGGCTGCAAAAAGCGCAGTTTTGTTGCCATGAACAGAGACAAGAGGAGGGAGTAAGGGGAGAGAGAAAGCAAGACTATCTACACCGGTGGGTTGACGCCATGGGAAGTATGGCTGTCAACTCTAGAACAGTCACTTTAGTACTGACAGTGTTGAAACAGCTCCTACAAAATACTGGCCTGAATGTCTACTTGAGTAACGATCACGTCTCTGTTGCCCGTGGTAGATGGAAAACGAGCCCTTGTAGCCCTTAAGGTCCAATCTGCTCTGAATTATAGACGCACAAGTTCTAAAGTTGCTCTCTCGAGCCCTGGAGGTCTTCCAAGTTTGTTCTTGGGTATGTGGTGCCTTTGCGCAACTTTCGAAAGTTCCGAGGTTTGAATGTAATTTCCATATGTCCATGGATGTCTGCCAGGAGCGATATAGCCCTGAAGAAGTCTTCAAGATTCCAACGGGACTTCAGGAGGCACTGCTTTGTAGATTCATTCTAAGTTTGTACCGCTTTGCGCCTGGGCAGTGAACCTCTGGAGCTTTATATTTCAAGGTTTCACAAGAAAGCCTCCAAATCGGAAACTTTAGAACGGAAGTACTACGTAGTACCGGGGTTGATGCACTGTTTGCATGTTGTACTCGTATATTTTATATATTCAAGACCCCGGGATGCGTGCCCGAAATACAAAATCCTTGGAACGAAATCAATCACTTTAGGAGTACTCGACTGCACGGTAACTTGAGAATTAGTAGAGTTGGGCAGCACTTACTTCCACCGTTGGGCAGCAGAGGTGGAAATTTAGAAATTTAGAATTCATAGGTCAAGCATCCATGGAAGGCCGGCAATCGAAGCCGACTGAGTCGGGCGCGTCCGCTAATTATCTTGAATTGCCGGGAAATATGGTCTCCCTCTCTCACAAAGAGCGAAACCTTGGAAGGCAGCCTGAGTCCATGGCGAAGGGGCGTCAGTGCGAACGGCGGCTTGGAGACAACTTGAGAACTCTTGAAGTCTTTGCAGGTTGTTGCTGAAGACGGCGACAGAGTTGAGAGAAGGGGGAAAGCAAAGGAAAACAACATCGCTATAGGCCTACATTGCGGAAGATATTGAAACTTTAGAACTACGGCTACAGCGAGAGAAGTCCACACCACCATACAATTGGGTTGTTTGAAGCATTAAATTGATCGGAAATCCCAGACCATAGTATCGCTAAAAAATTGACTAGTGGATATAAACAGCCCGTGCAAGAAACAACCCAAGACACTAAAGTCGTAAAAATTTTTGTATTTTAGGCGGCGCGCTCAAAGAACACACCTAACCAGTTCCCAAAGTGAGAAAATCTAGTTCATCTGGCGGATGAGGCCGTTGATGTTCTCCTCACGGTTACCAGTGTCACCACCCTCGATGTAGTGCTTGAACTTGCGAGTGCGGAAACCACCGTTGGGGTTGGACAGCTTGAAGGGCCAGAGGAAGTTGTTGGCCTGCTTGAAGTTGGGGCCAACGGTGTAGATCTCGTGGATGAGATCCTCCATGCAGACAATGCCGAACTTGCCGAGGTGCTCCTCGATGATCTGGTTGTCGGTGAGGGGAGTGCGCTGCTTGTCGACCTTTCCGTAACCGCGCTTGTAGAGGAGCTCACGGACGGACTTCAGGTTGGGGTAACCGTAGGCAATGTAGGGGTTGACAATGGTCAACATCTCCTGGGTAGCCTTGGTGAGACGGATGAAGGTACCAGAGTTGATCTGGAGGAGACGCAGGAGCTGGAGGATCTTGCGGGGCTTGGGGGCGATCTTGTTGATACCCTTGATGCGGACAACGAAGACCAGCTTGGGCTCATCCTCAACGTAGAAGTTACCCTCCTGGCGGGCGACACGGTTGAGGCGGATCTTCTCACGCTCAGCGGTGCGGTACTCGTTGACGTAGGACTCGGCACGCTTGAAGATGACACCACGCTTCTCCTTGTTGGCCTGAATTCAATACAGTTAGCATGAGATCTCAATGAGGTCATGTGTGAAAGAATGGCAAATGATTTTCAAGTATTGTCAGACCCGAAAGATGGTTAACGAAGGACAACATCGACAGTGGTAGCTGCCTAGTCAATCGTGGTTGAAAGTTATGCATCATAAAGATTGAAGGGGGATGGTGAATGTTGCAGGTGATGGATAAATGACTGACCTTCTTGGTGGCCTCGGCAGCGGAGCGGCGCTCGGCACGGGCAGCCTCCTGGGACTTGCGCTTCTTCAGAAGGGTCTCGGGAACGAGGACCTGGTTCTGGGTGGGAACGGAGCTACGGCATGTTAGTTCAGTCTGTCTATCAAAAGGCAAGACTGAAGCGATTCGCCGAGTGAAAGAATTGCGACATGACGCCACATTCTCAACTGAAGGCATAAAAAACTCGACGAAATGTCTTTAGTCAGTGAGGGCCAAGATGACAGGACTTATGATCAAGTCGATGGTACTAGTCATGCATATTCCAGAATAACTTTCTCAATCGCGACCACCTGTACATCTGTGATGCCTTCATCCAACAAAACCCCGAACAATGTCCAGGAAGTGTGTTGAAGCTCTTCGAATCGAAGCAAGATGCTGCTACCGCACCGTGCACTCGAGACGATAACTCTCAACAATGTTTTTGGAGGAGAAGGCGACTAGCGCTTTCAACCTCAAGACTCCATCACCCTCTTTCTGTATCCGATATCACACGAACCGAGAGAGGGCAGGAAGGATCGAGCTGGTGCCGGACAGCCACTGTTGAAGGTGGCTGGGGCATCCCCAGCGAGAAGGGCGACTATGCCTGCAACCTTACAAACTCAAGCAGAGAATGCATCAGTCTTAGGGAAGTCATTGGGAATCATACGTGGTACCGGCCATTTTGAAGGATGTCGTCGGGTTGTCGAGGATGAAGAAGAAGAGAGGAAAAGTTCGCAGGAAAAGATCTTAGGGGAGAGATTTCGCTTGTGCGGGTATGGGTCCACCTAGCCTGTTCTGGTTAGACCGGAAATAATGTGCTGCGCTAACCCGTTACGGGAGGAGCCCTTATCTCCGCGATAACCAACTGATAAGGGCTGGTTCTTATCAGGATCCCCAAGTCCGTCAGTGACGGTAGTACGCTTCCCCGCGTTCTCCTTCACGCGAGCTAACCTTCAAACAACCAATACCTGCTTGTCTTACTATCTATGCCATGTCTCGTCGCGGTGTCGGCCTCGGGGCCTTCTCAAATCGCAACCAAACAACCCAATCATGGGCAACCCATGGCGCTAACCTACGTTCAACACATACGGCCTCCTTACAGACCCAGCTGTCAGTCTTCCAGTCACTGCTTCATACGTTCGCGTTAGAGCACAGTTCCGAGATCAAGTCCAACCCCACCTTCCGAGCAGAGTTTGCACGCATGTGTAATACTATCGGGGTCGACCCCCTCGCCGCAAGCAACGTCAAGGGCAAAAATGGCCGTCGCGGTCTGGGAGAGGGAGGTAGCTTTTGGACACAGATTCTAGGCGGAGATATGAACGACTTCTACTTTGAAGTTGCCGTTCGTGTGGTAGAACTATGCAGGGAGACAAGGAGTGAGAATGGGGGCCTAATAGGTGTGGGGGAGTGTCGCAAACGAGTGGGGAAGGGCAAGGCGATCGGAAGTGGACTCGAGGTTTCAGAGTACGGATGCTCCTGTGTGAGATCTTCTTGGGGCAAAGGAGAAGCTAACGTGTTGGACAGTGATGATATCTTACGTGCCGTCCGATCCCTTGAGCCTCTTGGATCTGGGTTTTCCATTGTCACAGTCGGTAACAAGCAGTACATTCGGTCAGTTCCGAAAGAGCTGAACACCGACCAGGCGACCGTTTTGGAAGCTATCCAAGTGCTGGGCTACGTGAGCGTCTCTATGCTGCGACTTAATCTGAAATGGGAAAAGGCTCGAGCGCAGACGGTGATCGACGATTTGCTTGCCGATGGCTTAGTCTGGCTAGATGCTCAGGGCCCTGAGAAAGAATACTGGTCACCACAGAACCTCCTGGAGGACAGTGGATGATGTTTTCTTCGAGTGCCACTCGCCTACGACTTATCTTGTCACCGTGATTGCAATCAAACGGACCAGATGAGATCCCGAGTTCCATACTCTGTCCTTTTGATTGAAGAGAGTCGCCTAAGACCCTCTCCAGGCCTCGAGACAAAGCGCCTTTCGGGCGGCTGTCGGCAGGCATCAGAAATTCCCTTGACTCGAGGGTAAGAGATTTCCCTTGAAATCCCTCTCTCACTGGGTTGCGATATTGGCGATCGGCTTCATGAGCAATCGCAACAAATGACATCGGCACCACCACAGGTTGGATATAGTTGACCCGGGAAAGGATGAGACCGCCGATTTCTTTCCAACCTTGGAAGGACAAACCCATTTCGGCAAACGTCCATATTGGCCACTTCCGTTAACGTGGGCGACCCATATACGCAGACAATACCATCCTACACTAGTCTTGCAAGTTGAGTTCTCCATTCACGGCCAGAACGGAGGCTTTGCATACACCCAGCATGTTGGGGCACTTGATTATGTACCTTGCAGCTTGAATACGACTGATGAAAATTGATGCCACTAAAGACAAAAATGGTATTCATGGAACATCGGCCCTTCAAATACTAGTGTGTAGTGATTTAATGAAAAGTGTTGAGATGACTTCAGACCGGTCAAACGCGTAGTACTCGTCGATAGATGAACGGGAGCCTCTCCCCCATTCTACCTTCCCCAATTTTTTCGAAATTCAACAACTTCTATAAACAAGAAATTCGTGGATTAAGTTTACTAAAAGGCAGCAAAAACAAAATAAATAGGTCTTACCCGGGTTCGAACCGGGGCTAACGGTAATATTTTAGATCCGGACGGATGTCTTCAAAAACCGCTGTCCTAACCACTAGACTATAAGACCACAAGATGGGATGTTTCAATTTTCAAAGGCGTCTTGATAGACCCAACGAAGTTCCACATTCGTCGCCTTCTTCTTCATGGAGCCTCAACAATACTGAAGTATTGCACGTTGTACATGATAGGCCCTGCTTTACCAAGACTATGAGCGGTCACTAACAAACTTCCTTTTGATCCAGGCTCACTTCTCTGAACGATAACAACTATTGTCACCTTCAGCACAGACTTCTTGTCTTCATTGCATATCCCCTGTGAGGTTATGAGATGGAAAGGTCTCATAGTTTTGTGACAACAGTATTGCGTAACCCAAACTAAAACTGCTATTAGTTCTTGATCTGCTATCTCATCGCACGAAGCGTAGAACGGTTCAAAACATTGATGGTGCTTTGTCGGGATCTTCAGATCATAATCTTCATGATCAACAGTGAACCTCAGAAGGGAGTCTCTTCCCAGTTGGCACTTTGGACGATGAGGCTGTCACTTTCTTAGCTCCCATGGACAGCAACATTAGAACATCTTCAACACTTCCAAGGTTACCAACAATAACATCTATGTCTTCCGTTCTCCACAAAACTTTATAGCTTGACTTCCATGGTCAGGAACTTTAAAAATTCTTATACTTCATGCTAAGTTTGATCTTGAACATGACTCATTTTAATCGTATTATGACACATTTATGACCCTAACTAGGCTTCTAAGGTCCTTTCTGTCAACCCTCTGCAGCCCACTTCCTCTCCGCAAGTCTTCTAAGTCTCCAAGTTTTCCGATCTGCCTGTGAGGACCACGCGCCCAGGCCCGCGAGGTCTACCAGTTCGGCCAAAAGACCTAATATGACAAGACTGGCGTCTTGTCATTCATGTCATGCCTGGGACCGATATATATACCTAGGTAGTGGCGCACTGTTGGGGCAACGCCGACCCCAGGGGCCGATCACACTTGAGCAAGGGCGTTCGTTGCCCTAACACTGCCCCTCCCTTTCTCTTTCTCTCTCTCTCCCTTCTCATCTTCCCCCTTTTAGGTGAATCAAGGCACCCTGCTTTGCTCTCCCCTTAAAATGGCTCGTCAAATCATCACATGATGATATCATTACTGCCCCAACCCACTCGGAGAAGGCCTATGCTCACAGAGCAGAGTGAAGACGTTTATAACTTCCAAGGTTTCCAACCATTTCAAGTTGTATCTGTCTTATGATCTCGCCTTTACGTGTGGTGGCTTAATTTCGCAGTGCGAATTTCTACTATACATCAATCTGAGCAAACCGAACTGCTACGGTCTTCACAAACCGCGCGAAAGCAGGCTCAGACGACGGAAGCATAAGTCGCTTGCCTCAATGATGAGACGTATGTATACAGTATGCTGAGAGGCAATGTGGTCCTATGCAATCACAATGGTCAGCCGAAGCTGAGCATCATCGCTGTTTACGCTTTCTTCACTGGCCCAGGCCTCAGATCGTAACAAGGGAATCACTTGCCTCAATGATGAACTGTGTACAGCACACAGCACACTGAGAGGCAATGTGGTCCTATGCAATCACAATGGTCAGCCGAAGCTGAGCATCATCGCTGTTTACGCTTTCTTCACTGGCCCAGGCCTCAGATCGTAACAAGGGAATCACTTGCCTCAATGATGAACTGTGTACAGCACACAGCACACTGAGGGGCAATGTGGTCCTATGCAATCACAATGGTCAGCCGAAGCTGAGCATCATCTCTATATACGGCTTCTTCATTGGCCGGCGCCTCAGATCTTAACAAGGGAATCACTTGCCTCAATGATGAACTGTGTACAGCACACGGCACACTGAGCGGCAACGTTGTCCTATGAAAATGAAATGGTTAGCTAGGGCTGGGTGTTATCAGACCATGATAGCGTCTTCACAGAACACGCGAACGCAGGCTCGGATAACGAAACCATAAATAATTTGGCTCAATGATGGATCGAGACCTGAAACAAAAAGACAACGAGGAGAGCAGAGCAGGGCAGGCGAGAGAAGGTTATAGTAAACTATTTGAACAGAGCAACAACGACCATACTGTTTATGCTTGCAGCTTCGAATCCAGGAAGGAACTATGAAACAATGATTTCATCAATGGATTTGTTTCCTCTGCTCTTGCTAGATAAAGGTCTGCACTTTTGTTTTGCTCATCCAGATTCAAAACCGAAAAAAAAGCGTCCATCATCATTACAGAAAGCCTTTGCCTCGAATAGTCCGATGTGTTCTTTATACGCCGCGAGCCCTGGAGGCATCATTGGAAAGACTGTATCTGGGGATCGAGAGCTCGAGCAGTCTAGGACACCCGCCATGAGACTCCTCGTTCCCCTTGCTGCGTGTGCTGCGGTTGCTGCAGCCATTCCATATGGCTCTTACGGGGACAACACCAAACGTGATATCAACGATGGTTACGACTACGGCCTGCAGAAGCGTGACACCGGCGATGACATGAGTGACATCGATGTTTCTCCCGATTATTACCAACAGCCGCAACAACAGCCTAGCCAAGAATAGGAAGCTTCCTCGTTCTGTCGTTCCTCACCCTCAGAATCTACTTTATATTGAAAATAAACCTTAAATTTCCGACCTACGTCGTCGCTGTCGAAGTGTTCAACACTATCTTCTTTGCTTAGGCTGAAAGAGGGATCGATCCGTCTCTCTCGCCCGCTACCACAGAAGCCTTTTGCGGTCAGAATAGAACCAAGAAAACCAATATCTTTTGGTATGGAAAGAAAATGCTAAATACCAAATACCTAGATATCTAGTTGACCATGAGCTATTGCCATAACTTTAGAAGGTGATTCATAATATTTCCAAGGAATTCACATAAATCTGAGATTCTGCGAGGATCCACTTTGGCTTGTTGAACTGACTGCAAAGAAACTTCTATCATTATAATTCATAGGTGTGTGTTTAACGATCACCTCAGTGAATACTCCGAGAGACTCAGCATCTCCAATCTTCATCCAGAATATTCAAATCCGAGTCCTGAAGCAATCCCATGATAGCACGGTTACTAGAGAACCAGCCATCCAACTCAGCCTCATTTCCAATCTCCATCGTCGGCTCCTCTCTCTGGTGATAATCATGTGCCATGAAATCATGCCCAGAGTCTGTATTGAGAGACTGCAGCACTGGTTGATGGACGTCGTCTGACACTGGTGCTGCTAACCCCAAGGCAGCGAGGTATCCATCCATCTCGGCAAATGCTGGTGTTTGACCTGGCTGTTGGGATGTGCGAAACTCAACGAAGTGCAGCGCTACGTTGTAGAGAACGAGGAAAAGACGGTGCATTCTGGCGGCAGCTTCTGAGACGGTTGGTGCGGACTGGATGGATTCGACGAAGTCATGGAGGTGAGATAGGTAACTTTGGTCTTGGGTTTCAATTACGTGGCAGAAGATGACAATGAAGGGGGAAAAGGGTGCGAAGAGGAGAGTCCTTGAGGAGTATCATGTTAGCATCTGAGAAAATGAAATTTGGATATTGCATTCGCCCATGCTTTGATATGGAGACGGAGGCTTACCAATGAATATACTTAGGGAAGTAGATATTGTCGGTCTTGGAAATCACTTCCATACAGTCGTGATGTCTCTGCAAAGTGGCCTGGGCGGTTTTGATGCAGTTTGAGCTGAAAGTGGTGGAAGCTTCTTTTGATGGTGGAGCGGCCCGATAGACTAGGGTGAGAAGAGATAGATGCAGGACATCGTCAGACACAGCAAAAAAGTCCATCAAGCCTTCACCAGAAATCTGCTTGGCAGTTTTGATCCATCGGTTCTATGCAATATCAGAATGCTTCCTTGATCGGCGTATTTGTGACTCACGTTGACGTCTTGGGTTTCCTTCTTCAATGCCTGTAGTTCGCTTACAAGATGTTGTACCTGATCATACCGCACGTGGTTGGGCTGGGCTAGTGAGCATGGGCTGTATAACATGTCGTATATGCGGCCTTGCAATCGTGCGGATTCAGTCCACAAAGGATAATAAGCCATGACAGGTGCATCGTTGGGCTTGCCCGCTGAAGGTCGAGGTAATGTGATGTCAGAATCGGGAATAGTTGATGCTCGCCCAAGCCGAAGGGATAAACACTTGTCGAGGAAGTAGACGCCCCAAAAGAGAAAAGATTTGTATTGGACAGTCTCCTGCGAGTCGCTCTTCATGGATATCTTCCGGTGATAGCCCAATGTCTGGCATAATTGGGACGCATTTGATGAGAATGTCCAGGACATGCATGGTTTTGAGAGCTCGATGAAATGGAAAGCCTTTTGGGTGGTTAGATTCAGTATCGGATTTCAAAACGAGATGCTTACACCCAAAGTCAGCGCGAGAATTGTATTAGGGGTTGCAGGTAGATGCAGAGGCAGATCAACCAGTGCGGTTTCTAGATTTTCACGGCACAGACGAGCATAGCCGAAGAATTCTTCCCTCTGTTCTTCGGGTAGCTGAAACGCGTAGTCCCAGAATAGAGAGTGCAGACCGGCGTTTACAGATATGTGATCGCCGTGAGGATAGTCAGCAGAGAAATAGACACCGAGACACATGTCTGGAAATTGATTGAATTGAATAACCTCATATATCCAGCCGGTACCTGCGAGGCTCTGGGCTAAGTGACCAACGTTAGGCTAGATGATCACAAACCAGGTATCGGTACTCACATTTGGCAAGACGTATCAGGGCGACTACTTTCTCAATTGGGGGCAGTTTGAAACCCTGGACTCGTGGACGGGAGGTAGTGGCCAAGTAGGAGTCTAGTGTCTCACTCGAGGTAGTCTGCTTTTTGAGTGTAGCAACAATATGAGCAAGTGCATCTAGAGTCTGACGCATCTCTAGAGTGCAATTCTGTAAGGACTCCCCACCGACGAATTTCCACAGGAACTCGTTTGCGAAAGCAGAATGGGCAGTTAAAGAAGAATCCCCTTCCACGACTGGTTCAGCGACCGAGTTCGAGTGGGTTACATGGCTAGATACCGTTGACTCGGAGTGTGACTCGTTGGATGAGGGTTGTATACTTCTTGGTAGTTGAGATGGCTCGGGGTTGGGCCGGCTAACTTGGAGATCCCTTAAGATTTCAATGATTCCATCCAGTCGGCGTTCAATGTGGTCAATCTTTTTCTCACTACATAGCGAATTGTCAGCCAGGTTTGCGTAGAAACTCCAGCCAAGATTGAGGACACGTACTAAAGAGGTGTGAAGTGGACACGAGTGCGTTTCTCCTTGGCCTTGATTTCCGAATAGGTGCAGTCAATTTTCTTTTGCTCGCAATACGCACACGGGTACTGTCGGTTACAGCGGACCTAGGGAAAGTCAGTCCCCCTATGCAGCCGGTTCGTGATGTCGCGTCACCACCTTGCGGAATCGACAAGCATCACACTGGTCACTCGTTAACTGAGGCAACATTTGAAAGGTCTCGGAGACCGAACGGATCACTAACCGCTCGCGCCAGAGTATTGAAAGATCCGCGAGGTTCATCTAGATGATCATCTTCCATCGCGATACTCCGTGTAGTTAGGTGTCTAATGCCGAGAGAATAAGATGATCCCCAGATAAACTCTTGAAGTTCCAGCTGTAGGCTATACCTAAGTCCCCAACTTGCCTAAAGTGGTCTCCGACCTCATTCATGACTTCCCGGTTCACCGCCTTGGTTTTCCAAGGGTTTTTTTTTTTTTTTTTTTTTAATGGAGAGACTCAACTTCAACTTGCAGGAAAAAGTCTCTTCATTCCCGCTGAGTTGATAATCTCAATCAAGTACTCCGGACTCAAATGAGCATCTCATCCTTGACAAGTACGATGCCCCTTTGTGCGTCGAATACATTCCACAGTGGGGACTCTCTCTACGGAGCCCGTGAAACCCATCGCCCGAAGACATTTGACCGTATACTATGAGACAACTCAATAGCATCCGGACACCGTGGAGTCCGCCCCGAAAAAAAAAAACCAGCCTCATTTCGATACCATAGGTATATAAGCTCAGAATGGAATCCCTTTACACCAGAACTTTTCAGGTTTTCGTGCGTACACCAGTCGCTGTTTCTGGGAACAACGTCCTTGCTTTCTGTATTTTTGATCCGATAAAGGGAATTACTGAATTCACCGTGGCTACCGATCATGGATATTGAAGCGATTGAAAGCGAAAAGAGGACGGCAGCACCGACGCCAGACGAAGAAGGCTCCTTCGCCGCCTACAAGCGAATCTTCAAGTACACTGGCCCTTTCGAGCTCTCATTGCAGATAATCGCGTCTCTAGCAGCCCTCGGTTCTGGTGCCGGTCTAGCATTTCAGCCCCTTATTATAGGCCGGTTTATCAGCACCGTCGCCGACTTCACATCATCACAATCCTCTGCAGCTCACCTTCGTTCGGAGGCTTCAAAGCTAGCTCTTTACTTCCTTTATCTTGGTGTTGCCCGCTTTCTGCTATCGTACATCTACAACGTCCTTTTCACGTACACCGCTCATCTGATTACCCGCAACATCCAGCACGAATACCTGAAATCAGCCCTGGGGCAGGAAGTGGCATTCTTCGACTTTGGTACTGGTGGCTCGATTGCAACACAAGCGACCTCCAATGGCCGCATGATCCAGGGCGGAATCAGTGAGAAGCTGGGTCTTGTCGTTCAAGGCATTGCTGCTTTCATCACTGCTTTCATCATTGCTTTCGTCGTCCAATGGAAACTCACTCTCATATGCCTCTGCATTGCCCCGGCTACTCTCATTGTCAACGGTATTGCGGGTGGGTTCATGGGTGTATATGAGAATCAAATTCTGGAAATTAACGCGAAGGCCAATGCCTTCGCTGAGAGCGTTCTCTCCGGTGTGCGCACTGCGCATGCCTTTGAAATCCGAGACAGGCTGGTCGACAGCTTTGACGACCACTTGTCCTACGCCCATACGATTGGAAGCAAGCTTTCCGTCATTTTTGGCACCTTTTTCGCCGCAGAGTACTGCATCGTCTATTTAGGCTACGGTCTAGCCTTCTGGCAAGGCATTCGCATGTTGTCAAGAGGGGAACTGGAGGAGAATGGAGGTATCTTTACGTGAGTTTTTTTTTTTTATCTCAATCGCTGGAACTTCGGGCTAACAACAAAGTGTCATCATGTCGGTCATTATTGCTGCTACACAGCTCACCATGCTTACTCCCTACATGGTTGACTTCACCCGCTCCGCTACTGCGGCATCCAAGCTGTTCAACTTGATTGACCGCAAATCTGAAATTGATCCACATGAAAATTTTGGCAACCAACCTTCGGAAACTTTTGGGGAAATTGAGCTCGACGATGTTACATTTGCGTACCCTACCCGGCCTGGGGTGAAGGTTCTTGAAAAATTCTCTATGAAAGCGCCTGCTGGCAAGGTCACAGCCCTGGTGGTAAGATATCGTGAAAAATTATATCTTTATTCGAAGCTGAATGTTGCTTAGGGCCAATCTGGCTCCGGAAAGACTACCATCGTGGGCCTTCTAGAGCGTTGGTATGACCCTGAGTCAGGAAACATTAAATTGGATGGCCACCCAATCGATCAATTAAACCTTCGCTGGCTCCGAAAGAATGTCCGTATCGTCCAGCAAGAGTCAGTCCTATTTCAAGGCAGTGTTTTCGACAACATCAAGCAAGGTCTAGTTGGCACCGAATGGGAACATGCACCCAGAAGTCAACAAATGGAACGAATTCAGAAAGCAGCCACCATGGCTTTTGCGCATGAGTTTATATCTAAGCTTCCAGATGGCTACGATACTAAGATTGGCCACCACGGTGGCCTCTTGTCTGGTGGTCAAAAGCAAAGGATTGCCATCGCTCGGAGTGTTGTCTCTCAACCCAAGGTTCTCCTCCTAGACGAAGCCACCAGTTCTCTGGATCCACATGCTGAAAGAGTGGTGCAAATGGCTCTTGAAAGGGCTTCCGAGGGCCGAACTACTATTGTTATAGCTCACAAGCTCGCAACCATACGAAAGGCTGATAGCATTATTGTTATGAGCAAGGGATGTGTAGTCGAGCGTGGTACACATGATTCTTTGCTCGCTCATGATGGCGCCTATGCTAAACTTGTCAGAGCACAGGACTTGGCTTTTTCGCCTCAGGCAACGCAACCGGGAAGAGAGCTAGAAGCTGTTGATCATTCCAAACCCGATACTATGACTCAACTCTCGGTCCGCACGTCACACACATCGGTTCGCGAATATAGGCCACAAAAAGAGCAGGACAATTACGATGATCATAATCAACGAACCATCATCTTCGTCATATGGCACATTCTTCGAGAGACACCCGAGCTGAAACTCGTGTATTCTCTGGTGCTAGCCGGATGTCTAGTTGGTGGTGAGTAAAATCAAGCACCTGCATGTTATTTCCTTCTAATACGAAAGATAGGGGCAACCTTCCCAGGTCAAGCGATTCTACTATCCAGCGTGATTGACACTCTCGCACTTCCAAACACACAGACCGAACGGAAAGGAAATTTCCTTGCCACCATGTTCATCGTGCTTGCAGCCGGATGTCTAGTATCCTACTTCATTCTCGGCTACGCTACCAACATTGTCGCCCAGCATCTAGGCCACAAATTCCGAAAGCAAAGTCTCCAAGACATCCTACGACAAGATCTTCAGTTCTTCGATCGCGAAGAGAACAGCACAGGCGCACTGGTCGCACGCCTGGACTCAAACCCACAGGCTGTTCTTGAGCTGATGGGGTATAATATCGGTCTGGTATTGATAGCCGTGCTGAATCTAATTGCATGTGTGGTTTTGGCACTCGCTTATTCGTGGAGACTTGGTCTCGTTGTTACATGTGCTGGTCTTACTCCGCTGGTTGGTTCGGGATTTCTGAAGATTCGGTTGGACGCGAAGCTGGATCGTGACGCCTCAAAGCGCTATTCAATCAGTGCGTCCATTGCGTCAGAAGCTGTCACCTCTATTCGCACGATTTCGTCGCTTGCTATTGAGGATTCTGTTTTACAGAGGTACACCAGGGAGTTGGATTACGCGGTGGCTGACTTGAGGCAGCCTTTGTGTCTTATGATGTTGAGCTTTGCGTTTACTCAATCTGTCGAAAATTGGTTTATGGCTCTTGGTCTCTGGTATGGTTGTCGTTTGTTGTCGTTTGGTGAGATCACTGTTTACGCCTTCTTCGTCGCCTTTCTTGGGGTGTTCTTCTCCAGCCAAAGCGCATCACAGCTATTCCAATTCTCAACGAGCATCACTAAGGGTGTCAATGCGGCCAACTATCTCTTCTGGCTTCAAGGTCTACAACCAACAGTGCGGGAAACAAATCAAAACCACGAAAATGGACCTGGCTCGGCAGATAACATTCATCTGGACAACGTCGAATTCTCCTATCCGCTCCGACCTGAAACCCCTGTCCTTAACGGCGTTGATCTCAAAGTATGCTATCATCCTCGTCTTTCTATGCCTTGAAACTAAAATCCACAGATTGAAAAAGGCCAGTTTATAGCCTTTGTCGGCTCATCGGGGTGCGGGAAATCAACCATAATAGCTCTCCTGGAAAGATTCTACGATCCATCAACCGGCTCGATCATGATCGACTCTCTACCTCTACCCAGCCTGAACCCACGCCTCTACCGCAAAATTTGCGCCCTCGTACAGCAGGAACCGAATTTATTCCCAGTATCCATACGCGAGAATGTCGCTTTCGGTCTAGGCCATGACACCGACTCTGGTTTTGGGGTGGACGATTCTCAGATCGAATCCGCCCTTCGAGCCGCCAATGCGTGGGATTTTGTGTCATCTCTCCCCGAAGGATTGGCTACTTGTGTTGGGCTCGGTGGATCGCAGATTTCGGGTGGTCAGCGCCAGCGTATAGCGATTGCGAGAGCACTGATCCGAAATCCAAGAATTCTTCTTCTGGATGAGGCGACTAGTGCACTCGATAATGAGAATGAGCGAGCTGTGCATGCTACCCTTGGTGCGGCCAAGGATCGAGATCGGATCACCGTCGCTGTTGCGCATCGGCTCAGTACGATCAAGGATGCGGATGTGATCTGTGTTTTCCATGAAGGTCGCATTAAGGAGATGGGATCACATCGTGATTTGATTGCGATGAGTGGAATGTATAGCAAGATGTGTGAGGCTCAGGCTTTAGACTAGAGTTCATAAAGCAGATTTTGGAGTAATACTGAACCAGTCGGCATTTCGATGACTTCAGGAGTTGTTCAATCATCTAATACATAGTCATTTTAATTTACCTGCCTTCTTGAGCTACTCACCAAAATCTTCAATAAGCGATCTGCCTAATTATATCTAATTGTAGCTATTTAGTGGTCCTTTTAGATCTGGTCATACTGAGCTCAAGGGAAGAGGAAAGGAGAGAGAACTGAAAAGCGGGGAGCGGATCCATCTAGGGTTCGGACGAACTCCCTACACATATCTAGAGTTGAACAAGGCCCCTAAGAAAACCACGGCCAGTGAATTAGTTGAGTGATCAGGCTAGTTAGTTCTAAAGTGGACATGAAACTGCCCAGGTGCTCAAGTGGCCATCCATCGTTGCGATTTGGTTATCCATTGTAACCTCAATTCCTCAGATACGCTACTTGTGAGGAGATGGAGAAAGGAACGGCAGAACCTAAAACAATGCAGAAATAAAAATAAAAAGACAAAAACATACAACAGTGAGGATTCGCTGGTGGTCACCCACCCAACTACTAACTCACCGGCGTGTGGCTTAAGTACGGCTGAGCGGACGGGAAGCCCTGTTCTCCACACCCTGTGGTCGTATGTACTGAAATTGGCATTGGAAGGAGATATATTCGTTTTCTACATTCAATTTGTGTTCAAGCCTGAAGCCAACTTAGACATCTTCGTCGACTGTTTGTAAGACCTTGAATTCGTAGATATCGAGGCGAAGAGGGAGAAAACCAAACAATTGAATCGGTGTGCTTTAAATGCAAGTACAAAAAGAGCTCGGAGAGAGGGATCGGGAAACTATAGAGGTCTGCGCTTTCCAAAATTGTGTCTTGTTTCCCTTTCGGCAGGCTAGCCTGAATGTCTCTGGGACCTTCTTGGAAACAACTTGGCATCTTGCAACACAGGCTTCAATCCAACAGGACAGACAAACAAAGAGACAAACGAAGAGAGAATGGACCGGAGGAAAGCTTCCATCTACAGACTACAGTCTGACACCCGGAATAGCATGGCGAAACCGGGGGAGGTATGTGGGAGCACTAGGGGGTGGCAAAATCAAGTCCTGAAATGCACGCAGAGGGCTAGCTTTACGAATGGCGTGGGGACGGGTTTTCCGTCAGAGATCCCGTTCGAAACTCTGATGCGGCGGCCGGCTCAGACCCCGGAAGAGAGGAACTTGGAGCTGACCCTAGGATGGGTGGTGAGGACCTCCAGCCTAGCCTGACTTCAGCGTAGATATGTTGACAACCTTCCTCACACAGTTGGAATGTGTTGCAAACACCACCGAGGCCTGATCTCCTGAACAGAGCACGTACAAGTTGGCGACGAAACAGGAGCAAGGCCGGTTCGAAGAACGAATCGGCCAAGCATTGAGCATGATTGCTCGTCATCAATCCTTTAATTTTGTCTTTGGGGACGCAAAATGCGAGACAGCGAAACATACCGAGTTCCCCAACTTCATCATGGACATTTCCAGTCGAGTGTATCAACTGGGTACCGAAGCACCACCTGGCAGACAATGCCGAGAATCTATCCAAGAGGAACTACCGATTCTGAGCGGGGCCCTGATGATTATGGTACTGAGCTCGACAACCTCCCTCTCGCCGATCGCCCTTATCCTACTCCCGACTGGGCCATAAAGTCGCCAATGATGCTGAAGATAAAACGGAGATGCGCTGGTCATTAGGTATGTCTGATTGAATAAAACCCCATGCTCAATGGAGATTTATTCATGGAATTTCAGGCAAGATCGCAGCGTACATGCACGATCGCAAGCTTAAGTACGGCGTGCTGTCCACTTACGAAGAGAGACTGTTCCTCCGTCAGACAACAACCGGACAAAATGGGGACTCGAATACTCTCCCGTTATTCACCAGACCGATATATTTACCCCTACATCGGTGACTCTAAGACAGTGCTTTTTCCATATAGCTCTGGAATCGCTGAAAGGTTCCGAGTTTGAACGGGGCGCACTCCGTAGCCAGGCTTGGACAAAGAACAATGGGAAAACAAAGCGCCTGTGCGAATTTCGAGACGTGTGTGCATTGACTTGACTGTATCACGTATGGGGAAAAATGAGACCGTCAAGATAGGCCGATGATTTGAGTCCGGAAAAGAGCTGGGACTACCAGGATAGGGCCTTTGGGGACCATCAAAGCATTTCCAAGATTGATCAGCCTACGAGCGGACTCGTTTTTGCAAAGTACTTGGATATCTTTGATTCCGTTGTGACCGAGCTACACCATTATGCACCAAAAGAAGTTACACCACACAGGAAATAAATACTTTTGAAAAAAGAGGCTCCATAACCAACAGCTACTATACCATTGTCACCACCTAGGCAAGTGTTTCTTATGCGCCGCACACGCACTGATCATTCTCGTGGAAGCTGAAGGTCTTGGCATAGGTGGTCAGCCAAGTATGGCCTATGCATTAGCTATGTCAACAGGTACGGCCTCTAGGCAAGTTCCCAGAGAATTTCTAACTTCGTTTGTACTGTCACGTACTCCCCTGCGCGCAACGTCGGTGTAGATGTCGATTTAGATATGGTGCTTACTCCCTAGTAGATCATCAAAAGACCAGTTTCCTAGTAGGTACTAGTAGCTTAATTAAAATATAGCCACAGGGTTGTATATGTGCTAGACCAGCTAGCCTATGTGGTCAGCTCGAGAATGGGGTCAGCTCACTTATGGCTTACATTATGTTAGCCAGCCAGTACCTCTAATAGCTAATACTTAAGTAGTCTTCTACCTCCTAAATATTAATGACTCTTTTGATCCTACGATACCAAAGGCGGGTCTTTGTAACAGAAATCTCCCAATGCTAGGTTACGAGCTGTCGGTATTTACCCAAGTCTAGGAAATTGAGCAACAAATAAACAAAAAGAAACTAGGGATTATCAGGCGTGCCATCTTTCAGCCGCCCAGCTTCTAGATTTAGCGGGGTCGACTTTACATCCCTGCTATCCTGCATATTCGGGCATTTCAGCTCATTGGGTACTGGGCTGTGCTTGTTTCATAGATTCCTCCTGACCAATCAGGAATAGAGCTACGTCGGCAATATTTCTAGCCTCCCTAGATATCTGGGAGAGGTATTGGACGAGAATAAAACATGTTTGTGGCATTGAGCTCAAGCCACGTTAAATACGGGGTAGTAAATGGCACTTTGCCTGCACCTGTAGAGATGATCCTTCTTGGCATCATGGTAACATGCGCAGAATTTTGGCAATTGATGCAAGATCGAGTCATGAGGCTGGTGATCCAGGCCGTCTTGAGTAAATTCGGGCATGTTTAAGCAAAAAAGTGCTTGTAGATTGTCCACAGGAGCTGAGATAGCACAGAGAATGATGTATTCTGCGGGTTATGTATTCCTTGTTTGAGGTATAAATATCAACACTATGTATTCGCTCTTCCTTTGGCTGAAAAAACCCAACCTAATCAACAGATTCTCTTTGAAGCACAGTCACCAACCCAACAAGAAAATCAAAACTACCTAGTAAACATGCTCCTCAAAACCATCGCCGGCTGCTTTCTCCTTGGCTATGCCAACGCTGCCATCCAGGTATCTCTGGTCAGTACCAGCGGAGTCAGTATTCCATACAGCGTGGACCCTAGTGGAAGTTGCTGTGAGTGAGCCGAATCCTTTTCTCTCCCCATTTATCAATTTAGTCTCGAGAGAAAACAGAACTAAAGAAGTCCAACAGTTAGCCTGAACGGCGGTACTCTCGCCCAGTTCAACGACAATCTCCAGCAGATGATTATTCCCAGCGGCTACGAATGCACAATCTGGCAGTAAGTTCACGCCCCCACTACGCAAGCTACCGGGGTAGAGTCCAGAGGAGGACTAACAGTAGTTAGGAACTTTAATTGCAATGGAAAACACACCAACGCCATCGAGGGGTCTCCGCGTATTGCCGACATCTGCGCATCGTCCACTTGGAACTGGGCTAAAGCGGCGTCATCTTTCAAGTGCTGCCAGTCTACTTCTACTGGAAGTTGGTGCGCAGGAAATGTTCCAACCTGTACTTGAAGAGTTTCAGTGTGGAAGGATTGGATCTCACGATTATAGTAGTAACAATTAGGCTTTCAGTGGTCTAGCCGTTGGATGGGCTGAGTACTGGAAACTTTTCAACACCGCGGGTTCTCTCTCAACAGATTACCGTTACTATACATTGGTGTTTTTTTTTTAAATATCAATTATGTCATTTCGATCACTGGATCTGCTTGAGATTCTAGCTCTGTCCTAAGTCCCTGTCACTGTCTCTTGTACACAGAAGTGACAGAACCCGACACTAGTATAAATAGTAGAAATCTTATTTAAAAAAAAAAGATTATTTTAATAAAATAAATGATTTTAGTATTTCTATAACCTAATAAATTAAAATTTTATTTCTACTTTATATTACTTTTTGCAATTTCTTTCTATAGTTTATGATTAGTCTGGGAGTATTCTTATTATTAATAGAGATTTATTAATTATAATCTAAGGACTATTTTATTTATTTATATAAATAATTTAATTTATTATCAAATTTAAAAGTTGGGATTATATACAAAATATATTTGGAGTAGAGGTTACTATATAATGTTGTTTTAATATATTATGGAGATATAGTAATAATATAAATTTGTAAAAATATAGGATTAATAGTTAACTATAGTAAAATCTTTTGGATTTAAAAATGGTTTTTTGTTTATAAAGGAGTAGTGATTACAGTTGTAGTCATCTAATAATTAAATAATAAAAGCTTTAAGATTTTATTTAAATTAGATTTTTATTTATTAGTATAGAAAAATAATTTTTAGATTTAAAAAAAACTAGACTCTAGTATACTTCTGTAGTGAATATAAATAGTGTAGATATAGATTTTATTATAATATAATATATTTAAATATAATATATATAGTATATATATTTAATAAATATATAGATTCTATAGTATGATATTTCCACGATATTTCCTAAAA